TTATAAGTAACTACTACTATTATAATTAATTTAGATAGAGGCTTAGTTTATTAGCCTCTTAAGGAAGTCTATAATTAAGATCTTATTATTACTAAATATTATAGGAGAGTAATATTAGTTTCTTAAGAGAAATATATAAGCTAGTTATTAATAATAAATAGAGTAAGTAGAAGGTTAGAGTTAGTATAGGATAATTAGGTTAGGGTTAGTTCTTAATATTATTATCTTTATTATTATTATCTTTCTATTACTATAATACTCTATAATAATAAATTAAGCTACTAAATAGTTAGAGTTAATATTATTATAAAGATAGATTATTAACTACTAAGCTACTAAATAGTTAGGATTAATATATCTAACCTATAGATTATTAACTATTAAGCTATTAGGTAGTTAGGGTTAATATAATTATAATTATAATTATAATTATAGATTATTAACTATTAGGCTATTAGATAGTTAGGGTTAGAATTATTATTAATTAAGATTAATAATAGACTATTATATTAAATAGTTAGGGTTAATATAAAATAGTTAGGGTTAATATATTAAAGCTTTAGATTAGTAATAAACTATTATACTAGATAGTTAGAGTTAAAAATATTATTAATTAGAATTAATAATAAACTAAGCTATTAGATAGTTAGGGTTAATATAGGAGATATTAGAGATAATAAGGCTATTTATAGCTTAATATATTATAATACTAAAGAGTCTTTTAAGATAGTATTATTATATTATAATAATAAGCTTTAAATTATTATTTATTTATTCTTATATTTATATATTTACTATACTAAATCTCTATTTATATAACTTCTCTAGCTATACCTTCTATATACTTTTTTTTCTCTAGATTAATACTACTACTACTACTACTATAATACTACTACGCCCTTAAAAGAAGCGCTAGAAGGCTAAAAAGCCCTTTAATATCTATAACGTCCCCTCTAATAATAATATATATCCTATCCTTTTTAGTAATATTAATTTACTAATAAAAAAAAATAGATAATACTTCTATTATTACTCCTATTACTAACCCTACTACTAGGCCCTCTACTTTAATAGATATTAAGATAGCTAATAATATTAATAAGAGTATATTTATATTTATCTATCTTATCTATAATTATTATTAATATCTATATAGCTACTATTAACTATATTATATATACCCTCCTATTTAACTTTAAGAAGCTAATAATAGGTATAGTTTAAAAGCTCTCTAACCTCCTTATAAGGTAAGAGCTTATTATTAACCCTTATAGGTATAATATCTTCTCTATTAAGAAGGCTTAAAATATTTTAGCTACTATAATCTAAATAGTTAGTAATAAGGCCTCTAAGCCTTATACTTAATACTTAAATTATTATAGTCTATAGTATAGCTATATTATTTCTCCTCTCTCCCTTATTAATATTACTAATAGTACTTATACTAATTATTATTTTAACTCCTAAGGGTTTAAGTACTCTCTTTATAGTAAGTTTAATATAACTATTTTATAATTAATAGATAATTATTAATAAAGTTATTATAATTATTATATAACTATTACTTAAGTTAAATAATTATTACTAACTTATTAATAGTTACTATTAAAAATAAGTCTTTAGCCCCTCTATATACCTTAATATCTATATTACTTCTATTACCCTCTTCTCCTCTATTTATCCTTAATGCTTATCTTTAACTCTTTATATCTATTAGCTTAAATATTAAATAGCTTAAAAATAAATTCCTAGTAATAAGTAAAGCTTAGCTAGTTAGAGTTAAAGCTAAACTAGATTTATATAAGTCTATATTTATATTAGCTTATTTAGAGTAAGAAAAGAGAATTACCTATCTATTTATAGACTTTAGTACTATAGGTAATAATAATAATAATATTAACTTTTTAATATTTAAGGATACCCTCTACTCTCTCTAAGGGGTAATACTTTTATTACTTTAATATATTACTTTAATTTAGGCTTAATATTATATCTTTTATTATTATAATAATTACTATTATAATAGGTAGTATTATTATTACTAACTATAATAAAAAGATAAAGCTATACTTAGGGCTACTTTAGAGATTAGTAATAAATTACCGCTTTGCTCTAGGAGTTTCACTAAAGGGTTCTACTACCCCCCTTCCCTTTAGTATCCTTATGTCTTATAGAGGCTTATCTCTAGAGGTGTTAAAACCTAGTGAGACGTGGCAATTGGGATAGAGAGCCTGTGATTTATAAGCTTGATATAGAGTAAGTAGTTATGCTTACTTATCCTGAAACGTTTGTGTCTAGATATTGCGCATTCATCTGACTTTTCTTTTTGAGAAGGCGGTTTATGATATAGTTATGAGGTGAAGAGAAGATGCTAACAGCATCGCTTCGGTATGGAAAGTTTGGCACCTCGCGCCGAGGCCAAAGTGCCGCGCCTTAGGTTATCAACGTGAGCACTATAAATCTCTAAAGAAGCTTGGCACGGCAGAGTCTCCAAGTGTCTGGAAGATAAGTGTACTTGCGTCAGGCTCACGGAACGCTGATTCTGGTGGATTATTAATAATAAAAAGATGTATACGTCCTGTATGAAGATTGCATCCTTTCGAATGCTTGGGACTTATTGCCTACATACTCTGCGTGAATAACGGTCGGTCTTCTTGATAAGGCGCTATGATGCTCCTCGACGAAATGTCGAGGGATGCGGGTTGGACGAAATGTCGAGGGATGCGGGTTGGAGTCTGGAGCTTTGGGGAATCTCAGGAAGATAAGACTCAGAAGGCAGAAATTGTCATGAAGAATGATGTACTCGGTGATCTTGAGATAAAATAAATTCTCGTAGTGATTTGGTCCGATTGAACAATGTTCAAGTGGATGCTTCCTTGATGTTGAATATATTGGTCATTGCACGTGTTCTCTCCGAAGGTGTCGAAAATGGAAGCGACTACAATCTTTGTTAGTATTTCCTACAGCTTCACGGCAGTCAATTGAAGCATGGCTTTGATGGCTGTCTTCTTTCGTGGACCATCGGAAATGGATACAGATACACCTTTTTTGTCATGAAGAAGTACATGGTATCTAAGGACTATCTTCTATCCCAAGATACGTGGTTAAAAGGCCAGCACATATTGTGTCCAACGTCCTCTTGATCTCGCCACCACTGATGCTGGTGGATCTTCTTGGCTCTGCTCATGGAGATAAGTGGAATATATAAGCCTCCAACACGATGTCGGAGACTGATCTTCTTGGTAGGCTTCTGGCTAGGTACAATCGTACCTGTCCTCCGTCTATCATTCGAAGCAGTGACTAAAATAAATCATGATGATTTGGTTGAAGAGATACCGGCTCTACTATTGCTCAACAGAGTATCGCACTTTCCGAATCACTCTACGCCCGTCTGATGGAACGACAGTGGCTTCATCTACACTGATTTCCGTCGCACATATCAATGACGAGACGACACAGGAGTCCGCAGACCCCTGATTTCCAAAATAGCACTAGTCTCGGGACGTCCAAACTTTGGGCTGATATTCGGTCGGTGTTGACGATGTCAAGAGCCGAGAGGAGGGTTTTACGACCCCTATGCATTCGATGAATTACTTTGCTTCTGGCGAACATCAGCAGGACTAGACATCGAAGTCACCACTGAACCATGTTAGCAGAACTGAAAGGCATGCGCGTTTGGAATGGCTGCACTTTAGTCATGTCTGCTATCCAACCCATATTACATCATATGGTCACGGTCAGATAATAAGTTTAACGCAGTTGGAAATGGACACATGCGTTTCTCCGAGACTCGCTACTACACCGAGAATGGATGACGTCTGCAGCAGTTCTGACAAGAAGGACCAAGTCAGGTAAGGCATGGAACAGCGCTGCCGTCTTGGCATGCCGTCAGAGGGAGCAGATATTTGGAAAATTCGATGAGTTGGGATGAGGAATCTTCATCCAGTTTGAGTTGTCTTGTGGTTGCAGGGCTTGGCCTCTGATGTTTGCTCGGGATAAGTTGATTCGTTTCGTCGCAAACCCGTCTTGATACACATCATTTGAACTAGAGCTCCGGGATAAGTTGACGAAGATTGGGTGCATTCTAGACTAGCTCGCTTCCAACTCCATCTTTGAGCAGATTGATATTGGCCATGTGAAGGAAGAAGTCATAGATCTCACACGGCCTCGACTCGCACGTCCTCGCGTCGAAACTCGCCTACATACAACAAAACTATCTATCAGTTTTCACAACAATTACAATGTCCCAGCCTGGAACGAAGTGCTGCATTTACGGGACCGACAGTACTGCAATAAACTTCATGTCACAATGCAGTCAGCTTGCCACAAGGCTGCGGGGAGGGCTGTCTCGGCACCGAGAGACAGGCCTCAGGGAGAAACACGGTTCCCATTCCTGTGCCCCGAGAGCGCTGGACTGACTGAGACAGCAGCATGCATAAATGAAGTCGAATCCTTCCGTTAGTCAGGCACTCCCGCAAGGGCGAGTAAGCAAGAGTCAAAATTCGCTCCCATCTCTTTCCCCAGCTTTCTTGCCGATGATCTCTGTCTCGAGCACAGAAGAGGGCAGATCATGACGCTGAGGTCGGTTATGCGGACAGAACAGATCGCATAACCATGAATCATGGCGTCTTCGATCATCACATCTGGGAGACCGAGTATCGGACGGACGATGGCTTCTTCGCCCCCAGATACTGATTTGCACGGGAGAGAAGAAGGCCGTGGGGGTGATATCGATCGGAGCCGCTCTGATTCTCGATGGGACGAGCGGCGAAGATGCTGCCCGGCTGCAGTGTGTTGTGTCCGCGCGCCGCCGCCGCCCGGGTCTTCGGTCCCGAAGAGGTGGGTTTCAGATGAGGCTGTTTTTTTTTTTTTGCACCGTTCTGCCTGTCCTCTACCGAGGGACTGGTGAAGATCGGGCAATTGACTTTTGTGGGCTGGGGAAAGGCAAAGCGAAAACAAAACAAGAAAACAACTTTTGGAGGAGCTTTGGGCTCCGTGCTCTAGGAAAGTTCCGGAGGATAGGCGATGGCAAGGACATGACCCTGCGTGCGGTCGAAAAGACTTGAAGCACGGCGCTTCCCGGTACTCGGTTCGCCACTCTTGTCGCGATCGATAGCCGCGAGGTGTGACGTCTGAACTCTGTTCTTGTGGTGCTTCAGCTTCAGCTCCTCCTGCTGCTGCTGCTTTGGTCTTGGTGCGTATTCGAAAACGGCACCCCGCTGGTTGGGACGTGACGGATGGATGGAATGGTTCGCGAAGGACTGGCACGTTGTGATTAACTGGTAGATTTTGTGCGTTCCAGATGCTTCGCCTGGAGCCTGATAGGACAAGAAGCCACGGTAAGCGCCATCGAAGGCCGATGAATCTGGACTGGTTGCTTGGAAAAAGTGACGGCGCCGTTTCCGGATGGAGAGAGGAGCTGTGAGGTGAGCTGGAAGCTGAGCTGGAGCTGGAGTGTCTGGGCTTGAGCCCAGACGTAACGGGTCAGCCGCTCTGACGATGTGGTTCATGGGGTCGTTGAAGCAGATGAGGGTCTATTCTCGACGCAAAAAGCAAAGGGCCAAACGCAGGAGGCGAAGAGGGGATTCGCAAAGCCGGTAACAGTTGTTTCTCTGGACACGTTCGATGGCCGCACGCAGACGGACGGGATGTGGCTGCCGTAGAAAGATCGACGTCAGGGTCGATACTCGATCCGTGTGGTTTTCGCATGTCTCCATTGTCTCCAGTGTTGAAAGTTCAGCGGGGCCGGTATGGTCCCCGGGGCCAGTGGGAAGACGATGATGAGTGGCATGATGGAGGGATATGGTGTCTTCGTCATGCATAGGAGCTGTATAGATGAATCCGGACGATATTATGGTGGACAATGCGTGTGCGGAAGTGGGAGGACGGAAGTTGCGATGAAGGTGGACGGGATACTGGGTGTGTTCAGGGGAGGAATAGGGGGATACATGAAGTCTCACCCAATTGATATGCAGTCTTATGTAGCCTCTTATGCCGGTCTAGCAATGACGGGCGGCAGCTTTGCCATGTTGAGATAGCGCATGTCCGGGCTGGCCAATGCAAGAAGCCGTTTTCCAAATGGACAGCCGGGCCCGAGAGCTTAATGCCCCCCCCTCTCAAGTTCAAATTCAAGTTCCAAGACCAAGGAACCAATGGCCAGACCACCAAAGAGCCCCTTCTTTTTAAACATTGGGAGGTATTCATATCGAGGTGTACAGGGAAGATGACTAAAGACCCGGCCTCCGGTCACGGAAACATATGGCGAACGGACGCCGCAAGATCCAGGAGAAGGAGGGGAAACGAAGAAAAGAAAGTAGAGAACGGAGACAGCTGTTAAGTCCAGAGAAGTATGATGAGAACTCATCCGGTAAGGGAACCGGAGTCCTGCAAAATGACTGGCTGAGCTTCTACTGCGTACGGACTACGGATGTAATTAATGAGGTTTCTCTGTAAGTTGTGACTGGACTGGACATCAGATCAAAAAAGACGGCAAACCCCTTGTCGAAGCCCAGTTGTTTCAAGTCCTGCCACCCTTGCCAAACATGATGCAGGGAATTTCCAACAGAACGGTTTGCTGGTATGAGAACCAGCATGCAAAGAGAGAGATACAGCAACAGGAAGAGAAATAGAGACGAAGCGAGAACCAGCGGTTAGATGGAGCAATAAGACACTGGCTTACATAGATTTCCCCTGAAAAGTGACATAGCATGACCAACTTGGCTGAGGTGGCTGCATGTGTGCCTGAAATGAGGTGTGCACAGCATCTGCACCCAAGATGCAGACAGAAAGAGTGAGTACTGGACGCCCAAGGAAATGGAAGATTGCAAGGAAAAGAAAGCACGATTCCCCTACCCTGAACCCTCGACCCTCTCAAAGTCAAGCAAGGTCAAGGTTGGTGGCTTCTGTGATTCTGTCCTGTCTGGTTGTTGCGTTGCACCTGGTCCAATCTCTCCCGTCTCCTGCAGCATCTCTCACATGAGATTGAATTCTGATTTGTTTTAACACCAACAGCACGGCAAAAGGGGTCCCGGCCAATCTTTTTCCTACCCAGCTCCATCCAGCTCACTCATAATTTTTATTTTATTTTTTCTCTACTCACACCCGTCACTGGCAGTCTGCTGCCGCCTTCGTCATAATATTCACTCACAAAACTTTTGGGTAGATCCCTCCTCCTACAACCTCACCTCCACATCGCCTTTTCCTTCCTTCCTCATTCTTCTTTTCTTCCCCCCCAAGCCAACAAACTTTTTGAACAATTTTTGGGGGATCATCCATAATTTTATCGAACTCCGATCAGCGCCCCCAAAGTACAACATCACGCTCTCTCAGCCCTTGTCACTCCTTACGATCGCCAACGATACATTTCCCTTCGCCTTACTCGCCTCGCCGCGCCTCGCCGCCTCCTTCGCCAGTGCGCCATTCCCTGTTCTATTCATAGCCGGTTTCTTACCAGCCCAGCCCAGCAAGCCATCCAAACCAACCCCCCTCCTTCGTCAACACCAAGCATCGCTTTCCTGGACTGGCCTGACAACGGGACACACGAGCACCAACAACTGCGCCTGCATATGCTGGTGTGATTTTCTACTACATCACTCGACGACAAACATCCCGCGCGATTGATCGATCAGTTCCGTACCCAATTTATCCAACAAGCGAAATCCTTCCTCAGCTTTCCAACCGCGACGTTGACGCTCGTCTAATCAATCACCATCCACCACCCGGAACGCCCATCCTGGCAGCCCCGAAGACAATCTCGCGCCGCTAGAACCAGGACCCGGCCGCCCTTTTTTCAGCCGACGAAACAGCGGAGTCGCAATTTCATCCCCCGTCGCGCGGCGTCCACCAACAACAACGAGTGCCCAGCACCCGGCACCCAGCCTCTGGTCTCCAGTTCAAGTCTCCGTCTCCAGACCAAACCACGCCCGCCCTCGTCTGTTTCTTGGCAATTGCCCAACGCCCCCGGCTTTCCCTTACCCTCGCTCCATGATAGTGCCAGCGGTGCTACCAAGTGCCGCCCATACGTCGTCAACCAGGGGTCTCATTTTGCCGTTCTGACGGGCCCAAGTCAAGGGGGCTGGCTACCAGTCGCTGAGAAAAATAATCCAGAGTGACTGTGACGACCGCACGCGCGGAACGAGCACACTTCTGTACCACCAATACCACAACACGACCGACGATCCTGACGCCGAAGTCCCTGACGCCCAGGAGACACCCGTCACAAGAGTCACAAATCCGACATACGCTGACCCGGCTCTGCCTACTGTGCTGGCCCGCGACCTTATTCCAACATGACGAGACCTCACATTATTCGCGCTGGTAAGTTTATGCGACCCAAAACACCCGCGCCTACTTCCATTCCTCCTGGCGCAACACACTATTCCCTCCCAAAACACCAACTTCTTCCCCTTTCCCAATTGGCCCTGGTTTTAGGTGTCTGAGCTCTAGCCTGACACCGTCCTGGTCTACCGGCTGGAACCGCGGTCGATCAATCTTACAGAATTCCTCCCCCCCCTCTACACATCCACGGAGGAAAAGAAGAAAAACAACCCTCAATTGGCTGCTCCTTAGCTGGCATGTCACGCTGACCTCTTGCCTCTTTTGTCGCAATTACAGACACGATCGACCTACAAGATCACGAAGCACCGTCAGCGAAAGATCATCCCCGAGGCCCCAACGGCTCGCTTGGTCCACACCAGGCTGCGACGCTGCAAGAGGTCGCACAAGAATCCGCAGAAATCCAGGCGCGCAGCCCGAGGCTGTCTTGGACAAACACCGACGGCGACGACGACATCTCCGACTCGGACGATCTTGCGGGCGAGGACTCCAAGAAGCTCAGTGGTGGTACCATGGACGACGCAAGCAAAAAACAACAAGATGCGCTAGCAGTCGCGCAGAATGGCGGCATGGCGGGGAATATAGACGATGGAGACATGGACGACACGGACGAGAGCTTGGACGACGACATGATGGACAAGATCTCGAGTTCGCCCTCGATTGAAGATGGTGGGTACAATTTATTTACGATTCCGCATTCTTGGCCAAGAAGAGTCGATTCTCTTCCGGCCATGAGAGACCGCAACTCCCCTGTTTCTCCTTCTTTCAGCGAGACGTGGTCCTCATCTCCCTACACCGAAACTCCTGAATATCCACCTGCGTCACACTCCTATCAGCATAGCAAGGACTCTGCTTCAAACCGTCATCATCATCTTCGCGGTAAGTATCCCGAGTAGGACCGAGACACGGATGCGAACGGCCGATACGACGACCAGTTTCTCGACGAGCTATACGAAGAGCTATGCGATGGTAGAGACAGTGAACACGAACTGCACGACGATGGAGACTGGTATGCCCAGCAGAGCCAGGTCCACGAGGCAAAGTTCGGCCTGGACAATGTCGCACAACATGGACCGATTGTGGTTCGTCCCCTTCGACTGCGTGGATTTGGATCGGAAGATTTTGCGCAACGCCGAGCCGAGATGGAACGGGCAGAGAGAACAGAAAGAGCGGAATGGGATGAGGCAACCGGGTTCGACGCCGACGATGACGACATGCCGCTTACGATACCCTACGAGCCCTCGATCGATGATGATGATGATGACGACTTTTCTTTTTCTTCTAATGATTCTAGGTTCATAGTCAGCGGATGGGGCAATGAATGCTTACACGAAGCAGAGGACATCGATTTCGAATTCGTCTACGCGCTCCACACCTTCGTCGCGACCGTCGAAGGCCAAGCAAATGCCACAAAGGGAGATACCATGGTGTTACTGGACGACAGCAACAGCTATTGGTGGCTGGTCCGGGTGGTAAAGGACAGCAGCATCGGTATGACCCCCCGCCTCTTTTGCGTCAGCACATGCTAACAAAGGCGCAGGATATCTCCCGGCAGAGCATATTGAGACGCCAACTGAGAGGTTGGCGCGCTTGAACAAGCACAGGAACATTGACGTAGTCGCTCCCTCCATGGAAGAGATAAACCTTTCTGACTTAGATCAGCTTTCCGCCACAATGCTCGGAGACCAGGCTGGAGAGAAGTCCAAGAGCACGTTCAAGACTGCTCTGAGGAAGAAGAAGAAGACCGTCGCATTCGCCCCACCGACGTTTGTCGACTATTCGGACATTGACTATTCTTCGGATGAAGAGGATATGGACGAGCTGTTCTCTGGGCAACAGGGACAGCAGCAACAGCAACAGCAACAGCAACAGCAACAACAGGCTGCTACGCAACAGGCATCGACTGAGGAGGCGTTGGATGACGAGACAGCGAAGGTCGAACCATTGAAGCCGCGGACAATCAAGGAGGTCAAGGTCGCAGAGCCGACCAAGAAAGAGGAGGTTGTTGATGACGACACAAAACGCGACAGCGGCGAGATCTTTGAGAAGCCCGAAGGACCCAGCCGGTCAAGGAACGGCACCGTCAGGAACACCGACTCTTTCTTTAAGGACGAAACAGTCGAGACCAAGAAGATCTCGCTTACGCCCAATTTGCTCCGCGATGACAACAGCTCACGACCCTCGACGACGGAGAGCGTCAAACAACGGCCGAGTCTGGATAAGATGGACAAGGAGCTGCAACCTGATAAGAAGGAAGACAAGAAAAAGAAGGACAAGAAGCCCAGCGCCATCAGGAGTTTCTTCTCTCGTAAGGACAAGAAGAAGGTTGTTGACGATGACGACGAGTCCTTTGGGAAGAGGTCTATGGATATTGTCACCGAGTCTCAGGACAGAGAGTCGGAGGAGCAGCCGTCTTCTCCGAGAACAAGCGGCGGCTCTGCAGGTGGACCTGAGCGAGCGTCGAGCAAGCTTCAGAAGCAACAACCACGGGTGGAGCCATCGTTGACGAAGAAGGGATCAGTATCGACATCACAGAAGTCTGCTACTCGGGAACTTAGCGAGTTCATCTCAACTGAAGGCCGCCCCAACAACGTTTCAAATGTACCGCCTGCTTCCATGCGCATTGTGGAAGACGACTCCTCGGACGCAGATGCCGAACCTAAGCCGCAGCCCGAGATCAAGCACTCGCAAAAGTCGTCCTTGTCGAAGATCATCCCCTCCCGGAACAACGAGCCTAAGGAGCCTAAGCCGCAGAAAGTCACCAAAGCCAAGTCACGCGTGGAGCTCGACGACTTCGACTCTTCCGGCGAAGAGATTGACCCGTCAGGTCCTTCCGTACAGCAGCCAGTCGAGGAGAAGCCGAAGGACGAGAAGCTCACGCGACCCCTACCCGGTGCCTTCCCTGATAGCTACATGAGCACTCAGAGTGGCCAGACCGACAAGACGATTACCCCAACACAACCCCAACCGCAAACTCAGCCAACCACCGCGGACAGAGAAAAGGATCGTCTTTCCGAATCACCTGTGCAGGTCTCCCCAGTCACCATCAGCAACCCGCCTGCGCTTATGGTCGACACCTCCAGCCAGGACGGCCACTCTTCATCTCCGTCACCAGAGCTCATCGACGCCGATGAGGTCGGCAGACACCGCGCCCAAGACTCGATGACTGCAAGCTCAACCTCGACAGGGGGCAGCACCACCGGCAGCAGCTGGAATGATGCGAAGCTGCGGGCATTCTTCGATTCCAGCTCGGACATCCGTGACATGCTTGTCGTGGTATACGACAAGAGCGACGTTGCCCCCGCGGGACCTGAACATCCCGTCGCAGGAACGTTGTTCCGTGAACAAAACGCCAAGTTGGCGGAAATCACGACAGTAAGACTCACTCTTCTCTGTTTTATGATGAACGTACACTGACAGACTATAGCAACTTGATAACATGCTTGGCGATTGGCTAGCGCGCAAGCAGAGACTCAGAGGCACGGTATAGAGAGCCTCTTTACGAGCACCAGTTTTGTTTTGAACGGACAGCGAATTGTGTACAGTACCTTCTTGACTTTGTCGGCGTCCAGGTACCAAACGGATGGAGGGTTACGGATTGATGGACGACATTGAAAAAATCGTGGTCGCTGATATGAACCTTAGCACCATGGATAACTTGTGCGCGGATTTGCAGTTTCTTGTTTTTTTTTTCTTGAGATACGCGGACATACCAAGCTTCACGGCTCTTGTTTTTACCCCGTTCCTTTTCTGTTACCCTTCTTCTCTTTTGTTTAGAAACGCCTCGCCAACGTGCGTCGCGAACATAAGCATTAGCTTTGCATAGGTGTTTCGAAGCTTCCCCCTGTCGTGGATTCGAGGGAGGAACAAATTAGGCGCAGCGCTGTCTAATACCATTCGATTTATCTGCCAAGTGTACCCGATGCTGCATTGTTGCTACTCCTTGATGTACATGTCTGACGATGAGGAAGATAGTGGCTGATTCGAGACAGGACAAGGTCCTTGCGACCCCCCCTCGTTTCTAGTCGAGCTGCATCCATTCCCAATTCCCAATGCTTTTGCGGGTAAAACATGCAGCTGCGCGATGGGACGTAAGCTTTGCCCATCATCTGCAGGAAGCCGGGCACGGTGGGTTTGACCTCCGCAACGACCCGCCGGTGGTTCATCATCCGATCTGGGGGAAAAGCCGGACCCCGCACTCCCGCCCTTGCCGTCTCCCTCTCCATTCCGTCACTCAAATACAAGGGAACCCGACGTTTGACAGCCCCGTCCAGAAGATCTCATCCTGATGCGGCCCCGGGACCACAATCTAAGGGATACACAGCTCTCACCCACGGAGGTCACTCCGACTGCCATTTAAACAATGAGGATACCTAATCTCCTCACCAACATCCTCGCTTTCATGACAGGCCAATGGGACCAGATCAGCACCGTTTCGATTTCGGACCAGGAGCCCAGCTGGCATAGCTATGTCCGCGCCAGCAAATCTCAGACAATCACACCAACCCGCATCCTGCCCGACCTCACCCGCGGCTCCGTGAGTAACCCCTCTGGCCTGATCAACGGCGACGGCGGGCCGGCGATTCTCAAGCGGCCCTCGGACACGGATGAAGTCCCCTCGGTGACGGTGGACTTTGGGCAGAACACCGTCGGGATCCTGTCCATCTCTTTCAACGGCTCCTCGACGGGCGGGGGGAATGAGGGAGACGGGGAGCCTAGGCCGGGAATCCGCCTCGCCTTCTCGGAAACCTTACAGTTCCTCAGCAACGTGAGCGACTTCTCAAGATCCTACAACGGCGACACAATCACCCCCGGAAGCGAACAGATTGCCGTCAAAAAGGACCCTTACGTCTGGACCGCCAAACACGGCTGCCAGTTCCCCGACGGCCAGGGAAAGGGCCAGGTCTGCGTCGACGGCCTCCACGGCTTCCGCTACCTCCGCATCTACCTCGACGCCCTCCCCTCGGACGCCCCGCACACCGCGCCCCGCGGCGAGGTCCGCATCTCCTCCCTGAGCCTGCAGCTCTCCGCCTTCCACGGCACCCCGGACACCTTCGGCGGCCGGTTCGAGTGCAGCGACGAGCAGCTCACGCGGTGGTGGTTCGACGGCGTGTACACGAACGACCTGTGCGTCGACGTGTTCCGCGCCGAGGACGCGGAGCCGCGCGGCGCGGCGGGCGGGGGCCTCGAGGGCAAGCTCGTGATTCACGACGCGCCGAAGCGCGATCGCGACCCGTACGTGGGCGACCTGGCGGTCGCGGCGCTGACGGGGTACGTCTCGCACGGGGCGCTGGTGAGCGAGGCAAGCAGGAACGTGTTGGAGGACTTGGCGGTGCATCAGAGGGGTGACGGGTGGATTCCGCCCGCGAGCATGTGAGTTTGCCCAACGCCTTTAGATGGGGGAGATGTGGCGATACTGACAAATGTGGTGAAGCAACAATTACACGCTCCCGCTGTTCGACTATCCCCTCTGGTGGGTCGTCTGCAGCCACGACTACGTCTGGTACACGGGCAACGTGAGCTACCTGGACTCCTTCTACCCGAACCTGCTGGCCGTGCTGGACAAGTGGTACCCCTCCGTGACGAGCCCGGCCACAGGGCTGGTGACCAAGGGGCTAAACGGGACGAGCGGGTACGGCGACTATGCCTTCCTCCCGCGCCAGGGGCCCGTCACGTACTACAACGCCCTGTACGTGCTCGCGCTGCGCCGGGCGGCGGAGATGGCGGCGCAGGCCGGGAAGCCGGACGACCAGAAGAGGTGGGGCGACAGGGCGGACGCGGTCGCGAAGGCGCTGGGCGAGCGGAACTTTGACGCGAGCGTGGGCGCCTTTTTCGACGGGACGAAGGGGGGAGATAGCGATTTCGTGGCCGCGCACGCGCAGGACGGCAACAGCATAGCCGTCCTTGCCTCAGTCGTCTCCGGCGACAAGGCGAAGGGGGTGCTGGACTACTACGGCAAAGCGGCGTCGCGGGCGTACGGCAACGCCTTCTACGACTCGGACGCCGTCTCGGCGGGGTTCGGGCAGCGTGTGTACGCGTTCGTGTCGTACTTTGAGATGGCGGCGCGGTTCGAGACGGACGGGCTGGCGGAGAGCGCGGTGGAGGAGATGAGGCGGCTGTACGGGTCCATGAGCGGCGGGGACCCCGGGGTGACGTTCTGGGAGGGGATCGGGGGGCCGGACGGGCGGCCGTACGAGGACGGGTACACGAGCATGGCGCACGGGTGGTCGACGGGGGTGGTGCCGCTGATGAGCCGGTACGTGCTGGGCGTGAGGCCCACGAGTCCCGGGTTCAAGACGTGGAGCGTGATGCCGGTCCGGGCCGGGCTGGGGTGGGCGCGGGGCGTGGTGCCGACGCCTTCGGGGGCCGGGATCGGGGTCGATTGGAGTGATGGGGGAGACGGGTTTAAGGTGAGCGTGAAGGCGGAGACGGGGTCGAAGGGGGTTGTTGGTGTGCCTGTTGCGAACGATGGTGCGACGGTGGAGGTTGACGGGCAGGTTGTGTTTGGTGGCGGGGTTAAGCAGGGGAGGTTTGAGGGTGGGAGGGTTCTGGTTGATGTTGAGGGGAAGGGGTCGGATACGCCGGTGGTTGTTTCTGTTCGAGCTGTTTCTGAAGGATTATAATTGTGAGGTTGATGCCGAGGACTCTAGAGTGCTTTGACGAAGTTTCTGATGTCATTTGATAGTCGTATGAGTAGCATCGTTAGGATACCTGTTGCGTAATGTGCAGGAAAGATCTGAGTTGATTGCATATTCGTTGGCCAACGGGATCAAGGATTGTTTCTGTCACAGCCATGATGTTCTCGCCGCAGCATAATGACCGAAAAGAATAAACTCCATTCTAGATATATAAACTCGAGCAAGCATCCCAAAATCCCCGGGTGCTTCGGTTGACAATCGAGTGCGTAAAAGGGTATCTAAATCATACTTTCTTGCCGCCAGTCGTATCAGAACGGAAGAGCAAAAAGAAGTGCTCTCAAACGAAACCGAATCAGCGAAGAATGCTTTCCGAGCAGCATTTTCCAAGAATTCCAAAAAAAGAACGAAAACACGACGCAATGCTTGCACCAGCCATTCGTGTCATTCATCACGCCTAATTTTCTTCCAAGTTGCCGATTTTGTCTTTCCGTTGTTTTGCCAAGTTGCAATTTTGAAACCTCCCGTTTTTGTGTAGCTCAATCTCGTGCGGTAGACATCTGCCCTGCCTGGGTTCAGGGGTACGACGGCGGTGCGCCGTTGCTGGTGCCTTCCATGACGTTGAAGTTGTCCATGGCCATGTACTCGAGGAGGTCGAGGCCACCGACGTTGACACCCTCGGCCGTCATCGCGACGGCTGTGTTGTCCATGTTCTGGAAGAAGGCCGGACCTGTGGGGAGGTACCACATCTCGTTACTTGGGTTGTTCCAGTCCGTAGAGTCGAACAAGTTGTCCATTCCGGACGTCGAGCCGGCCGTGTTGTTGGTAGTGGTGTTGTTATTATTGGTGGTGGTTTCCGGGTGGGGTGCCGGGGTGGAGGGGCCGAGAACGGAGGCGGCTCCGGAGGGATAGGGAAAGTTTCCTGTTGTAAGGTCAAAGGGCGTTGCTGAGATGGCGTTGGGGTCTTCTAAGACGTCGATTAGTCACATAAACACCTCCTAAAACGGACGCAAGCCTTACCATGAGTACCGAGTCCCAGTTTGCCAGGATGGTTGGACCAGTTCTGGCCACCGACACCGTTGACCACCTGACCATTCGCAGCACCAGCGCCATCGGTGACACCATGGGGATCTGGGCTTCTTCCATCCGCAGATGCATGCCCCAGTGTAGGCGCCTGAATGAAACGGTTACGAAGACGCCGAGTCAAAGACTCCAACAAGTCAGCAAAGCGAATGCCCAGATGAACGTCGTCGACGACACAGTTGCGGAGCGCTTCAACAGTCTGGTCCATCAAGTCGATGCTCATCTTCACATCGGACCGCGGCGCACCAAGTGCGAAGGTCTTAAGCAAGAACATGGCGCCGCTGATGATGCGGAAGTAGGTCCTGACAGGGGCATGTTTGAGGTATTCTCCTGGAAGAAGACCCTCGACCACGGTCCTGAGCAGGTTGCGGCTACCGCTGATGACTTCCTTGATGTACTCCTGGTCGGTCGCGCCGAAGCCACCAAGCTGTCCCAGGGGCAGCTTTCCAAAGTAGTTCTGCGTCTGCGGCGAAAGCTGCGCAGCGCTTCCTGCGTTGTGATTGCCGTGCGCGACATGGCCTGCGCGCTCGGCATTGTTGGTGCAACGCTCAACGACTGCCTGCAGAGACAGCGAGTTGACGTAGATGCGCACGTACTCGTACTCGATGGTGAGAATGTGCCTGATGTACGGTGGCAGCCTGTACCGCTCGAATTCTTTCCACCAATCTTGCAACAGGGGCTGGAACTCCTTCAGGAGGTCGGTGTACTTGCCGCTCTGGATGATGTCGGTGGTATGCTTTCGAGATCTGAAGAACTTCTCGTTGCCAATATGCATGGCGTTGCTGATCCCAGCCCAGCAGTGAATGATCTGGTCATCAAGCTCGAGGTCGGGGATGTAGTTGAAGGCGTTGGACATCGAAGACGGGTTGGTGCCCGGGGTTGTACCTTCGGTTGATACCGGACGGCGGCGAGTCACGGCCGGGTCGCTCTTGCGCAGGACCTCAGGAACCATACTTGTCCAACCAAGACGACCAGCAAGCTGGGTAAGATAGATCAACAGCAAGCGCTTGATCCGGTTTGCGCGCTGACGGTACGTCTCCTCCTCGTACTCTGGGCGAGTGATGGCACCGTCGCGAAGTAGCTCGTCAATATCGTCAAAGACCCCGAGCTCGTAGGCGAGGCCCATGGCGGTGCTGAGAAGCATCCAGCACATCCTGTCGCTTCTCCAAGCGGGTTCGAGCCAGCTATCGAGTCTGCGCCCGCCAATGTTGGCCGATGGCCGCTGGTTTCCGTTCTCATCGGTGCTGATCAAATCGCTGCCTTCGTATGAGGGGAGCATCAGCTCATCGATGGCCTCAGCCGGAGGAAAATGAAGCGCGCGGGGGTGCCATTCCGTGAGAATCATCAGAGACTCGACGGTGCCCAGCGTCCGCAGGCTTCCCTTCCTCATACCGCGCCAAGGCGCCGTGCTGCTCGTCTGATCCTCGATGACCGACGAAGCCCCTGCCATTGCAGCAAATCCACCTCCAAATGCCTCCTGGCCCCAAAGACATCTTTCGATCATTCCCCGGAGGTAGGTCCAGAGCTGTTCGTGAATCGCATGAGATCGGCAGTGTCCACCTGTACCCGGAATCTTTCGATACCTCGATGAAATGGTGAGGAGGGTGATTGTAAGAATGGGCTCTTCCGTCAGGAGAGTAAGATGCGACGCGGGGTTTCGGAACGTCGGCGGAGAGATGGGTGTAAGTGGTGAAAGATATTCGTAGTAACTGCCCATGTTAGTACCAGCGTGCAGATGGACAATATGAAGTCTTACTAATCGATGTACTCAATGGCCTCCTGCGCGGAAAACCAACCAGCCCTGACAAATCTGAACCTCCCCCAAGCCTTGACCGCATCCTGGTATCCAGGCTCCCCAGAAAGGTCCCGCTTCGTCGAGAGCAGCTCCGGATCGATGGGCTGCGCCTCCGGCTGGACGGACACGGACGGCCGGCCGGCGCCCATGGGCTTCATGGTGGCTCCCGGGGTCACAATCACGGGCTGCGGAGGCATGGCCGGTATGGAGGCAACGCTCTCGTGGCGCTTGTGATGGTTCGTCGCGGGGCTGTGGGCCGGGGGGTAAGCAGCCGCGTCTTGGACGATACGGAGCTGGACTGACCTATCCGTGGCCGCCTTATAGAGCAGGTCCAACGCATCGTGGGGGCCGTAGACGCCGGGGCGCATGAGATCCGCGGCCTCGTGGTTCTCCAGCTGGGCATTGGGCTCGTCCTCGAAGGTCCCGAACTCTGCGCGTCGGCTGCTGTCCGCCTGGCTGACGGTGCTCGGGGTGACGGCGCCGTGTGAGCTCGTGGGGACACCGGGGTCGGTCGGTCGACGAAGGGGCTGGGTTCGACCGATGGAGCCGCCGGGAGTGAGAGGGACTTCGCTGTAGAGTCGGCGGTCGATGGCAACGGGAGGGCTGTCGCTGACGTGGAGGCGCTTACGGCCGTTTCGTATGGTATACTCGTCGACCTCTTCGGGCTCGTCTACGCCGTCCTCCGTCTTGCGCTTTCGTCTCGTAGCGCTGAAGTAACATTCTTTGCTCTCGCGGCGGCATCGTACGCAGGGAGGGTCGTGGGGATTGTCGACGCTTCCCAGGTCGCAGCGGACTTTCCTCCGACGACATGGGATACAGGCCTGATAGACGCGCTTATGCTGTGCTGAACCAGGCTGGGCAGCGGCGGCAGCGGCTGAAGACGGGGCGGGAGGAGCAGCAGCAGCTGAAGTGGCAGGAGGGTTGGATGTCGTCGGGCTCAGGTTGTTTGCTGCGACGTATTGGGCCATGATGGGCCGGGCAGAGACGTGCTGGGCTGCACTCGTGGGTCGATAGCACTGGGCTGATTGAGGTCTGGCTTGGATGATTGACTCGGTCGGTTTGCAACGGGATTATGGAGGGGGGATCACTGAGTAAAGCGGCTTGGGGTGGGAATGGAAGCCGAAAAAAAACGGCGGGCCCTGGGTTTTGTCGGCCAGCTGGAGGTGGAGACCCCGAGTGTGGAACCTCGCTCTGTGAACCGTCAATGGTTGGATCCTGAGCTTCGCGACTGGGGGTGCGGGGTTCAAGCTGGGTCCTTGGGGAGGTACCCGTAGCTCCAGCTAGGCAGGTGCTTTCCGTGAACCGTACCTACCATTTTGGGTAGAGAGAAAGATACGTACCGCCAAAATACAACACCGAGAGTGAGACTGACCTACTTCACAGTAGCCCTCTGCCCGGTAAGCTGCAATGATTATCTCGTCTGGTATTCGCGGAGACGGTTTCCAAACACAGAGCGTATGGGTACTCGTGCACTGCACCTCAACACACAGCTGGAGCGAATCGGCGATGGCCAACTTCGGTGCCTGGCCTGCTCTCCTCGGCTTGCTGCTGCTGCTGCTGCTGCTGCTGCTGCTGATGGCGATGATGATAATGCTCGGTTGAGGGGTGCCGCTCCAGTAAGACACCGAGGATTTCCAAAGATAACAGGCGTCGTCGACGAAGTACAGGGGATCTGTTTGTCGGGCTCTGATTGGCGAGGGCCGACGAGGCCAGTTCAAAGACGACGATAATGGTGTAACAGCTCGTCAAACACCGCCGCCGTGGGGGTTTGATTCAACAGAATGCGATGCGCAATTGAGATGAAGGAAGGGAGATTCGCACCAAGCAAAGACTCGCCTCTGGCCTGTTAACCCCGAATTGATGATAAAATTCGGACAGTTGGACGATGCCTGGACACGAGACACGCAGCAGCAGCAGCAGCAGCCTCTAACGTTGATTCCAATACCTAATCGCTTCAGTACTTTAGGTAACATGTACTTTCGTCTTCATGTACGGCGTCGTCGTCCTTCCCGATCCTGCCTGGCTGGTTTGGTTGATACTTGCCCCTCCGGGCCAGAATGTACATTAAGACCATCGCCCGGCGCCGCGCCAGAGAAGTTCCTAGTATCCTCGGCGCCCTCGGTGTAGTAGGTAAATCAAAAGTGAGATCACCAATACCAGCAAGACCTCCTCATCCGCCCCCGCCTTTCCATCGAGAATGGAACATGGAGTCTGGAATCCGGGGAATTTGGAGAAAAGACGGGAAGGGGCCCACGAAAGCCCGGACCAACCGGCACCACGATCCTCACTCATCTCATCGCAAATCACCTGCCCCCAAGCCAAACATTCTTTTTCCATTATCCCACTCACCTTGAGGCACCTCAGAAACACAAACCAATCCTTTACGAGGGGGCGTCATCCTTGCATGCATCGCACCAGCGCGACGACCTAGGTACACTTACCTACCTAGCCCACCGCTGCGCTGTCCCCCGCCCCCCAAGCTCTCACCTCACCTCACCTCACCTCACCCCAGGTTTCCTACCCGGTTCCCCCCCGCGCGCGCGCCACTGACCACGAACTGCGGCAGCTCGAGGTCACGTTCACGTTGACCACAGGGCGCAGCATCCGGTCACGTTCACTTTCACCGAGACCAACCGGGCATCCGAGCTTTTTTTTTTCCTCTGCGAAAAATTGTCATAACAATGGTCATGTATCTGAACTTGCTTCACCCACCCGGCTCGTCCCAATTACCCATCACCCCCTGTCTCAGAGATCAAAACGTGGGGCCTGGGATCTTTCATGACAAAGCCAGTGGTCCAAGGCTTTGGAATTCTGCTCGAATATCTCGTCAATTGACCGAGCTGGTCCGGGCCCTATGGAACTCTATGCAGGTACCGGCCAGCTGTTTTCTGGTCCCGTGATATATCTCCGTCACACTTACACGACAACTAAATCGTTACTTGGACTCCGAGGATCATCTCAATTCTGGCGGTGAGCCCGAGCTTGTCTCTTGATGATTTGTGTGTGTATATTAGGCCCAACTACCCAGTCATCTGTTTCGAGCAACCTCAACCCCGTGTAGTCTGGCCATGTTCGAATTCAGACAAACTTGAACTGCGTGAAGCTGTTGACCGTCGCCTTCTCGACCTCAGATCTCAGTCATCGACCTCACATATTTACCGGGCATCGCACTCATCGATAAACATGGAAGTTTCCGGGAACACAAACACATTTTCTATAAACGTCTTCACCCAAATCGGACCGCGCATTAAAGCCATGTGATAGCTAGATGTACAGATAGCCTACAACAAGCACCCTTCTTCGCCGGGCCGGCTTATTGCCATATGCTCACTCGCCCTGCAACTCGCCTTCCTCGCCCCATCTTGCTAGACATTTTGAAATGCCGCCCTGTGGAATGAGCTACCATGACAAGCATTGTTGTCGCTCTAGTACTCAGTTGCCCGACATTCGGACCCCACAACATGTCCCGTCCAAATACCTCGCCAAATGCTCAGTTCGCCTTCGCTGTAGCTGCCGTGTCAGTCTGCTCCACATTCGTCGGCAAAGGAGCAGGAGGAGCGTCGCGGGCGACCTCAGGAGAATCATCGTTTTCGTCGATAGGTCCGGGCTCCTCCTCCAGAGTCCCGTCCAGTGTTGTTGGCTTGAAGTCTCCATTGTCAATAGACGCCGGGTCATGGCCGCGACCGCTGTTGCTAGCCGAGACTCCAATGGCAGGCGTACCTCCATCAGCGATTTTCTTCTTCGTGTCTTGAACGATCTTCTCAGCCTCGCTGACTTTGGCTGCGTTCGAGGGGGGAGGCCGCTCAACACCAACGGAGCTCTCCTTGTCGTTCTGGCTTTCTAACAATGCAGCCTTATCCAAACGAACAATCATACAGGACAAATTGTCCGTACTAAAACGATTCAGCGCATGGTCAACCAGGAGCTTGGACGCCTCCACCGGGTCCTCTAGATTGCGAACGAGGTCAACCGCCTCTTGATCAGAGCAAACATCCCACAGCTGTCACAGTGTTAGTCATCTGTAGAAGAGCGGGATGGACCTCAAACTTACTCCATCGCAAGCTATGATGATGAACTCGTCACTCTCGGGCTGAATGACAGTCTCGGTCGTGTACGGGTGGCCCGTGACGAGATCCTTCATATAGGTGTCGCCGAGGGCCCTCGTCACAGCCAGAACACCGTTGACGCGGTTGTTGAGTATCAGACCACCGGCGTTAGCTATACGTTTTCCTTCGTTCTCGTCACTACCCTTGTGGTCGTACGACAGACGCAGAGCTTTGCCGGCGCGGCAGAGAATGATGCGCGCATCTCCAACGTTGGCCGTGTAGAGCACGCGCTGGCGGCTGGCCGAGTTCTTAAGCTTGGCATGGGTTGCTTCGGGACTGGTGGCAGCGGCCTTGTCGTCTGCGGGCTCTTCTGACGTGAGCTTAGCAGCCTTCGTGGCAGCGGCGGTAGCCGGCGCAATTGCCTGAGAGCCAGTCGCAGACCGATCACTCGGTACTCTGTCCTCCCAACGTAATACGGCGACGGCAGCAGTGCATCCACTGTTCTTAAGAGGGAGCTTTTCCAACTGCGCGTCGACCGAGGTGAAGGTCTGGTCGAGCAACTCGGGGATGGGGCCGTTCGGGTTCTTGCGAATGACATCTTCTAAAATAAGGTGCAGCTTTTTGCCGCACCAGTCAGCCGCGAATGTGCCGGCGTGGCCGTCAAAGATGGCGAAGTATCCGTTGTCGGTCTCGACCATGTCCTGGGGCGTCTCCTTCTCATCTGCGGCCTCGGCCTTCTTACCCTCGAGGGCAGGAGCCGGGGTATAGAGGAAGTTGTAGAGAAAGGCATGGGTATCCTCCATGGTCCGACGGCATTTTTTGTTCCTATCCTCCCAAACGCCGACACGGAACGTGGAGCGGGGACCGGGGATGGAGTCGCCGGCCGAGTTGTTGTGCTGACCCTGGGGCACGACGAGTGCGGGGTCCTGCTTGCCCAGCTTCTGCAGAGGAGTCTGCGCACTCACGTCGGAGTTGGATCGGCCGACCTGGGAAAAGTTGAGGGTATTCTTGGCGTGAGCAAGCAGGCCGGCAGCCTTGCTGGACACACCGCTGGCGCGGCGCTTCTTATCGGTCGCTCCATCGGTCTGACGTCCCGGAGGACTGCTGTTTCCGCTCCTCTTGTCCCCGCTGGCGGCCTGGTCGTTCGGCTTGGACTGGGCCGCGGCGCCCTTGTCGGCGTCGGGAGAAGGGGACTTGCGATCCTCCTTGGAGTCGCTCTCCGCCTTTGGCATTGAACTTGAGCCGCCGCCGAACATTCTAGTCAGCAGACCACTCCCCTGATTGGAGAGGCTGCGACGCTTGCTTCCTGCCAGTTTAAAGAACCTGAAGAGAGGTCAAGGGTACCGTCCCGAGCGCACAATCAGTCGAGTGCGATGGGGGTCGCAGGAGGGTTCGTCTTGGTCGTCGGTCGTGGGTGTCGCCGGAAAGGGACTGTCGCGAGGTTGGAGTCTGTCAAGGAAGAACTGGCGTCAGCTTTGAGGTTATGAGAGCGTTATGTTCGTCGGATTCATGGAGGGGCAGGGTGGTCCGAGGCCGACCGGGGGCTAGGGGAATAGATCGGGCCCGACGTTAGATGCAATGCAGACGAGGCGTCGGACTGTAAGGGAAAGGATAGAGTGAAGAAAGCTGGTCAAGCTATGTCTCCGAGCGCGGACGGTTTCGCCACATAAGCACCTGCTGGTCGCTGTGATGAAGTTGAGAATGTGGGGATAATACCAAGCACAGGCCGGGAAATAGGCGCCTTGAAGACGGGCCGCAATAGAGACAGACGGTGACGATGAAAAGAAAGACGGGAGCATGCAGGTTGACGTGCAATGGTGGTAGCGACCAAGGGTGATGGGTGACGTAGGGTGAGATATGTTTGGAGGGGTGGGAGGGTAAGGGATCAAGATGGCAGTCGGGAAGCCTCAGTACATTCCGTTACTCACAGAAGTGACGTACCCAACGAGACGGAACGCCGGGACGATTGGATGCTTGTTGTGAGGAGAGACGAGAGAGGGCGTCAGGTGTAGGAGATGCAGTTTGCCCCCCGCGATGGCAAAGGCTGCGATGTCGTCTAGGAGAGGAGAGATAGGTTGGTGAGACGGTACGAGGAGAAAGTGTGGTGGTGGTGAGGTGTACGTCGGGAAAGACAAGGTTATGTGGTGAGGCAGATGCGAATGTAGGTTGCTGGGTGCTTTTGCTGCTCTGCTCTGCGCTGCGCTTGCTGGTTCTCCGCACCTTTAGTGTGCAGGACCTGAGGAAGAGGGGGGATGTTTGGTTGGAGGGGGGAAAAAGGCAGCTGGAGAGCAAGGAAGCCGGCGGGAACGATTCGCAGGGTCGCTTTCTTAGCGGCGCTTACCTTGACTGTGACTTGACTCCACGCACTTCCACTACCAGGCAGGTATCCGTATTATTGTTGTTTCTCACGGCGAAGACCCTGCCTTGAATACTTTAGCACTCGAAATGCAGTGCATGCACCTTATGGCAATGGATGTCGCAACAACAGCTCGTCCTGGCCTGAGCTTCCAACTCTTACCTTACTCGGTCTGCACGTTGTCGGGGTATATTTGCGGGTGCGCTGGCGTCTCGTCTGTTCTCCGATGTCTTGACCTCGTCCGTTCTGTTCCGTTCGTGCTGACCTGACTACCTCGCCCTGCACGATCTCGCGGGATATCGTGCTGCCCTGCGTTGTTAGGTCTCGGCTGGGGCGGAGACGCTCCGTCTGGATCTGGCTGAATCCGTAACCTGGGGCGTGATGGATGGATGGCCGTGGATTCGAGTTAGGCGTTACGGAGAAGAAGCGGGCGGGAATCTGAATCTCGGCCAAGAAGTACCTTACACGGAGGCGTTTTCGCTATCCTGAAGTGTCTGATGTCCGGTACGCGGTTTAGGATTTCCGGGTGGACGGAGAAGGGGATGATGAGATGACTATGGACACTGAAAGAAATCCCGCCGTCAACTGCCTCCTACTACTAATTCCTTCTGCTCTTTGCCTTCTTGCCACATCACCTGCCCCAACCCCGTCTTGATCGTCTAGAAGGGCGAGGTGGCCGAGTGACCTCACTCTGAGACCCAATGCTGGAAAGTTGCTAGTCGAACCCGGCCTTTCCTCTGCCGATCACCAGCCCCAGTGTCCCGAGCCCGATCCCTTTCAATGGAGACTTTCGGCAGCTTTCCAAGCCAGGGCATTTCTTCACAACCCCATGGGATTTCTAGGAGAGTGGGAAGTTTGTGTTTTGGAAGTCAAACGGATATACGAACATACGCCTGAGGGGGCTTCCCAGTTCGCATGAACGATTCAAGAACACCTCCAATTCAACATTCCCTCCCTTCTGGCACTGGTGCCCATCGGTTTTTCGGGACTATGCCGGATGGAAGAATCAAAGCGCCTCGCAATGCGCCCGAACCATGGTTCCTCACGGAGACCTGAAGCCGCCATCTCGCTGCCTCAACTGCGGCTGCCGAGGCCACGGTAAGGCCCCTCTCACGAAGCTTAGGTCGGGCGCCAAGTAGCTTCAGCCTTTGTTCTTCGAGGTTAGAAACGCCCTGGTGAGCTAAGGAGCACATTCAAAGAGTAGCCGCCAGCAGCGTCAATTACTAAGGCAGGGGACACACGCGGTGGAGGCTATTATCATGACACGGCATATCCTCTTCAGCATACCTTATGCTCGCCTTGCCTGCTGCGTATCCCCTCAGCTCCCACGGCGTGTTGGCATGCCAGCTCAGCTATGAACCCTGGTTTGGGGCGGGGTTCGGTCAGGAACGTCAGGCAGGTACCCTGCCCTCCATCGATATTTTTGTTCGCTTTCGCCTCGCAAACATGAGCAACGTGTTGCTCCGAGAATTCGGGGTCCAATATTGGGGTCCAGTTCCAACTGCTGGGTTGGGCCGGAAAGAAACTGTGAGAGATCTGACAGAAGACAACAGACCTGGCCCACAATTGCAGTGTGTGACTCGGAGCATCGGTGCCGATATGGCATTCTGCGAATTGCGTGCAACCGACATGTTTCGTGGGTGACAAGCTTTTTATTGAAAATGAGGTAGTCCACATCTCCGTCTTGTGAGTCTTTAATCGCCTGTTGGGTCCAAACAGGAGGGACAAGAGTCGACAAAAGGCCGGAGAGCCAAATAAGACACTAAGGTACAGAATTTACAGCCGAAGCATCCCATCTGTCAATATAGTAAATGATGCGGCAACATTCAAGCAGAGTTGCAAATTGTAGCCTGGGAACAGAAGCAGCAACTAATGTCAGCTTGACCCGATGGTCAACTCAGGCATCATGGCGGGGCCAGTCGGATTGCTGTGGACAAATGACGCAATGTTCCGATGCAACCTGCCGACTGCCAGCGCAGAGCCCGCCTGGCGGCCACCGACACCACTTGGAAAAAGTTGCTGCATGAAAAGAAACGCCCGCTTCGGGAAACGAAAAATAAGTGCGCCTTCCCCCTATCCTAGGGACTCCGTACCGTATGTGACAAAACAAGCTTGCTGCCCAGGATTCCCCATCATCCGTCGTCGTTGCCGCCCACAAAACATCGTGACTGCGTTGTTGTCGTCGAGTGTTACCACGGCTACCGCCTGAGACTGTCGAGACGGGCCTGGAGGTCGTCGTCGCCCGGATCCGCACCTCCGCCTCCACCGCCGCCGACTGCTTGAGCAATTCTGCTTTCCGGTACCGCCGCAGTCTGCATCCCAGACGGCGTTTCTCCGAGCTGCATGACCCGCTGTTAGCCTGCGATAGTCCGTCCCGAAGTCGGCACTCCTGCTTACCGCTGATGTCAAGTCGACTCCGATCTCTTCCAGAACTTGCTCGACAACCTCCTCGCCCTCTTCCTCAGCACCGACATCCATGGCATCGTCCATGACGTCGTCCATCATTTCCTGTCGCTGATCCATAATGTCGTTCTCGCGCTCGAATTCCATGGCGATGCGCTGGAGGGCGGGGAGGTTCATCGATCGGTTCATGCTGCCGAGGGCGACCGTGGCGCCCTTCATGGCCTGCATCATCTGCTCATTGGTACGATAGGTCTGTTGCGAAGCGCTCGTTAGTCGTCTGCATCTGAAAAGCGTTATCGGGGGCACCGTACCTGCAGCCTGAGCGAGATCTTCTGCAACTGACTGCGCATTCCGTAAAACTTCTCAATGTATCTGTCGAGGGCATCAGTCAGCGTCGACCGTTACCGAATCGAAGATGCGCTGCTAACCTTCGTGTTCGAACCAAATCCTTGGCCTGAATCTTGCAAGCGCCCATCTGTCCCTTCTGGGCACTTTGCTTGATCTGCGTGATCAACTGCTTCTCCTGCTTCTCAAGCTTCACACGAATCTGGTCCAGCTCGCGAATCGCCTTGTCCAGCATGCGCTGGTTCTTGCGCAGACGCTCCGCAGGCGTCATGCGCTTGCCAAACATGTACTCCAAAATCTACGTCGCGATATTAGCAGTTGATCCGCAGCGGGGAAGAGGCGCACGGCGTACATTCATCGTGAAAGTCGGGGATCGTCGAAGCCAGGCGGGCAGTGATTGTGTCGAAGGTGGACCTGGAGGTCAATCGCAGCGACGATGACGAGGTCGGGCGTCTGTCTGGGAGGATGTGTCGTCGGGGAGGTTGATTGATATTCGGGTTGCCTAGCAGGTATCCGTACTCACAACGACAAGAAGTCAAGTGAATGGAAGTACGTACAACAGCTTGGCACGGCGTAACACTGGAGCGGCGGGATTACGCTGTGACAGGCGCCCAGCCCAGCCAGGTGCCCGCCTCCCGTCAGTGACCTGACCTGATTAGATAACACCCAATACCTACCTCGGCGGCGGCCTTTTCCGAGTGGTTCTCGCTGAGCCAATGGGCGACTCGCTGCGACCAACGGGTGGTGGGAAATTTGCCGCTCCGCCCAAAATCATGCGCTGGGAATTCTGCGTAATTGACGAGCTTCCCTGAAAAAACATACGCGACTATTCCAAGACTTCGCCCGCCACTTTCAAACCTGAACTTTTACACCCCTACCTACGAGATACCCGGTCCTCGACCATGATACTTCCGCCCTCGACCGATCGAAAATGAGTCAAGATTATTTCTCCAAGAAGGGCAAGGCCCCGATGGACCAAGAGCTCGACCGAGATGATTCCAACACGCCACCCCAGTCGGGTTCGTCATCGAGCAGACCGCACTACATGACTGTCGGCTCCGGCTCTACCTCCGTACACGCCGCGCACCTCCAGGAACTTCTCGACAACGATTCGGGATATGGAGGCAGCATCGCGAACGGCGAGGCTCTGGCTTCCGCCGCTGACCGCCACATTCCCACTTCTGCCAATGGGCACCTCTCCGAGGCTGACCGCAAGTCTCAGGCCGGTGCTATTCACCAGCTGTGGTACAACTCCCACAGAGTGAAGCTGGGCCGCTCGATCAACCAGGTTATCGAGCTGCTGAAGGACCTGCAGAAGATGAATGTCTCCTGGCCCGCACATTACCCCTCGGTGCGGGAGGCCGAGGCTGCCGTATCCTCTCGACCTGGCATGGGCCACGCGTATTCGACCGTCGGCGACGTTCATCCCTCCGCATCCTCTGTTCCGACATCTCCGACGTCTCCTCCCCAGATCCGACGATCTCTGACCTCGATCGAAAGTGCCGAGTCGAGCAGGGCCCAGGAAAGACGCCCCGCAGAGGAACCCCGCCTTGTCACGCCCCAAATCGCTCAAGACTTCTCCGTTCTGAAGCTGGATCTGAAGCTGGGCTCTCTTCACCAGGCGGAGCTCGTCCACTCGCTGGAGAGAGGCTCCATCGCATCACTCCTAGATGGCAAGATCAGCTCCAGCATTCGACACCTCCTCAACTTACGCGAACGAATCGAAGACACCTCGAGCAAGGTTTTGGTGACGGGTGACCTGAACGCTGGAAAATCAACATTCTGCAACGCCCTTTTGAGAAGGAAGATCCTGCCAGAGGACCAGCAGCCATGCACCGCCATCTTTTGCGAGGTTTTGGACGCCAGGGAGAACGGAGGCCTGGAGGAGGTACACGCCGTGCATAAGGACGCGACCTACGACCGACTGAACGAAAGCACATACGACGTTTACAAGCTGTCACAGTTGGAAGACATCGTAATTGATAACGACAAGTACACCCAGTGCAAGGTTTACGTTAAGGATGTCCGAACTATTGACGAGTCTCTGCTCAACAACGGCGTGGTGGACATTGCCCTTATCGACGCCCCGGGTTTGAACTCCGACACTACGAAGACGACGGCCGTGTTTGCGCGACAGGAGGAGATCGACGTCGTCGTGTTTGTTGTTTCTGCCGCCAACCACTTTACCATGACTGCCAAGGAGTTCATCTGGGCCGCTGCCGCTGAGAAGGCCTACCTGTTTATCGTGGTGAACGGTTACGACAACATCAGAGACAAGAACAGATGCCAGAAGATGATTCTGGACCAAGTCCATGGACTTAGCCCGAGAACGCACAAAGAATCCTCAGAGCTGGTTCATTTCGTCTCGAGTAATGCTGTTCCTACCGCTCCCGCGCCCCCTGGTGGACCCTCCGGCGGCGGAAGTGGTAGCTCAAGCGGAGGCGGTGGCGGCGACGACCCTGGAAATGACCCCAAGGGCAAGGGCAAGGATAAGGAGAAGATTCGTGACTTCGAGAACCTCGAGCAATCTCTGCGCAGATTCGTCTTGGAGAAGCGTGCCAGGTCGAAGTTGGCGCCGGCCAAGCACTATCTGTTGAACATCCTCAAGGACGTCAACGAGCTGGCCAATGTCAACACAGAGGTGGCCCAGTCTGAGCTTGATCGTGTCACCAAGGAGCTCAGGGAGATTGAGCCCCAGCTCGAGTCTAGCAGGAGGGCGAGGGCCCAAGTCAGCGATGATGTCAACAAGATCACCGAGGATACCTGCAAGGAGGTCTATGACTACACAAGGCTGACGCTCAACTCTGCTATCGAACATGCTGGAGACAACAACCACGGTGTACCGTACCGCGGAATCTTCAGCGCCTTCGACTACGCGGAGGAGCTCAAGGAGGCCATGATGTCCTACATCCTGGACTCCGTCGCCCACTGCGAGGAGCACGCCAAGTCGAAGACTGTCGGCGGCGTCAACGCTATCAAGCAACTTGGTATCCTTCACTTGGGTAATGACTACCAGAACTTGACTTTCCGCCCCGACGTTATGTTCAAGAAGAAGAAGGATTCGATGGCCCGCCGTGTCGACATTCCCACGGAGTTCTGGGATTTCGTCGACTGGAACACCATCATCCAGAAGCAAGAGAAGGTCGCAGGAACCGGTATGGCGCTCACCGTTGCCGGAGCTTTGGTCCCTCGTATGATCGGAGGTAGCGGATGGCTTGACCATGCGTTGAGTGCAGCCAAGATTCTAGGCAACGACAACTTGCGCCGGCTCATCATTCCGGGCATCGTCGCAGCAGGTAAGCTTACATCTCTCTTCCAGACATGAAAGACGCAGATAACTAACGAAACCATAGCCTTCGCGGCCGCAGCCTACATTCTCAACCAGATCCCCAACTCCCTCCCGCACCGCCTGTCGGCCAAGATTGCCGCTCAGTTGGAGGCCATCGACTACGTCCACGGCAACTCGACGCGCATCTCCTCGTCGGTCCGCAAGGTTCTCTCCATCCCAGCGGACAACCTCCGCGTCGGTCTCGAGCAGTCCGTCAAGGACCTCAGCCAGCGTCGCGAGGAGACGCTCAAGGTTAAGCAGGAAAGCGAGGTGGCGCTCAAGTACTTTGGCAACCTCGTCCGCAACAGCGCGCAGCAGAGGTCCGTTGTTGACAGCGTCGACCTCGAGGCTCCTCCCCCGGGAGCGGTGGCGGCCGGCCTTCATTGAAATCCGATAACGACCGGCTCACCTCACTCGCTCCCTTTCTGGATCGAAACCTAACGACAGCATGGAACGGCGTTCATATTTTCGGTGGTTGTTGAACTGGGCTCCCCTCAATCGACCCCCTTACACGGGGTCTTGTACGCGTCTACCTATACCTGAGTTTATTCTCCCTTTTCTTTTGATGGGACCGGTGTGCTGGAGAGTAGAAACACGAGAGGGATATCAAAACACGTAGAGACTTGAGAAAAAATACCCTTAACCCTCCCATCATCGTTGACTACTCGATCAAATTTGTGCGTAGATTTCTTCCGCTCATCAGCTCTCGCCGCAGCATTTCAGACCGGGCCCTGACGGTGCTGCATGCGTCCCAGCCATCTGGTTCGGCCCTCGAGGCCGACAACCCGTTCAAGTTTACCAAACGTCCGAAGCTCAGGATGACATTGACAGTCCCGAGAACGAAAAAGACTGCCCAGCCCAGGCCCGAGCTCTCTAATCTCTCGGTTGGGGAGATGCAGCTTACGTACCCGGCCGGGCATTGGCCCTGGATGGACGGACGGACCAAGGACCGGAGCCTGGATAGCGCGGGTGCCCGGCCCCTCCCTCTCTCTCGAGATCGTCATTTGTCTTTCCTCGTTCCTGGACTTCAGGCATTAAAGACCCGGATTTTTCATGGGGGGTTTCTTAGATTGTGTGTTCTAGATGATGCCGACGGAGCGTTGGGGGAGAATTTTAGATGAACACATGCTAGGTTTCGGGTGTTATGCACGTAATCGATATTCTCTCAAGGTTTTATGCTTGTGGTCGGTTCCATGTAGAGAAAGAGAGAGAGAAAGTGTGTGTGTGTGTGTATGAATAAGGTCGTGTGTGGTAGTCTAGTCAGGGCGCAAGACTTCGAGGTGGCGGCAAGCTCTTCCGTCGGCAACAGAGAATTGGAGGTGGCCGCTTTGACCTCCCATCCCCGAGTGAAAAAAAGGAGGTTTGTGTTTTCTTGTATTTTGTCTGTACTAATTGCTGCATGGAGGGACGCGATGAGACCGTTCTATTGGGTTCTGTATGCATGCATGATGCGAGCTGCAGGTACTCTCTATCTGAGCTTTTCGGTTTCCAACCTCTCAAGACTCAGGCTTTGGTTTATTGGGATGAATAGGCTCCGAAGCAGCGTCAGTCGGAAACAGGTTGTCAGCAGATAGTTTCCAGAAACCCCTGATTATCCGGATTCTTTTAGAGATGTTACTAGGTATGATGTGGTTTCCAGAAAGCCATAATTACTAGGTATGAATGGACATTATTACGGATGTCGCTCCCTTTGTTTGTGTGGAACAATTGTTCGGCATCCAAGACATTGTTCGAGACACGCGATACCGCCTACCGGTTTCTGGGCTGTGGAGCAGCTGGAGACAGGCTGGAGCTGGAGCTGGGAGCAGCTTTATAATTTATTATTACCATCATTTTTATCTCGGAGGGGATGAATTGGTTCATTCTAGTCCCCGGCCGATCAGTGGGCTCGATTTTGATTTCGTGTTGGCAGGAAGTCAGGAGAGGGGACGTCAAAGCGCGGCGGGCGGGATTTTATTCTAGATGACTGTGGGCAGAAGATTCCAAGACACAGACAAGTCCAGACGCAGGGTTATGTTCTGAAGGCGTCGATAGCTTTACGTGTCTGACAGATGAAAGATGACTGTTCTTCGTGGTGGCTTTCTGTCATGGAGACGTCAACGACACACGACCAATGTCAAGTGTCAAGCAGACTATTAGGGAGAGGGAGTTTCGGAGGGGTGAAAGTGTAATGGTAAAATAAGGGTCGATCATGTCGCCATGCGTGCAGTGGTTCCCAACACGACGGGGCGAGGCCGGCGGGCGGGGGTGGAATCATTTCGATGCCGCTGCGCTGGGATGAACTCTGCCAATCCTCCTGCAGGTGTTCTATTTCTGTACGAATCAACGATAGTCTTTCTGTTTGCCTGGACGGATTCTCCTTGTCATCTTAGTAAGGAGAGTCAGATTTATGTTCTTTTATGTCGTCGTCACCTCAGTCTCAGCTCACGGAGAGTCATGTAATCGAGAGAGGAGATTTGGCAATTCTGGGCTCGCGTGCATGCTTGGAAGATGATTCAGCGAAACCCATTCGTCGCATGTCGCATCTCGAAGCGGTTTCATTAAGGCCTTTCTTCTAATAATTCATCAGCGATGGGGGCAGCAAACCTAGCGTCCACGTAGTAAGAGGGCAGCCACTGGGACAAGACGCCGGGATTCCGGGCAAGCAGGATGGGACGTTTCATGCGCCCCGGGCTCTGCCAGGTTGTTCCCGTCTTGTTGTGTTGTCGCTGTCTTTGTATTCCGTAGCGTACAGATTACTGTTGAATCTTGAGACGAGTAAACGGAGTTTCTACCGAGAGAAGTCCTTTGTGACTACGTAATATGGGCTTTCGTTAGCGGGAACGGTGGCGTTATTCCAACGGGGAAAAAGGGGGCAGATGAGACGGGAAGGTATGCAAGAAAGGGGATGTTTTGTTTTACGTATTTCGGAGCTAAGAAACGGCTTCGTTCATCGGTTGGTTTTGATTGCATTCTTGGATGAGAGAGGCCACGACGATTTGCAGTGCAGGACGGGAAGGGAAGTCTGGCCCAAGGAAGGAGTGTCTGTGCTTTCATGGAGGGTGGTCCGTTCACTGGACCCCCAGGAATCCGTCGAAGCCAATGGTGACCCTCCATCATGCCCACCCTTGTCTGTGTCTCTCTCGCCTTTTTCTCTCCTAAATGCGACTGCTAACGAATGCCGCCGCCCCCCTTCTATCCCCCGAAAAGGGAGTCGTTCCAGGGGGGATTTGACGGGCGGAGATGAAGTTGGAGAGTGACATTCGCCAATTGGCGATAGCTTTTACTGGACTGTTGACAGTGGACAGTGGACAATGCAATGGTTAGCGACGGTGGGTATTCGACAGAGGAGAAGCGACTTCCTTCACCAATCCAATGGAACCAACCCGTCGTCGCTGCTACCTCAACTCAACTCAGCTTAGCTCTGTCAAACTTCAGACAGCTCTTCCCTTTTTTTTTTTTTCTTTTTTTTCCCACCACCGTCTCTCTCTCTTTTCCGCTGTCACCTCTGCGCTCCGTCCATTGCTATTGGGCTTCTTCTCTTTTCCTTGGTACCTTACTATACACACACTCACTCATCCATTCATCCCATCCCGCCGGTGTCTGACGGACTAGACATCCTTGGCATAATTACCTTATCTCATTCCCGTCTCTCTTAATTTTTTTTTATTCTCCCCTTCTCCTTGGTCCCTTGTTGGCTGTCTCTTTTGATGAGTACCTTACCTACCTAGTTTTAGTCGTAGACGGACCCAATTTCTTCTTTACTCTTTGCTTCCTTAGTGCTTTCTCGGACTCCTGTCGCAGCCCTGTCTGTCATTGGAGCTCTAATTACCTTACTTTACACTACGAGTCGATCTATTCGTACCTGTCTTATCCCTTTCACTATTCATTCATTGGATAGTTGGAAGGATAGACATTGGTATTCAGACGACGTCTTATTCCCTCCCTCCCATTCCGTCCACGTCTATTCGTACTGCATACGTCCACACACCGCAGTCCAGTCCAACCCTGCGTGCCATTCGCAAGGCCCATCACATCCCGCGCGTCAACCGCCCTCGCCCTCTTCGCTCACACCCCTCGACACGGGAGCCAGAGTCAGACCCAGGCCCGGCCGGCATTGACAGACACGACCAGCCTCTTCGAGTTCAGGCCCAAACCAGAAACCAGGCCACTGCGACGCAACATCGGGAACCGGAACCCCCCTCGCCCTTCCCGATTAAACCACCAAATCTCCCTTCTCAACCCCTCCTCTCTTCAGGTCGCCAGAGAAGGACTCCCACGAGAATTCAGACAGCAGAGACAGTTGTGCCCATGTGCGGCTCGTCCATGCCCCTTGGCCTGTTCTACATGTCGCCGCCATTGCCGCCGCCGCACACAAAGTCGCCCTCGCCCTCGCCTTTCTCAGCCTTACCCCTGAAAATCGCAACCGCCAACGGTCTGGTCTGCATTTGCTAAGCGACGACGACGACCCCCTTCCGAACCACTTTTTTGTTCTTCCCCAGCAGAATCCAGAATCCCGAATCCACACCCTGAACTCGCCCTGCGTTGCGCACTCCGAACCCCAGGGTCACCAGATCCAGCCTCGCCCAGCTCCCCTCTCGGCCGCGGAGCTCATCATCGCCCACGCCCACGCCGGCGACCGCGAACGAAATTCCCCGATTCGAACTTCCGCCCAGTCCAGCACCGTACCCGTAGGCCGGCAAGCCGACGAAAGGGAGCATGTCGCTCAATGGCCTGGACGACCCCAAGGTCAAGGAGGCCCACGATTCCGCCGTCGCGGAACCTGGAGGATGGTATGATGATCCCCTCCCTCCCTTCAAATGCCCAGTGTTTTCTTCTCCACCGGCGCCGTAGACCGTCTGCGTCCGCATGAGTTGAGTATGCCTCGACTCGGCGCAACGCGCAACGTTCACTACGCGCGCATATGCGCCGACGTTGCCTCTCCCCAAGGATACCCGTAATCCCGTGTCTCTCCTCTGCATCATTGTCGCGCGCGCGCAAGTGTAGTTCTGCGTAGGCTAAACTTCGTGCGCCAACATAGGTTTCTCCTCAAGTATGCGAGTCGCGATGACGTCGAACTTCTAGGTCGCGGGAATGGAGGCATCGTGGAAATCCGGAACAACATCGCCCAGTACGAGGACGAAAATGAGGAACGCTCGCCCTTATTCGGCTTCCTGAGGTACCGTCGCCGGAACGTGATCATTAAATATCTTCCTGAAGATTGCTCTCGACTGGTTCAAGGTGGGTTTTGTCTCGGTCACTGAACGGCGGCGCGGCGCATTGTTTTGATCGCTGCCCCCCCATTCCAGAGAGAGATTAAGCTGACTCGGTCTCTTCAACGTCTTGTAGCGCGTGTAACCGTTCACTTCAACGCCGTCTGCGAGCGCTTCACCCCGTATAATACCACCTTCTCGATTGCCGCGGCCAAGGAGCTCAAAGATACCAAGCTGTCCGCCGCCTGCTCTTTGCATGCCCAATCCGGCTCTACCTCGTCCTCGACAAGCTCACTCCGACGGAGACGGTTGATGGAAATTGCGGAAGAAGAAGAGGAAGAACAGAGAGCGAGCAAGAGAAGATCTGTCGGCGACGGTTTGCCAGAAACCGCCGGAGAAGACTCCGTCGAGCCCCCAAAATCACCAGTCGCCGCGGATCCGCCAGTGAAGTTGAACACCGACCTAGCAAATCTGTCCGAGGAGAGCAAGTTTTCGGAATCCCTGGAACCTCCGGAATTCATCGGCGCCAGACCGCCATCCCCGTCAAAATCGGTCGACGAAGGCCGCCGCATGTCATCGCAGTCTTCGCGGCCGGAGATTTATTCGTCGGCGTCTTATACCTACGGAAAACCAAGAGTCAAGCTTGCACCGCGACCATCGCTCGACGTCGGCGGACACCCGCGCACCGCTGCTGTGGGGGCCGCTTTTCGACCAATTTCGCAATTACCGTCCGGCTTCAAGCTGTTCTCCAAGGGCGCCAAAAAGGGAAAGTCCAAGGAAAATACTCTGGATCCTTCCGAAGCAACCCACATCGACGAAACAACCGAAATCTCCCTGGCCGCCACTGCAATACCCCTACCCGACAACGGGGACCCCATTTCCCAGCTTGACGAACTCGTCCGGCCACACACGAGCTCTGGACCAGGAGTACGACCCACCACGAGCTCGGGCGCCTCAGTTAAATCAGCCATGCCGTCCCTCACCACCACCACTGCTGCTAAGCAGACTATGACGCCCGAAAAGGCGCGTCTGATGAAGGCGATGCAACTGAGGGAGAAAAAGAAGAAAATGAGCATTCAGCCCCCGGCTTCTGTTGCTGTTGCTGTGGTCGACGGTGACGTCGAAGCTGTCTCGAAAGACGAGATTGTCACTTCGGAAAAGGCCCAGCCCACCGAACCCATCGTTGAGGAGATAACCGAGCAGACCCTTGCTACCGAGGTGGACGACGGTGAGGGCGAGGGGGAGAGACGACTCTCAATTTCCAAGGCGGACTCCGGCTTCGCTGTCGACGCGTCCTCTGCTTCTGTTCACACCGACGTGGCCTCTGAAATCACCCAGAGCGACTCGCACCCTGCCTCGCCCATCATTGCTTCCTCCGAGCCTGACCACTCGACCAAGGCCTCGTCTCTTTCTGAGGCTACTGACGAGACGGTGAAGGAGACGGATGAGGAACTCCACGAGCCTCAACCCGACACAGTTGATGCAGAAGCTGCGACGGACGAAACACCGAAGCCGGTTGAGCCGGTCACTGAGCCAGAGGTGGCTGCCGTCGAAGAAGCTGTGCCAGCTCCCCAGACGGAGACCGAAGCCCCTGAAGCAAAGGAGCCAGAGCAAGCGATTCCCACCGAGGTCGAAGTTCCCGAGGTAAAGGAGCCAGATCAACCAACTCCCGCCGAGATTGAGGTTCCTGAAGTTAAGGAGCCCGAACAACAAATTCCTACCGAGATCGAAGCTCCTGCGGTAAAGGAGCCGGAGTCAGAGCCAATGCCTACCGAGAACGAAGAGACCCCTGCCGAGCAGGTCGAAACGATCGAGTCCGAGAAACAAGATGCCCCCATTGTCGAGCAGCCTATCGATGTTGCCAAGGTTGAAGAACAGTCACCCGAGGAGGCGGTTTTGGAGAATGCCGAAGCCCAGCCTGAGACTCAGGCTGAGGTCAAGGAAGACGAGCCCAAGTCCCCGATAAGCTTGCCCATTTCCAAATTCTCTACGAGCCCAACACAGGAGAAGCCACCTGTTGCCTTGCCCTTGCAGTCGCCAAAGGAGGAGGAGGAGGAGGTAAAGCAAGAGGAGGCTCCGGTTGCTGCACCGGCACCTGCAGAAGAGACACCGATCTCCCCGACCTCACCCACATCCCCTCAATCCGCGGGATGGAAGGTTCCCAGGTCCAAGTTCTCAACACAGGATCTCAGAGCGGCTGCAAGCGAGACACCCGCTGCCGCTCCCCTCGAGGACGCACCGAAAGAGTCTCTGCCCGCCCCCGCTGAGGAAGAAGCTGAAGTTGACGCTCAATCTGCCGACTCGGAGCGTTCCAAGCGAAAGACACTCGTCGAGCCAATCCGCACTGACCTCGACGTGCCTGAGAAGAAGACCGATCCTAGTATCCTCGATGATGAAGAGCTGATGAACGAGCTGGACTCAGCCACCGTCCAGCAGGCCCAGCATGTCACTGTCTCCAAGTCACCCATTACCCCTGTCTTCCCCAGCCCGCCGAAGGAGCCCATCAGCAGGCCCACTTCACGTGGAGTTGTACGCACCATCTCGAACCCCATCCGCGGCAACCTCCTCACGCCTGCGGACGTGGCGGCACAAGATCAGAACCGGAGGTCCATCTCATCTGGCGCCGCCTTCTTGCACAAGATCACGCAGCAGCAGAACCAGAACCTGGCTCCCAAGCAGCCTGGCAAGATTGGATCCAGCATCTCCCAGCGTATCAAGGCTTTGGAAAAGCTCTCTGCCAACGCACCCGGCGTCGTTGAGACCCCCGAGTCGAACCTCAGCACCATGGGCAGTATGAAGGGACCCAGGCCATCTTCAGCATTCTTCGCCGTCAAGCGGGGCAGCGTCAGGGATCCTCCTTCCCGGTCTCCGTCGGTCATGGAGCGGACCAACTCTCTTCGAGTACCCAGCCCATCTCCTTCACAAGTCTTGGATGATGGCAAGGACTCTTCGCCTGAGAGTACCAAGGCAAACCGTGGCAGGTCGGGATCTATGGCCAACAGATTGTCCATGTTCGAAATGCCTGGCGCCCAGCCTCCCAGGGGCCGGCCCGAGTCCATCTCTGTTACCGCGCGCATCATCCGCGACCCCAGCCAGGTTGGCAAGGCCCCAGAGCCGCCTAAGGATCCTTCTGAGTTCGGCCGGCTTGAACTTAAGGAGTCGCCGTTGGTGGTCGATCATCAGAGGGCCGAAGCTCCCATGCCACCGGCCAATCTAGCCAAGGTGGAGGTTTCCAAGGAGACGATACAGGAGAGGAGGTTGTCCAAGGAGAAGCGTCGCTCGCAAACCATCGACATCCAGCCCGATGTCGAGGAGCCCGCTCGGCGTTCTTCCCTCAGCATCATGAAGGATTTCATCAAGGACCGTCGCAAGTCCATCACCTCGCCGTCCGTTGAGGTGCTGACGGCTCCCCTGCCACCCATGTCTCCCACCAAGTCTCCTTCGAGACCCCCCTCGACCCATAACTCGGGAGGCTTCACGCGTCGTCTGTCCATCAGCAGCCGTCGCTCCTCCATCAGCAAGGAGAACGCCGCCAACGGTGCTCTGTCACCCTCCATGTACACCGAGGGCAGTGCCTCTGGTGACGACAGCAAGTCGACAACCAGCGACAAGAAGAAGGGTCGTGCCAGCCGCTTTATGCGCCGTCTCTCTTCCTCTCTCAGCAGCGCGGGCCGTAGTAAGACTATGACCCCTACCGCCATCTCACCCACGGTGCAGGAGGAGGAAGCTGCGGAGGTCACTCGCCTCCAGCAGCCAACCATTGACGCATTCATGGGAGATGTCAATGTCCAATTCCCAGACAACCTCCTGTGGAAGCGCCGCAGCCTGTGCCTGGATTCTCAGGGCTTCTTGATCCTCAACGCTGTTGCTGGCTCTGCCGTTACCGCCTCCAAGGACAGACCTTCTACTGGTGTCGGAGTGAAGAGATACCACCTCTCCGAGTTCCGTACTCCCTACATTCCCGACGTCGAGCTGCAAGAGCTGCCCAACAGCGTGGTTCTCGATTTCATCGAGGGCTCTGGCCTTCAAGTTGCGTGCGAAGATCGCGCCGGACAGTTGAATGTTCTGCACAGTAGGTCGCTGCTGAAATATTCTTACATGATCGTGAACTAACATCCTCTGCAGTTCTCCAAGACGCGCATCAGAGCCACACCTCGTTCGGCCAGTAAACCAAACCGGCTACTTCACCCAAATCACATTCTTCGCCTATCCATTTTATTATACCCAAACACTACCATTCTCAACCTCAGCCACCAAGCAACCCGCCGTTTTTCTTTGTCATCATATCTTCTAAGCGTCCACATGACGGCCTCCAGCATGATTGCATTGCTCTCGCCTCGTCGCTTTTCACATCACACCAGCCAACACCTGAGACGGTGTCCAGCTGGACTTCCAACCCCCCATCACCAACTCTTCCCTAGATTACTGGGCACTAATTGCACGTCGCATGGCCCGACGCTTACTACACGCACTTGCGTTTCTTCTTTTTATTATCGCTTTTTCATTGCACTTCGTTTCAGTCAGGAAATGATACCACCCCGAAAGGGGACTGTTCAGGTTGGAGAGAGAGAGAGAGAGAAGGGGAACTTCGGGGCCGTGGCTTTGATTGGAAATGCCTATCCATGAGAACAACCCAGCTTCCGTTCAGATACTGTTTTCTTGAGAAAGCATTGAAAAGGAGACCCAGAGAACGGGGAGGGGACGAAGATGTTGGAGATCTCGCTTTTTTTTTTCTTGAGGCGGCGCGTCGTCAAAACCCGAACACCGCCTGTGTTGGAGAATTCTGGATGTACATACCACATAAACCCCCGTTACCGTCTAGGAGGCTGGGACTAGGAATAGCCTGGTCTTCGAGGAGGGGTTGGCCTGAATGAGATGCTGATATCTGACTTGAATCCCACTCATCCTGTCGTCGTGACTTGACTGATGCCTCTCAAGGACAGGACCGCATAATATCATGAGGTGAGCAAATTCGAATTCCGGTATCGAGCTAGTTAATTTGATCCTTCATCCAGACCTGGCCTCCGTCCCTTCGATATCGTCCCATCATCAATCCATCCCGTTTGATTTACGTATCCATCCGTTCCTTCCCTTCCTCCCTTCCGTCCGGACTTTCAAAAGAACGCATCTGCCTGCCGTCTGTACCTAATCCCAACATGTTTTTTTTTTTTTGGGCTTCGGGGGATAGTGAGAGAAATCGCCCTCTTCAATCCATGAAGGTCCACATCGAACGCCACCATCGTCGGTCCTTCTGCAGCCTCTCGCGCTCGATGTCGTCGTTGGTCAGGTTGATGGGGCGCATCGGGTCGAGCGGGTTGTATCTCTGGTACGGACCCATCACGGAAGGGGCTGCGGGCGCGGGCGCGGTCTGGCGCGCGGTGTTGTTGCTGGTCTGATCAGCGGGAGAGTTCTCGAGTTGCTGGGGAGCGGTGGTCTGGACCGACTCGGGAGCATGGGGCTGCTGCTGCTGGGGAGTCGTGACGTCTTGCTGAGGCGTGGTAGTGGCACTCTGCTCGTCCTGCGCGAGGGCAGCAGCGTCGGCCTGCTGAATCTCGCTCCTCCGCCTCTCCTCCGCCACCGCACGCTGGATATTCTCGCGCTCCATGCGGAACTCGTCACGCACGCGCTGCTGCCGCTCGTGGTTCCCATAACCTTGCTGGGCATCAGGATTCGAAGCGCCCGCGGCCGAGAACATGTATGAGCCACTGAACTGTGGGAGTGTGGGCTCCGGCAGCGTCTGCTCCTCCCGACGGCCCTGGTCCCGGAGCTCGATGCCCCCGGCCTCCTCGTCGCGGAGTGTCCTCTCCTCGCGGCCCATGAAGAAGAGCCTCAGCCGGCGCCGGACCCAGCACCGGACCCAGCGGACGTACGCGCCGGGGGGGTGGAGCGTGAAGCGCCAGCCCGTGCCGGGCATCCAGAACTCCCAGACGCCATCGCCGGACCTGCTGTACTGATAGTGGAAGCAGGGTACATAGCATAGGCAGAGGGTGCTGACGAAGAGGCCGAGAACCATGCCGATGGCGCAGCCCTTGAAGAAGCGTATTGAGGGGCTTTCGCTGGAAAAGGCCCATTGTAGGATCCAGGATGTGCGGGTGACGAGCTTGGGGGGGTTATTGGTGGTTGCGTCTGTCATTGCATTGGCTGGTGTTTTTCTTTCTCTTGGGCGCGTGGGATTCCTGGGGAAGTTAGTCGTGTGATCTGTCGATGATGGCTTTGGGGACATACCAGGTCGTCTTTGAGGTTTCTTCAGCTGATGGTGTGCGTGGTGAAGAGCGCGCTCTGTGATGAAAACTGCTGTTTTCTCTTTTTTTTATGTGCAGATGTCTCAGTATTTATTCTCTTTCTCCTGGTATAAGGTGAGATGAAAGTTCTTGCAAACAAGAAGTGTGACAGTTGGGATATATATACCTTATGCGCTGGGCGCTGTTGGTGATGTGAAGGCGCGTGATGGTGTGAAGAGAGGTGAGGCGCGCACAATATTTGTGTATAAGGATGAGATTTTCTCCTCTTCTTTGCGCTAGAAAATCTGTGGGTGAGTTGTTGATGAGAAAGAGAGAGAAGAAGGAGGGTGGGTGGGTGGAAAGAAATAGTTGGTATCCCGTCCAAGGCAAGAGCGTCTCTTCCCCTTTGCTCCTTCCTTTGGAAGATCGAGGTTGAGATTTGGACCAATGACAGTCTCGGACCACAACTCGAGCTTAAGAATCGAATGGAGAAGATTCTGAAGGAAACCAAATTTCTTATTGGCCTTTAAGGAGATTTAGTTACTATCCATCCCGATGCTGTTTATTCTCCTCCAAAAATCCCCGAATAGCCTCCAGCGCAACACCCCGCCTCATCCCCGTCTCATCGTCCCACGAGGAGTGTAATCCGACCAACCCACCGTTCTTCCTCTCGATCAACGGCGCCCCAGAGTGCCCCCAGTACGTCCAACACGTGTGCATCAGCGCCCCGATCTCCGAGTTATCCTGCGCGTCCTGGCCCTCTGCGCAGCCCCTGAACGTCCCGGTGCTGAGGTGCAGTACGTCGTACCCGGTCTCGACGCCCGGCTCCGCGGCCTCGAGGTCCTCGCTGCCCGGGTGCCCGACGCAGATGAGGCGGGATCCGATGGGTGGCGGGGAGGTCGCGGGTGTGATGAAGGGGAATGCTGTTGTGGAGATGTTGGAGGAGGATGGGGATTGTTGCTGCGCGGCTACGATTTTCAAGAGGGCGAGGTCTCGTACTGCGTCCCATGCTAGGGGCACCGCTTCGACTACTTGTCCCGAGGCGAAGAGGAGCCAGTGGCTCCGGGTCTGGTCAAACTCGGAGGGTGTCTCGGCTATGCAGTGGGAGCAGGTGAGGAGGAGGCCGGTTGGGGAGATGCAGACTGCCGTGCCTGCTTCCTCTTGGGCGAAGACGAGGGTGGCCATGATGGAGGGAGTGAGGCCTTTGGTGTGGATGTCTTTTGGGATAGCTACTGGGTGGGCTTGGAGGAGGCGGCGTTTCTTTAAGAGGAGTTGGAGGTCTCTTTTCCGGAGGTCTTTGAGTTTAAGGCTTGCGATGAGGATTTCTGGCAGGACGCGAATGCCGTTCTCCTTGGGTATGGAGTTGCTTGCCGGTGTTGATGTTGATAGTCGTAGGGTCAAGTCTGAGCTATTGTCTGCTGTTGATGCTGCTGCTGCAAGCTTGGCTCTCTGTCTCGTCCGCCGAGGAGAGACCACGACTGCTTCAGGAATCTGCACCATGATGATATTACGAGAGACCAGAGATGAGCTAGCCGTATATACGCAAGTCTTTTCTGCGAAATAGTAAATATGAAGACAGAGTGTGGCTGCAGTGTCTGAACCCCTGGAGATGAGGGGTGTTGTTGGTTTAAGAGTGTGGCGGCAGGATCAGACTGCTGCCTAATCATTGGAGGATATGTAAGTGAACTGGAACGGTACTTGCAGAGCCTCGAATTTCACACAACTCGATGAACGACCAACATATCAAAAGAAGCTAGGCCGAGACTTGACTCTAAGCAATTGCGAGCGCCCTTCCACAGTATCCCAATTTACCAACACTTACTCTCATCGTTCGCCCTCGTGACGAGGTTACACCTTCGCTGAATGCGCTTCATCGACGTCAGTTTCGAATTGCCTCCCAAGATGCCTTCCACCATTGATGCGCCTTCGATCCAGCACGGACGGTTGAGTCCTTCTCTCTATGGCCGGTGGGCGACTTTTTGGCCTGCTCGTCTCGGCGTCTGAGGTGCCAAGAACGCCGTTGCAGCTGATTGTCAGGACCGCACCTACCAAGCAGATTTCACGGCCACGATTGCTTGAGGTTTTCCACGAAACGAGCAGAGCGTCGCTTCAATTTTCTTTTTACTGTGATTTTCCATCGTGAGTCAAGTAATTGAACAAACACCAATGTTCTGCTTGGCGATTCAGCTCAGCCACGACCCACGTAGTCAGGTGACGTCACACCAAGTCGGTTGTCGGCTTCGCCGCGCTCAACACCCCTCTCTTCATGTACACGGAAAATTTCTCCTTACTTGCAGGATTTGGGCTGCGCATCTCAACGACATTCGCTGAATCACTCAATCGTCGACATCATGGCCTGGAAGGATCACTTGAAACGTCTCAAGAATGAGTTCGAAAACTTGATTTCGGAGCCCGGGGCTCAGAACCAACAACAGCAGCAGCAACAGCAGCCGGGCCAGCAACAATACGCACCACCGGTGCCACCGCCGCTGCCACAGCAGCAGCAGCCGGGACACGTTTACTGGCAGCCTCAGTTCCGACCTGACGTGCCCGTCTCTCAAGAATGGGACGCTAAGATTGGTAACGGGCCCGATGGTTGGGGTAACCAGGAATTGGAGCACTACACCGCCGAGCAGCAGAATGCCTTCCAGTAAGTCCGGGCTCATCGAGATATGAGAGGAAATGTCCATTAACGCGCACGAACAGCACAACGGATGGTAAGCTCGTGCTCCGGGCCATCGCAAACTGCTCCGCTCCCAGCCACGAGCAGAAATACACCTCTGCCCGTCTGGTGAGCAGACAGACGCTGGCGCGGGACCAGGGCGTCCTGACGGCGGTGATCCTATCCCCGTGCGCCGAGGGCATCTGGCCCGCCTTCTGGCTTCTCCCGCAGGAACCCTTCGCGTGGCCTACGGATGGAGAGGTCGACATCGCCGAGACCTGGAACGGCGACTGCGAGAACCACTCGTGTCTTCACTGGGGCCAGCACCACGAGCCGCAGAAGCATCGGGTTTTGGGGACCAAGATCCACGATATGCAGTACCGGCCCGTGAGGTACGACCTCGCATGGGTCCAGCCCGGTGGTCAGCCCGGGCAGGGACGGATGATTTGGTATATCGATGGCAGGCCGATCATGAAGGCGGAGATCCCGGAGGGCACGAGACCGATGAGGGATATGACGATCCTGTTGAACGTGGCGATGGGAGGCAATGTTTGCGGTGGGAGGACCCCGAGAGACGGGTACTACGATATGGTTGTGCATTCGCTGTTCATGGGCAGCGAGCCCGAATATGGTGGATGGCAGCGGTTTGAGGGTGATTGGGGTGCGACACCCCTTGGCAACACCTACTGAGCTTATTGATCGTGCTTTGGATGTCTACGACAAGCGATAGGATGATGAATGTCTCACGATCACGGCTGGGAAAGTTGATGTTCAGCTCCGATTCTTTTTGAGGACGGGATTGCAGCGCCAAACAAGTGGTATTTTCTTCCGACATAAACAATAGATACGCCCCTAGATGCTATGAGATCGGAAAACAAATCAACAGCTAAAATTATTCCCAGCTCATGCGGCAGACTTTGCCGCCCACTCTTCGGCCAGAGTCTTGTAATCCTCGGGGCCGTACGGGTCCGACGCCTCGGCGACCATGCCGTTCTTTCTGTAGATGTTCAAGCCCAAGTCACCGACCAGTTCATCGACGTACGGAATGGCGTCAAACACAAAGTCGGGGAACATGTCTCCGTGGCCGGCCGGATACCTCCACTTGCAGAACCGGTTGTGCAGCGCCGTCTCGTACCGCAGCTTCTCCATGGCCTTGGGGTCGGACTTGGCCTCGCGGACGGCCGGGAGCTTGTCGTGGAAGAAGGCGTCGATCCAGAGCGCCTGGGTGTTTGCGATGATGGCGGCGGTGATGTGCATGAGCACGCCGGCGAAGGCGACGTCGCGGTGCTCGAGGAACTTCTGCGAGGGCGGCGCCACGAAGCGGTACAGGGCGTAGGGCGTCAGCGGCGTGAAGGGGTTGACGGCCTCCTTGGTCGAGACGCCGCCGTTCTGCACTAGTGGGGTGAGCTTCTTGTTCTTCTGCGGCTGGTCCCGGAGGGCGGGCCACTTGCTGAAGATCTCCTTGTCGACCTTCTCGATCGTCTCCGCGGACGGGAAGCTGTCCGGCCCCGGGGCGTGGGGGATTCCGAGGTCCTTTTCGATACCGGCGGGGAGGAACTTGATGGGCTGGAACTGCTTCCATCCAGTCGCGCAGCAGAGGGCGTCTGACTCCAGCGCGAGGCCGTTGGAGAGGTGGACGGCCTTGGGAGAGAGCTTGACGATGTCGGCGATGTGGACGGAGACGATGCCGTCGCGGATGAGATCGAAGAAGTCGGTCTCGTAGTTGAGGATGGAGAGACTGGACGCGACGTGCTTGGCCTCGCACCAGGGCTTGAGCTTTTTGAGCTCCGGGTGGGAGTCGTACTTGTTGAGGGTGATGACGTCGTTGCCGAGGACGCTCCAGAAGTTGTTGACGATGCCGCGGCCGATGGCGGTGCCGTGGTAGAAGTTTCGCGTCTTGGTGTAGCCGTCGGCTGTACCCCAGGCGCAAGGGCTGAACCAAGTCAACGCTCGGGTGTGGACGAGCTTCTCGAGCCATTTCTTGAGGGGTGTCACGTATGGCGGTGCCATCCACACGGGACCGTGGCCGGATTCTGGAGAGGCTTAGTATGGTGTCGAGGAGAGTCGCAGGGTTTACGTACCTCTGATTACCCAGTTGACGGCGATGCCTTTGGTAGCATACGCATATACGAGATCCCAGGCGGATTTGGTGCCGCCAAACACAGTAACGCGCTTAGTGGTCTCGAGAGTACCGGCATTTTGGAGGAAGTCCTTTCCGTGGAAGATTGGCGCGCCGAAAGTATCTTGACCCTCGAAATCGGGCAAGAAGGCTTGCGAGGTCAAACCAGTCGCAACGACCAGCTTTTTGGTGAAGACCTGGGATTCTCTTCCGTCCTTTTCATTTCGAATATTCAGAACCCAGCCACCAGTCTCCTGGTGCTCCGCTGACAGAATCTTGTGCTGGAAACGGATCTTATCGTAAATACCAAAGTGCTGAGCGTACTTGGTGAGGTAGTTGTGAAGAACCTTCCCGGGAATGTGTTGTCCCGGAAGGATGCCGAAGGTCTCCGGGTCCATCTTGAAATCGGGGTACTCGTAGGTGCCGAGCATGTTGTTGCTCTTGAGACCCGGGTACAGCCGGTGCTCGGCCCACACGCCACCGGCCGTCGGCGACTGGTCGAAGACGGCCAGCTTGTTGTTCGGGTGAAGCTGATGGTGAGTCTTGGCCGCAGCCAGACCGTACCAGCCTGTCCAGCAAATTCAGTTTCAAATTTGACAACTTGGGAGATGTGAATACATACCGGCTCCAATAGCGGCAAAGTCAAGCGTCTCCATTGCGACGGATGGGTCTATGAGACGTGTGCGACTGTGACTGAGTTGATCCTGCGTTTCGGCACCAAAGTTCCAGCTTGAGCTTGACCAAAGGGGCAAAGTTGACGACAGAAAGGGAGATTGGGAAGTTGCCGCAGGATAAGAGACTGGAAATAACTCGGCGAGAAGAGTTGAACAGACGTAGAGAGTGTCTCGTCACGTAGACCTCGCCGACTCGGGGTTGACGCCGAAGATGTGGACCATCGGAACGAAGGGTCCTCTGGGTCTCAGTTCATCTGGTGTTGGTGCAGCCTACTTTGGAGACTGCGACGCTCGACCTCGAGAATGGAACCATGATTCGCCAGTCGTTGGGCATGTTCAGCCCCTTGTCGTATCCACATTGAGGACAGCTCCAGCCCTCCGAATCCAGACTGCCTGCCGAAGAACGTGGAAAAGGATCATCATTGACGACTTCCTTCGTGGAGCTCATGCGAGAGAGACCCTGGCATGGTGAAGCTGAAATCGGAGCTCCTCTGGAAGTGGTGCCCGAGAGGTCTCCAGCTGGGCTTTGGGCCAGGCTTCGATCATGACCGGATTCGTTCCCCGGAGAAGAGATCGAGACCCGCGGACGACTTGTGGGACTGCAGGGTCTTTGACTCGTGAGCCTTGACGGTATTCCCTCGAGAGTGCTGAAGTCCCCATCATCAAGATATCTGCCAGAAATGTCAATATCGAACGACGGGGAAATATGGGAGAGTCGCCGTGGCTGAAATTTTCCGCTGAACGACATGTAGTCGTGGAATAGAATTTTTGAAAAGCTCAAAAGCCAAGCAAAAGCCGTTGTGTTTCTGGGGGAATTCTTCAGCAAGACGCGCACTGCAACCCTTGATCCCTGTGATACGCTACTCCCAGAAAGGAAAGAGGACTTCGGTGAAAGGGGAGCTCCATTTCAACGACAACTGAAGAATCCCTTAAACGGAGTCTCCCTTGATCAGATCACAGGCCAAACGATCTGGCTGAAATCGCGCAAAGCAGACAATCTGTCTGTGCGAATGGAACCTTGGTGACCGAAGATGTACGTTGCCAAATTGTCTCGACCAACAAGCTTGTTACTTTGGTTCAATGGCACGACTTCTGGCGATGAAGGAAAAGCGCGCAACAAGGGCCGAACATTGGTGAGAGTTACGTGATTCGGGACCACGTGCTCTCAAACTTGGACAATCACCCCTTTCTGGCTCGAGGCATTCGCTCTCTCGGACTCTTAAGTGCCTGTCGCAGTAAATACTGTTGGTTCCGTCTGCAGGCCTTTCCGGAATTATATGACGAAGACCCCGGGCGTGATGCACATACAAGGCCCCCGCCCCCGTCTCCCCACCGCCGTGTTACGTTCACGAGTCAAGACGGCCTCATCCGTATCCGTCCGTTTCTCATCCGTTATCCGTCCTCATCCGAAGCTATTCGGAACAACTCAGAACGGTGTATATTGCTATCAAGCTTAGAAGATGCCCGTATGTTTCAACAACGGGTGAGAAAGACAAGAACGACAGCAGTAACCAGATGTATGAATGAACGTTAATTTAAATGAACTGCATTTCTGGCTGCTTGACTCTTGCTTTTCAACGTGAGACTTTAGGGATATGAGATTCAGATGCTGACGGATGAAGCAAAGGAAACCCATCTTTTGGAAATTGCCGAGGCGGAGCAACTTCCTGTTCCTGAAAGAATACGGAAACTCCTCGAATAGGATGCCAACTGTTGTGGAGGAAGCCGAGTCTACGGAGTCATGGATATCACCCTCGATGCCCTCCTGCGGCTAAGAAGCTGTCAGACATGCAGAAGCAGGATTCAGGTGTTTGATACCCATGTTGTATTCAGGTAAGGGCTCTGCATATCACCATCTAGCGGAGACGGATTGGTTGAATCCACCTCGTGTGGCCTCGAAAAGGTTTTTACGCGTAGGATCCATCTTCCGAACAAGACTTCGGAACTTCCGATCCAAAGTCCAACGCTGACTATATTCTTACCTACAAAACAACGACCCGCTTGAGTTGGGCTTGGGAATGAAAAGTCCACAAGGAGCCGCAACCTGGCCACACTCAATTTGGTTCTTCATGATTTGCAAGACTCAATGGTCACTGCCGGAAGGCCGGGCTCACTCCGACACATGGTGGTTGTGTAACCATCTCCGGCAATGATCATTGAGCCTTGCAGACCGTGAAGACTGCAGTCAGTGGCACAAGCCGAATGCTCCGCAACTCGTCATGGGTTTCCCTATGCACGCGTTCAAAAGCAGATGGCCAAGTCTGAAAAGGTTATCTCCCCCACACTTGCTCTCTTCACATCTTGGACAACTACGCAAGGTCTCACCTTTCTTGATGAAAGAAGAGAAATCTGACCGGGTCAACGTAGTATGCCGCTGCCCTCGAAGCCGGCTACTTGCTCCGGCTCAACACTCTAAGAGTCTAATAGTCTTAACCCCGTGTAACGGTGATCCGTTGTCCAAGCACCGGAAGTGCTCCCCTTTCGAACTCGTTCCCACATACCGTCCGTCCGCGCTATCGAAGGGAGTTCCACACTTTAGCACGGGGCAATGGGTCGTGATATTTCTGGAGCATGACCGGCGTTTACATCGGCACCCCTGATCGCATGCCCCGAAACCATTGACACCCAAAGCGTCGGTGATCTACATGGCTGCGCACTCGTTACCACGTTGCCAGCCTTCTAAAGAGAGTTCCCCCTCTGTGCTATATACTCTAGCATGGTCTGACCACCATGTGATTCCGGCGGGATCTTGCTTGCTCGCCCCCAATCCCCTTTGTACGCCCATGACAGACTTGGTGTCATGATACCAGCATGTCCGACTTCACCACAGAGGCGTTCACGCTTCTAGGCGTAGCGATTGGCGTCATTTTCCTAAGAACGTATGCACGAATTAGTGCCGTCGGCATCAAACATCTGCAGGCGGATGACTACCTTATGCTTCTCGTCGCAGTGAGTCCTCTCTACCAACTGATCCCCTCTTGTCTGCTGACGAGACGAACAACAGTGTACATACTCTGCCGAAACTGCCCTTGCGTACAGCGTCGGAGCGTACTGGCGCGGACTTGCCAACAATGGCATGACAGACGAGGAAAGAAGGAATCTTGACCCTAGCAGTGAGGAGTACATGATAAGGTACGAGATGGAGCATGCTGTATGCTCAATTTCTCGCGCTGACTCGGATACACAGGGTCAATGGATCGAAGACACAGATCGCGGGATGGATCACGTACAGTTGCTTGGTTCTTTGGCCGGCGAAGGCTGCGATGTGCACGTTCTACTTACGACTGACGGTAGGTATTCGCGGAACTATCTTCCAAAAAGGTCATGAACTGATAGAGACGTACAGGAAGGGCTCCATAACTACCACAAGCGCATCTACGCTGGGTTCATCCTGATTGTGGTCACCTGGCTGGCGGTGTTCTTGTCGATCATCTTCAGTTGTTATCCCATCCACAAGAATTGGCAGATAAACCCCGACCCCGGGAGTAAGTGCGGCATAAAACTCTATGAAACGCTCTGCTAATTCATGACTACACAGACTTTTGCCAACCGGCTATTTCCAAAATAAACATCCTTGTGACCGTGGTCCTCAACGTCCTAACCGACCTCTACCTCCTGAGCATACCGATTCCCATGTTGTGGACCTCGAAGCTACCCATGAGAAAGAAGCTGGGCCTCATCGTCCTATTCTCTGGAGGAATATTCGTAACGATGGCGGGTATTCTGCGTTGCGTTCTTATCATCAAGGACCCCGTCGGAGGCGCCCAACAAGCAGGATCATGGGCTGTCCGTGAGACATTCGTCGCAGTCGTCACGACAAATGTTCCGATGATCTTTCCCCTACTCCGAAAATGGCTCAGCCCCGTCTTCGGCACCATATCGAGCACTCTCTCCCGCACCGGGACCCGAAACCGATACGGCAACACGAAGCGGTCCGACCTACCGCAGCCCGGAAGTATCAAGCTCGACGACGTTGCCGACAGCAGAAACCGCAAGAAGGGGCGACCGCCGTTTAGCCAGTATCCGATCACCGAGTTCACGGTGTCGGGCAGCGAGGAGCATCTCAACTCACCGCAAGCCATGCCGCCGATGCCCATGTCTGGGGGCATTAGCAAGAATGTGGAAATCACGATCGAGGAGTCGAAGAGAGACAGTAGGAGACAACGAGGGGATGGATCAGAGAGCAGCCTCGAGAGGGGCGAGGCATACTATACTGTTGATGTTAATGGTTCAGGAGAAGGTGGAAACGGAATGCCGAGAACTAAAAGCCACCGAGAGAGTTTGAGGGGGGCATTTAATGCAGGAGGAAACAAGAAGAATGGGGACTACTTTTAGGTACTAATATCCACAGATTCCAAGCCGGGACGTCTGCAATGCCTCGGGCTGTTAATGACATCATGCTTAAAAGCAGTACACTCAGTGGAAAAGAGCTTGGAGTTCGGGGTCAGTCGACTTTTTATAATCTACTTGACTAACTGTGTGCAATCTTGAGACCAAAACAAACATATAGATATAGACAATGACAAGGAAAGCAGCTTTCTGCAACTATCTGACTCCGGCCATGATAACGAGCTCATCTTGATGTTGCAAAGCAAGGAGAGAACAGATCATTGAGTTATATGTTCCAATGAATTGAACCACCAGGACCACTTAGTCGCGATGCCACTCCCGGCAGTAGTGACACAGCTCTCCCTGCTCCTCTACGAACACACCCTCGTCGGTCTCTGCGTCGTTGAGGCAAATGCAACCTGTACATCTGCAGCGCTGCAGATTGGGGCCGTGACTGCCGTGAAAGAGTCGAATTCGGCCCCCAGATACTTCGACGTGTTCGTCCGAGCGGGTTGCACCGCTCCTTCGGAGTGTGATACGCGGAGCAGAAGGTGGCGGGAGCTGAGTGAAATTTCGGGGTCCAGACTCGTGAGCCGCTCTGTCGTGATCATTCCGCAGCTCTTCAAATACCCCGTGGGCAGGTGACCGCATGCCGCGGCTGAAGACGATCCTTGCTACCATACGACGCTCGAATTGACACTCACCGGGCTGGGATCTCTGGCGCGAAGGAGGAGGGGTTGGAATGCGGATCCATGAACCTTCCATCTCGAAAATATCCGGAGTTCTGGATGTAGATGTTCCAGGGTCTTGGGTGGTGTCTCGGACGCTTGGGGACGGATAGCCTCCGCTCTGAGTGCCTCGCGCTTCCTGGGATGGCGCCGTCGTTCCGCTGCTCGACGACGAGGAATGTTGGGTGCCGTCCTGACTATCAGGTGAGGGAAAGCAAGACTCCGACGGCGGATGACCAACGGGAACCATCATGTCGTTTTCAGGCGAGTAAGAGAAAGCGAAGGAGGGAGAGGGTTCTGAGAAGAGATTGTCCAGCGGACGGGGCGGCCTCAGTGGAGATTGGGGAGGCGAAGGCGACGAAGAGGCCGACTCATGCTGGACCGGCGGGAAAGGATTCGAAGTTGGAGAGGAGAGTTGAGGGTGGCGGTTGCGGCGGTGAGAGTACATTTTGTACAGGTTATGGGTTGATGTTGTCATAGAGGCTCAACAGATGGTGGTGGCTTTATAGCAGACAGGATGTTGATGACTTGCAACATGAAATTTGACCGAGAGATAAGACGTAATGAACTGCAAAATTTCCTCACTTATACGTGAAACTTTAGCCAAGTGATTCACTGATGACTGCTCCAGAATATGTCACGATCGCTGAATCAAGACGGAGTCCGAACGGGTTAGCAGGGACAAACATCTATCACATGAGTCCTCATCAGCAATGGCACTACTGAATTTTGTTATGTGTATTGGCAACAACATAAAAAATGGCCACAACTGAAAACACTTCCGTGTTACCTAGCACCAGAGAAGCGCGCAGTTTGCCGAGACTACCAAGCGCGAATCTAGCAAGCAGTAACATTTCTGCAGAATGATCATCAAATCTCTCCAAGTACCTTACGCGGCAAGAAGGACGGCCAAGAAATGTAATGTGGATGACCTCCTGCTTGAAACAACAGCAAAGACTACTCTCGGATTTTGCTTTGCTTGTGATGACCAAATCCGGGTACAGTCTCATGGTCGAGCTCGAAGTCGACCATGAAATCGCATTGAGAATCCGGATTATCGAGCTCGCTGGGATCAAATCTCATGCACTCGCGATACACCACCCTGACTCCCTCCGGCAGTTTCCGATCTCCGTACATGTTGTCTTCGATTTCCATGTAGGTTTCCTTGTGGAGGTTGAAAAAGGGGTGCGCTTGCGTCACGAAGTCGCCGATGGTGACCGGACCGCCGTCATCTCTCTTGATAACCAGCTCCGGATCTTCTCCCCGGCCATCGGAGTGTACGTTATCCGTTGCGAGTTGGTCGATACGTACAATCATTTCGGTAAGGCCGTAGTTTGTGGCGGGCTCGTCCGCCATTGGGTGGCCTTCGAAAGGTCGCCGTTCTGAGGTGAAGTCTTTGGCAACTTCGCACACCTCGACTTCGGAGATGTCCCCAAAGACTGGCCAGTAAAGAAGCGCTAGGCGATCTTCTCGGAGGACTGGTGGTTTTTCGTCTCCGGTGGATTGAGACTTGTTGTGCGCGGTGGAAATAGAGGATCCCATGATGTTCTGAATATTCTTAGTAGCCTCAATTTTGGTGCGAAGCCTGACAGTTCTGATTGATATGTATCGAATGATGACCTTCAAAACCTCGACGTTGGGAATTCCCTTTGTTTTATTAGTTCAACCTGGGAAGGCTAAGGAAGACAAGCTTATTCCCATGAACATAGCCACATACAGTAGCACACTGACGTACTAAGTTTCGCTAGCATTGGTGGCGTCTTGAAGAACTCTCCGCCCCTGGAAGAACAAAGAGCGCCAAGGTCTGTTTCGGGACGTAAACGGCGTTGTCAGGATGGAAAAGGTCACAGGGGCAGTGAAACATCACATTCCTCGAATCGCTTTTCTTACACGCATCTCTGGGTTCGGTGAACAACCATTGAACTGAGACTAGTGGCATTGAATACAGAAAAGACATAGCTGTCAGACGCCATGGAAATCTTTCGGTCTTTCGTTTACCCCGAGTGCTAGCGTGACAGAGTAGCTGGAACTCATGCCGGAACATACTCGTCGTCGTCTACTTCCTGAGCAACAGGATTGTATCTCCACCTACTCCAAGATGATTCTTGACTACCAGTGCCATTATTGGTAGTTGCAAAGATACCAATCAGTGTGCCTATTCTTCGTGATCAGCTCTCAGCTCGCGAATAAGACGATTTGCTTGTCGTCAGGCTCACATACCGATAAATCCGCCACTGGTTGCATCTGAGCTCGCCGTCCCCATTGTGATATTCCCAGCGCCACAAGGTGATGACGCGAGGAACTCGTAGTTGTCTGGATCGTTTGCCTTCACCGCGAGGCGGATAGGACATTCAGCCCAGTCTTGAGGTATCGATTCCAAGACGGTTTCTGGAACTGGCGCGGTCGGTCGACCGAACGTGGTAGCCGTCATTCGCAACTGCGGACTTTCTGACTCTTGCAGCTTCACAACACTCAAGTCGATGTGTTGCTGTTGGCTCAGGAATACCGTGATGCCGGCCTCTTCACCGACGTCCGTCGGATCAAAGGAAAGATCAGCGGAGAATTCGAACAAAGTGGCTGTTTGCCGTCTGCCGATGAAAGTGACTCCGTCTGCAGAATTGAAGCCATCGATAGGTCCCGTGAGATTACTCTGCGACGGTCTCAGACGCAGCGAGTTGTTCTCAGACACGGTGTATGTGTCCTCAACCTTGGACCGGAAGTGGACCAGATGACGCGGTAGAGAAGATCCCGGCTCGAAGTCAAGCTCGTCTGCACTGTCGATGAGGGGCCCCTTTCCCAGGCGCTCTGAGCTTTTCGGCAAGGGACCTTTCATAGTGCCGCGAACAGGGTCAAACACCGGCCACGAGTCCGCATCCCACGTCACGGCCGTCAAGGCAGTCTCTCTGCCCATGGGATAATTCTTCATATCGGGGCCTGAACGAGTTGTTAGTGCCACGGCCCACCAGTTTCCGTTGGCATCTGGGAATAAATCGGCGTGTCCAACCGACTGGAAGAGCTCATTGGATCCGCGGTTCGTCAGCACAGGATTGCCTTCGTAGCTTTCGTAGGGGCCGTAGATGTCTTTGGATCGTGCGATTGTCGCGGCGTGGTTGATACCGGCGCCGCCCTCAGCGATGAGGAGATAGAAATAGCCATCCTTTTTGTAGAAGTGCGGTCCCTCCGGGTTGTTGCCTCCCGCCCCTTTCCAGATCTCAACCTTCTGGCTGGCGTTGCCTGTTTCGATGTCGATGACGGAAAGATATATTCTTCCCCATCCCGTGGCCATATAGGCGGTTCCGTTGTCCCAGAAGAGATCTGGGTCGATGTGATTGCCTCCACCTGGGTTGGTGATGGTGTGTGGAATGCTCCATGAAGCATCGTTGAACGGGTCGTCCGCCTCAAAGAGGTAATTTCGAGCGGTCTCTCGCGGATTGTAAGTCACGTAAGTGACGATGACATAGAACTTTCCCTCTCGATAGCGGATGGTGGGAGCCCACACGCCACCTCGCGGGTTCCCATTGACAGAGGCGTGACCGGGAAGTTGCTCCCCGCGGTTGAGTACGTTGATAACATGCTCCCAGGATTGAAGATCTTTGCTGGCGTATATAGGCAAGCCCGGAAAGTTTAGAAACGATGACGTGACGCAAAAGGTCGTGTTGCCTTCTTCAGGGACGAAGACGCAGCTGGGGTCCGCATGCCACCCTGGGAAGACGGGGTTTTCGAAAGTGGTGTTGACATCGCGGCGTGTATGGAAACTAGCTTGACAGCTAGAAACCAGTAACGATATGATGGAAAGTGATTTGATGACGGCTGCGGCCATGTCGATAGTAACCACGCTTTGACATGTGTGGTTGACTGGTGTTCGTCATGTCATTGAGGTTGATCGGAGCCATATTTATGCCCTTGATCTTGGAAAACGAGGTTATTTGCATCGGCCCTTCCTCCGTGGCACAATGGCTTCGATTGACCATAAACGGCAATTGCGTCTGTGTTCTCAATGTTACTTCAGCACGTTTGGCGTGACTTGTGCCAAGAGGTTTACGTTGGACCTTGGCCGCGACCATGAGTGATTGGTGGGACAACTGCTTTCGCTACATCTTTGGTGCGAAGACTCAGTATGCCTGAACGGGTAATTGGCACCTTGTATTAACCGTTGACCAAATAGGATATCCTGTGCTTCTCGGCAAATGCGGGGAAAAGGCAGAAACTCATGATCAACATCTCACTTCGTGACTTTCCAGCCATAATCTTCATATAAATACGCCGTTTTTTCTCCATCTATGTACAGAGGTTGCCATCACCGCATCGACGTGGTTGTGGTGGAACAGGTCGTTTGGCCATTAAAGGATGTCCTGCCAGAGGACATTGCCTCAAAAATATCCCTCGCGTCCGGACCTTCTGTAGTATTTTATTAAGTTCGCCTTTGCATGTCTCTCTCGACTTCACATCTTGCCGGCACCTATTTCGTAGTCCGGGCTGCTCGTGGCCCTGTTGATAGGCTTCATCGGCACCTGGTCGTCCTCGATTTCGGCGTAGGATTCGAAGCCCTGAAGGCCGTATTTGGCGGCCAGCGGGCCGAGCTCGATCAGTCCTGCGATGATAATGCCGATACTGACTTCGATGGCAGACCAGTTGAAGACAGGAGCAGCGTCGGCTGCGGTACTCGTTAGTATTGTTCCCAGAAGTGAGCAATTCAGAGCACATACCGAGCTGATCCTTGGATCCCTTGAGCTTGACGAGTGCCACGAGACGGATGATATTTGCAATAGTCGCGCTTCAAATTCGTTAACAGGGATACGGTAACAGTCCGGAACAGAAACTTACAGAATTCCCAAACCGAAGATACCGTAAATGTACATCTTCAGTCTCGGGTTCAGCGCTCTGCCCTTCATCATGAACCATGGTGAAATCATCAATAATCCATCTAGGATCGCTGTGACGATGGACAACGCATAGCCCATGTACAGTTGTCCCACGAGCGGCAAGCACTTTCCCTTGGCTCCCGCCTCCAGCATTCTCCATGCGTAGTCGATCGGCTGGCACTGGACGAGCAAGTAGATGATGAACGCCAGGCTGATGGCGATGTCCATTGCGATGGATACCCAGAAAAGACCAGTGAGGACCCTCGAGCGCGACAGACGGATGAAGGTGAGGGCGATGCTGCCCTTCATGGCAGAGGTGAGGACCACATAGATGATCTCCAGGAAGAACAGCACTTTGAGTAAGGTGCGTAGTCCTTCGATGTTGGTGTCGGCGATCGAACCGCCCATGCCGCCTTGGACACCCAAAACGAGGAGACCGTAGAGTGCCCCGAACGCGCCCTATGAACATTAGGTTAGAAAGAGGAGACACTGGAGAAATCGCAGATGACACGCACCAGTGCTAACAGAAGCATGGCATCGTTGAGGCGTAGGGATTTTGTGATGAACATCCGAGTATAGACGCGCAGACCGACGAAAAAGGTGTTGAGGACCATCATGATCGCACCGACGACGAGCGTCACCATTCCCGCAGGAGCGATCGCCATTGTGATGGTATTGAAGGAGAGACCTTGACCGAGAGAAGCGTTTACCGAGAAGGAATGGGACAATGGTGATCAACACGCATCAATGTCCGCTCGTCAGGTAGATCATAAAAGAGCTGGTATGAAAGTTGAAATATGCAGGACGGTTGGCGATATCGCGTCAATGGGGAATTTAGGCGCTCCTATGAAAGGAAATGGACGAGATGAATCCAAGGCAAACACAAATCACCGCACGAGCACTGGCCAGCGATCTGCCACAGACATCCGCGGCACCGTCACCCGATTGGCAGGACAGTATTCGTATTAGAGTGTGAGATGGTTTTGGAGGCTCGCATGGTTTCGTGGGGTGTTTCAGAGTTTTGTCATGGGAAGTGTCATGGGAAGTTGTGAAGCCCAAAATCCGATGTCAAGTCAGGACGAAGCTGGGGTAGGCCAGATAGCAACACGTCTATCAAAAGGCGATACCGAAAACAAGGATTACCTACACAGTTCACAGGAGGTGCGGGCCGATGCGGTGCAGCCGAAGGGACAGGAGTTCCAGCGACGTCGCTAGCAGCGGCGAGCGCACGGTAATCTTGATCCGTGTTCGTGTTATTCGTATTGTGCGTCGACGACATTGTCAGTGCGGGGCTGTTGGTGGCGGCAATGGGCGTTGACAAGAAACAATCTGGACGAATGATTTAGCATCGAGTCAAGCCACCCTTCTGGCTCGTATTCTAGTTCAATATTGGGGAGATTAGCGATGTTTCACTACCATACGTAGCTTCTTTGACGGGTGGGAAACCAGCAACGATGCAATATCACTGGCTACTCGCTATGGCGTCGAGCTAAAGAGAATAGTTATAATTATCTGATGGCACCGCTGCAACACCTTAATATCCACGCTGAAATAAGGTGCGAGGACATGTTTATCGAGTCATCAGCCTAGTGCTTCATCCTTCGATAGGCTGAGTGTTGTCGAATCCTGGGGTAAACGTTAAGTGCATGATCATATGTACAGAACAAAGACTTCTTTCATCAAGAAAACGTTTCCGCGCCTTTACCTCCCGAGTCTCTGTTGAGATCGTGGCTTGCCAATATCGGTGTTATGTCGACGTGGGCTTTGCAATTACGAGTTGAAAGGGACAGGGGGTGCGGCGTGGCTACATGTAAGAAACAGACACAGCTGTCTTAGTATTTGGTGAATGTGGAACGCATCGTTTCAAAACCTAGTTGTTTGGGGCCGGTATTGATAGACAATGGTGTCAAGGCCATCATTAACACCGGGTGTTTCCATTTCCCGTGCCCAAAAACATGCTAGATCTAGGAAGATTTCCATGGTAGAAGAAGGACTTGAGACGCTTAAATATGAATGCCACAGGTATACCGCGTAAACAGGGATAACAGAGCACACCAAGGAAGGATGAAAACATGATGGCTGAATGAAATTTGACTGCGGTTTCCCTGTAAGAGATCGCAAATGAATATGAATTCCCTATGTGAGTCGTGGTGGAACTATTCCCCAGATGAGCTACGGGCGAATTGGCTGGAGAAAAGAAAGACCAATCGTCTGTGTTTGCCTGCTTTTGTATCATTCGTTGAGAGGTGCAAGCCACTCAGACACACACATATATAGATGTAGAATTTGACACGTCAACAGGGGTTGAAACCTCTTGAGGAAACACCACCCACAACGGATGAAGACGAAGATTTCTTTTGGAAAATAAGACCAAGCATTAACGCTCCTTCTGAAGCTTAGGAAGTCACGCAGCATATCGCAGTCGAGATCATTACCGCAAAACGCCATCGTCAGCCGTTTCCGTCCGGGAAGTATTCCACGGGAATATTCAAGTCCACCACCCTGTTTCTGCTCCTTCGCGGATAATTCTGCGACCTGCACACCTGCTAACCTGCTGATTGTCCAGACTCTTCATCGGAATGAGACGCACACAGCCATGTCTTTGACACTTCTGATCCTGACCTCAAACTCGAGGCGGACACCCATGAGCTGGCCTTTTCCCAGCATTGGAATCCGCATTTGGGGCTGCAGACACGAAAACATGTATAAAGCCAGAAAATGTCATGTTTTTCATGTGGTAAGACCATGTAATGTAATTGTTTCAGGAACTCTTTCTTCGACTGGTATTATCGTTGGGGCCCATGGTGCTTTCTCACACGAGCACTTGAGTTGTAATGGCTTGGATTGCTGACCTTCAAGCCGTGTTACAGCTGAATATCCTGTATGCATAAGCCAGGAACAGTCTTGAAAGATGATGTAAAAGAGAGAAAAAATGATCTCCAGGACGCAGAAGTTCGCTGCTCGTTGCGCTCATGTCTGAGCAAAGACTGCTGTTCGATGCCAGCTCCAATGGACAACGCGAGCTGCCCCGAGTTGCGTCCGGAAGCCATGACCAAGAGATCTTTATCTCTGGGGATTTATGAGGAAAGGTTCGAAGTCCTCTTTTAAATATCATTTAAAGAAGCCTTGGCCTCGATGAATCAGACATACATCACACGATGGTAACATTTTCGGTTACATCTGTGTTTAGCATCTTCGAGAGGGCAGGACGATGTACAAGGAAGTTCAATATGGAGAGGCTCGCTCGAAGAAAATGGAGACAAATAGTCCATCGCCTGCACAGAAAAGGCTCCTCTATAAAGCCGTCAGATTCATGTCAGAGTAGCAGCAGCAGCAACAACAGCGGGATTCCTGTTGTGGATCGCGTTGATTGCTATATTGCTTGCGGATCTTCTTGACATAATCTAATTAAGCACTGGATTGGGTGAAGAAAGATACGAGAATGTCCACGCGGTATTGAAACTGAATACAAATGAATAAGCCACGGATACCGATGACGGAAGGGAAAATTGCGTGACAACGACCGCTTGCCACGTCGTCGAGGTCAGAGTCACGCGTTACATCAGGAGACGGGACCTGACTGACCTCGAAATCCAAACAGACTGAAATTGTCTACATCCCGCTCCACCAATCTGCCCACAGTGTGCGCGTGGTTCACTTGGTTGCTGAAGTCCACTGTTCTCTAGGGCCTCATTTATACGTTATTCACTGCCGAAGCACTTTCTGCACAGATTCAACCAGCTCACAAAACCATTCTCCTTACTCATATCGAAAACCCTAGATGACTCACCCACAACCGTCAAGCATCACCAACCCGAACTCGCCACCCCGGCCGCGCCTCAACCCGGGAACCACCTCGCCCCACAACTCCGCCACCGTACGACCGCGCACTCCGCCCCACATCGGCCCGGAGCCCTCGAAAATGACGTCACACAGCCCCGAGTTCAAAAAGGTCAGGTTATCCCGAGTTGAACCCAACGCCTCAAGCGACGGGTATGACATAGATTGCAAGGCACAAGGCTCTTCCCGTAAGCCATGATCTTCGAGCATGGACCAGAGCTGTTGCATGGTACGGTAGCTGCGGCCGGAATAATGATGGGATTTATTGATCACATGCGCAGTTTCTGTGTCTTCAATACATTGAAGGCCGCGGGGGGGATTTACTTCTTACCCCTGAGTCACCGTCATTGTCAGAATTAGAGGAGCAATTGTCAGAAGGCCTAGTCAATTTCTCAAGTATGCACAGAATAGACAATATGATTACCAAAAAACGAAGGCCGTTCCATCGCGTAAACTCGGTTGTACCGTCCGAGATGCCAAAAAAGTTGCCGGTATATGATCGCTGTCATGATGCATGCACACCCCCTCTCCAATGCAACGCTATGCTCACACACATTCTATGCCTCGTTCACTTCCTTCCTCGCTCTACCGCGTTGTCCGCGAACCGGATTCCTCTCTTCGCGGGAGGAACTCTCTCTCCGCCTTCGTCGTCGGAGTCGTCTCCCCCACCCGAGCCTAGCGCGGCCTCTCTACGACGGCGCTCGGCGGGCGTCTCGCCCGTGTCTTCGTCTTCCTGATCCGCCAGGACAGCTAACCTACGCTGTCTCTCGACGGCCGTCTCTTCCTCATCGACGTCTTGTGATCCGCGTACTGGCGCCTGAGCTGGACCGGTGTCCCCGCGCTTTGGCGACCGGGACTGTTTCTCTAATGAGGCGCTGCCGATCTTGATGGTTGGGATGTCCGCCGGCGACGGCACGTCGCCCTTCGCAATCGACTTCACGCGCTGAGATGCAGACGACTGATCCACAACCTCGCGGCGGGTCTTGGCATCGAGCTTCTGCACTTCTCGGATAAAGTCCTCCTTCGTCATGCGTTGGCCCACACCGCCAATTGTGAATCTGATGTGTCTGTCGTCCTCCTTCTGCTCCTCTACCACTTTCTTCTTCGGCTTCTCGCTGTCGCCACCTCTGAAGATGCCTTGCCATCCAGACTTCGCGGACGGCTTGGCGGCAGCGGCCGTACTCGACTCGCCTTGAGTAGCAGCCTCGGCGGCTGCCTTTTCGGAGGCCTTCAATAAACCGCCCATGCCAAGATACTTGAGACTTTGCTGTGTTATACCTCCAATCTCTTTCCCGGTCTTGGTAGACGGCAATTCGTATGTCTTGATAACTTCGCCGTCTTCATCTTCAACAATGACCTGCAAGAACGTTAGCGTGTGTCAATCAATTGTTGACGACTCGTCACTTACAGTGTTACCAAACTGGAATGCGCGGGCGGGCTCGTGTCTTCGTTCAGATTTGCTCTTCTCCTTGCGCTTTTCCACCTCTTGAGTGTAGACGTCCTCCACCTTGCGCTTGAACGAATCCAGGGTCCAGTTGAACTTTTCGCCCTGGCTTGCCTTGGCGGCCACAGCGGCCAGGTCCGTTTGAACCGGCTTGCCATCATTGCCTGATGGCCTGTCTTCAGATCGCTCTACTGTCAAGACATCACCATCCTCATTCTCAACAACCAGATTGTCTCCCTCCTCATAAATCTGGATCTTGGGCGGCGTCTGGGTCCTGCTGGAGCTATCCTCGGGAGATGGAGTGATCTCGTCGTCTTTCTCGGGATCTCTTTCGCGGCCTCTCTCGGAGTCACGTCTGTGGGGCGTCGGGGCATTCTCGTTTTCGGGTGACGAGGGGTCCTTCTCGTTGAGCAGTGGTTCGCGCCTGGCAGGGAAAATAGCAGACTGAGAAACAGGTCCGCCAGGCCCAAGGCCATCTTCCCACTTTCTGCTCTTGCGGCGGCTCCGAGACGTCGATCGTCCCCTGTGCTTCGATCCTTCCTCGTCTTTCTGACGACGCAAAAATGCGCCGGGAAAGCCCACGGGAGGCAAAGTGCCAGGAGGGAAGTCGGGCATCTTTAGATCTTCTCCGTCAGTGTCAGACATGGTGCGGGCTTGCGATCGGGACTGCGATGAGATTCTTGGCAGGCGGTTCATCCAGGTAGGTCCATCTTCGGGTGCGGTGGTGTAGGACATGGTGATTGTCAAGGTGTTGATGCGCTTTCCGAGGGTAAAAACGGCGACTGAAGAACCGTGGACAATGATGGACGAGATGACCAGGAAGGTCACAATTGGCCAGATGACTGCGACAAGGGTTCGATGCTCAATCTCATCCGGCGGTGTATCTGAGAGCGGCACCACCGTTTCCCACTGCAGCTCGGCGCGGGCGAGAATCGCAACGAAGATGGCGCCTACACCGATGGGACCGAAGTGACCGGCGAAGACGGCCTCGCGCCATGTCTTGATGTCCGGTATGAATGGCTTCAACATCAGCATGGCGGGAATGCGGCGGAACAGGATGACAAAAATGGCAATCACAACCAAGCGCCAGGGAGTGAGACCCTCGGCGACGTTGTTGTACTGCTCCCAGGGGATAATAGTCCCGAGGAAGACAAAATAGGCCAGGTTGATAAGCAAGTCGATGACGTTGGAAACGTGGGATTCTTCCGTTTTGTTGGAGAACCAACCGTCATTTGAGAAGCCGACACCGGCTGCGAAACCGACCAGCAAATCGTCCAGCCCGAGCAGGCTGCCGGCGCCAGCACAAAAGAGTGCAAGGACGAAGTAGAAGACGAGAAAGCTCTCACGGTCGATGAGGTCATGTTTTTCGGCATACTTGATGCCGTGGCGCGCGATGTAGCCGACGAGGAAACCGAAGATTGCGCCGAAAATGCATTCGTAGAGAATGGTGTAGACGACCCAGTGGTAAACGGTCTTCTTGGCATCCATGTGCTCCTGGATGAGGTAGATCCCGAGATAGACGAAAGGGAAGGCCATGCCGTCGTTGCACCCCGACTCGGCAGAAAGGACGTCTCGCAAGTGCTTGGGGACGCGCTTGGCAAACTTGCCCTTGCCGACAACGGAGGAAGCCAAAACAGGGTCAGTGGCAGTGACGCAAGCCGCGACGACCAGACTCTCGAGCCAGTTCAGAGGTTCGATCATCCACCAGATGAACAAGCTCACAATGAGCCAGCCGAAGGTCATGACGGGGATCAGCAGCAGAGTGACGGACCTCCAGTGCTTCTCCATGTAAAACTTGGGCAATTCGACGCCAACGGCGAAACATTGAACGACGAGGACGATGCGGGAGAATTCGATGGTGACGAGGTCGACATTGCCCCAGCTTTTTGGGTCGATCAGGTTCGCTGCGTGAGGACCGAAGATGATACCACAGATGGTCGCGACTGTGGCCTCGCCGATGTACATGCGCTCCTTGATAATGGTGGAGCAAAGCATGAAAAGGGTGGTGAAGCCGCCGAGGATGATGTACACCAAGTGCGGCTTGGTGATGGAAAGGTGATCCCAGGCCATGGTGGCGCAATTGAGGGATTACCTCCTTGAATAGGGTATGTTGTAGTAGTAGATATTGTGTGAGGTCGCGATTCGTGGTGGATGTCGTATGAATGTTGGTTGCTCAGTCGCCGGCAGCAAAGAGAATGACGGCTGGACCGGGTGAAGGGCTCGAGAGTCCCCAGTCGATAGATTTCGTCTCGAGAGTGAGGGTTTCTTGATGCATTCAGGGAGAAGTTGGCGTGCCAAGAGGCGCTGGTCTGGGGTTCGTCGAGCGAAATCGAATCGAGTCGAGTCGATATGGGGCGCTGCAGAGAGCTATGAGGTCACCGACAGGCGTTGCCTCTCGTTGGGTATGCGCTTCGCGGTCGAGCTCCGGAACGATGTTTGTGTCGAGTGACGGGAGCGACAGTCGAGTGGATTCCAACAATCTCTGGTCTATCGAGGACGCAGAGTTCGTAGCTGAACAACAAAAGGAGAGACAGACAGTAAAGACAGCTTCGGGGTTCATGGAACCTAAGTACCGCGTAGTAGGGACCCCCGAGATACGGGAGAAAGAAAGTTGGCGCAACTGATAGCAGAGGATGAACCATGCAAAAAAAGCCTGGCCCCGCCTAGCGCGAATGGTGGGGCCCTTTTTTGGGGGGCCACGGGGGGGCGACTTGGATGGATTTCTGCTCTACAGGGCTCTTCACGGTTGACTTCCCAGCATTCCCAGTGGTTCCTGCTGCCGTCCGTGGGAGGCGCAGGGCTTGCTGACGTGGTACCTCGGGGGTACCGACCGTACCTAGGCTGTGAGGAAAAGACTGAAGTGCGACTGCGGTGTCAAAGGGTGGTGTTCATTAAGGTTGCCACGACGTCTCTGGTTGTTGTTAAGTTGGGCTCGTCCAGGGAACATGTCAGGTTGAGGTGAACCATCGTAAGTGATGTGCTAACCTTGATCCAGCTAAAGGCATCTCATCTTGGGTTGCGATAGGGAGGATAAGTGAGACACCCATCCCAAGACAACGTTCCACGACTCCGGGCCAGATCTCTTGTGTGCTGTGTTTTGATTTTTATCATCAATACTTGTCAATACAAGCCCAACAGATATTTCATCGTGTTGCTCGGTTTCCGGGTGGTGAGGTGAGTGAGAGATACGGGCCCCATGTACGCCAAGCGGCTCAAAGCAAGGATGGACCCGATGCGACCGCCATTCTGCCATTGAGTGGCCGCGTGGTGTCGTAATCCCCCCCGGGAAGCGGTAATCTCTTGTTGCAAAGAAAAAAGTCGCAGGTGCAGGGAAGCAGTCGAGGTGACATGGGCGGAGTCGAGTTCCCTTGAGCCGCTTTTCCGTGCTGCGTAACTGACGTCGATGTTTATGGTAGAAAGGGCTGAGGTCAAAATATCGAATCGTCGTTGGTAGAAAAACCAAACAAGAATCCCCGGATTTTCCTCTCCGATCTGATCGGTGACATGTCTTTTGATATCTTCAGGGTCCAGTTCCTCTTATTCATCGTGCAGACTTGTCGCACAATTGGCAAAAGCTTGACGAGAAGACGCTGGAGAAGTTTTGGCAGCTCTGGGCAGTATTGTGCGACATCATTTGGCAGCTCGGGCAGTCTCCAAGCATTGGCGGCGTGATCTGTGCCTCGGCGTTGCTGGCCAAGCAAATTCGCGAGATCGCCAACTCCAGTTTGCAGTCTCGGCGCCCAGAGAGAGCGGCGTCACGCCGTCACCCTCCACTTTTGTCTGTTGCTTTGCTCGAGTCATGTTGGCAGGAGGGGCCAACCGTTTTTTTCGCCTCCTTTTCTTCTCGGTAGATCTCAGAAGTCGTGGAAAGTTGTTGCTGTTTGGTGATGTCGATATCTGAATGAACGTTCTCGAATGCTTGAGAATGGCAGTGGTGTTTTCTGGTGGTGCAAGTTTCCCGAGGTTCCTCCACTCCGAGGAGGCTGCAGCGGCGGTCAGGTACTTCCGCGGTACTTCTGCACGGTTCCATCCAAGACCCGCTTATCTGTCCCAGTGCCCATCAGAGGAAAGACCCCTGCCTGCTCCTTTTTTTTTTTTTTTTTTTTTTCTTCCGTGGATTGTTTTTCTCCTCCACCGTTGCCCGAAACCGACGGGAAGACCTTGATGTTGCAGTCGACAGATCTCAGTATTGACAAGACAGAAGAAAAACACCTCAACACCTTGGCAGTCGTCCACAAATAACTTTGACAATCAATATGAGTACGACTGATACCGGGCAACCCCCCCTACGCTTAGCCAAGCAAGCCGCTCCAGGATCTCTCAACAATTTCTCTTGAACAAATGCGGCAGCAAACAGAGTGAAACACTGCGGTCGTCGGCCCTGCTGGGACTCTCCCGGCGAAGCTGCACTCAATTAATTGCACGCCCAGACTCTCTGCCATTTAATTCTTTCAAGTTCCGGCGCATCTTTTTCTCAGCCTCCCATCATCTCCAGACTCCCACCGCTTTCCGCTCCCTCCTCCGCCTCTCCGCCGACCAGACGGAGTCGGTCTCCATCCCGTCTCTGCGTCCGAATAACCCCAAGCCCGTACGTACGTACCTATCTCATCTCTCCTCGCACTCGACTTCGCACCCGTCTCACCTTGGGTGAACTCTCGCCTCATATCGCTTGGTCCGAACATCCCATCCTCGCCCTCCTTCGAAGGCGCTAAATGGAAAGCACGAGAAGCACACACCACCACGGAGCAGAACGAGAATCATCCCGCGGGCATCCTCCGCTAACACCCATGTCCTCCTGCATCTCTTCCTTGCTGTTCGACAGAATGCCCCTCTCCCCTCCTTCAACCCAAAATCGACCCAAACGGCTCACATGCGCCGCTACGTCACCAATCCCATCGACTTCATTCGCCAAAATCCATAAGGCCAAGAGTCTAAGTCAACGACCACTGATGGATCTACTCGTCACGCCGCATATCATGACTGCTTAATGCATCGCTCGCCATGTCAATCTTTCCTCCGCGAACAGATGTCCCCCATCTTCGCGCTGATGGCGCTTTCCCCGGATGACCCGCGGGTAAAATCATTTGTGAAAGCCGATCCCTTGCTTCGCAGTCACAACAGCATTATCCGCACCCGATGATTACCTTCCCGTTTGACTGACCGACGACTCACAACACCCACGACAAGGCCAGATACGATATTGACGCGGTACTAGCTACGCTGCTGTCATACTCTCGCGCACTTGCGCTTGCTGCTGACGAAATTTCCATATGCGCTTTGATATGTGCACAGCTCTTAAAACGTGGATTTCCTCGGCTGTGTCACAATGACTGGCCCCACAGAGTCGAGAGGTCTCGGCACATTGCATCGTTCAAGCGCCACTGATCTACGGTCCCGATTCCCACGCCCACGGCGAACCTCGCCGTTCGGCCATGTTCCGCGTCTTCCTCCCGACGGGCTCACTCACCACGCGCGACGTTGCATTCCACCTGTTCAACAGCGGCTGGTCACCCCGAACACAGACGACATGACCCTGACTTCGCGTGTTCTTTCAACTCGAGGACTTACAATGGAAGTCGTCAGCTCGCTGTTTCTCTACTTGTTTCGGCCCACCGCGGAGAGTGGATTCCCGTCCGCAAGGACCCGCGGAAGTCCGGAGACCTTCCAGCCCTCGCCCTCCACCCCGGCCCACAACACACAAACTCGACGATATAATCCCCGTCCCAGCCGGCCCTCCGCATCGCAGGATTCACGTCTGGATCATCGTCTGCGCCGATGGTTTAGTGGTAAAATTCTCCGTTGCCATCCAGCAGCGTCGGGGAGCCGGGGGTTCGATTCCCCCTCGGCGCAATCTTTTGATACTTGCATGGAATGTGCAGCTCAGACTTCTTTTTGGCTCATCTGCGAGTGTTTCCTTTACCTCAACAGGCCGGCTTCGTGATATCTACACATATGAAATTTTTCGTCTGTCAGTACTGACCTCATCCCATCCGCCTCCGGTTAATGTCCAGAATCGGTCCCGCGTCAGACTTGGGATGTCAGCGTAGAATCAAAGCCTGACATGCGAGTACGAATCTTCGATGAGAAAGCAGTCATCATATCGGTCTTCAAAACCTAGCATAGAAGAAGATGAACGCCGCGGTATGTCTAGTGTGCGCAACGCTGGCGTCCGTCCCATGCAGACCATGAAATAGTTTCTGACGCGCTGGATGATGTAAGTGTGCCAGGTGTTTCGGACTGTGATACCCATTTCCTGTCCGAACTCTGCAGTTGGCTGAATGTTACTGTATTATTCTACGTACTGAAGAAAGCAATGCCTGCATGTCGCTTGTTCGACTGCTCCTATCGTCGTCACTCTCCTCCCGGCGTCGTCTCTGACTTATTCCGCTCCTCGCTCTCGACAATCTTCTGAAGCTCCCGCCAGACGTGGCATGGCACCAAGACCCGGCATTCAGAACATCCCGCGCATTTGCACCGGCAGATTTCTACGCCGGGGCCGTTCTTGTGGTGACAGGAGCAGCACTCCCAGCGACAGCTGCTGATCTGGGCGACACTGAGCTTCTCATTCGGCTGCCTCAATGTCAGCCCCATGAAGTCGCCCAGAGACATGTCGACGTAGGGTCCCCTCATTCTGCTTTCTTGAGTAGATGGAGTCAATGTCTTAGAAGTGTATTGGAATTTGTTGGGTTGTCAAGCCTGAGTATTCTTGATGTAGTTGATGATGTTTCTGAGAGTTGGGTTTGAGTTGGAAGTTTCTCTTGCTGTCTCTTTGCAGGAGTACATGTATATATAAGAGTTTCAGACGATGTTGAGCTGAATCGTTTTTCATCGAATGCAGTGATTCACTATTACCAGACGAATGGCAGTGATTCAGTGCTGGACGACATCTCGCAGTTGCTTAGCTGGGAATGAGAACAGTGAATCAGTGCAAAGGACTTTGGGTAGATAGGGCACTGATGAATGATTGATCTTATTGAACATACGGCGTGGAGTGAATGCTCTTTATGGTCAGTTATTCAGGCGACTTCCTGCTGGAAAAGAACCCATCATTATGGCGGTTATGGTAACAATGCGATGAATGAGTCCTTTGGGGCGAATGAAGCACAACGCTGCGTCCAATGGTTAAGCCGGCATTACTAAGGACACTTAAAACAAATATCGCATTCTGCCTCCAAGCATTTCTGCCGGGAATTCCATATGCTGATGACAGCAGCAGGCCTGACCTGGCATTTGATCCAGGCCCCAGTAGACTATGCTCACACACTTTGGGGCAGAGTTTGTGCCTCCAACCTTCCAGCTTGTTGCATGAAGTGAATAAACAATGTCAGAGTGACCTATTTGTCATGATGTTGAGTGTTTGCCCTTTATTCTGCAAGTGATTACCGACAAGATTGCTTGCTGGATGTTTGCTTGTGACTCTTGATGCTATGGCTGTCTCGGGCTTTTCGTTCGAGGTACCCTGTGCTGCCTCGTGATTGCACAGATATTGGGTCGGAATAGTATATAATGACCCGGGATCTCGACCATGTCGAATCTCTTTTGCTTTCTTTTGAGCAAGATTCGTGTCTCGAGTATTTTCCTCACCTTGCCCAAACCAACGCTCATCTATCCATTGGACCCGCTTACATAGTCAAGATCTCCTCAAAAACGCTCGTCATGAAGGTTCTTCATGACCCGCTTGTGAACAAGCAGGTATTCGAGGATCAATACGGGAAGGACACGGAGAACAGGGACAAGTTCCCCCAGTGATGAATGGGCTCTGTACGCTTGGCTTAGGTAGTTCTTCACAAGGTAACAGTAATAAAAGCAAAGTTTTCAATGACTAATGCGAGTCGTAAATTATTATTGCAGCCTTCAACTCTTTGACTGACTTTACTAAGAAGTTATAAACCACATTGAAATGTGCTGAGATAGTATCGAGACAGAAAGCGTCTGACTTGACAGAACTCTTCAGCTGCGCAGTTGTGAGGAGTTCTGTCGTCCCGCATTCATTCAATTTCGAATAAGTCAGAGACGAAATGAGAAAATAGCTTCAAATCCTCCATGTCCCAGATACCAGCAATTCGTACAATTCGTACGGGTTCCACGTGGAGTCGAAACCATTGGCGATAAGAGCATTAGGGTCCGTCGAAGGGTCCATTGAAGTCGACGAACTCACCCACCAGTGCGTTTATGTCTGAAGTATTTGTAGACCTCGAGATTATCCCCAGTGACGTATTGTTGCATATCTTCCCAGTCGGCCAGAGGCTTCAGTCTCGGATCTTCCTCTGGCATCTCCTGATCTTTGTTGTAAACCATGACCTTTCGCCGATTCCCGGCAACCAGATAGAGTAGTGTCGCACGCTACAGTCGAGTAATGGATTCAAGTAAACAGACTGCTTGATTCGCATTTTCTTCGTAGACTTATACGGCGGGCAATAGCCCCAAATAAGCCACAATTCAAGGAAACAGACGCAATTTTTCAAGCCGTAGAGGTAGCATTCACCAATAATACGCCTCTTTAAATAAGAGCATGTAATGATTTATGAGATTTGAAATTTTCAAGCCCAGCCAGATTTACTGAGCATTTCGAGTTTCTATGTCCTTGGCCTGCCTTATGAGGTCAACCACCGTTTGGTCAAAGGTTCTATACTGAAACCCCAGCTCTTTACTTGCAGTCTGTCCGTCCAAGCCGTGCGAAGTATCTATTTCCTGATCCTCTAGAGCGTTCCCTTTGGCCCACTCGAAGTTCTCTGCCATGATCCTTGCGGCTAGTCCGTACGAAAATCGGTCATTTGCTGTTGGGACATATCGCTTGCCTCCTGCCTCTGGTCTCAAAAGTGCCTCGACATAAGCCACGGCAAGGTCCCGAACATCAATCCAGAACGGCACTCTGGCGACGGGGAGCGGCCTTATTCCGCTAGCAATCTTCCAAAGCATGGCGTTTGACTCGTTGAGCTTCTCGACGCTGGCGACAGGGTGAACAACAGGTCCAAAAGTCATGGGCGGGCAAAGAGTGACAATATCGAAGTGAGGCTTCTTCTCCTTTACGAAGTCCCAAGCCGCAAGCTCGGCGAACTTCTTGGACCCTCTGTAGGCTACAACGGCGCTTGTTTCGGGTGCGGCGGCTTCCTCGTAAGTCAACGGGTTCCAGTCATTGCCCGTGTACGTGAAGTATGGGGGTGCCTTTCGCTCAACATTCAAAACGGAGGCGAAGGAGGATGTGATGACAGTGCGTTGGATCTTTGGGTTTGCTGCCGCCGCTTCTAGAATGGAACGAACGCCATTGATGGCAGGAATAATCAATTCCTTCTCGTTGTCTTTCGTATCGTATGTGAAGGGCTTGGGATGAGGTTCTCAGTATCATAGAACATGGGTTTGCTCAAAACACTTACGCTAGCCACGTGAATGATGCCATCCACGTCTTGGACAGCTTGACTGAAAACCCCAAGCTTCTCGAAGTCTTCGATTTGAACGAAGTCCAGTTTATCAGCAAACTGTGGTCTGGCCTTAATCATGGCATCCCCTTTATCGCGTGACCGGGTTGCACCGCGGACCCGAACACCTCGGGAGAGGAGGACGTCGACAACATGGGCGCCGATGAAGCCCGTTGCCCCCGTCACCAAGACATAAGTTCTGGAGGCATGTTATTAAGGTAGCAGGGGCAGGGAAAGAGGTCTGACATACGGTTGAGTAGACATGTTCCGATTTCGATGAAACCCAAAAAGCACACAAAACAAAGAGCTGAGTTAAATTGAACTGCGAAACCGACGCTGGTCTGGGATGACAAAAAGACTACAGTTTTGCCGAAATATGCAAGTCTTGTAAAAGCCGTACCCGACCTTATTCGAATGCGTCTTGACGCAGTTTTCGTATGACGCCACTTGTTGCAGAAGTCAACAGTTGAAGCGGATGATTATGGCGCTCTTCCCCTCATCAGCGGCATCGGCTGCCGCCTATCCCCACTGCCCCGCGGCAGGATGGACCAACGACTTCGAATAGCCGATGGCGGGGATCGACTTCCCCATGTTCTAGACAACCCAGTTTCCCCGGAATCCACAGTCATGAGAGGGCCTTCTCCCCGGACGATGGGACGTTACTCAAGTAAGTACACGACTTGGTAACGTCGAGCTAGGATACGACTCCTTCATTTGGAGCATGGTTGATTGTTTGCGATCTGGTTCTGTCATCCGCTATATTTGCTTGGCTTTAACGGCATTTACAAAAGCGCAGTCCCTTCCCAATCAAGCTGACCGAGGCCAACTGTCAATGCTATTCTGCGTCAAATATCGAGAGCGTGGGTCCAGATCATTCAAAATCTTTGTCAAAACATTTATGTCTCGCAAGTCGACTCTCTTCAATGACTGGCTTGAGTGACCGTCTCGGCGGAATCCCGCTGATTACTTGCATCACCGTTGTTAACGCTTGCAGCCTAGCATGGTTTGGCTATGATCAGGTAAGTCGTGAAACATTAGATCCAGTATGTTCGGTCACGTTGATGATCTTCACGATAGGGAGTGTTTTCGGGCGTCCTCATCTCCAGCGACTTCAAGCAACACTTTCCCGAAACGAACAAGGCCAATATATCTGGTATCACGTCCAGCTGCTTCTCTGTACGCGTTTCTCAAGTCTAATATTTTGTGGAATAACTAAGACAATACAGCTGGGTGCCTTTTTTGGTGCTATCACTGCATTTGCAGTAGGAGACAATCTTGGCAGGAAAAAGACGATAACTCTTGGACTCTTCTGCAATGCCGTCGGGGCCATACTTCAAATCGTTTCTTGGCATCTTCCACAGATGATCATCGGCCGCGTGATCAATGGTTTCGGCATGGGTATGATCGAGATTTCGAGAAAACAAAATTAATCTTTTGGCTAATTATCATGATTCCAGGCTTGACATCTTCCACTTGTCCCGTATACCAAGCCGAATGCTCGAAGCCCACAGTCAGAGGGAAACTGGTCGTCGTAGGTTCTCTGTGCAATACAGCTGCTTTCTGTTTGTCCAACTGGATGAATTACGGCTTGTACTTTCAAGGAGGGGCTTTGCAATGGCGGTTCCCATTGGCATTCCAGCTCATCTTCCCTGTTGTGGTATCTGTTGCGCTGCTCTTTGCCCCTGAATCTCCAAGGTGGCTGCTATTAAAAGACAGACATGAAGAAGCACTTCATATCATTGCTCGACTCGCAGGGAAGCGGGTTGACATCCACAACGAAAACGTCACTGCTGAATTTCTCTCCATCAAATCGGCCATTGATATGGAGCGGAGTGATCGTGTTGCCGTCAAGGACGTTTTGATGTTCAGGGATAAAACTCAGAACTTTCGACGCGTGCTGTTGTCCTGTGGTACGCAGATGGCACAACAATTCAGCGGAGTCAATGCTTTGGGTAAGTACATTCGGGTTCTCGGAAAGTCATCACCAGGGCTTGCTGACTGTTTAGGGTATTATCTACCGACTCTGTTACAGCAAAGCGTGGGGTTTGACCAACAGATGAGTCGACTTATGACAGGAGTCAACGGTACCATCTACCTCGGATCTGCCTTTTGCTGCCTACTTCTGATCGACAGATTCGGCCGCCGCAAGTAAGATTTCAGTATCGCTCTCTCGCAGCAGTAACTGACAGCATCTCAGAATGATGCTCTACGGAGCTACCACAATGGGCTCCTGTTACTTGATTGCTTCGATGTGTCTCCGAGCTGGGGACGCAAATCCAGCCCAGAAGCGAACGGTAGGGCCTTGACTTGTCTGTGCAGGCTAATTTTGCTCACTGACACACGATTAGATGGGAAATGTCACCACCGCGATGTTCTTCATGTACTATTTCTTCTACGGAACCAGCTTTGCTAAAGTTCCATGGGTATACAACTCGGAAGTGAACTCTTTGGGCTGGCGAACTCGCGGTGCAGCGGCAGCTACAGCAACGAATTGGATCGGCGGCTTCGTTGTGACCCAGTTCACCAAAGTTGGGGTTGACAACCTTCACTGGGGATTCTATCTGAGTATGACCCGTGAAAACCTACTTCTGTGCCCTCAATTAACCGGCCACTAGTCTTCGCCGTAATCTGTTGGGCATATTTCCCAATGGTCTTTTTCCTGTACCCCGAAACGTCGAACCGAACGCTTGAAGATATGGACCAGATCTTCATCCGAAACCCGTCGCCATTGGTCTTCGGCAAGGCAGAGCTGACGCAGCGCAAGAGACCACAGGCTTTCATTGATGCGGAACAGACACGCATTGCTGATGCTGAGAACACGGAAATAGGGAAAGAGGTGTCAGTTGCAACGGTTCAGCACCGGGACATGGCATGATAACCAGGATTGGCAGTTGGTCTACTGCTTGTTTTCGCTGGCAATTAACAGCCGTGGCTTTCACTGAAATGCCATCCGAGAATCGAAGGCTTTTCCATCGTAGTGAGACTAGATTCATGAATAACCACCCAAGAGCTACACCATCGAAGTAGCCTGTTAGGCTTTTCCTGCGACCCTCCATTTCTCGTCGTCCTTACCGCTGTTGTTACTCTTGTTGCCCTCCTTGGCCGTTTTGCTCTTACTCTCTGTTTATTCATACCTATTATCTATCTCATATCCTCTACTCCAAGCTACACGATTCTCTCAGTACATGAGCTAAGAACCAGAGAGAGACCTAGTACAAAAAGGAAGTCTAGAAATGGCAAATTTGTAGTTCATGAGACTACTGTAGTACACTAGGACGAGTGCACGTCTGTATGATTAGTGATCATCTTCCTGGGCCGCTGCGAAGGATTCTCGATATATGATTGATTCCTTGAATCCTTGCCAGTCTTCTTCATGTATTATACCTAATGGCCTGTCGATTTGTATGGATTCCGTTACTCCACAACAGCAAGTTCAACAGGCGTGCTTCGACTTGGCTTCCCCGCATCGGGGGGAGGCGGCACGACTAAATATGCAGCGGCACGCCAACCGTTGCCGATCTTCCGACACATGAGAAACCTCGCGCGTCTGGGAGGCTTGAAAAAGCAGGTCTGGAAATAAGATGGAGTTTCCAGAGGGATTCGGGGACGCTGGTGGTGCAGCTTATGGGTTGGGTCTGGGTCTAAGACTCCGCTCCGAAATTCCAGTACAACGCGTCATAAAAGCCTTCCAAGTTCCGTCCCTGAGTTGAGATGTCGTTTCTTGCAGCAATCGTTGCCCGACTTCTTAATATACTTAAATCTCAGAACCATGGCTTCCCTTAAACATGTCGAAGTTGGTGACGTGAAGATTCTGGGCTTTACAGTCATTGATATACGATTCCCAACAAGTCTCGACGGAGTTGGCTCCGATGCCATGCACGTTGGCACCAATGGCTCCCATCCGTACATACAGCTGCACACAAACCATGAGAATCTCATAGGAGAGGGCATCGTATGAACTCATTTGCGTCATCTTTGAAGGAGACCGAGAAACTAAACCCTTGGACAGGCATTTAGCAACGGCCGTGGAAGCGAGCTCGTTTGCATGGCTCTCGACGTCTTCGCTAAGAGGGTTGTCGGGAAGACCATGCATGAACTCACACGTAATATGGGAAAGACTTGGCGATATATGGTCTCGGACTCCCAGTACCGATGGATCGGCCCTGAGAAGAGCGTCACACACTTGGCCGTTGCCGGAGTTTTGAACGCCGTCTGGGACCTCTGGGGCAAGATTCTGCAGAAGCCGGTGTGGCAGATCGTTTGCGACATGAGCCCGGAAGAGATTGTGCGGTGTATCGACTTTCGCTACATCACAGACGTCATTACACCGGAAGAAAGCGTTGACATGCTGAAGAAAACAGAGCCCGGAAAGCAAGACCGGCTGCGGGAAGCGCGGGAAAACTGCGCTGTCCCGGCATACACTACGTCTCCCGGCTGGCTTGCTTTCTCGGGCGATCGTATGAAACAGGTTCTTGAAGAGACAATTGCCGAGGGATACACAGTCTTCAAGTTCAAGGTCGGTACGAGCGTCGATGCTGACCGCGCCCGATTGTCGGCGGTGCGAGAAGTTCTTGGGTACGAGAAGGGCTACCAGATCATGATCGATGCGAATCAAGTAAGTTTATACCGATCTCAGCAGGCTTCATTGCCGTACTAACACTTATTAAGGTATGGAGTGTTCCAGAGGCAATCGACTACATGAAGAATTTGGTTGAGTTCAAGCCGGTATTTATCGAAGGTATTAAAAGATTGCCCCCTGCGCCCCTCTCTTTTGGCATTCTGACGTAAAAGCAGAGCCAACAAACCCTGACGACGTCCTCGGTCACGCCACCATTCGGAAAGCTCTCAAGCCGTACGGAGTTGGTGTCGCGACAGGGGAAGCCGCGCAGAACCGCGTGACCTTCAAGCAACTGCTTCAAGCTGAGGCAACAGATGTCTGCCAAATCGATGCAGTCCGCCTCGGCAGCGTTAACGAGTGCTTGGTAGGTCTCTGGCTCTCATTCACGTTTAACAAAAGCTAAAGATGTGTGGTTCCAGGCGGTCATGCTTATGGCATTGAAATTTGACGTCCCATGCGTACCTCACAATGGTGCCATGGGCCTCACCGAGCTCACCTCCCATCTCAGCACCATTGACTACGTCGCTATCAGCGGCAGAAAGTCAATGCTCGAAAACGCCGACAGTCATCGGGAGAACTTGCGCCACCCTTCCAAGATCATGAATGCTCATTATGTGACGCCCCTGGCGCCGGGCTATTCCACGGGTTACACGGATGACGCCCTCGAGAAGTACACATACCCCAGTGGAAGCTTCTGGAAAAGCGATGTTGGGCTTCGTATTATTGATCAGCCCACCGGTGGAGAGTTGTAACTGTGACAAGACTGTTTTCATACTCTGGAGAGCAATCTTTGCTTCTTTTGCACATCTTCAAGGATCGAGACGACTGCTTCCAAGCTGGAAATTGCCCATGGTCTGATGTTTGTTATCGCGAGCGTTTGAAGCTGGTCAATGTCTGGACATAAGTGTCGCAAATGTGGACTTAGGGAGGACAGTGTTAAGACAACTATAGCCCCAAGAGATCTGTTTGATGTTAGATATGTTTGCGTTCATGTGATGGGTGTTCCTTACGATAGAGAAAATGTCCATGTGTATTGGCTTGGGCCTTTAAGGATGGTAGACGTATTGTGCAGGTAGAGTCGGCAACTTTCAATACACAACTGTGCCTTCTCTAGTATCGTCGGATCGGCGATATCGGTGTAGCTAAGCCCACATATGTAGAGAACAAACGGTCTATAGATAATGTGTCGGGCCGCGAACTAGCGTATGCGAAGAACTGTCTCGCGATCATGCCGACATGAATCAAGCCCAAGAGACGGCCTGTATTGCTCTGGGATAGAGGTGTGCCACATGTCCAGTTGTCTATGAAGTTCATCGCATACGGCGGACATGGCGGAGATCTCTTCAGAAGTAAAAGTGTCGCAGGCCGAAAGTGTTGTGGATGATAAGCTGAGAACATGGTCCCTGCGCGGATAAATCGAGTTATGTACCCTGTTCAGAAGCCGCCGGATAGAAATCTCTGCCAGGTAGCTTGTGGACTCCATTTCTCCGAGATGATTGCAGTTTGGTAGGCTTGTCTCGTCTGTAAGCTGCTGGAGACTGCTTCTGGGAAGCTCGAGCTCGGCAAGACGGTCACACTCTATCAGGAAGCAAGACCAGAATAGCCGTAGAGTACTTTCGATGGAATCAAGTCCCTCTGGCGCCGTATCGAGACTACAAGTAGCTCATTAGTAGATGGCCTTTTTCATGCAAAGACTTCTTGAGATGTTATTCCTACCCAGAGAACTTGAATTGAAGTATGGATGAAGCAGAATACACCAGCCGCCAACTCTGCAGGGGGCGAACTATGTAAGCGAAATAGAGACTTGCTAAGACCATTACTTGTGGCAAAATTAGTCGATAACAAAACGACCATGACGACATCGCCATAATGATTGGTAGAGCACGTTGCATGTAAGCCATGCCTGGGGGTGAAGTGGCCAACTTCAAGGGATCGGGCGTCGAGCAAGACACTTCACCGAGTGCGAATACTACCATACAGAGTGCTGATTCTACGCTGGAGTTCGTTCCCTGTTCAAGAAATTGGTGGTAAATGCTCGAGAACTCCACTTCATCCAAAATTGGATGGTGCAAATGAGCCGAGGCGAAGAATACAGAGACCAGCTCGTCCGTAACGTTTCGATCGATGTCGATTCTAGGCGGAGGAGTCGACCATGTTTCGGCGGATAATTCGGGTGGCAACGGATTCCGGGATTCGATTTTGAAGAAGAGGTCTCTTGGGTACTCTCCCACGAGTGTTTGCATTGCTGGAAGACTTAGGAGATAAGTCGAAGATGTCTTGTGCTTAATCGGAATCGTCAACGGGGCCAGAGGGGATGCGTCGGCCTCTGCTCCGAATCCTATGGTATCCCAGGGACTCCAGGCCGGCCGAGTAGGCAATGCTTGCTGAAAGGTTTCCGAAGGTGAGGCTTGGCTCTGCTGTGAAGCACTGTTCCTGATTTGAAATGGGAGCGCTGCGATGCTGTCTCCTTGGCTCTCAATCAACTCCTGGATGTCTCGTAATCGGCCCAGAATCTCCCGAGTGCCCCCAGATGTGTCGATTCTGGAAATTCTTAGTTCCAAAGCTTGATGGACGGCAGGATGAGACTTCTTTTGTCATGCGATGGCTGTAGCATACCTCTGGGAAGGGGCCTCGTCGTACTGGCAGTCTACGTCCGCCTCAACGCAGTTTTTGCAGCTGGGTTTTGCGGCATCACATCTCCGCTTACTGTCTCACAGTAAGAACATTTCAATAGATACTTCGCTGGATAACGCCTTACCGGTGGCGGCAATACGTGCACGCGAGAGCTGTTCGTCTGCGGCCGAAACTCATACCTATGCAATCACTTCGTGGAGCATTAACAAGTTGGTTCGTCTTGTGCGGAGTTCGTTCAAGTCTGGGCGTTTTCCGTCTTCCCCTCATCTTTCCATAGATCCGAAGTCAGGCCCTGGAACTGCGGGTAAATGTTGGCTAGTCGCATGCAGGATGCGTCACCTGTCGTGTGGGGAATGCGGCCACATGCAAACATGATTTCAGCAGTAGTGTCGAGGGTTTGTTAGGTTGTAAGAGTAAATCGATCTAAATTTGTCCCTTTCTGAAGACATGAGGCATTCAGGACTTTTAGGCCAATTGTTGCGACTTGGGAAGTATGAGATTGGTGATGTGGTGGACTGCATCAGTTGCCTTGAATCAGATCTATGTCCAGTGTCCTCACAGTGAACGTCAAAGTTGGATTTTGCCAGTCTATGTTTTCCATCTCCTTCTAACACTATATTATTAAGGTGGAATCCTTTTACCCACTTGCTCACTTAGCTGTTGATGCTTTAAGTCTTAAAATATAGTGATAACTCCTAAGGTAGTAACTGGTAAATTGAATCAGCCTGACTCCTACGCAAAAATGTTGACGTCCCAGGATGTTAGCCCGCCTCAGCTGCCCTCGTACGAGACTCTTCAAGCCGCCCAACAGTGGGTGAGACTCACCCCCGAGGCCGGCCGCCTCTTCTGGACGCTCGAAGCCCCCCTGACCGAAGCCGTCTCGGCGATGAGGAGCGAATACAACCCCCGATCCGGCATCCTTCGAACCCGCCGCCGAACCCGCTGATCGAGTCGATGACAAACCCGGAGGGCGGGCCGCAGGAAGTGATGGACAGTATGGGATGGTAACTAGATGAAAGGCGGCCCCGATCTTTGGCGATATCAAAACACCGGGGAAGAAGTCAACGCGGCTGGTGCCTGGAGTTCCCTCATGTGGCCATAGAAGGACACGTACATCATATGCCGTCTTTCCAAATTGAATATATATCGTGATATTTCGAGCATCTATGAAAAGGGACATGAGTCTCACATAGAAGGTTCAAGTTTATTCATTCACAAAACGTGAAACACACACACTCAGGAAAGCTAAATGTTCGTGTCGATCGTATAGGTGTAGCAGTTGTTGCTGACCACGTCGCCCTGCTTGTTTTTGATGACGCCGCAGCTGCAGGCGTCGATGGGTACGTCCGTTAGCAGCTTTGTCTTCACATGAGGTGTAACAAGACCGTCTTGTCGTCACCAGCAGACTTCCTGGTCATGAAGGCATGTGACGACAGCGACTCTTTCATTCTCGGGGAGTCTTCTCAGGAACGTACAATCTCAAGCCAAACGTAGAAGTGTTAGGCATTCTCAATAAGGTAGCTGGCCATAGCAGTAAAATTAGTGGCTGAGGAGACGAAATAACCATGGTATGTGTATTGTTAACATTTAAGTGAAGGTTTAGGGGGGCCGCATAAGAAGCCGTGATTTACTCGTGTAGAACCAAATTACTCTCGCGTTGCGTGCATTCTATCTAGGAGACTACCAAAACCGACTGTTAGTTGAGTTGCGACAGCGCTCATCTTGACACCATCTTTCATGACGAAAACCCTCATCCTTCTCATAACTTGTTGGTTCCAATCTGCTGAGCCATCGACATGTTATTCCCCTCCTGTCGGCTTTCAGTTGCCTCGACTTATCGGAAAAAGCGCCAACAGTCTCCCCTATATCTGAAAGTCTGCCTTCCAAGAAAATGTGTCGACCATCTGAAGTCCACTCGTAATGATAACCACAGTAAGCGCAGGAGGTTTCATGCCCGCTGTCCCCGTGTCTCTCTGATATTGGGAACACCCCGATGCGCTCTTCCCGGCCTGCACCCAGGGTTTTACCGCAGCAAAACGACTCATGTATTCTTGGGCCACGGCTGTGGCACTGAGATGCCCGAGCCGATGGCTCCCGAAAACAGAGGCATCGGTACCACTCAAACACCTTCATGAGTTGTTCTCTGTCGAATGAGACATGGGAGCACAGCAATCCAGGATACTCTCGGTTGAAAATCTCGAGTCTCTTGCGGAGGTGGTCTTTCACAATCACTTCTCCGTCCCTCAGGGTATGAATCGGCGCTTTCCATGTGAGAGTCAACTCGCCTGGACTACTCACCGCACTAGCATCACCGCGGGTGATTGTCGGAGGGGTTCCGCTCGAGCCAAAGGCATCGGCGCATTCGTTGCATCTGAGGAACTGACCAGTATGATTCGTTGGTGCCCCTACCCAGCTCTGAGTCGTCGACCATGAAATCCGGCGATGTGGGCAGATTCGGACCCTGCCCTCCCATCCAATACAGAGAGGCTCCTGGCGCACCAGTTGAGAGTGAGAAAACCAATGGGGCAAGTGCTCGACGTGGCAAGCTGAACACATAATTCTATCAACCCCAAATTGGCACAGAAGTAGTTTCATCTCACTCTGTTCGAAGTACCTCATGCATTTCATACAAAAGCTCTTGCTCAACAATATGTACCTGAGACGTGTCTGATCCGACCCATGAAGCGCTCTCGGATTGAATATGAGCCCCGGTATGAAATGAGGATCTGGTGCCTTGAGGCCCTGCGCTTCTCGTTCCAACCGAAGCTGCCAAGGGATCGTTGGTTGTACTGTGCTGGGATCGATGTCGATCTTGCGGTTATATTTCGAAAAGGTTGCGTCGCCAAAAAGCTCAAAAAACCTGTGTTAGACCTGCCGTATTATGTAAAGGCCCGGGGCTTCGAGGTTCTTCATGATATCCAGCAAGAGCTCGTCGGCGAGACGATATATCGTGCTGTATAAGTAGTTTGCTTGTCGTCTGGCCTTCCATGATGTGTCATATCCAGTAGGAAGGCCTTTTGGTTTGAAAAAAGACAAATCATGTCGAAAGGTGAAGATTGCTTCGGTGTCTTTTCCCGACGCGACGTGCAGCATTTCTTGTTCCATTGTATTGTTTTCTTGTGACATAGAGGATATGTATAGAGGGACGTTTAGCGAAAATGGCGGTGTTTGGGAAACTTCTTAAAAGGTCAAGAATCTCTGCGTCTTCTATACCGGGCATACACTAGGTATGGTTGAATAAACTCTATTGGTGAAGGTTTCGTTTATGAATCCCGACATCCCAATAAGCCCCATGGCCGCATAGTGTGCGTGTCATCGATCAACTCAGAATGAAAAAGGTTCAATAAAATTTCATTGATTTCTGAAAGTTCCCAGTTGCTCGCTCAGGTTGAGATATCGTCATGGGAAGGTTTTCACGGTTGGGACGTTCCAGTGCAGGTTGACACATGTCCAGACATGAAGATCGATGGGCCGAACCCTGGTTGCCCTAGAATGAAGCCCGCAAATAGCATTCAGGCGCAGGCCTCATACTCAGTTGACGTTATGTTGAGACCCTTTTCGATGTTTGGAGGCCCCGGAGCGTCTCGAGACCAAGAACCCCCCGGATAACATTGTTGTCAGAAAAGAGGACGGGCGTTGCATACTCACAAAGGCAGATGGAGTAGCGGTGTTCGAGAAGCATGTGAACCCGGCTATAACTGCTTATCAAAAGGAAATCTTCTTGTTTATTAACGACATGATCACTATCGCCGTTATCGCCGCTATTCGTCATCACCGTTGTCATTATTGCTGTTGCTGTTATTGCTGTTGTTAGTGTGGTTGTCGTTGGTGTGTTTGTCGTTGTCGTTGTCATCGTTATTGCCGTCCTTACTACCTTTGCTGTTGTCACTGTAGTATTCACTCCGTATCCATCCCCATGTACTCACGTCGCAGGACGAATCCGGACTCGGACCCGAAAGCCTTCGGCGAAGTGGACCCCAACATCCCCGAACCAAACCCAATCTTCCGGACCCGACCCCGTCCAACCATCCTCACACCTCCCCCAATCCCCAATCCCAAACCTATAAACCACGCGGATGTGGGAACCCCCCTCCCACCTCTCGGCCCCCCGAGACCTCCATCCTTAAATCAGCCTTAGCAGAGTCCAGACCACCTGCAACTCGCCCCCGAGGGTAAGGATCTTTCACCACGGCACGCCATGCATCCAGGAGCCTCGCCGCATGAACTCTGCGTCTGTTCGACCACTCACACGACGGCGGCGGCGCGGGAACGGTTCATGCGTGGATGGGGAGGGGGACCCGGCTGGGGTCATCCTCGGTTGAGGCGGAGGCCGGCCGGGTGGGGGAGGGGACCCTTGTCCTGGGCGGCCTGGCGTTATGCGTGGTCTTGGGAGCGGCATTGACGACTTCCGTGTTGACGTGAATGAGGGCTGATAGACGCTCAGTCAAAATCGCAACATGTAGAAGCTACCTAGGTTTACGCTGATTATGTAGGCTCTGCATGAAGAAAGACGCGGCTGCTCCCCAGTGTAATCAGTCGGTGACTAAGACTTATCATTGATTTCGGTTGCTCCCTCTATGTCTGCTGGAGCAATGTGGTGTGGTATCTAGTGTTACAGTGTCCTAATGAAGGTAGGTAGGTATCTTGCATGCGATGTCTTCGTGGAAGGTCATAATCCACTCGCGTTTTGTTGGTGCCCCGTTCCCCATCAACTCCTTCTTCCTCCTCTCGTGGGAGTTACGACCCAACGCCTCAGTGATGCAGACAAAGGAAATCCGGTAATGTTACATATTAGTTGTTAAGCCAATAAGTGCTCGTTGGTTGAGCGTCCTGCTCTTTCTAGTGTATCATGTCTCGACCTGCTCCTTCGACACCTTCGTTCCAGAAGCGTGGTTGGGCGATTCCTCGTTCTGTCCCGCTGGAGAATGCTCCGGCGCAGTCGTATCAATCGCATGCTCTCCTCTAACTCGGAAATAAAGACTAACGGCGATCATACCGTTGTCCCGCTCGACGATGACTTCGAAATATCCCTACCACGCGAGGATCAAAATCGAGAGGAGAACGATACAAAGATTTGTCGTAGAAAGTCTCGATGTCGCTCCCGCATCATTGCTGAGCAGCAAAGCATCCAAGGGATTAACTGGGGAGCTTGCTGTTGCAGTGCTCTGAGGCATCGCTGCGTTCGTCGTGGTCGATGTAACGACAGTGGTGGGTGCTGCCGGCGGAGGAGAGGGTGGTGGTGGTGGTGGTGGTGGTGGTGGTTGAGCGGGAGGCGGTGCAGCAGTACTTGACGGAGGAATGACAGGAGACTGGCTCGACGGTGGTATGATGACCGGCGTTGTCGCCGGTGGAGGAATGACCGTCGGTACGGTGGTGACCGGCGGAGGAGGCGGCGGTGGCGGCACTACCACGACACTCGAAGATGGTGGCGATACGATCACAGTCGAACTCGGCTTAAGAGTTGGTGCTGCTGACGTCGGCTGAGGCTGGTTGCTTGGGCAGAGGAGACCAACGAGGTTTCCTGCCAAAGCCTGGCCCAGTAGAGTGTTAGTCTGCACCTGGACTGCCTGGCATGCGTCCTTGAGGTTGTCCTGCATGCGCAACAGGCCGCGCCTACACGAAGCCGAACATGTCGCGCCGGATGCGAAATCGTTCGCTGTGCATCCTTGGATGGGGTTGTTGTAGGCCAGTAAACAACCCAAAGGTACGGACAGCTGGGTGATGAGCTGAAAGTTTGAGAGGGTGAGAGAAGTTCCTCCGATGCTGATGATGGTTGCGGTTGAGGCGGACGCAAGGAACAAGAGTTGAACCAGGCGCTGGTGAGGGCGCTGATATTTTGACGTCGTCATGTCGGCCGTGTGGTTCTGTTCGTCGTCGAGCGTGAGTTGTGATGAAGGGTCCTCAGGCACGGTCGCCTTCGGTGCGAATTGAGTTGGGCCCGTCTCTCGCGAGCTGTGTCGCTTCGATATCGTTTGTTGTGTTTTCGTGGCGTAGAAGTTGTTTTAGTCGCAGTTGTTGAATTCTCGAAAACGAACCGACAAAGCGGCCAGGAATATGGATTGGAGCAAGCTTGACAGGCCAGGATGCGGCTGGCTGGGAAGCTGTCGAGTTTTGGGCTGTCAATGACAGCGGCGGCGGGAGGGCAACCGAAAACACGAGGGTCGAAACGTCTCGCGTGTCAGAGGCCGCTGGGAATGACGGCAAGATCGGCTGGGAGAAGAACCACGGTCAATGCGGGACCAGGGACCAGCCAGGGTTCGTAAAAGCTGGGACGACCAGACAGCCGGGTCCTAGAAAGAGTGGAAAAGAAGAGAGAGGGCTGAGGCGATGATGACAGAGATCTGGTGCGGCCGAGGCGGTCATGCAATGTTCTTCTGGGGCTGATCACGTCAATGCCATGAGGTTCTCTCGGGATATTTGGAGTGGTATTCTTTTCTGGCCGGTGTTGGTGAGACAGGGATGGCGATGGGCCTTGTTACTGCCACACGAAGATGCGATGCACAGGATAACCGGCAGTCTGAGTGGAAGAGAAGGTGAGGAGAGGCCGGAAACTCGGCCAGAGAAGAGACGAAGAGTAAAGATGGAAATGTCGCTGGCGAAGATGCCTGCCGATCGTGGTGCTGCCGAGAGGAGAAGGCAGTCAGTCGTGACAGACGTTAGGCCTGCGCCAATTGAAGGGACGTTCGTTGTAAGTCGAGGCAGCTGCCAAAGACTGACTTGAGTCAAGAGAAAAGGAAAATGACGGTCGATCTTGTCTTTCCTTATTGTGAGCCGACGAGTCTTCTCTCTGGGCGGTCCCGTCGTCCTCCACTTGATAAACCCCAGACCAGACGGATGGCGTTTGTCCGAAAGGCAGTCAGTCCAGGTCGGTGCAGGACCATTCAAGCCGGGGTCGAGATGATTAAGGTCTCAAGGTGCGATTCGCGGTGGCACCAACGGGCAGATGCGTTTTGTGTGCCGGAGGTCGGACCGGCGGTGGACTGAGAAGAGTACGGGTGGTTCGTATGTGTCGGCAGCCAGATACAGAGAGGCGGGCAAAAAGGGCAGAGGCAGGGAGAGTACGATCAAACACTGTTGATCTGAAGTGAGGTGGTGAAACGGGAAGACGCCGTCCGCTGCTCAATGACACCCAAACAGGACTGCTGTGACCGTTTTTGACTTTTCAGGTTTGGCCCAAGTTTGACACGGGTGCCGAGGACAAGATGCGGGTGGCCTTGGATGGAAAGCGGAACAAACAGCAGAAGAGGGAGAGGGAGAGAGAGAGAGAGCGGATTACGGGACGGGATAAGACGCGGGTGTTGAGGTCAAGATGTAAACGAAGATGAGTGAGTCTCATTCACTCTCTGGACATGGCATCACCAATCGACCTCGTTTCCCCGGATGATCTCAATCAGGATGGTCTCTTCCATTCGGCCAACAGCTGGCCATCGCGCATCTCCCGTCGACGTGCTGGATGCCATAGCTCCAATCCGATGCATGCCAGACGTGCCTCGCAGCCATCCGCGCCTCCGTGCAAACGCCATGTCGCCATCTGACAGGTTCAAACTTTCGGAGGCCATCAAACGAACGGCCAAGGAGTGGCAGCATCAGAAGAGCCAGTCAGGGCCGCGAATGCTGGACCCTTTTCGAGGCCCCGTGTCAGGATGATGTCTGTCGGCCAGGGGGAGGGAGTTGCCCACGGATGAACGCGCCGAGCATCAACGGACAGCTCCTAGCCAGTGGTGTGGAGGGATTCGGACATGATGTATGTAATGTAAGGTAAAGGTAAAGGTACTTCAGAGGAGAGGATGACGGGAGGAAAAACGAAACACTTTTCGCGTTTGAGGTGACGATGCAGCTGCCCCTTTGTGGGTCTGTGATTGGTTCATGTCACACCGGGGAGACCAGCTGGCCGCGCTGAAGCCGCCGTCATTGGGGGGCAAGCTGAGCTCTCTTCTGGCCAGTCAATCGCCTCATTAGCATTCAGCATGGCATCAGGTCTCGCCGTGTCTGATGGGACTGGACGGGATGAATCGTTCTCCGCGATGGATGAAGTGAGTGAGCCTATCAGTGGTCTTAAGCTTGCACAGACGCCTCCCGTCGGTTGCGCCCGAATTGGAGCTGCAGCAATGCCCCTGATTTGCTGTATGAGGGCACTCTGGGGCCGTACTCGCTTCGTTAGCCACTGAAATCCAACTTCAACTCACCTCATTAACTTCCCAACTCCAAGCACAGCAGTTCATCCAGTCAATTCCAAACTCTGAACATTTTAGGGGTCACAAACTCTGTCCGACTTCATTCTAACTCCAGTCGGGACAATTGGACGTCTGGCCAATGTCTTGAAAACATTCCACGACATCGTTCCATCTTCACAATGCCCCAGATGAGATGCGACTGAGCAATCAACGCTGGTATCTGATTTTCAAATGCCTATCTCATACGAATACGCTGGTTTTTCCTCCCTCTTATTCCTGCATGGCTTCGCTGAGCTGATGACGCAACAACTCGTATCGTTCCATGTGCCCCGACGATTTGACAAGGGACACCGGCTCCGTGAATATTACCTCCCTGAAGACCAGCCACAGCTTGTGTAGGTGGAAGTAGTTGGACTGTTCGTCCAGTATGATATCGGGGGCGAATAACAGTCGGACGGTAGCAACCAAGACGACGTCCTCCACCTGATTATTCCAATATGCCTGCAGTGTTTGATGAAGGACGAACCACTGCCTAACATCAAGGGCTTCCTCCGCCATCGCCCACCACTCTGCGAGGAACCTCTCTGCATCGTCGTTGTAATCCTCTGTTGTTTGTGTGTGCGCACCCCGGCCTTCCTCCAGCGCGTCCGCCGGTGATTCCATGAAAAACAGGTAGTATTGCTCCGAGTCTAGAATGACGGAGCGCATCGCGTCTCTGATGCCATTATCCGCTGGCAATCTCTCGACGAGACTGATCCATTGCTCTATGTTGTGTCTTTCTTCCGGTTCGTGATCAGATGAAGTGAGGAGTTCACTGAGAGGTGTATCTGGCTGAATTTCCTCCCTTGGCAAAACGTCGGACGTGGCCTCGTGCACCACCTCTTGTTGTTGCTGTGTGGGGATTTGATTCGGTTGCACAGCCTGCGCGGTCTCTTCCCGGGATGCGCGCCGTTGCCACAAGTCGGTAAGATTATTGATAGCTCGCATCAGGTTATGGGCTTGACCAAGACGTTCCCGTCCCACAGAATCATATGTTCTGGCCCAGGACTGCAGCCATTGAGCATAATCTGTCATGCTTGCGGCCAAGTCCAAGTATGAGCGACTGGTGCCTATCAGTTGATCAACATGCCGAGACTGATCTCCTAAATACCGGAGAAGTTCGTTGAGTTCTTGTTCTTCGTCGTTCGGGACCGATGGCTGGTTTGCTAGGCCGCCTAAACCAGACGAGAGCGGATTTTCGTCTGGTGAACTGTATCCATCTGAAAAGGACGCCGAGTCGTCCGTGTCAAAAGTGAGGGCATCTTCACTCGGCAAACTGCCTTCATCTGAAGAGTATCCAGAGTCGTGATCGGAGCATGACCAGTGGTCGGCGGATGGAATGATTGGGGTCTGATCAGAGAAGGATGTGCTGTGGTCTTCCGAAGACGGGAGGCCATGATAGGTCCCGCAACCTAACATCGTTGCATGGAAAATGTATACGGCTTCGCGAATCACGGTCTGCCTAGGCAAAAAGCTGTGTGTGCAATAGTTGCGAGCCAAGTCTAGCGAAAGAAAGCTATTGCGGAGGTTTGATGAAGTCCGAGTAATAGTGCGGAAACGAATGCTTGAAAAACGAAGATGTTGATGGATCTGCGGATGATGTTGTTGGAAGAAAGACGTCGGCGAAGTCGACGAAGAGGTGGTCATTCGTATCCATTTCTGGGAGGCGGTGCGACATATTGTGGGAAAGAGCGACTGATGGAAGGCGCATCTTGTCCACGGATGTTTCTGGCAAGATGGAAGTAGCTATGATGGTCTTTATGGTCTTTTCCATCCGTCGTCCATGCCCTGGTCGTGCTCATGGCCAAACATCAAGGCTTGCTATCCCGCAACTTCAAGGGAGTCGCGACCGCTAATATGGCGTTCGGGGAAGGATCTCTCTATCATATGTCCCCCCTTCTTTCCGAGCCTACACAGCCCGTAGAGCCACGGTGTCCATCTCGACATGCACCTTCATCATTACTGTCTCATTCTGGGTCTGCAGGATAAGTAACCAGAGCCCTTCGATGCCGAACGAGATACAGCGCACAAAGCAGAACACCGGGAACAAGTGATGGCAGAGCCTTCACCAGAAACGAATAAGAGATCTATGTCTATCTGTACAGGTACGCAATAGCCACGATAGGTACTGTCCACCCAGGAAACTCCTCGGAAGACCTCTAATCTATCAAAACATGCCGATCTATGCAGACGTCTATTTCGCAATCTCAACACCTCCAGTGGCGCCCATAGCCTTCTTCAAATCGCCGTAGATGGCAAACTGTCCAGCAGTCAGGGCACCAACCATGAACAGACGGGCGGGCAGACCGCTGAAGGAGCCGCGAACGCCGAGCTCCTTGGCGATCTTGATGAGTCTGCTGGTAGTGCTTTCTCCAGGGAGACCCTTGGTCTTGTTGATCTTGGAGAGCATGGTGTCAGCGGGCTGGGAAACAATAGCAGCGGCGAAACCAGCGACGAGACCGGAGCCCAGGTTGATGGTGGTCTGCATGCCGTCGCTCGTCTTGGACTTGTCGAAGAAGTTGGCGTAGGCGAACTCGGAGACCTTCTCGAAGGCGACGAACTTGGTCATGGTGTAAGGGACCCTGTCGCGGCGTCAGTATCGGTATAATCAGCGAGAAACAATAGAGACGTACTGCTTGAAGAGGATGGGACCGAAGCCGGAGTAAAACGCGGCAAGGCCCTCCTGGCTGGCAATCTTGCTGAATCCAGACACGAGGCCGCTGGCGAAACCGGGCTCGGAGACCATGCGGATACGCGTCGCCTCGAGGGGGCACAGCGCAATGTCAGCGAAGAACTCGGCCGCGGCGGCCGAGACGCAGTACACGCCGATACGGTTGTTCCTGGCGTTCTCATAGCCGATGGTGTCAATCGACTTCTGCTTGAAGAACTCGTAACCGCCGAACTTGAGCGCGCCCTGCAGGAAGTAGCCGGCGAAAGTGGGACCGGCGCCGGTGAGGAGGGCACCCGCGCCTTCCTTCTGGATGACCTGGCGGAAGCCGCCGATGAGGCCGCGGTTGTACGTCGCGGGGTCCAGCTGGATACGGGTCTTGACGCTGGAGGGACGTTGTCAGCCTCGACCGATGTTCCGGGCGCGGTCTTCATCGAGATACGTACACGTCGACGGGGGTGAGACCGCCGTGGGTGACACTGCAGCAGACGGCACCGGCGAAGGCGAAGCGGGAGTAGAGGTTGAGGCCGGAGAGCTTCGCGGGCTCGCCCGATGCGGCAGTCGTTCCACTCATCTTGACGGCGATGTTCGGGTTGAGGGGAGATTGGGGTGAAGAGGGGGAGAGGTGAGATGAGTCAAGTGAAATGAGGCTGCACTGAGTGGTGGAAGTGAGGTTGAGAGAAAGGCTGAGTGAACCTGGAGACGGTCAAAAGTCGACTGCGACCACGTGCGTCAATTGTTGGAAAGGGCCGACCCGCTAATAATTCGGGTGATTTGGGACTTTTGGCCGCCCTATCGGCTATGGTGAATTCTGTGGTTGGATGTACCAAAACAAAAAACCCCCTGAAGCTCGGCTGGCTGGGTCCGGGAATGGCCGGGAGATGACCGGGTGCGACCGGGGCTGGCGCCCGGACCTTGGCACCATTTTCCGGGATAATTCGGCCTCATCTATTCTTCTTCGGCACGGCCAATGCTCCGATGATATTTATTTGAGAAGTTAATTGACGGCGCGGAGCCGATACTGCTCCACTCCGATGGGCTTGGTACATCGGTGTTGTGGTTCTAAGGCGTCTTGAATCAGTGGCTTCTCGGTTCACCAACCGCAGAATGTCTTTCCCGTTGTCAATGCCGACCTCCACAGCGATATGTGGCAGAAACAATGCTAACAAGACAAATAAGCTACTTTTCCGCCTGAAACCTGGTCTATGTGCTTCCAGTTTTGGCTCTGAGCCTCAGTTATCGTCCATTCACTGGGTATCTATATTCTTCACCCCTTCCCTTCCGTTTGGCACTACACGGTTGATCTCACACTCATTCTACATATACGAAAGAATCCGGCAGTGGCTCTTGTTCGGTGTAAGAGAACGATCCCCAGAGTACACCACCGTATCAGCCGGGGAATGCTGAAATAAGGGCGCCAAAGTCCCAATACTTGTACCAACACGTTATCGTCACCATTCGCAGCGTGACTTTCGGGATGCCACATCTGGTCATCTGTAAAAGAGTTAGCGTTTCTGCAGTTGGTTCAGACTTTTTGCATCTCGGTGTACACCCGCGCGACACCCTCTCCAATCAGCAGAGCTCTTCTCGTCTCGACACCAACAACCTCCCAAAGTGGTCAGGGGAAGCACGAGCAGCTCCTTTGTAAGCAGGCAATGGTCCTCATCAAAAGCGTTTTTAAGTCCGAGGTGCAGATTTCGCCAAATTGGGTAAATGCCAGGGCGGCTGGCCGCATCGCACGTCTGACACCAAGGATCTGAATCGACAAGGCTTGATGCAACGTCGTGGACTACAAATACTCAGCAACGGAACCTTCAGTTGTTGAAACTACTTTCACAGACTCATTGACTTATATTATAGTTTTTCCAGTTTGAAGTCCATTTACGTCATCCTTCTCATCATCCACTCGCTATGTCCGCTTACGAAGTCAATGGCAAAGTCGCGCTCATCACCGGCGCCGGCTCGGGCATCGGCCACGGCCTCGCCCAGCTCCTGCTCGAGGCAGGATGCTCCGTGATCATGGCCGACCTCAAGCTGCGCCCGGAAGCGGAGGAAACACTATCCGAGCACCAAGGCTCTCCGACGTCCGCGAAGCCGACCGCGATCTTCCACCGCACCGACGTCGCCGACTGGGCGCAGCTGCAGTCCCTCTGGGACGAGAGCTTACAGCACTTCGAGCGGATCGACATCGTCGCGTGCGTGGCCGGCATCTACGAGCCCCCCGAGAGCAACTTCTGGTTTCCCCCGGGCATCGCGCCCGAGTCCAAGGACCCCGCGGACGCGGCCGTCGGGCAGTACAAGATCATCGCGATTAACCAGGTTCACCCCATCCGGCTTGCGCAGATTGCCACGGACTACTGGACCCAGAACAAGGAGATCCAGGGGAACTACATTGCTGTGGCGAGTATCGGGGGCTATGTCCATTCTTTCGAGACGCCGCTTTACATGTCGAGCAAGGCTGGGCTCGTGAGCTTCGTCAAGTCGATGGGTGGACTCAAGAGGTTTTGCGGTATTAGGTATTCCGCCGTGTGCCCCGGCGCTGTTCTGGTAAGCTGCATATGCTGTAGTCACTTTTGGCTCTTCTTTCCTCAAGATTGTGCTGATCCAATTGCATCATGTTATGTTAGACACCCATCTATGATGCAGAGTGGAACAGAAAGGTCACGGAGGATGATGTCCATCTGACCTCCCACGAGTGTGCCGCGGTGGTCATGCGCGTGATGCAAGGAGCCCAGTACGGCGACGGCAGCATCGTTGAGACGCAGAAGGTCGGCACCAAGGACGATTACGAGATCACCGCCAGAGACATCCCGTTGGAGGCCCTGTATCCTAAGATTGAGGGTGCGCCCAACCAGCGACTTGTCGATGACGCGATGAAGACGGCTGCCAGAATCATGGACAAGGGGCTACGAGCCCCGTTTGAGGGATATAATCAGTCAGTGAAACAGAGTCTGTAGCAGACTGGCGTCCGGATAAAGATGTTCATCAGCATTTAGAGCGAGAGAACATAGTTGAGAGGGAGAAATTTGAAAAGAGTATGAAGATAGAGTACATCGTAACCAAGTGCCATGGCTTCAGCTCACGCCAACTTCGCCTCTTTGCACCCCTGAAATCTGGCTGATGAGTGAGATTCGACGGCCTGCTACATCTTGACCCAAATATGCTGACGATCTTCCCTCCGTCTCGCCTCTCTTGCCGCGGCAACGAAGATGCCTCCGACAGCTAGACTTCCACCAGCGAAAGCTTGCGCGCCGACGTAAGAGCCATTCATCTTTGAAATCGGGGCGCCCCCTATCGGAGACCCAACAAGAGCCCCAACCCCTATGGCAGAAAACACGATGCCCATCCGCGAGCCCAGTCTCCGCATGTCTGTTTCCAAGGAAGCTATCGCTGCAGGCAGTAGTAGTGACTGAACACCTCCTATCACTAGGCTGTAGAACGTGGTCCAGCCATAGATCCCGGCCGTAGAATCTACCGCCATCCATGTAAACATGGTCAGTTGGGAACCAAACAGCAGCAGGATGAAGGTGTTAAGCGTTCCCAGATACCTAGCAATAAGGCTGGGCAGGAGGCGGCCGACGAACCCGATGCCGTTGAGGACGAGCAAAAGGTCAAGAGACTCGGTGTACGTCATGCCCTGAATATCTCGGGCGTAGGATGTCAGGAAAAAGAAGCCGAAGAAGACGCCGAAAAACGCCTCGATGATGTTAGTCCATGTTTCCGACAGTCTTTGGATGGAGGCACTTTACGAAGAAACAACCAGCTGTCAGAAGCGTGAAAGCCGGCTCTCGGAATGCGGTCCAGTCCACCAAAGGTTGCGACGGTTTCGATACCGATCTCAACTTCGGCCTCACCGATGCCACGGCTATGGCCAGCGTCCCTGTCTGCACGAACCCGATGGCCCTCATCGTCCATCCGAAACCGACTGTTGGCAGCAACGTTCTCGCCATGCTCGGATACACGAGTCCTTCCGCCACGCTCCCGCAGGCAGCGATGCCCATGGCCAGAGGCAGCTTCTTACGGAAATAGGTCGAAACGACAGCCATCATAGGGGTCTGTAGACACCCGTTTCCGAGGCCGACGCACAGGCCTTGTGCGATGACCAATTGCCAGTACTTTTCGCAGATGGACGTCATGAAAGTGCCCAAAGTGATGAGTATTACCCCGATGATGGTGACATGGTGGAAGTAGCCGGAGTCCGAGAGGCGGCCGGTCACTAGGCCGCCGAAGAAGAGGAAGAATACGGCGAGGGAGCCTATCCACGCAATGTCGGCGGGAGATCGATGGAGATTGTTGACTTGGTAAGTCTGGAAGACTCCGACGGAGATGACCAAGCCCCTTAAGAATGATATGAACGTCAGACAACAGATGACGCTTGTGCCAGGTTTCAAAATGACTGGGAATTAACACACCAAGTATTCATGATGGAGAGGAAAGCTGCCAGAACTTGAGATGGAAAGTTAGTTGCCAACGTGTGCAAAGTTTCATTGGAAACACACCAGACATCCAAGCTGAATAGCCACCGTCGGGCGGATCGTCGTGAGATTGCGCAGACCTGCTTCGTTCATAGTTTGACACCTCTGCGTTCATATTGTTGAGTTGAACACGGAAAGCACCGGATGCCTGAGAATGAGTTGCGAGTACGTCTCCTGCAGGGTTGTCCAGGCCGTGGCCGTGATAACTAGTTGGTCTATCAGCAGCCGGCTCAGAGCAATCTTCCGACGAAGAATCAGTCTTCATTGTAAGATTACTACAATGTAGATTTGGGGAAAGAACAAGTCTAAATTGATAGAACAGACTGACGATGAAACTAGTTGTCCCGGGTAGCACCATCGAATCATTTCAGAGACGAAGTGAAGAAGAGCAACAAATGCACCAGGTATTTCAGTTCAGTCAGATCCTTTCAATGAAAATGTCCTCGTAATGAAGTCTCAAAGACCCATAACGTACAAGAAAGTTGATTTCCCATCCACTTACACGAAGCATGACAAACCTCGCGGTCGAAGGGGGCCTTCCCGGTCACCGACGCTAACCCAAACAGGCTTCTTTCACCTATCGCTATCAGATGTTTCCACCCACATCTCCACGTCTACGCTGTCACAACGACGCAACAGACATGAAGATGAAGAGTTCTCGTGAAACTGACAAATGAATCTCGAAACTTGCTGATTCAGGGTTGAAGAAGAGCTGATTCATGTATGATGGGATTAGAAATCGACGTGGTAGCTGAAACGACCTCCACTTGAAGTCAGTTCAGGCATGATCAGGCAGAACATCACGACGTATAAGTCGCCTCGATTTGCAACTATACTTCCAGCCTAAGCCTAAAATCAGACAAGACGTCATCAATCTCTATACAGCTAAAAAGAAGTCTCAAAAGTAATCAACAACAATGTCGTCCTGCCCGGGTTTCAAGAGCAACCTCTCCATCACCTTCATCGGAACAGCCACCGCGATCCTCGACATCGACGGAGTCCGGTTCCTAACCGACCCCTTCTTCCACCCGGCAGAGTCATGGGTCAGTCACGAAAACGCCACCCTCAAAGTCCACCACGACCCGGCCCTTCACCTCAAAGACCTTCCCCCCATCGACGCCGTCCTCCTAAGCCACGAAGACCACTGGGACAACCTCGACGAACTCGGCCGCCAGCTCCTCGACGGCCGCCACGTGCTGACCACCGCCGACGGTGCCGAGAACCTGGCTCCGCGGCCGGGCGTGCGGGGCATGAAGCCGTGGGACACCGTCGACCTCCTCCTCGGCGGGAAGACGTTCCGAATCACAGCCACGCCGTGCGACCACGTCCCCGGCGGCGAGTGCGTCGGTTTCGTCGTGACGACCGAGAAGTTCGGGCATGCCTCCGACGGCCGTCCCAATGCCGTCTACTTCACCGGCGACACCGTCTACATGGACGAGCACGTGCGGATCGGCGAGGAGTTCCACGTCGCCGCCGCGATCATGAACACTGGGGAGGCGCGCGTCCAGCTCCTGCCCCCGCCGGCGCCCAAGACCCAGATCACGCTCGGCGGGAAGCAGGCGGCTCGGCTGTTCCGCGATATCGGGGCTGATTGCATCGTCCCTATGCACTACGATTGTTGGGACCACTTTACCCAGCACGAGGACGGTCTCGCGAAGGAGTTTGAGGCGGAGGGAGTTCTGGATAGGGTTAAGTGGTTGACGCCGGGAAAGGTGGCGCAGGTTTTGGTGGCCGAGGCTTGAATGTTGGACATCAACTCGGAAAGCATTGATGCAGATGTTCTCTTGACTTCGAAATTGGCAAGTCAGTGTACGGACTGCAACAACTAGTTAGTCATTTGTGTGGTTTCAACCTGGCCAAATCAACAAAACATGCAATGTTTTTGAACAGCAAAATACCCCCTCAGAATGTGAATGAGTAAGCCTCCGAAGCTTTTGAACCAGCAACTCACCAGTCTAGCCGCTTCGGGCCCGTAGGATCTACAGAATACGAACGGAGGTTAGACCGGAAGACCGGCCCCTCGGGTCCCACACAGTCCGTCCAATCAACGATCCGATGAATGATGGCGCCGGTCCGGGGTGATCGTCCATCGGTGGGATCGGACGGGTGGTGGAGCTCGTCAAACGCCGGTAAGCAGGCCTGGACTTCGCCTTCTGCATGATCTATTCCTCCTCTCGTTTCCATTCCGTGATTGAAGTGATTTTCAATATGTCTACTTCGTTCTGAACAGCAGGAATATCATAGACTACGGTTCTTATCGGACGAGAAAAAGAGATTAGGTACCGGCGTCTACTAGGCTGTGCTTACGGGCGGGCATAAGCCGAGCTCAACAAGGAGCTACATCGTCAAGAATGCCGTCCCCCATATCGACAGCGGCGAGTGATTCCCGGAAGCGCAAGTCTCACAAGAAGTCTCGGCACGGATGCGGTAACTGCAAACTGCGAAGGGTCAAAGTACGTATGCAACCAAGCTCATTGAAGCATTCCCCCGCCAAGACTCATGGCGAAGGGAGATAACCACATACTGACCTCCCGAAGTGCGACGAGACTAAGCCGGGATGCAAGAAGTGCGTCGCCTACGGCGTGACGTGCGTCTACGGCCCCGCCTCCGACGCCGCCGCCCTGTCGGTCGAGGTGGCCTTCCAAGTCTGCTTGACCCCTGCTCGAAAGACCACCCCTTCACCGGCATCGACAGGCGTACCGGCGCCTCCTCGCTACGTGCCACCCCCGTTGCCGTGTACCGGCTCCGTGGAGAGCCCGGACCCGGCGTACCAGCTTACCGCGGTCGATGTCCGGCTCCTCGAGCGGTTCCAGAAGCGAACGGTCTTGAGCCTGGGAACACCCAGCAGCAGGGAGATTTACGAAAGAAAGACGCTACCCATCGCATTTTGTGTTAGTCCAGGCGCGGAATTTCCCCCGAAGAGAGCTAACTTATCTCGCAGCATCCTTTCTTGATGCACACCATCCTCGCAGCGACACACCTCCACGACATGTCCCTAGCCAACACATCTCCCGAGGGGAATCCTGCGTTCACGTACCACTGGTACCGCGGCGTCTCGATGCTTCATCGCAAGCTCTCGCAGCCGATCGTCCCCTCGGAGCGCGACGCCCTCTGGATCACGGCGGCGCTCGTCGGCGTCGGGTCCTTCGCCAACATGAGCGAGGTGCGTTCGCCGTCTGAAGCGTGGCCCTTGCGCGAGGCCTCTTGGTCGGACCTCGACTGGATGAAGCTGGGTGACGGGAAGAAGCAGGTGTGGAGGCTGACGGACCCCATGCGTTCTGAAGGGATCTTTCGGGACGTGGCGAATGAGTTATACACGCACCTGATGAGTCCGTATCAGTCTTTATTAGGCGAGGAGGATGTGGACTTTCTGGAGAGTCATCTGCCGGCTGGATTTTGTGAGTTGTACGGTCTTCGAGAGGGTCGACCGGAGGACAACCCCTACTGGACCGCGGCGGAGGCGCTGGCGATGTGCTGGAGCGGCCAGTCGAAGCCGGGTTCGCTGGAAGCGGTCAAACCTTTTCTGGGGTTTATTAGCAAGTTGGATCCGCGGTACAAAAGTCTGCTGGAGGAGAAAGATGAGCGGGCCATGCTGATGCTGGCATACTGGTATGCCCGGGTGTGTAATCGAAGACACTGGTGGATGTGGAGGCGCGCCGTGTTAGAGACGCGGGCAATCTGCGAATATCTCGAGAAAAATTGGATCGGGAGGTGGGAAGCTCAACTCATCGAGTTCCCGAGAGGGATGGCGGAGAGTTGCATTTTATAGCACCACTAGGGCAAAGCGAAATCAGACCAAGAACGAGAGATTGTACGAGAACCTATGTCTCGCTGACGTATTTGCTACCTGGTATCGCTGAGTCCCAATGTCCATACCCCAAATTGTAAACAACGCTCGATATCATTTCGTACAACCCGCTTCTTTCCAATCAAAGCTTCTCAGACTCGGCGACTCTGTATATACCAACGGCTACTAATCTCTTTCAGTTACACCGTAAACGTAGCATCATCTCAACGACAGAAACGATGGCGACAGTGGCGATGCAGTTGTGGACTCATGCTCCCACACGCACCTCCTGGCTGTTAGCAGGCTTGTCCTCGTCATTGGCTGCACCGGCGCTGCTGTTCTCGGCATCACCGTGGGGATATAATGGCTTGCTGCTGTCGTATCCCACAGACTTGACAATTCCCAAGCCCTTCGTTCTGCCCTCGCGGAACAATAGCCTATCGCCTGGCGCCAGGTATTCTGGTCGCTGAACGAATCGGAAGGCCACTGTTGCCCGGTCTCCCGTTCGGATATACGGGCGGTCGACATCGATGATTGCGCATGTCTGCGAGACGGGTCCAACATGCAACATAGCCTGATACTTTGTCTTGATGGTAGTGGCGTGAGACAAAATGAGAACTGGATCATATGTTAGTTCGAGCTCCTAGGACATCAGACTCATGACTCACCCTCAGCAATGAACTCTCTGTGCACCTTGGGAGCTGGCTGGCCCTCAAGCTTCGGCAAGACGACCATGCCCTTCCGTACATCCTTACGACGGACCTTTTTCAAAGCAAAAGAAGCTGACTGCCCTGCGGAAGCGGCTGGGACGCCGAGACGCTTGCGCTCGATGCTTCGAACACTGGTCTCAGTGAACTTGCCTAGGGAGTCAGGCCCAATGAGGACGTTGTCTCCAGCATGGACCACACCGGACTTGATGATACCAGACACGACAGTGCCAACGAAAGGAACAGAGAATGTGTCGTTGACATGGAACTCGAACGGGGCGTCGGAGTCGTATCGTCCGTGGTGCGGCAAGATGTTGAGGAAGGTGCGAACAAGATCGAGGTTGTCCCCGGTGACGTTGGAGACCTGGAATACGGGGCATATCCTTTGACTGATGAACTGGGTTGCAGTGTTTATGCACTCCTCTCTGTCCTTGATGAAGATGGGAATCTTGCGCGCCCCTGGAGACTTGAGGATCTTGGTGATCTGGCTTATTGTCTGCTCCAGAATCTGGGGCGGGCAGATGTCGATCTTGGTGATGACGACCATAACCGGAACGTTAAGAGCCAGAGCAATTCCCAAGTGCTCCTTGCTCATCCCGATGAGACCGTTGTTTGCCGCAACCATGAGCAAGCAGTAGTTTGGACTGCTTGAGAGAAGGCCAAACACTGTTGTTCTCAAGTACTTCTCGTGACCAGCCAAGTCAGTGAAGGTGATAACCTTGGCACTGCGCTTGCCGATCTCCTCCCAAGACAGTTTGCGGCCTGGGGTGTCGGAGGTGACTACCTCACCGACAGTGTCAAAGCCCAGGATCTCCATTCCGACAGAGCTTGTCCTTCCCGACTCGATCTCGTGCTTGTGGCGGAACAGATTTACCCGTGCCCGTCCTCTTCCATCATCCAGGTCGCCCTTGACTAACACTCCCAGAAGAGAACTTTTTCCTGCGTCCACTGCGGAGCAAGTCAGTGATTCTGTCCATCTCATGAAACAATGTACCTCTCTTTCTAGCTTGGACAGTACAATCACTTGCGTTGGTGGTGGTGCACAGTACACCCTCAGGAGGCCATGAAAACCGATAGGGACCGCTGATTGGTGTGGAGTGATATGAACGACTTACCATTGCCGACGACTGCTATCCTGGTCTCAATAACATCCTCGACAGTCGCGGGGGTCTGACGGATCATGATCTTTCCACTGCAGTGGCTGTCCTTCCCTGACTTGGTAGCGGTGCTAGAGGCTTCGACATCTCCACCGACGTTCTTTGTAATGAGCAGCTGGCAGTCTGCCCGTATCCTCTTAGCCGCCGACTGGACTCTTGTGTATGCGGCGTTCCACTGCTCTAGCGACAGGGCCATGGAGTCACCGTTGTTCTCGAAGCCGACTTCAAAGACGGTCTCCCCATGGCCTTCGACTATCCTTTCCTCGATAATGACCTTCAACTTCTCCAATGCGTCATCGTCAGTACCCAGGAGCAGGTCCTTGAGGCGAACGCTAGGGCCGGCGTCATCGGCAAGGTCGAGGGTGTCGAAGAGCTCGTCGAGTTCGGCATGCTGGTGCTCGGGGGCGGTGGCGCCAGCGGTCTTGGAGACTTCGGTCGCCTTTGCGGAGGGATATCGCAGTGCTTGCTGCTTCTCGACGTAGTCGGCGAAGTCGCTCAGGGCAGCCTCGCCCTTGCGCTTCTCGTGTGGTAGTGACTTCAAGTTTTTGGTCGCCATGATGGTAGATGGGGTGATAGTATTAGGTTCGTATCCTGACAATCATTGGATAAGCCCTCGTCGTCTCTCCCGTAAATAATGGTGGGAAGAAGTTGTTCGGGTGCGATAATGTTGCGCGACGGGGTTATTTAATGGAAGAGGAAGACTGGGCAATGCGGTTGACTGTGAAAAAGGGTAAAAAAGAGTCATCGATTGACTCGAGGCGGCGAAGGCGAAGTCTAAGGCGGCACGCGGCAGTGACAGTTGACGGAAGGCCACCACGGCCATAGCACCCTGGATGAGTAGGTACCCCACTACCCTGGGGGATGACCAAATTTACTGCTGCTTTTAGAAACGTTCCTGCGCTACAGTTGGACGGTATGCACTTGATGATGTTGTGCTACCTTCTGGATAATCGGTGGAAGAACAAGTCAAGAGACAATTCTTCAAAACGCGAAATTTTACAGACAGGTATTTTATTTAACATCCTGGCATGTGTCCGTAACAAATAGCCAGAACAGAACAAAGAACAAGGAGACTCGACAGCACCCGACCATCGACATTAAAAGCGGCGGTTTCGATGAGTAACTCGGGGGGGTTTATCGATAAGAGCTTTGGCACGGACCATGTTCATGATTCCACCTGAGTTGTCGCAGACGCAGACTGACTGCGGAGCCCCGGATTGTGTTCTGCGTTGGCGTCGATACCGTTGTGATACCGCCTTACGCCCCGCTGCACCCATGAAGGTGCTCCCACTTAGTGGACGCACCAAAGTACCTAAGGCAGAATGAGCTCGTATGAGTCAAGAGCAAGGCTGATCGTAACGTGATAACCGCATGATTTGCAGGCTTCGCTGCGCTGTTGAAGCAAGCCACAGGATGTGAAAGGACCGAAATGTCAGAGCTGTTGCTGCTGCCGCGTCGCACGAAGGCAGCTCACGCAGAAATGATAGAGCAGCAATGAAACAGTCTGAGTAACGTGAGAACTCCGCTCAAATAGGCGCCATTGGTGATATTTTCTCTATCTGGGAATAAACGATAACGGGACTCAGTGACCCTTCTCACTGATGATGCACCGAATACGGTGCGACCACTGTATGTCAAGGCTCTGTAGACGAGCAAGGATTCCATAACCGGAGCTTAGAAGGCATCTCCTTCGATAGAGAGGATTCGCCCGGTTTCTCTTGCCTCTGAAGCTCGATGTTGGGACCGCGGCAAAGACGTGGTCTTCGCAATGTGAACGCCTGGATATGTCGACAACTGTGGCGAGACGTATTCGCAGCCGAGGAGGCAGTTGGGATCAAAACTGGTTCGGCTTAGGCGGGACCGACATCGGAACTGTGGTTCAAATTTGCTCTCGGTCTTGAGTTGGCTATGAGGATCCTTGGGGTGAGATGAGGACAACGCTGTCGCCTGCGAGTTGTCAGAAACAGAACGGTAGCGCGCATGGTTGGAATGACTTACCTCGAACAAACAGCATCTCTGACTTGCGGCTGATGGTCTATGAGAGATGGTCAATATGAGACGACTGCACCAGCGGATTCATCTCATCTCACCTTCACTTCCTCGTCTTCCTCATCCTCATCCACGACGTAGATGGTCTCCTCGACTTCTCCCAGCACCAAATTGCAGTGGCTGTCGTAGGCCTGTGATACGAAGGTCAGAAAGCTTCACAGTGACCCTTGCAACTAGTCCACACTTACGTGAAGCCTACCCTTGAGCTCACGGTCACCTCTGAGCTTGACGAAAACTACCTCATCAAGCAGGAGCTTGACGAGGTCGAGGGGCTCCTGAACGTGGGTGGTCTCATCGCCTGCGTCCGCCATGGTGAGAGAGAGTGATTGCCGGTTCGGTCAGGTCGAAAGAGTGTCTTTGGTTTCGGCGATGTCGCTTGGATTCGCGAAGACGAGCGGTTCAACTGGGATGGCCGACAGCAGTGGTGGGTCCAGGCACATCAGCGGTGCAATTTGCGCTGTCGCAACTGCCTCAGTCCCATTGGTGAACTCCTTCGGCCTCCGCAGCAATAATGTTCCGAGGAACAGCCCACAATGAGGAGCAGCCGTGCGACGGCACGCCGGAAAGTGGACCAGAATGGGTCTTGCCCCAGCGCTTCCCGTCCTCTTTCCAGGGGTGGCACGGGTAGAATGGAGGGAGCAGGGCCCTAAAGCAGCCATCCGCAGGTACCTGCTTGCCTGTGTAAGAGTGCCCAGGTGAGGAGGAGGAGGGAAAGTCGGGGTAAGGTCAGGCAGCTTGCGCGCCTCCTCCTCGGTTGAGCGCACTTTCTGAGGAGGAGGCGCCAGGGACAGCTCGCAGCTTGGTCGTTTCTTCTTTTGCGCACAGCTTCGTCCTTTTCGCGACTGTTCCTCGACGCAGCTTGGTTTTGCTACTCTACCACTTCGCAACACCTCTGATTCCCCGATGATCCGCTAGAGATACTTCAAATTCACAACATGAGATCTGTCGTAGAGGTCAATGGCCTCCGACAACTCCTCAAACTCCAATCTCCTCCTCGCGGCACCCCCTCTCGAGTCCTTTCCGCGCGACTGCGACGATGCCTGCAGCAACGCTCGCTCTCTACTGAGGCGTCTGCTGGGACCATTCCTCCACAACATGCCTCGCCGAATATTCCGATTATAAAGACGGGTCGCTCTCAATCGAATGGCCTCAAGCATGCCCGCGACCAGCCCAAGATTCTGGCGAAACTGCTGAGCGCGGTCCAGTCGCAGAACCACAAGCAGGTGTTCGCGGAGTTGCAGGCTTTGGGAAGGCATGAAAGATCGGGAGAGGCTATCGAGGCCTTAAGCTCGTTGTCAAAGTCCGCGTTCTCGGAACTTGTTCGCTCTCTGGACCCTTTCCGGGTCGGACCTCGAGCCGATCTCTCCCACGGCCTTTACATATCCCAAGGTCTTCGAAACTTCAGTCCCGTTTCGTCTATGATGAACCAGTTTGGGATTCGCAAAATCTACCACAATTCAACCCAGTTGATCCGTGCCGTTCTCCTCATGCGACTCAATCAAGGCCGAGAGCTGATGCTGTCTGACTACATCGTTCTGCTCAGGTGTGCCGGGGCGGCATCAGACATAGAGACGGCGAAATGGATCTGGAAAGTGGCTATGAAAGCCGACAGAGAAAAGGACCCGACGGTCAGAGGTGGACTGGCTTACACCGAGTTCATGAAAGCTCGCTTCCTCACCGAACCGCTATACATGCAAAATGACATGGCCAGGTTCCGAGTCCGTCCCCGCGACCTCACCGGCCACAGAAAGCGATTTGCAGACAAATCCGCACTAAGACGACTGGAAAGACTGCGCCTCAGCATCGCTACGAACAAAACCTCGTTATACGGCAGAGCTCCCGATCAGCCGAGTCACGACTTGCACAGGAAGGTCAGTCTTCATCAACCAGTCAGAAGAATCTGGTCAGCCGTGCGAAAGCAACGCATCAGAGTTGACCAAGAGCTCCTCGGCGCGTACTTGATTGCATGTGGGAGAGCTGGATCAGTCAGGGAGCTGCTCAGGCGGCTTTGGCAAACCTGGAGGATCAGAACCACCGATATCAAGGATCACCGCGCGACAAAGATCGTGGGTGGTATCGAACCGGACTTGCTGGACCCGTTGACGACGCCTAACCTGCGCATTCTGAATGCCATTGTGCATGCTTTTGGTAGCACAGGTCATGTCATCCTCGCCAGGAAGTTTTTGATCTTTTTTTCCACCAAGTACGAGATTCAAGTCCCGCCAGAAACATGGTCCTCGCTCCTGGAGTGGACCTACGTCATGTCGTCCAAGCCGGCCATAACCGAATGGAAGATTATGGGAGACCGCAACAGAATCATTGACGCAGAAGATGTCTTCATTGTGTGGGACTTGATGACCTCTGGACACGGGCCGTACTGCCGTCCGGTCAAACCAACTTTCAAGGACAGAGACTTCTACGTCAAGAGCTTGATCGCAGCCCGCAAGTTCGAGAGCACTTGGGACGAAATACGTCGCGGTGCTGCCTTGTACGAGTCCATTTGCGAGGAAGTCGAGTCTTCTCTTTTCGAAAGGCTTTATCCCTCACCACCTGCCGAAGCAGTCACCCGCCACCTACAGGCCAAAGTCAAGCAGCACACGACTTGGTACACGATAGAGAGATGGTGCAGAATGTGGCTCATGAAGGGCAGCAAGCTTGAAAGGAAAGACGACAACTTTACGCAGCGGACCATCACCGAGTTCATCGCGGAGTTTTCGGACTTTTTACCGAACCCTGCAACTTACAAGACGAGCGCGGGAACCGTGAGGATCGCGACACCACAGAACATCATGAGGCAGTCCTGGAAGATGCAGATCGCTCGAAGCCATCCCACCACTGTGCGCGTACCCGATCGGTCCAGCCAAAAGTTTACGACGATGAAGGAGACCAAAGAAGACGAACCGGATGCCCCCTTGATTCCGGTGGTGACGGAGAAGGGAACCCCGTTGTACGAGATGCAGACGCTGGCATTGAAGCGGTGGATGAAGAAGATGGTATCCCAGCGAAGCGATTCTTCGCCGTTCGGTTCGACGGAGAGGAAGCTTAATTTGCTGTACCTCAACGAGGATGACCAAGACCAAGTCGGTCCCGCGGTCAACGAGGAGATGCGGCGCATCCAGAAGGGCCGCTTCAAACAGCGGTTGATATTGAGGAGCCTATTTTGGTGAAACTTTTGTCAACATATATAGAAACAGCATCTCGAACATAACACCGGTTGAATGTTGATATGCTGTGGTATTTCGCTGTTTCTTTTTTACGCATGCCTGTCTTCTTCCTGGCTGGAGTGGTAGCCCAGGAGATCCAGAGCGCTACCTGTGACGACCGCACCGGCACCGACTATGTTGAATCTCAATTTTGGCTAGGTATATATCTTGGAGTACATGTGACCTACTGTCCTGTATGGTATGCGTGGAATTCATTCTAACAGCAACGCTGATGACTTTTAACCAGGGTATGTATATATGCGTTCCCAGAATCGAGAGCCGGCAGGGCGCCTGCTCAGGTCCCAGTGAGGGGCATGATGAGATGCTTGGATTGGTATTTGTTTTATGCATTTCTCATATTTCTCTTTTGGCAGCCGTCGTCCGGGGGGCTTCCTGCTGGGGCTTAACGCTGGCACCGTCATCGCTACCAACGCCGCTGTCGAACTGCTCCAATCGCAGGTCGTTGACCACCATGTACCTGCTCAGCGTGATCCAGCCGTACCGGAACCACACCATCTGGCTCTTGTGCGCCGCCGTCATCGCGTTCCACGTCGTCGAGTACCCTCCCGCCGGGCCCAGCTGGTTCATGAACACCAGCGCGCTGGGGTGGTAGTTCCTCCTGGCCTCCTCGACCTCCTCGTCCTCCGAGTCGGAGTCGGAGTCGCTGTCGCTGTCGCTGTTTTCGGCCTCCTTCTTCGGCTTCACGGGCTTCGGCGGCGGCTTCGGCGGGTTGCTCCCGGGCGTGCTGACCCAGGAGATGACGGTGGGTATCGTGTCGAGGATGGAGCTGTACTTGCGCACCATCGGGACCGAGGTCAGGGTGTACATGTCGATCGGGGAGCGCCAGCGCGGGTCGGCGGAGAGGGTGGAGATGAAGGCGCGGGCGCCGTGGTAGAGGGAGATGTGGTTCGGGTGGGAGGAGACGCCGGTCGAGTCGAAGGTGACGAGGACGTCGATGTTGGCGGTGGGTTCCTCGCCCGCCGTGCGCTGGCGGACGGACTGGGGCGCGAAGGCGCGCGTGAGGAGGGCGGCGATCTTGGTCTTGTCCCATACGTTCGTCATGGAGTCTTGGAAGTCGCTGTTGGGGGTCAACAAATGCGTGTTCTCGTGAGCGAAATTGCGGATGGACAGGGGACGGAGGAGCTTACGGGCTTTCAATGACATAGACGTCCTGCTCCTTGCGCAGGCCCAGCTTCATTCCGCTCTTTATCAGCTCCTTCTTCCGAGTCTCGCCCAGGCCGTCTGCGTCGCCTATACGAAAGTGATCGCGCTCGTCAGCCATTGCGCTCCGCCACCGGACCCTGTGCGGTTCTTTTTTCCTGCCCTACCTGAGCTCAGACACAATATCTTGACGTGGTTTCCCGTCTCGGGCCGGGTGAGGGCGAGGAGGGTGGGCGCGAAGAACATGGCCTCGTCGTCCGGGTGCGCGATCAGGAGGCAGATGCGCCTGTTCTCGAGGGCCGGGAGGTAGGCCGCGGCGAGCGGCACGAGGCGGGTGTACAGCACGGGCGCGACGGCCACGAGCAGAGGACCCAGGAGCAGAAGCCAGCCCATTGTCTTTCGTGGGTTTTTTTTGGTGGGTTGCAATTGGAACGGTTTCTCGGGGTGTTCGGTCTCGATGTTTGTGGTCTGTCGGTGAGGGCTGAGGGCGGGGTTTTGGTTTTGTGAGGGGGATTAGGTAGGTAGATCGTCGATGCGGTTCTGCGTGAGTCGGCGGGGTGGAGGACGGCGGGTTGCGGGAGGGTCGCGAGTCGCGTGGGAGGAGATGCAGCTTTTTGGGAGAGGGATTTTCGATTTCGAGGAGGCTATCTAGAGGTATAATATCAAACACGGTGAGGCCATTATCTTGAAGAGGAAATATCGGAAGGTCTGGTGGTGTGTGGGCGCTTGTCAATAGCGGCACACACGATCGGCTGACAGCACGTACCGTACCTGGCTGGACCTGGACCTGGCTCTCTGGGCCGTGGACGATTCTGGACCGATTCCAGTGTCCTCTGAATCCCGCCACTACCGGCGGGCGGTGTGTTTCGCGGCCGAAAACCGCAGGCGGTGACAGATCGCGGAACGGGTTCCTTGGGGCGCCAATGCCGCCTGGAGGGGCCGGCGACAGCGCCTCATTGGCGGGCGGGGAGGTCCTGAGGTCACTGGAACGATGACCCTGCAGGGGGATGAAGAGCTGACAGCGGGGAGCTCGGGCTGAAGTGTGTTCTGATGAACGGTTCCTTGGAGCTGTCAGGTCCAGTCTTTGTCAGCTAACGGCACGCGACCAGACGGCACCGACGACGACTTTCCCTGCAGCTATTTTGGTCCGGTGCGCTGGCTGACGAGACGAAGCATCCGATATTCCTCAATTCGATCGAGCAACAATTGAGTTTTCTACGTTAAGACAGGCGGCAAGCAAATCGCAAACATGGCCAAGAAGGGCAAGGAGAAAAAGTTGAAGGACCCCAAAGGCATCCCCCTGGCCCAGCCAGATCGATCAGGCCCTACCGAAGCTACTTTGCTGCAGCTCGCCCAGGAGAGAGGTCTCTTCCAGCAAGAAGACGAGGCGAGAAAAAGAAACCAGAATGTCCCAGAAGGCGCCGTCCGAATCGACCGACCCAAGGCTCAAGTTGGAAGCAATGGAGAGAACGAGGACGACGACGAGGAAGAGGGCGACGAAGCTTTGCTCTCCCCTTTCGTAGAACGTATAATGGACTCGCTGCTGTGGACGGTCAGCCTGGCGATGGTCCACGGTACTCTCGACGTGCTCGTCCAGAACCAGTACGCCATTGCAATTGACTTGCCAACAGTCATCACTCGGACTGTGGTCGCGTTCTTGGGTGAGTGTTCCGGTCCATGACTGCGAGTTGATGGTTCCCTCGACTGACTTACGAATGATGCCAGTTCTCTTCTTCCTATTCCATAACCTCCACGAACACAAGTCGAGCCCGGATTTCATCCCGGGACTGCCGCACCGCTTCCAGCACCCCGTCCGCCAGGCCCTCTTCTTCGCCATGAGCGTCTCCGCCGGGTGCTACTTGATCTACATCACCAACAAGTACAGCTACCTCCACACTCTGAAGCAAGCTCCGACGCTCGGGTGTTTGTGGATTTGGTCCGTCCTGGAGCTCGACCTGGCCGTGTGCGCCGCGAGCTTGGCTGTCGCGGCGGCGTTTTTGTTGCAAGGAGGATACGATATTAAATGACGAGCCGAACACCCTCACCTAGACATCGATCTGTTGGCCGGGAGAGAGCTGAGTCATCGATCGCGGCCTCTCTTCTCTTCAGGGCCTGGCTGCGAGGGGGTCGATGCTTGCCGCGACACGTCGTCCACCACCGGTGGTGAGTCGGCCGACAGTCGCTTCCGGTGCATCAGACGGTAGACGAGATCTTCCAGCCGGTGGATATGAGCTCTCTGCTCGGCAATCTGGCTCTCCATTCGAATAAAGCTTTCTTCGGATCTCGCCTCAGTCCACGTCGCCCGTGACTCCAAATCGCGAATTCTCCTGCGCCAAATGTCAACACACAAATCAGACCAGGGACAGAACAACGCCTACGAAGAAATCATGCTCATCTGTGTGAACTGGACGCGGCCCGTCATCGCCTCCCTCTGCCGCACCAGGTCTAGCGTCTTGGTGCGGACGGGTAGCCAGGCCATGGCCACGTTCGTCGTGAAGGTCCAGCTTTTCGGAACTAGGGTCCACGACGACCCTTGCTTCTCAGTGTCTGAGCCGGCGGCCTTGGTCTCTGCCTCGGCCACCAGCTCCAGGATGCGCTGCTCCAGCTTCACCAGGTCGTCCATGACGAAGGCGCACATCTCGTACTCTGTTTGGTTCTGGTGACGTGAGCTCTCGCCGGCGGCGCGGATCAGCTCGGAGAGCCACGTCGACTCTGTCTTGTACCAGGACAGCGACGCCTTTACTCGGAAATACTCATCGTCGCTGTTGCGGAGGTACGTTATTCTGACATATGCGGCGGCGACAATGGCTACGATGAAGGTGAGGATGCCAGCGACGTTGGCTGCGATGGACAGGGGGCTGTCTGACTGTGTGACGGGATCCATTGGGTTGTATTGGTGGAAGCATCACCGGCCAGTCCTACAGTAGGCCGATTTTGTGTGTTTGACGGGCAGCTAGGGGAGGTGATTGCCTACGATTGATCCAGCTATTCCTCCACGCACGCCTGGAATCTAAGATACCTACGATGAGCTGAACGTGAGAAAGACGAGGCTGAGCCAAGACACTTTCGTAAGGTACGGGCACCACGACCTGAAGGTCCCGTCAGCACGCCCCTGGGCGGTGTGCCACCTTTCCCCCCTTAGCGCCGTTCTTGGCATCCCGAAGTGGGGCCGTCTTGTCGTCCGGGAAACACGTGATGGCTTTCTGTCGACGACCAGCACTCGAGGCCGCTGCGTTTTGTGTAATTTTATGTGTCAGAGCATTTTCTGCAGGTACAGTGGCCAGTTATTTCCCGATTAGCCAGCGGGAGGATATTCAGGCGGAACTCAGCTCTCACTGCTCTGCCTCAAGCCTGCGATGGGTCACGTCACGTCAAGTCTGCTAGGCAGCTCATGACTTTAGTCTAGGTAGCAATATTCAAACTGATGTATTTTTTAGAGTTGCTGGCTTAACCAGGGCCTTCTGTCTTAGGGCGGACTTGAATAAAAGCCGGGTATCTGGGGCTCCAAAAAAGCATGTAGACCTTCCACGGGACAGTGGAGGGCAGGCTCCGTGTAAGTGCGTCGACCCAGCATCTCAGCTATTGGCAAGTACTTACTCATGATCTAAGCAGAAGACTCCATCATACGCATGAGTAACATCACCTCGAGAAAAGCCAGGGACGAGATGTATATACGTGCTGCCAGCTTACAGCTACTTGGTCTTCTGGGGCCACTCCTCAATATCTACACCAGTCAAAGCTGGACTGCCCTTAGGCTTAGACCCCTCGAAGCATGTAGAAAGGCTCGTAAATACTGCGTATGGAAGGCACTGGTGGTCAACCCAAACCGACGTGCCTGCCTTCTTGACTCTGTAAACAAAGACGGTCGAATAAAAAAAAGGCCACCCTCATCCTCTCCCTCGACCTTCTTTGCCCTTCTTCCACCCACAACAATAAATCAAAAAAGGTTGACGCTGAATCATTATTGTCTGCCCTCCACCTTGAGAAAAATCTTTACGCGACCTTACTTCCACCTCAGCCTTTTGACCACCCACCACCTCAACCTTTTCTCCACCCACCACCCTTCCATCACAACCTCTCTTCCTTCTACCTCACAACAACCCAACTTCAACCTCATCACCCTTTGCATCGCAACGCAACCTGAATCACCATTCACCAGTTGTCTTGACCCGATAAAAAGGATCGTGAGCTTCTATCGACCGCGCCGTTCACACGAGCTGTTTATCTCCCACAAGAATCACTTCAACCAGCACTACAGCTTCATTCTTCAAGGTACATCCACAGCTAAGATTTTTCTTACAGTCTTCACACCATTATTCTAATCACCTACAGACCTGTCTCAATCATGTCTTCCAACGAGAGCTCCCCCTACACCATCCCCTACACTGGCGCGCCTGGCCAGCAGGTCGCTGGCGTCATTGTCCCCGCCTCCTCCAAGGAGACTGGACCTGCTGCCCATCCCGCTGCTCCCCAGGACCAGAAGGACCAGGCCTCCTTCCAGCGCCCCGTTGTTGCTGAGGAGCCTTCTGCCCCCAACATGGATCACTCCAAGGGCGAGTCCATGATGATGTCTGGCGCCAATGGTATGGGCGTTACCAGCGACTCCAACTCTGCTTCTCGCCGCAGCTCGGTTGTCCCCACCACTTCCACTGGTCCCTCTGACCGCATTCCTGGTCGCTTTGCCTCTGCCTCTGCTGGCAAGGATGGCATTGCCACCATTCTCCCAGAGCACCGTGGCTCCAAGGACATCCACTCCTCCGAGAAGAAGGAGGACAAGACCCCCAAGGCCCAAGGCTCCCAGTCTCAGGTATGTGTCCTCAACTCCCTCAAGTTGGGGCTTCTTGATCTAACACACTCAGGGCACTGCTTCCTTTGGTCTGGATGGTGCCTCGGACACCCCCAGGGTCTTGCGCAACCCGTACATCATTCCCATCTCGGGTCGTCTCAGTCGCAATGACAGCCCCATGCTCTTCCGCGAGCTTCAGACTACTCGCTTCGAGAATGAGCAGCTTCGTCAGATGCTCCATTCCTCCAACGTCGTGGCCTATCAGTGGTACTGCAAGTGTGTCAACTCTAACAACCAGGTCAACGAGCTCAAGGCCGCCAAGGATCTCCTTACCAGCACCGTCTTGAGCCTCAACTCCAAGGTTCAGCAGATGGATCCTGACATGTACTGCAACCTTCCTGCCAGCCTCAAGGAGATGTTGGAGGACATCCGAGAGGAGTGGAAGTACGATGAGTGGTACAAGGCCTTCATCGACCCTGCCAGTGACGACTACGTTCCCCAGAACTGGATCCTCGACAGCGACTTGGAGGAGGAGGTCCACGGCCTTGGCATCAGCACTGCCTCCAGCCACGCTTCTGACGTCTAAGTCTGAGAAGCAATCTGTAAGTTTCTTCACCACACTGGCCCATCACAGACACAAACTGACAATCACAGGAATCGCTTGCCAGTCTTTGTTGCCACACGCGCGACAGCATAAAGGCTTCTGCGACTTTGCCTTGTCTCCGCCCTGCATTCCTTTCATTCTTTTTTCCCCAAATATCATTACACAGACAGGGCTTTCTTCAGCTTTCCCGCCAGCTCACGCTTCGGGTAACTCATCATGCCCATGTCCTTGTCACGTCGCGCGGCAGCATGCAATCACTTGTTATTGGCTTTGAACCTCAATGAAGTTCTTTGGTCTCCGGATCAATGGTTCTTCTCAAACGAGCACATGCATACTCAGCAGACTTCTACTTGTACGAATTATTACGGATCGACACCCCTTCTCCTACATCGCGGTCAAGGCTCTTTCCCTCTTCTCCTATGTCACACAAACCACCACAGTCATTACCTTCTTTTTCCCCTCTCTCATCATCGCAATTGGCGACCCCGCATAATGGACAACTATGTTTGTCACAGTTTGGCCGTGGGGTTTTGGAACGCAATGGGATACCAACTTTTCTGGGACGGTTTTCTTGAAACCAGGTTCAGGACAGGCAGGTACATGGCGTTGGAGGCTTTACGGATACTGGATGAGAGCCAGTCTGGATGAAGCCATAGCATCGAGCATACAGAAACACAATCAAGTAGTTACACACATTTGGCCATGCTCGTGAATGTTTGAGGACGTGATGATTCACCGGGGAAGCCCAGTCCATGCTGGTGATGAGGTGCGGCATGTTGAGTTCGATAAAACGCGCGCCTCCATCTCCAATCATCAAGACATGGGCAACTTAAAGCTTCATCGAGACAGTCAGATCGGAACAGTCAACGTCATGGTAAGACAGGTCACCGAAGAACCGGGCCCCTCGCGGCCGCGATTCCAAACAGTCCGACGCGCCCGTAACTCCAAAAACGACGTCCCCTGCGGCGAGAACTGCCTCATATACCCCAAAGGAAAAGTAGACCATACCCCCGACGGCTTCCTGGGCAAGGTGGCGCGCTACCTCGAGCTGGACCTGAAGACGCGGCCGTCGAGGAAGACATGGGTAGAGAGAAAGGGCGAGAGGAGGAGACGCGGTGGACGACACGTAGACTGCGAACGACCGAATCGGTTTCACCCCGCTGAGGACGGTGAGGGGGGAGAGGAGCTGCTCGATGTCGACGCGGATGAGGGGGGAGAGGGTGAAGGCGAGGGCGGAGAGAGGGTATTCCCGCCTGTTCCTCCTGCGCTGCCCGCCGGCGAGGTGAGGCCGGCGGATGAGGTTGCTTGGAATTGGAGGCGACTTGACGAGGAGAGACGTGCGCGTCCGGAAGAGGTGAGAGCCATGATTGCCGGACCGGGGCAGATGCAGGAATGGAGGCGGGCCATCGAGAGCGGTGATGCCGGGCGTCTGGGGCCGACGGGGAGGATCGAGACTTTTCACGTTCGCAGAGTCAGACCTGGAGATGGCGACGATCCGGTCGTTCCTCCTCCACGGACAGGACTTATTGGGAGGATTGTGCCTTTTCGGTTGGCCAGGCGGCCTTATCCCTTTCAGTAAGGTACCTAGTGAGTAGGTGCCTGGGAGACCACCCAGTCTTTGAAGGAAGGCGCGTACTTACCCTTATGGTCCACGTTCGTGCCATGGCCTTCAACAATGAGTCGGCGACAGTTGCAACATGGCCTAGGGGTGGAATTGTATGCCTGGTTTCGGCAAAGTTCGAGGGTTCGAACTCGGTAGCTCTATATATATCCTGGAGCGGCTCATTGTTTTTTTTTGTGTTTTTGTTTTTGCCCTTCTTCTTTGCTGGCTTCTGGTGGTACACATATTTTTTTCGTCCACTTAATTACTTTCCATCATATTCTATGGCCATGTGAAGGCAAATGTAATAAAAAATGAGAAGCCCGGCGGTTGATGTCGTGACGCGGGCTGGTCTCACAGCATCCCGTCTCCACCGGTTCCGGCGCCGAATGCAACCTCCCGGACCCAGGGGACCGCGGTGGGCGATCTCCCGCGTTTCCTCCGTTTCATCGTCGACATCTCTTTTTCAACGGCAGTCATCTTGAGCGAATCAAAAAATTTGGACCATCAGGCGGCAGCTCGATCCGTCTCAGCCTGAGAATCCGCCTCGCGAGGCATCCGAACCGTCAGCAGCGCGCCGCCAAATCGTAGCGGCCCAAAAACCCCGCGCGCCTGCTCACTCCGACTCAGCTTCATCGACATCCTCATCACGTCAGTCTCTCTCTCTCCAGTAAAAGCCATCAAACAAGAATACTGACACAAAACAAACCCCTCACAACCCAGAAGAAAAGAAAAGCAGAAAAGAAAAATGGCCTCCGCAAAGCCCTCGCCGCCAACCTTCACCCTCACCCACCCGCCCTCCCTCGAGCCCTACAACCTCCCCGCCAAGGCCTGGCTCGCGGCGAACGACAAGCACTGGGACGGCCTCGCGACGGGCGCGCTCGTCTTCGACGCCCGCGACCGCATCCTCCTCCTCCAGCGCGCCGCGCACGACAGCATGCCGAACCTGTGGGAGACGCCCGGCGGGGCGGCGGACGCGGAGGACGCGTCGCTGCTGATTGCGTGCGCGCGGGAGCTGTGGGAGGAGGCCGGACTGGAGGCGGTGGAGGTCGTGAGGGTGGTGAGCGAGGGGGAGGGGAGGGAGCCGGGCAGCGTGTTTACGAATCGGACGGGGACGGTCGTGTTTTGTCGGTTCGCGTTCGAGGTGAGGGTGAGGGGGGCGGAGGAGAAGACGGGGGAGGAGATGGGTGTGAGGATCGATCCGGAGGAGCACCAGGATTACGTCTGGGCTTCGGAGGAGGAGGTTAGGGCGCAGAGGGTTGGGGGGAAGGAGACTCCGGTCACGAATGGGCAGATGATGAGGTTGGTTTTGGATGGGTTCCGGAGGAGGAGGGAGGAGGGGCAGACGAGGTTGTGATGGGAGATGCTTTGATGCCGAGGACTTTCGAGCCTTCAGCTGGTAGAGCGAAGGGAGGTCGGTGGGAGCATCTACGATGCCATCGTCGGCGCCTTGCACGAGGCTAGATGGTTTGAGGTCGTGCTACGCATGATGTGAACTTGTATACCCAGAGCAACTTTTCTTCTGTCCTGGGGTATAGAGAGACCTGTTGAGATCTAGGTGCGTAAACAGGTAGAAGGAAACGAGATAGGAAGACTTCGTCCGTAGACCGAGACTATAGCGAAAGAGTGCCGCCCATCAAATACACCGAGATATCCCAAACTTCAACATAATATTCCACCACGATCGTGTGCGCCATTTCATGATCAAGGAAAGCCTCCGCGCCGAAGTGAGGCGATATGCTTGTTCGCCTTCTAATAGGCTCCAGTCTTCACCAGAGCCTCTTCGACCGCCATTCCCTCACGATACATCCTGATGGCCTTGGTCAAGACCATTCCAGTCGCGCAGCCCACGAGCGCGACAGCCGCCAGTCCAAATAAGCTGAAATGATATTAGCATGAGTTGACAGCTCTTCACTTCAGAGCTGATCTCGACATCACGTACGAAGTGCTGGAGTCCCCGGCGTTCAGCCAGTCCCGTAACTCAATGAAGGCCATCTTCAACGCAGCTGCCAATCCTCTCATGCCCCTCGCGGCGTGGATCTCAGGTTGCGGAATGACGACGCAGCAAGATTTCGGACGGTGGTTCACGGCCTGCCTCGATTCACGATATCAAACTCAAAGGTTCAGCGAAGTGTCGAGGAGAAGGATGACGAGAAGCAGATTGCGAACTCAGCGAGCTGCCAGGAGTTGCTCGCCGTACGAATGCATCTGCCTCGTCTTCTCATTGCACCACGTTCTCGCGGCAGTCAGCTGAACATCGACACCATTCCTTTCAGCGGCACAGCGGCTGGAGCACCTATGAGGGCCTTCACTTAGGTCTACATTGTTCATGCTTTTGGCACTTTGGTTGAGATGGGTTCAGCAACAAGACGTAAGCCGCGGCTGGCTTGATTGGATCGAATTCATGGGCGGAGGCAGCTTTCCGTTGAAGGGTGGTTCACTCGGAAAACCGACGAGTAGGATCTCGTTTGGGATGAGGGTGTCTGACAGGCGCGCTACTGGTGGAAAAAGCAGCTCTTCGGAGACAACAGAAGGCGTATCGTGGGATTCCACGGGACTTTGACGAACGGGTTTGTTCTGTCCAGATCTCTTCGCGATACCGATTTACTACCATCATTGCGCAGCTGGAAGACAACAGAAGCATGCAAGCCACAGGCCGAAGCAGTCCACTGCGGCGCGAGGTCGAAGTAAATTGGGACACCAACGGACGCCAAGTGACATGCATGCGTATGCGTATGCGTGCCCCTGAGGGACTTCGAGATGGTCGAAAATCTTGGCAGCAGCCCGATGCGCCTTCAGGGTCCAATATGACGAGTGGCGCGAATCGACAAAGCATCAACGGGAGAATTTGAAGCTCGAATGCATGGTCCGACGTGGTCCGTCATTTCCGGACAAGCGCGCTCGCTGTTGAAAGAGAAGACGCCTTTGAACCGAGGAGCTGGGATCGCGTGGCGGCGGCAGCAGTGACTTGCATCAAACGGGCTTCCGGCATGTTGGAGAATTCGAAAATGATGTCGAGCGATGATGCCGGAGGTCCGGAGGCACAGCTCGAGACGGTAGGGTATCTAGGTAGGTAGAGCAATGGAATCTTTCTCAGCGCTTGACACGGGCCGGGCGGACCGTCCGGTTCAGACGGTGGACGGACTTGGCGGCATCAATCGTCATATGCGGCTCTGGTGCTGTGCAGATGGCGTAGGATAGTCGATAGCGCACACTTCGGGGACAGTCATCATGTCGACTGTTGGCGCTATTGTGAAATTGTGATTGTGATGGCTGGTAATGCCCGAGGCATGCAATAGTAGGGCTGCCCGAGGCGGCGCCGCCAACTGCATGCCTTAGTAAGGCTCCTAGCGGCGGGCGTTGGCGCGGAGTTAATTGCCGGGATCTTCAGGGAGATCGATTTGGTGGCTGACAGTGACCGATCCGGCGCGTAAGATCCGAGGAAATGGTGACGGCGGGCAGAATTGGAGCGTCAGGGGCTGGCGAGAAGAGAGGCGGGCGGTGGGAGGGGATTCCATACGCATGTGTGGCACCCGTGGACGTTGGCGACGGGATTGAGTGAGTGATCGGCGGAGGAGCGGTAAGGTGGATGCGGTGGGATGGTCGATGAGGCTGTTTATTGGGCTGTGGTGAGGCTGGCATATCGGGGAAATCCCGCGATCAGCGGCGTTACCCAGGCGGAGGACGAAACGACGATGCAGACAATGAGCAAGGGCTTTTTCTCAATCTGGACGGCGATGTTCTGAATGGGGTTTCGCTAGCGTGTGTGCTGTTGTTGCCCGACGTTGATGAATGGCAATCCAATGGACATTTACCGAGTTCAGGGCGGATGGCTTTGTTGCCTTGTTACCAAGATTGCGGTGAGGTCAGATACCTGACACTGGTCATTTGCTGGTGTTTTCTTAAAATCCATGAATTATCAGGCTGTTAGTTGTCTCAATTGGGCTGCTTTGATAATGCGCGACTGCCAATTGGGAGCTAGGGCGGCATTAGAGGCGGTGACGCTTTACTTTAACCGAAAGAGATGGCAGGTAACATCGTGACTCTCCCTCTTGCCCAACCCAATACCTTTCCAATCTATGAAAATCTCACTCTTGCCTTTTCCTCCTCTAAAGCTCGGCAGACGGTCGAGGAAGGAGGCAATCAGAGGCAGTCGGAAAGCACTTGCAGAAAGTTGCAGCAAGGTGCAGAGGGGTTACGAATCCACGACTCACGAGGCCCCACAATTGAGCTCCTGATGACCTCAGCGGCGTCGATCTTGATCATGGCAGGAAGCAGGGTTGTGCCTTTCCCCACACCTTCCATCCCAGTCCCAACTTTTTAGCCCATGTCCTCTTTCCCTTTTGGTTCATTCCAGTCGACCCTGTCACAAACGGCATGCACTTTTGATTTTTGTCTCTATCGCCTTCCAAATGATCTTCCTCATGTTGCCTGGCCAAGTCTTGGGGAAACATCATCAGCAGCCGGCTCAACCGATGCCACCTTGGTGAAAAAACTATGCGAAAAATAAACCAGCTCAACGCATATCCGACGACCAAGAGCTTAACCACGGGACTCGGATCTACGCCTGATGGTTCGTCGTTCTTCAGCGACAGCCACCGCGGTCGGATCTCTTGCGCCAAATTCTGCTCAACTCTTCCAGCCCATCAAGCGCAGAATTCCATGCAAAGACGTTGCGACACCACCAGCTGTGTACGGATACTTACTACGCACCCAGGCGCGCCGCATCTTGACAGTGACGACGCAGGCGTTCTCCAATTCTTGAATTTGGCTTCCATTGACGACACACTCGTCGCACAAGCAGGCGCCAGCAGGTAAGCTCAGCTTGGAACGGCTCACACGCGCACAGCTTCATAACTCGACAGCCAACCATACGCATGCCATGCTGCACTGCATAACCGCGCTACTGTTTCTCGTCGACTTGAATTCGCGCTAGAGCCTCGTTTCGACTCGATCCAAAGCTGGAGCTGGACAGATACGTCCTTCGAATACAAGACAACTAAGAACATCTACGCGACGGCTCGAATTAGACGTCGTATCCGTTGACTCGCAGGCTTCATGCGACCATGCACCTGCCAAGTCATAGCTCGACCCCTACCAAGAAGTCTCGCGACACAACCTACAGATACCTACCTTACAGCTTGGCGAATAATACCATGCATTCAATCTGATCCGTCATCCGCCTCTTCAATCTCCAACGACGCGGTGAGAGACACGCCCAGCGACTAATATGTCATGTCCTCCTACCACTATCAACATCGCCGTATCACTGCCATCAAGTTAAAGCTGTTTACTACTACCATCGGCCCGCGCCAGGAGTGCCACCTCGTCCCCACATAGACGGGTGCGAATCTGCCGTCTTGGGACTCCAACTTGGCAACTGCTTCAACAGCATCTGTGGTGCAGCAGTCGCTGCAGGGACTTCTGTTACCAAGACGTGCTATGAGTGCCAGATTGGTGAACGCGCCAATATCGCAAAGACGTCAGGAGTGAGCAACTTCACACTCAGCCCCGATCGTTCGGCTTAGGCCGCGAGAAAAGCAGGGCAATGTTCGGTCGGCGGCTAGGATGCCATGCCTTTCCCAGCAGTCTATTCATCGTTCGCCCTGCCACTTCACCGCTCAAACAGTTGGTCGCCTACAGTGGCTTGACGGGCTACCTGGGGACAGCCTTGTCGACACCCAAAGAAGGTGGTTTTTCAACTGCGCTGTTCCTGACTCTTCTCCGATAGAGTGCTTGCAGAATGTTTTCTTCCAAGGTGGCGAGCCACTCACGACTTCGGATTGCATTTCTGTGCTACGTGGTCCCCTGTTGACAGCCCCAGCCGCCAGTTTCAATGCAACAGCTTCTAGGTTAGCCCGGCTAAGTCGGGTCTGTCGGTTTGGAACACCAGAGTTGAGATGGCAGAGATTGCGCTTCAATGCGAAAGGGCGGGAGATGGGAAATGGATAAGCACCATGATGCGAACGAGCGTGCGACGTGAAACAAGACCGTTTGGCGCCGCACGGCTGGGAGTGTTGCGCGCGACGTTTCCGTTCCAACGCCCCAATCGCCCTATTCAGGCGAGCATGTCTAGCACCACGACGTGTCAATTGCCTCTTCAGCAGATGTCTGCATCTCGTCGTTCCACGCGTTCCGAGCTGTCAAGTGTCAAGTTCTCACCGTCTCCGCGGCACGTCCCTTGACTTTCGCGATGATGACTCGGACATGGACTTGGCTCAGGAAGAGAGTGTGCCCAGATGTGTGGCTCATGACCCCGGAGAAGCCAATGGGACTCGCAGGATTCGCCAGGGTCTCGATGGGTTTCTTGTGAGCATGTCGGCCACTCAGAGCTTTTCCGATGCTCAAGACTGGCGTGGTTTTGTGGCCATCGCATGGCGTGGAGCGAACCATGGTAGCGTCGCATGTCATACGGCTCCGCGAATGTGGGCGAGAGGCACCTCACGCTGGATTGTGGAAGGCCTGGACGCAGTTTTCAGCGGGCTGATATTCAACATTGCAGAGATTGTCGCGGAGGTGATGTGATGTTGTGCGAAGTCGCTCAGAAATCAGTTTGCCGTTGCTCGTCTATTGGCGGGCAAAAACTCCGAAGCTCGGCATCTGGGGAGGCCACCTACCACGTCCTAACTGACTTGGTGTTGGTCCATGTTGATCTGTCGAGCAAAAACACAGCAGAGTTGAAGCTACCGATACACTAACACGGATTAGACGCGGCAACACGGCACATCCACATTGGTGAGCGCAGCATGACAACGACAGGCCAATGCTTACTGTCATTACATCGATATCTATCGCGTTGCATTCATTCATTTCAATTTTTTTCTAGAAGTCGGCAACGTCGGCGTGTGGGTAGCGAAAAGCTCCAGCAGCAACACGGACACCGGCAGTGTGGCAGCAGTTCGCGGCGCCAACTCATCCGGCATCTTGGGAACCGCTCCTCGACATCGTCATCATCGCTTGTTTTGGCGCGGGTGACAGAGCAATCATTGCCTGATATTGGTTGCGGATATGCCCTTCGATGGCGGCACCTCCCTTCGTCTGCTCTGGGCAGTGCCTGCGAGCATTGCCGGACCATCGAGCTTATTGTGCCCAATATCCAGGGGAGGCCCCGAGAGGAAGCGACCCAAAGTCAAGGGTAGCCAGATGAAGCAGTTCGGAGGACCGCGTACTGGCTACATTGGAGTTCATGCTTCTTCATTAACAACCCTCTAGGCCGATGCACGTTACGGCGGTACTGCGTACTGAGGGCGCCGCGGATCGCCTTGCATGTGCCAACTGACACAAGACAAGTTCAATTTTCCTGGACACCAGCCACACTGCCACGAATACGGCCCACCGCGTGTCAAGCTAGACCGTTCTCGACGTGGTGTTGATTGGCAACACGGAACTTGAAGTCCCAGGTTCTGCTTACTGACAGCCAACTCTTGAAGAAAAACATATTGGCACTGTCAGCACTTGTCAATTCGCACAGCCAAAAACGCCGTAGTGAGAGACACAACTGCAGGGGCACCAGACAATTGGAATTCGCCCAGCTAAACCCCAGCCGGTCGACCCAGCCCAGACTCCGAGAGACTTTGGTGTTAAGGTAAGATAGCCCACAAGTCTCGTAGCGTGTTACTAACGGTGGAGAAGTGCGGACACTAGAAATTTGAAAGAGAAAGACCACAGAAAAGCATTTGGAAAAGCTCCCAAGCAGGGATTCTTACCAAGGCAATGGCTACATCATAGGTCCGCATTTTGGTCATGTCGGTTTGCTGAGTGTGTTGACACGGTCGAACCGGGAGCTCCCTTGGGATCCGGACCCTGAGCCAGTCAGCAATAGTGTGTGTCTCTCTTTTGTGGCCTTTTTTTTTCTTGCCGAAACCACTCGTTCAAGTTATGAGCGAAGAGAGAGACTGGCCCAAAGAGAAAAGACTGTGGGAAAAGGTACTCTCGACACTGGACTGCCCAGGCTGGACTGGTCTTGGGACTTGACGTGGACTACGTATTGCATCTGGTAACCCATGTCTGTCTGCGGTCTATCTGTGGTACTTTTACCAGACTACGTACGTCTTCGTCCAACGCAGTAATCTTCATCAAAACACACACAAACCTGATTTACTCGTCCTCGTGTTGTTGCGTCTCATCCTGTCTGTCTACAACTCCTGTCTTTTCCAGTGTTTCCGGGCAGCAGAAACAAAAGAGAAACTCGCAGCAAGCTCTCGTATTGTGCCTTGCGTTGGGCCGAACAGAACAAACGTACGTGCAGTAATTACTTTACTCTCAATTCTACTACTACACTAAGCCCGCACACCATCCAAGATACCATTCCATCTCATCCCGCCTCGTCCGCCATCGTAAGGTATTTCCCATTTGCCTGCTGGCCCCCCCCTCCTTCTCTCCCCGTCCCCTGCGCTATCGAATTCTTCTCTTTCTCCCCCTCACCTTCTAAACATCTCATCCCAAGATTCAACCCATACATACCCCCGTCGCCTCGTCTTTTCTTGCGAGCACAGAAAGAAAGGCAGACCGTCCGTTCCGCCCGTTTCCCCCATTTTGGCTTTCCCCTATCCCTCCCCGCAGGAGAACGAGCGCAAATCTCTCTCTCTCAGAGGACAAAGGACACAGGGCGTACACCGCAACCTGCACATCACTCACCGCGACCGCGTCGCAGGTGCTCTTGAATACCGCCCGACATCATCCTTGCAGGGCCAGCAAGCCAGCCCGAGGGCCGCTGTCGCAGCAGGAGAAGCCAGCATCCAATCCGCTGCTGTGTCTATCTCGCCGCCTAGGAGCGACGACAAAGCCAATTCCCACTTCCACGCCTTGCAGCAGGCCCGGCAGTCCAGCCTGTCGCCGTCGAGCAGCGCATACAGAGGTCGGGATACCGTCGCATCGCAATCCCCGCAGTGCCTTGCCTTGCCGTGAGTAACCCTGGATCCGGCTTGCCTTGCCTTGCCTGGCCTTGTCTTTACTCTCTTCTCGTTCCGTCCCCACGCCGGCGAACAAGGGCAAATCAACGTCTCGTCATTGTTCTCTGGCCGCCTCGCCTCGCCTTCCCACTTCCCCATCGTCAATCATCGCTGCCCCTCCATTCCCCTCATCGTTGGCGACATCTTCCCTGTTGCCAACACCTCACTCGTCGGTTCGAGTCCGTCCCTTTGCAGTTGCTCACAGCATCCCCATTCCCCCCATCACCATCAACCCCCACCAGACCTCCCCGAGACTTCTGGCGTCCTGGTAATCCGTACCTGTGTGGCGTTGGCGTTGCGCGCGGGGCTCCCATCCTCTGTCTTCTCACTGAGGCAGTCAGAAGGCAAAACGTGAGATCGAGCCAACACGGACGGAGCTTGACTGGTCCGGACTTCAGTTGCTGCTGCTGCTGCTACTGCTGCTGCTGCTTCGCGTCTGCGTATGCGTCTTGCTTCTGCTGCCCGCTCATCCATCCTGCGGTATCTTGTCCGACTGTACTGGACGGATCTTTCATTGGCCTCCGCTCAAGTGGACTGAAGCCTACCGAACAATCTACTTCCCACACACACGTTACTTTTCCCACCCTCCGATCTCTCTTCCCTCCTCTACGTACCGCCAACCGCTCCGTACCGTACCCCATACGCGCTCATTCCTGACCTCTTTCTCACAGCAGTGCAACAAGACACACACTCCTGTCCGGTCGTACCAAGCAACTAGACTTTGTCTACCTACTCCGCCAAACACAGAAATCAACTCAAGCTTCTTGCTTTTTTCCCGCTCCCATCAGGAGGTCCGAGGGTGGAATGGAATAAGGCCCCCCCGGCTGTCAATGACTGATCGCATGCACGCCTGACTCTGATCACATCGGTACGTCCTGCTTCTTCTCATACCTACTTCACCCTACCTTAGCACGATATACGCAATACCCGTCTGCTTCCTTTTCTCTGGCTCGTCCCGCCTAGCGTCGTCCCCATCTTGTTGTACCTTGCCTTTGCCTCGCCTTGCCTTTCCACTCCCAGTCCAGACCAGACGGCACCATTTCTTATGCCCATGCCTGTCTCCCATGTGTCGTGCTCGCACCGCTCAGCGTCCCATCCCATCACCGCAACATTATTATCACCGTCAACCCTGCATCCCTCCTCAAACCCCCATCATCCCTAACTAGCCCTCGATGCCCGACACTCCTTGACCCGATCTCTTCCTATGGATACCCTCACTTGCTTTTTGCCAGCGCATAGAACCATCTTATGCACCTAATCTGGCCCTGTACCCCAGACACTTTTCCTCCCTACATACTGTACTGTTCCTGAGCCAATCTTCTCTTACAACCACCTCTCTATACCTCAACACAACAACACATCTGTGCTTTTCTGTTATCTTTTTTATATACCCGGCAAACCGCGCCCCTGCCGAAGGTTGAGTGAATGCGGACTTTTTGTCACTCGGCCACTCGTCCATGTTCATGAATCTTCCAACCCGCAGCGTCTAACAATGCCGACCATGACAGACTCGGAGCGATCTCGGCGAACGGAAAACTGGATTCCAACATCCACCCGAGGCGGCGTCTACTACTGTCCAAGATACCTACTAGACCCTCCGTCCACACAACAACAGCCAAGCCGATTGCCAACACCGCCCATCCGCGCTCGCCAAGTCAGACCGAGATCAATACACATCACGTCCTGGCCCTCAGGCTTTGTACCCCACGAACTCCGACCTCAACCAGAGCGCCCCGCCAAGAGGAGGAAACCGTCAAAGGCAGTGTCGCCGACCACCACCTCACTCGGGAAGTCGTCACTCAAATTCAGCATCAAGCAATTTTTCTCGCTCTCGCAGAAGCAAGTCCCGAGCCGATCGACATCGCGTGCGTCAACAGCAACCCTGTCGAGACCGCCCAGCAGGGCACCGAGCTTTCTCAACAGACTCTCTACGTACAGAGAGGTAGATTTGGTGGTTCCGGAGGAAGACACAATGGCACTACGGTCAGCAGCTATGGCTGAGGCATTGCGCCCGCCTCTGCTGAGTGCTCAGTACAACACACCCGGCCAACGAAGCAGTTTGATGTCGGTGCGAAGTGCGAAGAGCAATGTGACATCAATGGTGACCGAGATTCCGAAGCCCGTCGCACACGGCAGCGGCGTGAGCTGCTCGATTCTCATGGCCGAGCCCAACATCTTCCTTACCGGATTCGAACACGACGGTCATCGCCATCACTCACAAGGCGGAACTGCGCTGCTCCGTGGAAAGCTGCAATTGAAGGTGTCCAAGAACGTCAAGATCAAGGGAATCAGCTTGAAGTTGGCGGGCAAGGCGCGGACAGAATGGCCCGAGGGAATTCCCCCACTAAAGGTCGATCTCTACGAGGAAGAGTCATTACGGACACAAGTTCTGACTTTCTTCAACGCCATGAACGATGGGTGGGAAACCGACTACGGCAACCAGTGCCAATACGTGCTGAAGAACAGCTCATCGAATTCGTCGTCGACAAACCTCGCATCCGGATCGCCCCGCAACTCCATTTCTCCCTCGCTTCTCTCGATACCCCAGAACCGCCAAGGTCAAGGCCTTACTGCGAAGGAGCTGAAGCGTCTTTCACTCCAGTCCAACCAGTCGCGCAGCTTCGGCAAAGGCGACAACCCCAATGGCAACCAGGCCAAGGGCTACAAGGTGTTTTACCCCGGCACTTACGAATATACTTTCGAGCTCCCCATCGACCACCACCAGCTCGAGACGACAAAGTTGCAATACGGCTCTGTGAAGTGGGAATTGCAAGCGACTGTCGAGCGCGCCGGTGCATTCAAGCCCAACTTGCACGGTTCCAAGGAGGTGGCCATCGTGCGCGTGCCGGACCAGCTCTCGCTCGAGATGACAGAACCCATTTCAATCAGTCGTCAGTGGGAGGATCAACTTCACTACGACATTATCATCTCCGGCAAATCATTCCCCATCGGCACCAAGATCCCGATCGCTTTCAAACTCACGCCGCTTGCCAAGGTCCAGGTACACAAGCTCAAGGTCTTCGTGACGGAGTCCATCGAATACTGGACCAACGACCGCAGAGTCACGCGCAAAGACCCCGGTAGGAAAATCCTGCTTCTCGAGAAGACCGCTGGAAAGCCTCTGGACCCAGCATACGCATCGTCGGATGTCCGCGTGCTCAATGGCGGCGAGCTGACCCCCCGCCAACGCCGGGAGGCCCGGGAGGCTGCAGCCATGCGTCGAGCTGCCGACGCCTCGCGTCATGGCGTGATGCCGGAACCCCTCCCGGAACCGGTCGACAACATTTTAGGAGATTTGGACCTCGGATTGGAGAGTTACTGGGGTTCGACTGAGATTGAGATGAACGTGCAATTGCCCACGTGCGATACCATGGCGAAGGACAAGCAGCTGCGCTTGCATCCCGACTGCAGTTGGAAGAACGTCAACGTGTACCACTGGATCAAGGTAAGACTAATCCTGTCAAGATATTCACGAACGAAGAGCTAACATAACTAGATCGTCATGCGAATCTCTCGCATCGACCCCGAAGATCCTACCGGTACCAAGCGCCGTCACTTCGAGATCAGCATTGACTCGCCGTTCACGGTTCTCAACTGCCGCGCGACACAAGCAAACACTGCCCTGCCCGAATACTCTGGCCCTGACAGCCTCATGGCCCAGAGTCGCCAGACTTCCTGCGGATGCCCCGACGCCGCGACCATCGCCGGGCCGCCTGAGGGATCACCCAACAACCTGTCCACCAGCGCTCTCACCATCACGGACGCCGCCGCCGACCTCCCCGCACCACCGCAAGCCGCCCATCTACCCGCATCACCGACACCCACACCAGCAGGCGGCCGGTCCTCGCCGCCAAACTCGCAGACCTCAGTCGACCCTCTCGACAACCAGGCGCGACCCATTCACCTCCTGCGTGTACCTTCATACAACCCGCCTGCCTTCGACGCCGAGACACCCCCGCCCCCGGCCGAGAACCAGACCGCCCAGACACCGCCGCCGCAGTACGACGTCATCGTCGGTACCCCCAGCGTGGACGGTCTGGCGGACTACTTTGCGCGACTCGCTGACTACGGCTACGACGAGCCCGAGGAGGACTCCGACTCCGACGAAGGGCCGGCCCGCATCTCAGAGCGCGGCGGCCGCGTCAACGTCGCTCACCCGCGCACGCCGGGCGGCAGGAGGGCACCGAGCCGCAGCTTGGAAATCCAGCGCCCGCCCGTCGAACTCCGGCTCGACTCGCTGCCCAGGCTAGCGCGCCAACCATAAACTACACCACCATAATCCTGTAATTAGTGAAGAGGAGGAGGAGGAGGAGGATACCACGGAAGTTACGATTCGAGATGTTAAATGCCATGTCGGGTTCGGCCATCTGCTTTTTTCTTGGGCTTGGTCTTTACGCATGATGATTACGGTCTGTGGAAACTGTGGAACACAAAAACAAACCAACGCATTATCCCCCCGGGTCTTTTGGTCGGCGCATTCAACACACACAGCACATATTGGGACTGGACCACAATGGCTCATGGATGAGGATGAGGGATTGCTCGTCAGATCCAAGAGCGCTCCCCTGGATGGTGTATTACCTCGTGGCGTTTGTCCGCTAGTTTTTATTTGGATATACCTGGACGACCAAGTCCCGCTGTGTGAATATTGAAGCAAATGAACTTGTATTCAGCTGTCAAAATCATCCCCTTTCTAAATCGCCCAGTGAATTCAGTGAAGCCTGCCACGATAGGAGCAACCTACGCCAGACACGCTCACGATTGTCTATTGCCGACACCGCCGATTCTCCTCCACCCGAGGGCATTCACAACTAAGGTCTTCGCACCCTTCATCCAACACCACCACGTCGTTCGCCACGTCGAACCTTGCACGCGGCATAGAAGACACCCCGGGCGCTCCCGGCCTATCGGGAGCCTAGTGAGTGTGGTATCTGATACCGGGGAGGCAAAAAAGAAAAAGGAGAAAAGGGAAAAAGGAGGGTACAGGAATGGTGGTGGTGGTTGGGATAGAGTTCTCAGGGGTTTCGCGAATAGGAGGTCTCGACACATCGAAAGCCATGATTGGCTCCTTTCATGTTGGGGACAGACGCTTGGAAAGGTTATGTTGGACCGCCGCACGTCCCACTGAACCCGGCACGTGGAGTTGGGATTACGGGTTGAACCTTGTTTCTGGGGGCGCGGGAGAGAGGGAGAGGGAAGAGTTGGTTTGCTTGGGTTTGGGTTGTCATGCTGTGTGTTTTGATGTTTTGGAGCCCGAGGGTTGGGAGGGTGAGGCGCGGCTGGGCGTTCTTTTTTGGTAGGGGGGGCAGGTGGTGATCGGGTTGGATTGGTGCTGTTGGTGAGATTGTGGGTGATTATGAGTGAGCGAGACGCCATCTGGAAAAAAGATCCAGGTGTGATGAGTGTGATGGTTGTTCGACGCGTGAAAAGGGGGTAGGGAGGCATGGGGTTCCGTAGGCGAGTAAAAGTCTAGCGGCTGAATGTCTATTACTACGGGTATGTATGTCTTCACGATGCTTCTTGACCTCGGGACGCGCGTGTGTTGATGAGTGAGATGTCGTCATCCGCGGAAGCATTGGAAGCGGAACGCCTGGTCTTTTCTGGAAACGAAGGGGATCCTTCCCTCACGAGACCTGATGGCGTCCCCGGAAAGTTTCTTTTTCCTTTTTTTTTCTTTTCTACGCTCCGTTCTAGGTTGATATGCACGTTGGACTTCGGCTGATGGGACGCGTCCTTGCGGGTGGCGGTTTGTTTCGTCGAGGCCTGGAAGATTCTGGGGGCGAGTTGGGATCGTCGATGGGGAGGTTTTGCCTTTTCTTGTCTTTTGGGGGGGTTTTGTGGACGGCATTGTTGGTTGGTCTGGTTCCGGGTGTTTGTGCCCGTCCGCTTAAGCCGTGGAAGACAGAGCTGGGGGGGATGAGGTAAGGTCTGTGGTGAGCTGAATGCTGGGATAGGGGGAAAGACATCGCGAGGTTGGCTTCAGGGGAGTTTGGCTCCGCCACATTGAGTCAAATCGATATGCTTGGAAGGCCTGGGGTCGGAATGGATCTCGATAGAGAACCAAAGGTAAAAAGGGAATCCAGATTGACCATGAACTCTCGGGTGGATGTCTCCCTCAAAGTCTCGCTGTTTTCGTCTGATGTCCTGGGCCATAGACTTCAAAGCATCGCGGGAGCCGCTTACTCAGATGCTCTAGGCAGATGGCACGGCGATATCGACTGGGATGTGGGAGATGTGTGTTGATCTGGGGGTGGTCTTGTAGAGTTCTGCTTGGGATCCGGGGTCGGTTCTTGGCGGGAGGCGAGATCGTGAGGTGTCGGGCCGAACGTCCTTGTCGGAAGCACACTTGATGAATCAATCATCTGGATCGGCGAGATGGGTGTGGGCTGGGGTCTTCAGCTGGATACGTCGCGGTTCCATCGAGATCAGGGCGCTTACTGCTGTCATGTTTATCTATTGGGAGATGAAGGCCAGTATGGTGGGACACACGTGATCCTTCTCACGAACTGATGGCAACGGCTGCGCGTTATTTTGATTGGCTAGGGTTGAATACTTTGAAATGTAATGGTCTTTCAGCTTGGTGAATCATCTCACCTCAGTATGTATGGCGAAGGAAGCGGCTATGAGTTTGGACGACGTCAACTGCCAACAACAGCAACACTAAGACCGTAGACGAATAGCTTCTTTCGCGATGATGTGGATATCCGTAAAATACGAGTGTATTCAAAGAAGCAGATGGCCTTGAGGCCGTTTATATAGTCTAGATCGTGGTTTTCTATCAATCATGTTCCCGTAAAATCAAACTCCGCCGTATCCAAGTGCCTCGATCGAGAGGTTTTGTCTTCGTGTTCCTCAGCCTGCTGAGGGCATTATAGTGAAGTCCGCCGCGTAGCCATTCTCTTCTAATTTCTGTCAAGTAGTGTCGTTTGATCATTCTGAGTTGACGTTTTCATGTCGTGGAGGCTTCCTAGCCCATCATGCCTCCATACCAGGGTTGATGGGAAGACGAAGGAGGCGTGTCTCTCGGAGCAGCTCGCCCTCTTCCTTGTTGAAATACCGGCCAGTCCAGAAGCTGATAAGACACATGATAATTAGCGTTTGGACGAGTGGAAGATGTCGGAATGAGTCTCACCTCCATAGCAGGCTACCCAGCGCAATATCCCGAATACCGTTGAGGTACTTGAGCACCACGCGGTCGTGCTTCGAGCCCCAGCTGGGCATCTGGGCCAAGGCTTCATACCAGCGCCGGTATCTCGCCTCAATCATGCGGCCCGTCTCATCCATGGCCTCCTGCAGAGTGTATCCCTGAGAGCGAAGGATGCCGATGACGGATAGCTCTTCTCCCTCAATCTGTTGGGGGTTGTTAGCGTAGTTGGTAAGTTGTGACTAATGGATGTTACTTACAACATCCTTCTTGTATGAAAGAACGTCGTTGTCTCTGTCTTTTGTATCAGCATTACCACTCTTTACGCTCTTTCGACTGGCCAACTCACAGGAGCACCAAGTCGACCGCTACTTCTTGGCATGCCTTGATCGAAGGGTGGTTTATGATGTGTTCGGGGACCTCGATTCCGAGCGCGTACCTGCAGATTTTCCTGTCAGCATTCGTCCTTGAGACGGAAACGTGGGTGTTCAATCAGGACAACTTACTCAACGAGAACGGTGCAGGGCATGACACCGATGGTGCCGCGCCGGAAGACCAGGAACTCCTCGATGGTGAGGTCGCTGACGTGCAGTTTTCGCGAGTTGACCTGGCCCAAAACGCCGAGCATGTAGTGTTTGATGTCTGGATTGGCCAGTCAGTTGTCAGCTTCTTGGCAAAGAGAGATGCATCGAGGCTGAAGCTCACAGGTCTTGTAACGGTGCTGGAGGCCTTGAGTCGTGATTGGTTAGCATTTTCTCAAGCGAGGTCACACAAGTTCCCATTGGTGATTGTCAACGACATACCAGGTGATGCGCGCTGTGAAGTTCATGTTAGTCTTGGGGAAGCTTTAGAGGAACGCCTTTCGAGGAAGTGAGCATACCTTTTGAATGTTTCGCCAGTTGAGTTGGAATGCGTAAGCGATGGGGTCGTCGTCGCGGGAGACCAGCGGGTGACAGTCGTCTAGTAGCGAGGTCATGTTGATGATGTTGCAGGCTGCGGCGTGGAGGTCCTCTTTCAGATGACCCTCGTCGAACTCTGTATGAGGAACAATGGGTGAGCTTGGCTCAAAGACATTGAGAGACGAAGCCCTCTATGTGTTTACACTAGAGGAATGGCAGATCAGGGCCAACTTACGGTCATCCCAAGCGAAGGCCTGGTAGTAGCATCATTGTCAGTCAATCCGCTCAAATACATAATTCGCAATACGTGCATGTGAATCTTCACATTAGGGTACCAGGACTCACCCAATTCTGCCAGTCTACCATGGTCCGGAGGGCTTCCGCGTCGCAATACGGAGCCCACCAGGAAACCAAATATGTGAAGTCCGCGATGGAGTTTTTGGCCCTCTGCTTCTCATTCATACCTAATGTTCTTTACGGACACCCGTCAGCGCATCTTCTCATGAGACAGATGAGAGCTTTGAACTTACTCGGCATTCCACGCGTCTGCCTCCCGCTTGACTTGGGAGTAGTGCATGTTTTGCACGGGCTCGACGGAGAGAATTGAAGTGAACATGTCTGGAACCAATGCCTCCGTCTCTATTGACTTACGTGATTCCTTCCGGGAAGTCGTGTGAGGTTCAAAGCCGTCGAGGCTGCTATGGTTGGAAGCCGTTGGCGAGGGCGGCAGAACTGCAAGAGCAGATCCGTCAAACTTGCTCTGCTGCTTCTGTAGCTGCAAAGAAGGCATGATGGCGGTTTTTCAAAGACTTGGCAGCTGGTCTAATGTTTCAAAAGTGATTGATACAACGATGGAGTAAAGGGCTTTGTGCTGTTGACTGGATGACTTGAATTCTGAGGATGAGACTGCACATTCCCACCAGATGGCCGCCATTCAACTCAGTATTAATACACCTCAACAGCAGGCATCTGTGCCTCTATTCATCTTACTGTGGATATTTTCGGTGTGATACTCACGATATGGAGAACCGCGCCTCAGTTAGTCAGGCAGAAGCAGGCAGATGACCAAAATCGACCCCCTGGCCCCATGCCTCGGCGAGGCCTGGTGAGGCTCTATCGAGCATCGCCCTCTCGAAAAATGAGTCCTCAAAAAGTAGGGAAATGCACCTAAAGCTGACGGACTCAACGGCCAATAACGATATGAGCCGGGCGCAATCTTGGGGGTCGAGTTGGTTTATCCTGGCATAGTTGCGGGACCGTTTGCCTAACAGAGAGTTAGAGGCATCGTCATGATGCTGTGCCGCTTCCTCTTTGCTCAGCCCTATGACTGCAAAAGGTCTTTTCTCCTCGCTGATCGCGAACCACCTTGTCGGGATCCTGAAGTGTGATAGGTTCATCAACGATGGCTCTGAGTTCATGTTGTCAGACGCGATGTGGGTCTTATCGGGGTGAGATTACCGATGAAGAAGAGGGCAGGCAGGCGGCAAGATAGTCGGCAATGGAACCTTGAATGATTACGAAGGGAAGAAAAGGACACTGCATGATCGAGTTTTCTGTTTGGGGTGTTTGGGGTGATTGGGGGTATTGGGGGTATTGGAATGATAGGGTGGTGCCTAGATACTGGGGCGGTTGGGAAGTTGTGTCACTTTTTGAAGTTTGCAAATTGCGACCTGCAACCGGCTTCTGGAATGCCAATTTCCGTGAGCGTTCTTTAACTCATTCGTACTCCCATCATTTAGTATTGCAGCCTTGATCATCTATATATATATCATTGAATGATCTGAGAACGTTTTCTAGCGTCTTCTTGCGTTTAACCTCCATCTACATCATACATCAGTCACCGCTGCGTACGCTCCCACTGCCGAAGAAACTCGTAATGCCAGCACTCAGATCGAAAAGCTTTTCGATGTAGTACCTACGGCTAGTTTCTGTATTGTATTTCTTGTCAGCACGCGTTGTAAGAAGCACTGAAGGACATCAATTTCGTAAGGTTCTCGATCAGCACCAGTATCGCAACACGAACAAGACCCTGAGCCAGATCAACGAATACCAGTGCCATTGCCCGGGACACTTGCGTATGCTGTCATTGAACCTGTTGAGTAATTTGCAGCATCTTCCCTTAAAACTGCTTGGGAAATTAAAGTTGTCACGTAAGGACCGGGATCATGACCGACGGTTGCGTTAACTGATGCGTCTTGCATGCTTGAATCTTTCCGCTTCTCTGACTAGTTTGCCATTATTGCTCTGTTGACTAGCAGACTGTTAACGAGTTTGTACAACGTCTTGAATGATTCAAGGCTAATACCACGGTTTCTATTTTTCACGTGGTTGCCAAGCTCGTAAGAGTTTGAAGAAGCTACAGTCCCTCGTTGACATGCATGCCACTCACCTAAAACATTTTTACATCTTCATTCTGAATGTTTGCGACGACGACTCGACGAGTACCTACTTTAGTTGACCTTTTGCGGCAGTCACTCCGCTCTAGATGTAATACTGAGTCATAGTTGTCAATCGCGCCCTACAGTCTTCTGCCGTTTAGTTTAGTCGGCTATAGAAGAATTCCCACCTACGAGCCAATGAGTGACCATTATTACTACCTAGTAGCTGGTCACGAGGAGAGCCAAGGGAGCCCAATTCAATAATGACAACATTTAGTTGGTGCACAACGTGCATCTATTGACACTGAAAAACACCAGCGCGTTATTAACATAACGATGCAGCTCAATCAGCTTCTCTGAGTGATCACCCACAAGCCACTTGGCTCAGATGCGGGGTGGGAATTTGAGTAGATTAAGCTTGAAATAACCACTCTTGACTCAATCAGTTACTTGAGTCATATCAGTGCGCTAGACTTTGCTCTTATCGTATCTTCTATCTATTTAATTGCGGTTGATAAACCGCTCCCTCGAGACAACACTTGCAACCCCGCAACTTCCCCTCAAACACCTTCGACATGAATCACGGCCTGTCAGCCCGCGGCCAGGAGGCGGCGAAGCCGAACGACGGTTTGCTACTCTGGGCTATTGTTCGCGACCTATGGAATCCGAGCACAAACCCAAACGGCTACGTGAGCCTAGGCATCGCCGAAAACTCGCTCATGCACGACAGGCTGTCTGAACACATACACAAGAATCTCGCCGTGCCGTCTCACTCCTTCACGTACGGAGACGGCACGACTGGCTCTAAGCGGCTGAAGTCTTCTCTTGCTCGGTTCTTGACCGATCGACTTCACCCCGTCGCGACTATTCAAGCGGATCAGATTTCGGTCACCAACGGCTGCAGCTCTGCGATAGAGCACCTGGTGTGGTCGCTGGGCAACCCTGGCGATGGTTTCTTGCTCGGACAGCCGTACTACGGCGGATTCGTTCCCGATGTAGTGTACCGAACTGGCTGTGAGCTTGTGCAGGTTCCGTTTCACGACGTTGATCCACTCGGGCTTGATGCTGTGCAGAAGTATGAGGATGCACTGCTGGCTGCTCAGGCGAAGGGAACTAGAGTCGCTGGTCTCATCTTGTGTCACCCGCATAACCCTCTCGGGCGGTGTTATCCTCGGGAAGTTATCGTGGGTCTTATGCGCCTGTGCCAGAAGCACGACGTCCATCTCATCAGCGACGAGATATACGCCCTATCGATCTGGGACAACAAGATTGATAACGACCCTCCTCCCGTACCTTTTGAATCTTGCCTTTCCATCGAAACGGCGGGCATCATGGACGCTCATCGACTCCATATTCTCTGGGGCATGTCTAAGGATTTTGGCGCAAACGGCATTAGACTGGGAGCCATCATTTCTCAGAACAATCCTTCGTTCCATAACTCTTTGACGCCAGTCGGAATCTACAGCTCTCCTTCTTCGATTTCAGACCATGCCACTGCGAACATTCTTGACGACAAGGAGTGGGTCGATGGCTATATCGCGGAGAACCAACGAAAGCTACAAGAGCATTACGAACTAGTCGCGACCTGGGCAAAAGACAACGGAATAACTTACGCACAGGGCGCGAATGCGGCCTTCTTCTTATGGGTAGACTTGGGCAAGGCCTACTTGGAACGTCACCAGGACAGACGCGTTGAGGATCTTACAGGGGAGGTCATGCGCGCCTTGTTAGACAACAAGGTGTTCATCGCTTCTGGAAATCAGTTTGGGTCTGAACAGCCAGGGTGGTTCCGAATCGTGTTTTCAAACAACAAGGACTTGTTGGTTGAGGGATTGAAGCGCATTGTTGAAGCGATTAGCAAGTAGACTCAGACAGACAACTCCAGTGCAGTTCAAGCGACTTGCTATCCACTTAACTCAGCTTGTCCACGTGCGAACTAGTATGCAACCCAACCAATGTCTGTAGCCCTCATTGAGAACTTAGTGGTACATCAGTTCTGCTTGATTTGAGTTTTCGTCGTAGACTCAGACGGCGGGCAGTTAAGCTGGGTAATAAGTACTTTTGTCGATGGCAGATGATACTCAACTGGTATGAGGGAAGGTAGTGGCACACATGCCTTTTGTGACAATTAACTTACGGTATTCTCGGCCGACGATTATTGATTTAAATCAGCTCTAATGCATCGAAAACAGCATCAGCTGTGTCTGCCACAGCGAAGCTGATCATGCACCTGCTTCTCGGCGGATTCTGCATGTGGACGAAATTTACGGGATAACACCAAGAAATTCAGCTAAACACGGCTTTTATTCGTATATATGTGATATCCAATTGTACGTAATAGTAAGTGGACTGACAAATGAATAGAATCCGTGAATGAACAATACAATATCTTTCTATGCTCCTCGTCCAGGTAGTGGGGCCTGTGTAGTCGTTCATTTGTTACTGACTCGAGACATCACTTTCAACTCCGGATGCGGCACCAATTCCACGTGCGGATCGCGCGGGCACCGCGAGGAGAATTTAAATGCGAGCAGAAACCGAAAACTTCGACGCAACGGGTCACCTGAACAGCAAAATGTGGCTTCCCGAAGTGTGTTGTGAAAAGATCGTGAGCAACGGTTCGCGGGAATCAAGTGATCGTCCGATGTCGGCTGTAAGTTGTCGTTTTCCGAGATCAAATGGTTCCGAAGATAGCGTCTCCGGCATTTTCCAGCATTTTCTCATTATGTCCTGCTTGTTATTGATACTCAATGTTTTGGAATCAAGGCTGGGTATTTACCATTCAGTTGCAAGGCCCCAGGGTTCACCACCTACCCAGACCTTGGACTTCTGGATAATTTTGCCCTTTACGGCATGGCTTTAGTTCTAGATCAGCGCAGGGATACTGCAGCGGCCCCTTTACCATGGCACCTTAATGCATCCGAACCTGCTGTGGGGAGATCCTTGCATACCCGCGCGGTAGCCAAACTCCTTACAACGCTTGACCTCTAACAACCTCCTTCGTTTTCTTTTTTTCAAGAGCACCTCCTGGCAGTGCTTCACTTCATAGGGCTGTGGCGTGATCAGAAAAAGGTGTGCAGCTGGGTAATTAGAAAAACAAATGGGGCCGGGGCCACACTCACGGCCCGAGTCTGGATATACAATCCTATTCAGGAAGACGTTTGACTCGACAAAGACTCTCGTCGAAGATAGATTGATTAACGTCGTTGACTCCGTTCAAAGCACTGAAGATTTGTAATGTTAATGGGCATGGCCGGGGGCAAAGCCTTTTGCCCTTCCTGAGAAGCAGGAATCCAAAGCCTGTTGACTATCAAGTAAGACGAAAGTTCGTCTATTGAGAGCTACGAGAATTGCTTTGCTCGCCTTACACATGTGGACAGAGTCGCCAAGGGTGTCCATGTTCATCTGATGTTGTCACTATTCGCTCTCCCCGCGCCAAGAATGCTACCTTGGGGAAGCTCGTTGGTTAAGATCAGGCCCATACGGGACTAACCCGACCGTCCCACCGGGTTTTCCAGGGGTTATTACCCAAGGCCCTCTATGAATGCATGTACTTTCATACTATGTAAGCTGTGAAGTAAGCCACTACTACGTAGACTGTGGACACCTGACATGAGTCGATCTCGGTGGAGTCTTGAAGCTGGCAAGTTGTAGCGAGATGTTCTGTGATCACAATAACATACCCCTGATGGAATAGCTAGACTATATAAGGACTGACGTCTTTCCGCATGAAATTACGTTTGGTCTACCACTCAGTCAAGCCGAACGTCGCTCTTTACACTTACAACCAACTGAAGTTCCAGCCCAACATGGTTCTGCCCACGCTCTTTCTCTCGGCTGCCCTGGCCACTTCCGTGGCCGCCTACGATACCCTCCTCAACTTCAACGGTGCCCCCGAGGTCGAGACCCGTACCATCGATGAGATCCATAAAGCTGCGCTTGCAGAGGGCGGCGTTGTCACCCTGTGGCATGGTGGTGATGAGAAGAACCAGCAGGATGCCCTGAAGGCTGCCTTTGAGAAGCGCTTCCCCGGCATGACTTTGAATCTTACTGTTGATGTGTCCAAGTACATCGACGGTAACATTGATCGTCAGCTGTCCCAAGGAAACGTCTACGTCGACAGTGTCATTCTCCAAACGCTTCAGGATTATCCCAGATGGGACGAGCAGGTACTACATTCCAACTTCAGTATTAGGACAGCTATGACTTGTTTGATTTCCATACTAACGTTAATCCTCATCAGGGTGCTCTCCTCCGATACAAGCCGCTCAACTTCGACAAGATTCACCCCGGCTTCCGTGACGTATTTGCTGCTTGGTACGCCGTTGTCGTCTTCGGCTGGACAAACATTTGGAACGCCGACAAGGTCTCCGAAGGTCCCGTCGACTACCTCGATTTCCTCAAGCCCGAGTACAAGGATAAGCTGGTTTTCACCTACCCCAACGATGATGACGCTGTTCTCTATGCTTTTGACCTCGCGTAAGTATCAGCTCACAACAAGACTGAGCGTTTGTCGCTGACGTTTCACGCAGTATGCAGCAGTACGGCTACGGCTGGTTTGAGAACCTTCTCACCCAGAACCCTCGCTGGGTTCGTGGTACCGCTACCCCTACCACCGTCATGGGTCAAGCCAACAACTCCTACGCTGTCACCTTCACCGGCAGCGTCGGCATGATCCCTTCTGCCCCCTTCAACATCTCCATTCCCAAGAACGGCTTCTTCGTCACGTGGGGTCAACGTGGCGCTATCCTCAAGGATGCACCGCACAAAGAGGGTGCCAAGCTCCTGCACAACTTCCTGCTCAGCGACGAGTACCAGAACCCTAACGTCACCGGCTCGTGGAGTGTCCGCCGTGACATTCCCCCTCCTGCTGGCTTCCCCGACCTGATGGAGATCAACTCCACCAACCCGATCGACTTCGAGCGTTTCATGGTCAACCGCGAGCGTGTTGAGAGGCTCAAGATTTTCTTCGAGGACAAGATTGGTACTGCTCAAGGTCTTAGCCCCTTGATCGATGATTTGTAGATTTGAGGCACTTGCACTTCAATGTAGCAATGCATCAATTGAGATCGATTTATTCGTCTCAAGCCTTTCACAAGCATCCCGGCGTTATGCCAAGAGACCCGCATCTGTGATCAAGGCCGTTGCCAAAGACCAACAACACTAATCACGGGTCCGAGGTGGTCAAACATGGCTCTCTTGGCATCTATCCTGTCAATCTCTTTCAACTATTTCCATTGTTACTGAGTCCAAAAGCTTGATTCAACATCTTCATCACAAGTCTGGCGTTGAGAAACAGGAACACCATGCTAAATTTTGACCATGCTCCTTCGCGATGACTTACAGAAACGGCGTCAACGAAGTTGTTTTGTTGGCGAAGCGGAAGAAGTTTCTCTTGAATGAAGTATTGGAACTCTTCAGATAGAAATAAGCTGGTTTTCTAACATCAATATCATCACTAACGCTACATGTAGCAAATTCGTTAGGACATCTAACAAAACTATCGAATATGCATCAGCCTCAGCGGTCCGGCTATCGAAGCTTTTCATAAGCCTCACCTTGAGGTTTCGAACTGTTGGCTTGGCGTAGGATGTGACCTACGGCTTGAAAGTATTGGGTACGTTTGAGCATTTGATCTACACCATCCCACTCACTACTCGCTGCCCCGTCGACAGATCTTGTCAACCACATCATGGCAATAATGCTCCTTGACCTCCCTGCAATATCGTCAAAGACTCCAAGGGAGCTCCATTTTCTGGAATGTAAATCGTCGATCAAGTGAGCTTCGCTACATGTATTTGATGAATTAACTAGTCAGGTCGGGGAAGTGACCGACATCTTGGCAAGACACCTAAGAAATTGCTCCCGGACAACAAGATCCGGTATGCTGACATATCGATGATTGGATCACATCAATGCCATCAATGGCCACATCATTCAAGGTTGTTGGAACGAAAGCGGGATAGGTGTCAGAAGTTCGCCTCGGACAAACGAATGACGCTATTGCATGTGCATTAAGGCGTGTGAATGAATAGAGCTGGAAACATAGACCTCGTCGTCTCATCGGAAACGAAAGGTGATAGAAAAGGGGTGTGATCGGCAGTGGTCAAGAGTCTAGATGAGTAGCAAGCCGCGAAACCGGCCCGATCACTCTCTTCCTCTCTCGGACCGGGAGAAGGAACATATGCGGCTCTTCAAGTGACAATGATTCCGGAAGCATGATAGAGGCCTAGGAGAAATGCTCCGGACATTTATTGAATGCATTGTTCAAGTGCCGGCTGTGGGAAAACATCAGCGTTGGTGGCTGGCGAAGGCATACGCTATCTTCAGGGGGCTTTTTCTCAAAATACGCTGAGAACATGCTCACAGTCATGGGTTATAAACAGTCATGACGAGGCCGTGTTGGCGAAACTGATCTGGTCTTTGGTTGACTTCTTGGCTCAACAGTCAACGACCGAAACCATACGCCGATCTCTAGCAAGATCTGGCGATATGTCTCAGAAGAAAACTCGAGAAAACCCCAAAAGTTTGCACAAATGAATCGCATGAATGAGCGAATGGAATACGCCTTTGTGTGCCTTCATTACACTTTAAATGATCATCACACGTGCTCATGAGACAAGAATGTTGCCTATCAATAGCTGCACTCGCAGTCTGAGGCTCGAAAAAGGGCGAGATGTTCCACAGGTAGATGATTTCCTACTACGACTGGGAATAGAATTGTCTTCAGCGAAAGACAGTTGATTGCGTATAGAATCAACATAAGCAAGAAGACTTCACTCCAGGCGTTGAATCTGTCTTTTTTGGTCTGGCAACAACATGAACGGGCAAATGTTCAGGTATTAACCTCATTTGGATCCCGAGTATTTTGATCATTGTTCAAGTTTGAAAACATGTATCGATATATGGAAGAGATACAGAAAGGCCTTGAGAAGATGAGTGCTTCTTTGTGTGACGGCACCAAAATGAGGTGAATTTTTGCAAGATGCGACCTTCCGGAGCTGGCTCCTACTTCAACAGAACAGGCGCATCCGATGTCGAGAATGAATCATCGGGCCGTGAAGCGATGTCTCGATGTCTGGAATGCACTTTCCACGATTGTTGAGTCAGCTTAATCAGTCTCTACTCACAACGCTGACATTGGGTCACTCGGCCGCAAACGTGTCTCGGAGAGTGCCATTTACGGAATGTTCCATACAAAATGGGCCAGATCATCGCCTTCTTGCGAAGATTTAGGCTGCCTCTATCGATCGAGAGCCCCCAGCTGTCGATGAATGCGGCCCGCTGAGGACTATTCGGGCTCACATATTTCCCGCCAGCCTAGCCCGTCGGCCAAGCTAACCCTAAGCTTAATCTAGATTCTGACGCTGTTTCCTGACTTCGAGCTTCAGTACCGTTTAAGCCGAGTCACTTTCGGTCGAGCCGGGGATCGCTCCCGTTGAATATGGGGTAAAGAGGCTTGAAAATGGTCCCAGTGATTAGCTAGCACAATTGCTAGTCTTAGATATCACTTCGGGAAACTCCTAAGCCCCTAAGACACCATTGGGCCAGGCTTGGATTGAACTACTCCATTCGGCAGATAAATCAAAGAAAACTGTTCATTTCATCCGTTCCCAGCATCATAACGGCATATTCAGGCCAACATGGTGTTGATGAAGGGAATCGACCCAACAGTGAGAAACGAGAAGACGCCCTACCCGCCGGCTCCCTTGTAAGGTGTGTTGTTCACGAACTGTATGTCTCACTGCTCAGAACTGTTTCTTTAAGCCCTGTACGCCATTGATGAAATCCATGGGATTGTTTTGATGTCCGTGGCGCCGCTTGAGAGAAGTGTAAGTTTGACTCTGGCTGTGTAGAACGTTGCACCTTCGTCATAGCGAGCAAGGGCTGTGAATACATTGAGCGATTACTGGGCCATACGAGCCTGAAGTCAAAAACCTTTCCGCATGGGGTTAAGTAATAGCAGAGAAATGTGATTTCGGGCATGAATTACTCACTTTCAAGTCTCGATGTTCATGTTAATGTTTAGTAAGAGGTGCTTACCAAGGCCAGACTTCATGACTACAATACAGTGATGCACTGCGACGTTTTACCTCACGAACTTGAGGTGTCTGGATATACAAGATGACTGCGGAGCTTGGCATCTTGGCAACACGTCCTGACATCAATCAGAGACACTTCACCTACTGCCAGCGGCAGGCCATCTGTGCCGAGTGGAAATCTTTGGCGCCATCCGAGGAACGCGGGCCCATCTGGATCGGCCTAGCCCCCCGATGTCAACTTCGGGAAGATCCTTTAGCGTAGATCCACCAGTTCGTCCGTCGCCTCCACCGTCACGGCAATTCTTTTGGGTAGCTCGTCATCTGCCCGAAGACGGAAACCACTGATTGTCTGGAGTCACATTCAGTGTGGTAGCCCTACTGCTGGCGTTGACAAAGCTTCGGAATAACGCGCAAAGTCACAACGTGAGAAAGCCCGTAGCTCCGGATGGAGCTTGTAGCTCGCCGCGTCGGCGGCTCGCCTGGGAACCCTACTGGAACTCGCCATTCTGCCTTGGACGAACTTCTTCGTTTTCGGACAGCACGCATGGCTACCAACGTGGATGTGAGAACAGTGGACATCGTGGGTTGGAATACCATCTTCAATTCCTATAAGAGCCTTCGATATCTCGCGGTCTAATCCAACTTTTATCCTCATCCTCATCCTCATCAGCACATCTTCTCTAATACCCACTGCAACAGCCTCTTCTCTTGGTATCTTCAGACACACTCTTATCCAGTGTACTCTCATCAAGAACATAATCTACCTTTTCTTCACGAAAAAGTTTATTATCACTACCAAGATGCAGTCCAAGATCTTCTCTGCTGCCGTCGCCGCCTTGGCCTTGACCTCTTCGGTCAACGCCGCCGCTGTCGACACGAGGCAAAACAACGTCATCGTCATCCAGCCTGCATCGATCGTTGGTCCCACGATTGCGTTCGACCCTTCGGCTCTTGGTCTCGAGGCTCTTGTCTACAGAGCGCTTGACCAGCTCCGCGACGACATTACCCGCACTTCTGCCCTCATCACGGAGCTGAACAAGGCTTTCTACGCCAACTTGGATGCCGTGAGTCTACTACTTCTAAAGCGTTTGAGCGCTCCCAAGACTAACTCTTTCACAGAAAAAGGCGCAGGCCGATGCCGTTGTCAAGCAGGTCCAAGAAAACGCCAACAACATCAGAATCAAGTTGGAGAGCCTCACTGGCACCATCCAGGGCAAGATCGACGCGCTCCCCAAACAGATTCCTGCGGCCCCGACTGCCCCCACGCTTCCCGCGGTCCCTACTCTTCCTACTGGAGGCTCTGGTGGAGGCTCCGGCGGTGGCGGTGCTGGCGGCGCTGGTGGTCCTGGAGCTGCCGTTACCTCTGTGGTCAATGGTGTCACTACCATCATCGGAGGCATTCCCACCGCCGTCGCCGGTGGCATCGTGAGCACCGCTGTTGCCAACGCGGGCGGTGCTGCCAACTCCGCTGCCGGTGCCGCCGGGGCTGCTGCTAGCTCTGCTGTTGCTGCTGGGGGCGCTGCCGGCTCCGCCGCCGCCGGTGCTGCTCAAGGTGCTGCTGGTACTGCTGTCGCCGCCGCCGGTGGGGCTGTCAACACCGTTGTTGCCGAGGTTCCCGGTGCCGTTTCGACTGCTATTGGCACCGTTGGCGGCATTGTCGACAGAGTCGATGCGGTTCTTGCTGCTGCCCGCACCCTGAACTCCCAGGCCAGAAGCCAGATCAACCAGGTCGGCAGCTACTTGGAGACTCTGATTACTCCCACCATCGGACAGATCAAGACCGAGTCCGCCAAGAGCATCGCCAACTCCTTCAAGCAGATCTCTACCGCCACCGACACCTTCTTCGTCGTTGTTCTGGCTGCCGCTGAGAACGGCCAGGGCACCAGCGCTGTCTTGATCCAGCGCATCACCGCTGCCAAAGTCAGCCTCAACCCTACTTTCATCCTCGGCATCAGCCCCGACGTTACCTTCTAAGCAACTTACAACCAAAACTATCTCTCGCTTTCGCTACGGCCTGACAAACATGGCCCAAATCAGACACTACGACATTCAATACTAATCAGATTGATTTCAGCGGTTACGACAATAATATCTATAAGGGAACTAAATTATAATGGCGCTCGGGATTAATAATTATGGGCAAAATGGTCGGACTACACTCATTAACGGGTGAATAATTCATAATACTTTATTAATTAGTTACACTACTATCATTAATATAATTCTTTTAAAATAATCCTCTCGTTTTCTCGCGGATCAATCACGCGCAACACGGCTCCTAACGCTTAGGTTGATAACACGGCCTTCACGATGGAATTGGGGATCTATTTTCTTAAAGAAGAGCCAGATTCACAAGTCAAACAAACGAATAAATCACTTGGACTCCAGCTTCGTAACCCAGAACTTCTACCATCCGCGCATACAGGAAGACTTCTCTCCGCATGCTTTCATCGCGGAAGACTGCTAGCCGGGGCCGACCGCCTGGGACCCACACTTCCGGAGGCCGGCCCAGGGCCTTGCTCCGGATCAGCGAGCCGGAGAAAAATTCATCTTCATGAGATTGGAACAAGCGACTTGAAAGCCTGCAGGAATATGTGCAAGCATGGATTGGTGACGACGTGGTTATGCCCACTATGCGGTCACATATTGCACTGCTTTATTTTGGCGAAGACCTGCGCCTAGCGCCGGCGGCGGCGAGATCAATCGTACTCGCACCAACCGTTCGGACTCACCCGAGCTCCATTTATTGGTGGAAATCTACCTTAATTGCCACCTTTTAAGGCTCTCCTTTCCAGGTCTTATTGTGAACTCGGGAGTAATATGCTTGAAAGCGTAAAGATGGTGTGTTTCGCATAAACAAACTTGACCCCGGTGCAGAGACCCAAATAAGGCGAATGTGGGGCCCCGAACCGCTGGAAATTCAGGGGCGGAGCGGGGTCGCCGTTTAGCCCCGATTTGATCGGATGACACAATTAAACATGCACGTACAGTCGTTACCCCTCATAATGCATATAATCCGGGCACCTAACCTATATATATTTTAAGGGAAATATATAATATTTAGTCCTAATACTAATTTTTTATACCTATAGTAATTATACTAAAACATTAAATTTCTATAAGAATAAGGGCAATTTAAGCTATTAAGCCTATATATAATAGAAAAACTTAGTAATTATAGCTTATTAGCCCTCACTCTACTTATTTTAAAGCTAGCCTTTTATAATATATAATATAGTAATATTATTATTAATAATAAAGTCTTACTCTTCTATAAATATAAATAGGGAGTATATATTATAAAGAGCTTCTATTATAGTTATTTTAAGTATTAAGGCCTCTATTTTAATATTATTATCTTTATCTAATAATTTAGAGTTCTCTTAAATAAGTAATAGAAATAATAAATTATATTACTTAATTATATAGTTTATAATCTTATTAAGTATTTAAAGCTCTCTAGATAAGTAGTGTTACGACCCGTTGGGCTTAGCTACCAACACAACCCCGCCAGGCTCTCGGCGGCTAACGTGGACATATGTAACCCAGTGACACAAGGACGGTCAGGGATCCTCAGAAGGGAAGAACTATGGTGCAAGTCACGTGACGATAAGATAAGGATCATTTTGGATCAAGATGATCCAGATAGACTTAGGGGCCAAACGATCATTCTCAATCAGAATGATCCAGCTCAACCCAAGGTACAAAGAGCATGTACTAGAAAAAGGACTTATATATAGGATGGACTAGAGCTCAGCTCAAGGACAGACTTCCATAGCTCTTCAGCAATCAACTTTGTGACTACCCTCACCGGTACTTTCAGCTATACCTAAGTGACAACTACTCTACAACTCTTATTGAGGCCTTAACTAATCACCAAGACCTTTAAAGACCTATAATTACTCAAATAGCCCTATAGAACGACTTAATACTATTTATAGTTCTCAATCCCTAACTTACTGCTAACACAAACCCACTATCAGTTAGCTAGCCATAACACTTTAATTGCTCCTGTTCAGTAAGTTACCCTTTAAAAACTACTAACAGTATCACAATGTCTTCACAACTCTCTAGAAAGACCCCTAGCACTAGATCCTCCTCTGGCGCTGGGAAGGCCCCCGTCAAGAAGAACCTTACTCAAGAACTCAGGGATCAGAGAATGAAAGACGACAGCGACAGTGACGACGACAATACGCTCAAGGAACAGCTTGAACGAGCCAACCACGACATCCAACAGATGCAGGAAATGTTCAACGCCAACGCCCGCGCTACTGAAGAACTTCAGGCCGCTATGCGCCTGTCCAACCAGCGCACCCAGGAACTTGAACAGCAGAACTGCACTCTTTAAGCCGCCGCCAACATCGTCACTACCCCTATCATAGAAGGACGAGAGAAGCTTCAACTCAACTCTCCCAATCCTTTCGACGGATCCCCAGGATAGCTCAAGGGATTCCTTATCTAAGTCAAGAACTACCAGAATTTCTATTACAGTAACTTTAAGAATGGAACTAAGAAGGTTATCCACGCGTCTACCTTCCTTAAGGGACGAGCCCTCTAGTGGTTTAAACCCTTCCTCAAAGAATACCTCAATAAGGAAACACTCAACCACTATTCTACTGAAGTTAGAGACATTTTCAGCAGCTTCCAGGGCTTTAAGTCCGCCCTGAAGTCTCTATTCCAAGACCCTGATGAGAAACGACAAGCTGAACGAGACTTACTTCGCCTCAAACAGACCAAGTCAGCTAAGGACTACGCTGTAGAGTTCCAATAGATCTACACCCAGCTGGACTTAACCGACAAAGGCAAGATCTTTATATTCTATAATAACCTCAAGGACGAAGTCAAGGATGAAATCATTAAGGTCAATAGACCTAAGGACTTCCTCTAGTACACCAAGCTCGCCATCAAGATTAACAACCAACTATACAAACAACGCAAGGAGAAAGGCAAATAACAACAACCCACCAACTCCAGCCGCAAGTACCAGTAGCAGCCCAGATACCACAACAATAATCAACGCAACAAACGCAACAGCACCACCTACAGACACCATAGCGGACCTATGGATCTCAGCGCGGCCCAGCGCAACAACAACAACAAGGGCAACAGCTGGAAGAAGAACATCAAGTACTACAACTGCAACAAGAACGGACACCTTACAAAAGAATGCAGAGCACCTAAGAAGGAACTCTTCCAGCCGGTACCTGAGAAAAGACAAGCCAGTGCCGCCACTAAGGCAATCCCTCACGAACAACTCAGTTAGGCCACCTGCTTTAACAACAACTGCAGAGTTCACTCAGACTCCAAGGAACACACAGGATAGTACCCCAAGAACCCCAGCAGAACGGGATACGACACCACTAGAGTGAAGAACATCAGTGGACCCCCGAATCAACGAACCATCGCTGTAGGATACAGAAGCAACAGCAAACTCGAGCGCAAGGCTCAAGAACAACTCAACAGCCTCCTAGAACACGGGGCCCTCAAAGAAAACGGACAGTTTGAGACGTCTGAATACATCGGCCTCGAACAAGAACCAACCTATGACTTGGATGAGCCTCGCGACGTTGCACGACAACGTGCTCAGACGGTAGCCATCTATGGGCGCAAACCCAGCATTAATGACACCAGCTCTGAAGAGGACTCTGACGATGAAACCACTAGGACCAGCAAACGCCTTTGGTACTAGAAAATCGATCCCATGAAGGACGAATAGATACTTGAATTCTTTGGCACCTCAGGAGAACAGCGTGACAGAAACTACAAACCAGAGTTTAGGCTAGATAACTACCTATATTTATATGTGGAAAGCAACCACCACCAATACCTCTACTAGCCGCAGTGCTTCTTCAACAACTGCAAGGAACATCTTGGAGATAAGCACGTATATCAATTCTACCCCAGAAGGTACAACCAAGAACCCATTAAGAAGGTCTATCAAATCAACTAAACATACAGATAGGAACTTAAGCTATTTAACGGACAAATTGCAACCTTTAGACCAAGCCAAGAATACCCCATGAGATGCCTCCACGACACCGATATAAGCTAGCAAGATTGCCAATAAGATAAATATATGATCCACGGAGAAAATAAAGCCAAAGCGTGGCGACTCAGCTAGAATGGAGCGACCCCCCCTACAGTAAAGTACAAGGAGAGCCGGCTCCAGAAAGCACAACGCAAAGGGAAACGGATCACCTACCACAGAGACAACCAGTCAAAAAACTAAGATCGCCTACCAAAACCAAGGGACAACAACAGGCAGACAAGACAAGATCCCTATGTAGTGCAACTAGGGCACACCCAGCTTAACGATACGAGCATATCCGAGTTCAGATACAACTCAATGGAAGACCGGCTACCGCAATAATAGACAGCGGAGCCCAAGGAAACTTCATATCGCCACAAACAGTGAATAAACGAAAAATAACCTGGAAGAAGAAAGCAGCAGAAGACTGCTACAAACTCAGCACCGTTGAAGGAGAACAAGTCCAGTACGGCAGAGGACGCATTACAGCGGAGACAGCGCACCTCCCTATGCAGATCCATGGCCAGAATGAGCGACTGAACTTCAATATTACGGAAATAGGAGACAAGTACGATGTCATCCTTGGAAGACCATAGTTATACAACAGCAACCCACGGATAGATTGGAGAACCAGCCAACTCCATTGGGACCAGGATTCAGTCACTGAGCAGCAGCCCAGAAGAGGTGCCTCAAACGAACCTTTCAGAACTCCTGAAGCGAAGAGATTTTTAGCATACCTACGAATTAAGGATGCAAACGCCAGGACGTTATCAGCAACAGACATCGATAAGGAAGATCGACTTCTGTCTATCCCAGAAGAATACCGGCAATACCAGAAGCTATTCGCCAAAGAACTCAAAACAGGACTGCCAGAACACAGCAACTACAACCACAAGATACCCCTAAGAGAAGGGAAGGAGCCAAAGCTAGAAGCAATCTACAGACTCAATCAGAAAGAAATGGAAGCACTCGACGCTTACCTCAAAGAAAACCTACAGAAGGGATACATCAGACCCTCCACATCACCAGCAGGATATCCAATCCTATTCGTGCCCAAAAAGAACGGCAAACTACAACTCTACGTCAACTACAGAAAACTCAACAACATCACAATTAAGAACTACTACCCGCTACCGCTCATCTCAGAACTCAGAGACCTGCTACACAGAGCCCAGTAGTTTACAGCACTCAACTTAAAAGGAGCCTACAACCTGATACGCATGAAATCAGGCGAAGAATGGAAAACAGCGTTTCAAACACGCCAAGGACATTACGAGTACCTAGTAATGCCCTTCGGACTCACCAACGCACCCACAACATTCCAGACAATAATCAATCACATCCTACGAGAATACCTAGATGTATTCGTTATAGTTTATCTCAACGACATACTGATCTTCTCTAAAACACTGGAAGACCACAAGAAGCATATACACCAAGTGCTACAGAAACTACAAGAGGCCAAACTCCTGGTGGAACCAGAAAAGAGCAAATTCCACGCGCAAGAAGTCGAATTCCTAGGCTTTACTATAGCCCCTGGAATCCTCAAGATGTCAAAAGACAAAATCGCAGCAGTACGAGACTAGCCAACGCCACAGAACGTCAAAGACGTACAATCCTTCATTAGATATATAAACTACTACCAACGATTCCTAGAAGGATACTCAGACAAGAACGACCCTCTCACGAGGCTCTCAAAAAAAGATACCCCATAGCAATGGGAAGAAGAGCAAGAACAAGCCTTCAATAAGATCAAGTAACAAGTTATATTAGAACCTATACTCATTATACCTAACCCCGAGAAACCATTCGAAGTTGAGACCAACTCCTCAGACTACACTATAGGAGGACAGCTAGGCCAACGAGACGACAAAGGACAGCTACGCCCATGCGCCTTCTTCTCACGCAAGCTACACAGCCCAGAACTCAACTATCAAATCCACAACAAAGAACTTATAGCGATCATCAAAGCATTTAAGGAATAGAGACCTCAACTATTAGGAACGAAGTATAAAGTCAAGGTCTATACCAATCACAAGAATCTCGCCCACTTTACCACATCAAAAGAACTTAATAAACAACAGATCAGATGGTCTGAATTCCTCTCAGAATTCAACTTCAAAATCATCTACTGGAAAGGTAAAGAAAACGGAAGAGCAGACGCTCTCAGCAGGAGACCGGACCACAAAGTCCAGGTACCTAAGGAAACCCAAGTTATCCTCAAAAAAGACAAGGAAGGAGACCTTGTGCCAGCAGCCAGACTCTTAATAATGGCCAGGAGAGACAATACCAGCACGACTGGAAGGATGTCTCCTGAAGCCATTAGGGAGATACACTCTGCTCCTGCACATGGCCACCAAGGCGTAACCAAGACATGGAAACGCATCAGACAACACTACGACAAAACGGCTACACAACAAGAAGTATCTTTAGCGATTAGGGACTGTGAGGTTTGCGCGAAAAGCAAACCCAGCCAACATCAGCCTTATGGTAAGATATAGCCGCTCCCAGTGCCGCAAACCGCATGGGAATCTATCTCGTTGGACTTCGTCACCAAGTTACCCAAGTCCCAAGAACCGATGACTAAGGTCCACTACGACAGCGTCCTAGTCATCATCAACAGACTCACAAAGTACTCATACTTCATCCCGTATATGGAGTCTAGCACCGCAGAAGACCTCGCCTATAAGTTTCTGCAGGTGATTGTTAGCCAACACGGAATGCCGAAGGAAATCGTGTCCGACAGAGACAAGTTGTTCACTTCCAAGTTTTGGAGATCACTGATCTCGCAGCTGGGATCTGATCACAAGATGTCCACCGCTTTTCATCCGCAAACCGATGGCCAGACAGAACGAATCAATCAGATCATGGAAACCTATCTACGCTGCTACGTCAACTACCAGCAAGACAACTGGGTGCAATTGCTACCTATGGCCCAGTTTGCCTACAACAGCGCAGTAGGAGAAAGCACAAAAGAATCCCCATTCTATCTGAACTATGGATTTAACCCAACAGCCTATGGAGAACCACGACAAGGCCCAGCAGCTCTGAAAGCTGTGGCAGATATCAACAAACTCAAGGAAATCCAGCAAGAGCTACCTAGAGAACTCAAATTCGTGCGCAAACAAATGCGCAAATACGCCAACACCTCAAGAGTTAAGGGACCAACTCTACAGGAGGGAGATAGTATATACCTTCTCCACCAAAACATCAAGACAAAACGACCAAGCGATAAGTTAGACTTCAAGAAACTTAGACCTTTCGAGATCATAAAGAAGGTATCTAACGTCAACTTCAAACTCGCACTACTAGACACTATAAAGTATCATCCAGTCTTTCATATTTCACTTCTCAAAAAAGCACCAGCAGGTTCACACACAGAAGACTGCATCATTATGGAACCACTAGAACCAGAATATGAAGTCAAACAAATTATTAACTACCACAATAACAACGGAAATACAGAATATCTTATTAAGTGGAAAGGATACGGACATAAAGAGAACTCATGGGAACCCATCAAGAACCTTCAGCATTCCCAGCAGATGCTACAGGAGTATCACCAGGCAGCAGGAACCCAAGGTCGGAGAAACCCTCGCCCAGACCAAAGTTTACCAATGACAGGTCGTTAGGGGCACCCCAGGAAGACAAGTCCAATACCACACGCAACTCCTCAGCATCCAACGCACGCTCCTCAGCCTCCCACTCCTCTACAGATTACATACCACAACAAATTAAATCCAAACCACACTCTTTTAAGAAACGTTTATATTTCCACAAACGAGACAAACAACCCATCGCAATAGCCAGCTGCGTCTAGAGAAGCTCAAGAGCCTCTTCAGCCTCTTGCTCCTCCTGCTCGATCTTCTTCTGCTCCTTAAAACAACGATTCACTACAGTTATCAGCATAGAAAAAACAGAAAACCAAAATAAACAACTTACAAGCGTTCGCCACATCTCCCCCATCACAGTTGGACAGACCACAGCTCGCGCATTCGCCATAGCGCTTGGAGTTCGTAAGGTCCATTTTGCACACCCGGTTAAACTAGAAGCACGGAGAGCACGGCATCGCGTCGTAACCACAGAGATCAACTAATTAACTAAGAGCTTAACGGTTTCGCTTGATCTTAGCATGACGAGCCTCACGTAAAGGCTTAGAAGGTTTTTAAATGCGACCTAATATAGTGTCAGCATTATGGAACTAAGGAAGCACGATTGACGACTCCCTAACCTAGGAGCAGCAACCTACTTATGCTAGTCTTAGGGATAAGACCTTTAGAGAGGAGACCTGATGTTACAACCCGTTAGGCTTAGCTACTAACACAACCCCGCTAGGCTCTTGGCGGCTAACGTGGACATATATAACCTAGTGACACAAGGACGGTCAGGGATCCTCAGAAGGGAAGAACTATAGTGCAAGTCACGTGACGATAAGATAAGGATCATTTTGGATCAAGATGATCCAGATAGACTTGGGGGCTAAACGATCATTCTCGATCAGAATGATCCAGCTCAACCTAAGGTACAAAGAGCATGTACTAGAAAAAGGACTTATATATAGGATGGACTAGAGCTCGGCTCAAGGACAGACTTCTATAGCTCTTCAGCAATCAACTTTGTGACTACCCTCACCGGTACTTTTAGCTATACCTAAGTGACAACTACTCTACGACTCTTATTGAGGCCTTAACTAATCACCAAGACCTTTAAAGACCTACGATTACTCAAACAGCCCTACAGAACGACTTGATACTGTTTACAGTTCTCGATCCCTAACTTACTGCTAACACAAACCCACTGTCAGTTAGCTGGCCGTAACAAGTAGTTCTTATCTATAGGGTTTAAAAACTCTTTAAGTAACTTATTTAATTTAGAAAATAATACTACTTATTTAAAAAGGGTTAATATATTATCTAGTTTATTTAAAATAATACTTTCTTTTACTTACTTAAAATTAATAAGAGAAGAGTACTATTAATAATTTTAAACTATAATCCTCTTAAGTAACTTATAATAGACCTCTATAACCTATATTAATATTATATATAAAATAATTAACTTTATAAGATCCTCTTATAAAAAGGTCTTTATAATTTAAGAGAGGAAGAACTTTTTATAATAGCTCTTAAAGGTATTAATAATCCTTTAATCTATAGGTTAAAACTATAACGTTATATTAAGTAAAAGGAACTTAATATATATCTTAGCTAATAGAGAATTTATCTTAATATTAATAGTATAAATAGAGAAATTATTTATTAATAATAAGATCTTTTAGCTTAATTTATAGACTTAAATATAATAATAAAAGGTATCTAATTAGTTTTTTATTATAGCTATAGTAAATTAAGCTAATTTATTATTCTTTTAGGTAATATTAAATATATTAAAGTTAAACCTATATAAGGTATAAAGGATTTTATTCTTTTTAACTATTTAGATCTAAAATATATTATTACCTATTATATTAATAGTAAGCCTAAAAAATATATATAACTTATCCTTTTTAACTTTAAGGTATAAAGCTATTAAGAGGCTAATTAAGGGGAATCTTCTCTAAAATCAGCTAGTTTTATCTATATTATAAATATTATAAGGTTTATACTCTATAATAAGTCTTTATATCTTTTAGATTTAAGAGAATAAAGCTATTATAAGATCTATTAATACTATTTTACTATAAAAAGCCTATTATTTAATATAATATTAATACTAAAATAAAGCTATTTATTTCTTACTAAATATAAGGAGATTTATAATATCTATTTTAAATTTTCTAATAGTAAGTACTATATACTAAATAAATATAGCTTATTACTATATAAAGTAAATAGAGGTATCTATCCCTTAAAGTTTAAGCTTAATTTACTATTATTAAAGAAGATCTTTAAGTATTAGCTATTAGGCTAAAGTAGTTTAAAATATACCCTCTCTAATAGGCTAATCTAGAGCTAGTCCCTTCTACTTTAAGCTAAAATATTATAAGATATTTAACTAAATAAGTTAAATATTATATATATATAAGATATACTTAATAACTACCTATTAAGAAGGGTAAACTTATTATTTACTTACCTACTTATAGAGAGTAAGTTTCTAATATATATTTAGCTTAGCTATTATATAAGCCCTTATAGTAATAGTAGTATTAATAATAAGATAGTAAAAAGGGTAAAAATTTAACCCTAAATTAGCCTAATTTACTCCTAAATACCCCCTATTAATACTCTATATATTACTTAAAACCCCCTATAATAGCCCCTTATATAGGATAAATTAGATAGTTATATATAGTATATAAATATATAAAAAATTATAATCTAGCTATATAAAATAATATAGGTAGTATATCTATATATATTCTAAGGGCGTTATCCCTTTTAAGGGTCATGCATTATGAGGGGTAACGACTATATTGATTTTCTGCCGTGTCAAGCTTCTCAGGGAAAGACAGAAAGCTGCCTGTCCTCGTCGATTTGGCATGAAAAGGTCGCCTGGAGGTCCCGACGCGGGCCTGATCAACCGCGCGCCAGCAGTATCCTGGTCATGCGATGGAACCCACAGAACAAAACGGGAGATCCCCCTTCTGGTGGGCGACCCTGGCATCATTTCGGCCGACCGCAAGCGAGGATTCGGAGCCAATCTGTTTGTCTGTTAGTGACAGGGGAAGGATGCTGCCGGATCATCGGCCACGGTGGGTTGAGCTTCGAGCTTGAGATAGATTGAGGTTGGACAGCTCCGCCGAACAAGAAATGGAAAGGTCAAGCCAGAACTTGACAAGGGAGAATCGTTCATAAACGACTTCTCCCCCCGCCAAGAACCGCGATGTTCTCGTTTTGACTCTCTTTTCGTCATCTTTTGCCTTCAACTTTCATTCTTTTCTTCCATTGTTCCCCTGAGGTACATTCACGTTCTTTTTCACCAGTCTCTCCTTTTCAACTCCTACCAAGATGCGTTTCTCCACCATCACTGCAGCCGGCCTGCTCGCCTCTGGCGCCAGCGCCCAGCTTCACGAGCTCGCCGTCGCCGCCGGCAAGAAGTACTTCGGCACTGCTGTCGACAACTCCGAACTCACGGATACGGCCTACATCGACATCATGAAGGACCCCAAGATGTTCGGCCAGACCACGCCCGGAAACGGTCAGAAGTGGCAGTTCACCGAGAAGAGCCAGGGCGTCTTCAGCTACACCTCCGGTGACGAAATCGCCGAATTCGCCAAGACCAACAGTATGATCCTCCGCTGCCACACTCTCGTCTGGCACTCCCAGCTGCCCACTTGGGTCTCCTCCGGCACCTGGACCAAGGAGCAGCTGACCTCCATCATCGACACTCACATTTCCAACGTGGCCGGTCACTACAAGGGCCAGTGCTACGCCTGGGATGTCGTCAACGAGGCCCTCAACGAGGACGGCACCTACCGCGACAGCGTCTTCTACAAGGTCCTCGGAACCGACTTCATTCCCATCGCCTTCAAGGCCGCCAAGACTGCGGATGCCGATGCGAAGCTCTACTACAACGACTACAACATCGAGCTTGCCGGAAACAAGCAGAAGGAGGTTCTCAACATCATCAAGAGCATCAAGGATGCCGGCGCCACCATCGATGGTGTCGGTCTGCAGGCCCATTTGATTGTCGGCAGCTCTGGCTCCCGTTCCGCCCTCAGCAGCGTTCTCCAGTCCTATGTCGACGCCGGTGTCACCGAGGTTGCCTACACCGAGCTGGACATCCGCCACAAGAGCATCCCCGCCGACGCCACTGCTCAGCAGGCGCAGGCCACCGACTACGTCAGCGTTGTCGGCGCCTGCCTTGACGTCAAGGAGTGTGTGGGAGTCACCATCTGGGGCTTCTCCGACAAGCACAGGTAAGACATCTTACCAAAAGAATCAATGAGATGAATAGGACACTGACATTGGACAACAGCTGGATTCCTTCCGTCTTCCCCGGTACCGGTGAGGCTCTTCCCTGGGACGAGAACATGAAGCCCAAGCCCGCCTACACTGCCATCTCCAGCCTCCTCGCCGCCGCCGGATCCGGTGGCTCTACGCCCGCTACCTCCGCGGCTGCCGTTGCCACCAGCGCCGCCTCTTCCGCCGCCCCCGCCGTTCCCACGAGCGAAGCTGCCGCCAGCGAGCCCGCTGCCGAGGCCACTCCCGAGAGCTCCGCTCCGGCCATCACCTCTGCCCCCAGTGCCCCTGCTGCCACTCCCGCTCCCGCTACCACTCTCGTCACCAGCGTGAAGAGCAAGTGTGCCGGCGGCGACAACGCCGAGGCTGCTTCCAGCGCCCCTGCTGCTGCCGCTTCTGGTGCCGTTGGTGCTACTGCTGCTCGCTGGGCTCAGTGCGGCGGCAACGGCTTCTCTGGCCCTACCGCCTGCGCGACTGGTTTCACCTGCGTTAAGCAGAACGACTACTACTCTCAGTGCCAGTAAAGGAGAAAGGAGAATATGGGATCGCTCCGGATAGCATCCCAATGAGACGGTGAAGAGATTCGTGTACATATTTCTATTTAAAACTACGGGTACATATCCACATCTGCCTTTCTCCTTCAGAAAAGCGCTTCTGTTAGCTTAACCTTGAGTGGCATGTTTGACAGCTCATCTGTCCACCGTGCAAAGAGTTGGTTGGTTTGCTACCGTGATGGACCGGGCCATCCAGGTCGTGAACCAAAACGCTACGACAAGATATATTTCCAGTGAGTCAACATCAAGCTGCGAAGTTGATGAGTCAACTACATCAGATATAAATTCTTCAGCTTTTAGCGATCTTTTACTGATCCAAGCATCAACATCAACATGGTTCTGACGTAGAGACTCTTCATAACCCCCTCAGGCCTACTTCTCAAACACTCTCATCACCCGCACGTCTCCTATCAGTGGGAAAACCATGGCCACATCTCTGAAGAAAACCGACATCACAATTACCGACATGAACGATCCCGACACTTCGCAGAGGGCATGCGAGATCAGCTTCAGATATTTTGCGAATCTTCCCTTCGACATTCATTGCGAAGTCATCCGTTGTCTCGACTATGGCACAGCTCTCATGCTATGCACTACAAGCCGGTACTTCCATCAAGAACTGGGCCCCCGCCTTATAGGACTTCTAGGACCTGACGAGTGGTTCAACTTCATCAAGCAAGCCGATAACTTTCGACGAAACCAAAACTTATGGGCGTGCTTCACATGCCTCAAGATGCTGCCAAGATCATCTTTCAGCGATCCTCTGCCTCCAAAGGATGGCAAGCGCGCCGACAAGGCCACTTCAAAAGCCTCACGGACCTGTTTCAACTGCGCTATCGGGCTTGGATCATATGGACATCTGCTTCCTGTGAAGTTTAACGATTCAATCTTCTACCAGTGCCATGTGTGTTGGCATGTAGGGACGCAGTTCAACAGATGTCGCGAGGTAGCACACCCAACAGAACCTGGAGCTTCTGTAACACGATGCATCGCCGATAAAATCACAGCCCCCTTGGAAGGCCTTCCGCAAGACGTGCTGCGCAACATCGTATGGCGGCTCACGTATCCGGATGCCATCAATCTTCGGGCGGCCTCGACCACATTGAGACACATCGTGCCGGTCGATTGGACACCAGTTCACGAACGGTACATTTTCGTGAGTCGGGAATTCGAGCCCGTTCTGCAGGTCGACTGGACGCCGCTTCACGAACGAGAGATTTTGCTGAATTGGAAACTCCAGCACTGCCGTTATGGAACGGCACCTCCATCAGCACGAATACGACTTCCTTGCTACGGATGCTTTCGTGCAAGGAAACAGGGATATTTCACGAAAGCCCAGCTGATGCTGGGCCTCACATATGGACACGAGTTCTGGAAACGCCTGTGCACTACTTGTATGTGGCGTATGTACGACCCCAAGAACGAGGCTGCATTGTTGGAGTGGAAACGACGGCGACGTTGTGACCATTGTGCGATATCGATGTCGGCTGCCGACCGATGCGGTCATTGCCAGAATTTAACAGACATCGAGAGCAAAGCACCAGAGGCTGCGTGTAGTCCCAAACCAATCTTTACCCTGTTCTTGGGGCTTTTCGTCTTCGGCTTGCTCACTTATCCAAAGTCACCCTCCAAGTGATCTTTGAAGAATGACACACATCCGTTTTTTCCAGGTCAAGACGTATCGTTACGGAGATGTGCAGGATTGCCGGCAATATGGGGCCGACGCCGGTGCCGAAGTTACCGAGTCGCCGACTTGCTGGTCCGACAATGGCCCCATATTGCCGGAGTATACCGAAGGAAAGATGTTGACTGTGCTTGGAGACGGTGTAACCTCTGAAGTCCGTTTTATGGCCGAGGGCTCTAGGTTGGAGAGTTTGGCATTGTTCGAGTCCCGGCGCCCCCGCATCGTTCACACTCATTCCCGCCTCAACCCCGCGGTGCTGCATATCGGCGAACCTGGATGACGACATCCGGCATGATTCAGACACCCAAGGCTGTTATAAGCTGTCGTTTAATAACCACACCTAATTATATCTTCTTCAGATGTCCTACTGCACATTGAACATCGCTTGAATATCTTCCTGGGATTCATAACGCTTATCGAAACAGCGTCTAGAATGGCACAACGAGCAAACGGAAACGGCGCGGACGATGATGCATGTTACCCCGGAGCAGAGGGTGCAACACAACGGTTCAGCGATTTTGTCGCGAAAACCAAGTACGAAGACATCCCGCCACAAGCAATCTCCAAGCTGCTGGATCTAATCATCGACCACATTGGCGTCGGGGCAGGCGGCGGAGCTCAGTCGGAATCAAGCAGCCACATTCTAAAGGCGATCGAAGCCTTCTCAGAGGGCTCTGTCGGTCAAAGCACGGTATACGGCAAATCAAACGCTTACCCAAAGCACATCGCAGCGTTGCTGAACGGCGCATTTGCTCACTCCTTCGACTTCGACGATACCCTAGCAATCGGCATCATCCACACGGGCGCGAGCGTCATCCCGGCAGCTATAGCACAGGCTGAAGCCTCCGACGCCTCGGGGCGTTCGCTGTTGACGGGGCTTTCCGTTGGCTACGAGGTGGCTTCACGCCTCGGCCGCGCCCTGTCGTCGGGTGGCTATCCAAGAGGCTTCCACAACACCGCCACGGCCGGCATCTTTGGAGCGGTGGCGGCCATCAGCAACATCAAAGGCCTGACGTCAGACCAGGTCTACAACGCGTTTGGGCTAGCCGGTTCCAAGGCCGCGGGATCGATGCAGTTCCTCGATAACGGGTCGTGGAACAAGAGGCTTCATCCCGGGTTCGCGGCGCACGACGCCTTTCTTTGTGTCGCGCTCGCGGAGGCTGGCGTTACGGGCGCGTCGCGTGCCATTGAGGGGAAATGGGGCTTCTTGCAGGCATATTCGACAAAGTCGAATGCCACCGGTCTGACGGATAACCTGCGCTCCGACTGGCTTTTCCCCGCGACCGCGCTGAAGCCTTTTCCTGCTTGCCGGTTCACGCATACCGCCATCGAACTGACCGCGAAGGTCGCGGCGGAGACGAAGTCACGGAGCCTTCCGGAGAATATCACCGTCTTTGTGCATCCTTCAGGCTATGATATCATCGGCCGGCCGAGTCCAAACAAGCTCCATCCCGAGACCACTGTCGACGCTCAGTTTAGCATGAAATACCAAGTCGCCTGTGCGTTTTTGTTCGGTAGTGAGATTGGCTGGAGTGTTTATGAGCCGGAGAAGATGAAGGACAAGCGGGTTGCGGATCTTTCCGAACGGATCGATGTCATTATCGACGAGGGCTTGAAGGAGGATTTCGAGGTGAGGATGTTGTTCAAACTAGATGGCGGAGCTGAGAGGGAAGAGGCTATGGTGTACCCACTGGGCGAAGTCGAACATCCGTTCTCGACTGAGAAGGTTCGGGATAAGTTCAGGGGTCTTGTTCGACCTGTGTACGACCAGGATCGGGCTGAAAAGATACTCAAAGCTGTGGATAATCTTGCCGAAGGGTCGTCCAGGGATCTAATCAAGCTTCTCTGAGAATCTCAGAAGGTGCCTAGAATAGCATTGAATCGTTACTTGTCAAGCATGCACGTGTGGTACAGCCCCCTCCTGGTGCCCCTTTCTTGAATGTGCTTGGGTCTCTTATCGTGGACCCGCCGATGCCAGAAGATCCCAGCATTGTACCATTGTTTGGTGTAGTATGCGCTCGCGAGCTCCGAGATGGATCCGAGCTTGGTTCGAGGCTTGTACGATGCGTGGACCTGGGTTGGAAGTGAAACAGGCGTGACCAAAGAATGTCCCGATGCACGGCAGTCGAGATATCGGAAGGAGCCCGACCCCGAAGCGGGCTCCGGTAGTGGCCCACAAAACCGGCTTACAACGATGAGACTTGCGGCTTATACGGCTTTTTCGTCACCATGCTTTTCAATTGTGTCGACTTCTTGGACAAGACGTTCGGAAAATCGAACAGAACTTGCTTGGGCTATGTCTGGGAACGCGAACGGATAGGTGGGAAAACAAGTACTCCGGTAGGTGATGCGAGGTCAGCATCGGAAGCTGAGTGAATGGAAACTCTGCACCAAGAATGTCTTCACATCGGAAGAAATCATTTTGCCTTATTCAGCCTTAATGAGAATACGACCGACTCAGGCTCTTAATTTCATTTCAATATGATCTTTGGCCACAGTGTAAATTATCTCAATACAATAATAGCAGCTGCTCTTTGAAGTCGCCCGGGATGTCACCCACCAATTCTTCATTCGGGTATCGTGCCCGATGTAGCTCCACCGCTGTGAAATCGCCCCAAACTCGACAAGCTCAAGAAGAGCTATTTCTCCGACTGGAGTGCACCCAATGCTCCAAATGAAGAAAGTACTTCGAGGTCACGGCACTCATGAGTCCGAGCCGAGGGGTCTGGAGTCAGGTCGATGTCCAGGGGCACGCGATGATGAGGTCGAGACTATTGAACGGCACAGCCCGTGGCACCGGCTCGGTCGCGCAAACCCGTGCTGGCAAGACGGATCAGTTTGATGATGTGCCGTCTCTTCTGAACCACCACCTTCGTGAGCGACACCTTACTTCGCAGACACGATTGATTGTCAACCTCCGTATGCCCAGTCCTTGCAACGATTGACATCTGCGGGAGGCCCCGATCCGCCAACGGCGTTCATGACAGCGCTTTGACCCCCTTAAGGCCGGGCGGAATGCGGGGGATGACACGCTGGAATGCCATTTTCATCTCGCTTCCTGGTTTCGACAGTCAGGGGAACCCCTTCTTCTTCCAATGGTTGGGCAGCGGATATGACAGTGAGCTGTCCATCATGCTTGACATGTCTCCAGAAGGAATCGCTCATTTTTCTTTCTTCTGGGTGAACAAGGAGACGGTTCGCGAAGCATAGCCCTCAAGGGGGTGTCATGGTTGTGTTTGGTCGACCGTCCGAACTCCTTTCTCGGGTGATGCGCGGAGACATGGAACCTGAACCTGGACCTGGACCTGGACTTGGCCAGATCGGACATGGAAAATGACGAGCTTCTTATAGCCAGGCATTGCCGTCTGGGGGAAATGCGATGCTGGGTCGACGGAGATCCTCTTGGTCTCTGCGACCGTTCATTGTTACCCTGCGCTGTCCCCCGGCAGGACGAAGAAAAAAGTCTGCGGCAGCCGCAGTATCCTCGTCCGTCTCTCACTGCGCCAGATGACGACGCTCAGCTCGAATGGACGACGTTCCTTTCGACGAACTCCCTCACGATGACTATGGCCCGTGGATGCTTGCTATTATTTGGGTTCTCGGGGCCGTGGCTGGGGTGTTTATGGGACTACGACTCTACTGCAAGTTTACGAGACAACGAGGGCTTTGGTGGGACGACCATTACATGATAGCTGGTTGGGTGAGTCAACCTAGCCATCACGGCTTCAAACGTTCTAACATATTGCAGCTGGCTTATTTGACATTTGGCGTTTTCATCACTATCGACGTGTCATACGACTTTGGGAAGCATAATTGGGACATCACGCCCGGCAACTGGTCCTGGCTTCTTCTGCACGCCAATCTCTCCGGCTCATTCTCCATCATCGCGGCATGTTGGAGTAAGACCTCTTTCGCTCTTACGCTGCTGCGCATCGCAAACGAACGCTGGATGAAATTCTTCATCTGGTTCATTGTGATCACCATCAACGTCGCCCTCGGTCTTAACGTGCTGTTCACCTGGATTCAGTGCTGGCCTGTCGAGAAGACATGGCGAACGGCATCAACTCCGGGTACATGCTGGCCCAAGAGCATTCCAATGAACTACAACGTGTTCACGGCGTCGTATTCTGGCGCTATGGACATCATCCTCGCGATCCTGCCGTGGAAGATCATATGGGGACTCACGATGACGAAGCGAGAGAAGCTGGGCGTTTCGCTCGCCATGAGCATGGGTGTCTTGTGAGCACTCGCCGCCTCTGAGTTTGGAACCGCAGCGTTCTGGTATCTAACACTTTTTCCAGCGCAGGTGTCGTGTCTTTGATCAAGATCAAGACCATCACCGCCATCGGGGCCTTCGACATCATCGATACCGTCGAGCTTGTGATATGGGGTGCCGCGGAAAGCGCCGTGACAATCATTGCAACATCGATACCTATACTTCGAGCCTTAATCCGGGACTACAAACCACCACCAGCGCGTTTCGTAAGCGACGAGGAGTCCATGCTGCGACGTCTTGGGGCGGCCTCGGTCCGAACGATGACGCTACCGACGCCGAGGGCAGCGGGGTTTAGAAGGTCCAAGTCGGATGTAGAGCTGAATCAATTGAACAGTGGTATTGGCGTAGCTTTTGGAGAAAAGAATGACTTGGCGTTGCAAGCATGGAAAGGAAGGGAGGTGACGGCCGATTCGAGGAAGGACATTGGAAACGGGGCGACGTTGTCCTCACATTTTGATGCTTTTGGGAGGGGCGTTGAGGCGCCAAAACAAACTCATGTGAGGAACTTCTCTCGAAGGATATGATAATGGTATCTTAAATCGGTTAATATGAGATAAACCTCAATCTTCACTTCGTGGGCGGACCGGAACCGAAGCCCATGTGTGTGTGTTAGAAGCTAAACTCCTAGGAACATTGAACTCCCGCATGGACAACTATTACGGCATCACTGCTATTTCTGCATTTCGCGCGTTCATTTTAATGGCAAAATTCACTGAAAATGACGCAGACTCATTAGAGCTAGCGCTCATCCTGAGCACAGCATTGCTCCTTTGAAGGCTTGACGTTTCGCGCCCAGACAGCCGATGGATCGGCTGTGGCTGTTGTCGCCAATCCTGCCGTTAAGTGTAGTCCGACTTGGCATGATGCCAGGCGTTCAGGTACGCAGAACCGCAGAGCAACTATGCGACCAAGATCTGACGTCTTGTGGCTCCCACATAATGTTGAAAACAAACGATTAATCTTTGTCGAGGTGATTTTGCTATTTACAGGCCTGTCTGCCCATCGATCGTACCCGCACTTCCCTCAGAACAAGCTTAAAACCGCTGCCATCCTGCAGTCTGGTGATCCCAGCCGCAAAGAACCACGACCTGGGTGATCCCTTCTCCCGCCCAGAATTCAGAGACAAACAATAACTGAAATGGTATTCTTGGCCATTCTTTTCCATTCTTAATGTGGAAGGACGCATTTTAGTCGGGGCTAGGCAGCAGAATTACTTAGAGAATAAGGGCGAGACGGTGGGATTGGGAGCTAGCGCTAGAATCCTTCTGCCGTCCATCGTCTGCTAGTTCAATAGTTGGTTAGTTCATGACCGTGCTTTAGCAGATGGATCGCAGAGCCCTTAAGAGAGCGATGTTCCCCGACGGCGGTGGCAAGATGAACCGGATAACGCATAAAGCATGTTGTGCTTCGCATCACAAAGTTCATCTCATCAATACTGACTTTCTCGGTTTCCAAATCATTCAGATGCTCCCAAACATCTAGCGAAGAAATTCACCATGAACATCTTAACGAACCTCACGTCTCTCTTCACAGCGATGACGCTTTCAAGTGGCGCCTACGCTGCCAGCGTCGCTCGTCCCGTACCTGACTACACAACATCAGAAGCCGGCAATCCTTTCGTCGACGGATGGTACGCCGACCCCGACACGGGTATCTACAACAACGAGTACTGGGTGTTTCCGACATCGTCATTGGCCTACGAGCAGCAAACTTATCTCGATGCTTTCTCATCGAAGGACCTGGTCCACTGGACCAAGCATCCCAACATCCTTATGAAAGCTGACGTATCATGGGCGCAAATAGCCATGTGGGCGCCCGCTCACATTGAGCGCAACGGCAAGTATTACATATACTTCGCTGCCAACGACATTCAGGAGGGCGAGACCAAAGTCGGTGGCATCGGCGTCGGGGTGGCAGACAAGCCTGAGGGTCCCTACAAGGATGCTATCGGCAAACCTCTCATCGGCGAATACCATAACGGTGCACAACCGATCGACCAGGACGTTTTCATCGACGATGACGGGCAGGCTTACATCTACTACGGAGGTCACGGACATGCCAATGTAGCCATGCTCAACGCCGATATGATCAGCGTTGGAAACTTCTCAGACGGCACCCAGTACAAGGAGATTACCCCGGAGAACTACACCGAAGGATCGCTGATGTTCAAGAGGAATGGGAAGTACTACCTGATGTGGTCTGAAGGCGGTTGGACTGGGCCAGACTATTCCGTATCGTATGCCATCTCCGACTCTCCTCTGGGGCCCTTCAACCGCGAGGCCAAGATCCTGCAGCAAGACGCCGCTGTCGCGACCGGATCTGGTCACAATGCCGTCATCAACGTGCCAGGGACCGACATTTGGTACATCTTCTACCACCGTCGCCCGCTCGGCGATAACGACGGCAACCATCGACAACTTGCGTACGACCGAATGTACTTCGACGACGACGGCAAGATCAAGCAGGTCACGATGCTTGTCAAAGACAACTTCGACGATGGGAACCTGATTGGGTGGAATACCGGGTTTGAGGGAAAGTTCTCTGTCAAAGACGGCCAGCTGAGCGCGGAAAAGACCTCGGCCTGGAGCGGCAAGGCACTTCAGAACACCGGGTTCGAGGACTTTGTCTTCGACATTGACATTACTCTGGTCGACCCGGACATCAACTCAACCGCCCGTGACTCGGGCGATGCGGGTGTTCTTTTCGGTGTTACCAGCGCTTCGTCTGGCATCGATAGCGTAACAGGGTTTTACGCCGCACTTGATGCATCTGGATCGGTGCTGCTGGGGCAGATGAATCAGAACTGGGTACAGCTGGCATCTACAAATATGACTGTCAAGGCCGATACGAAGTATCACTTGCGGGTGGTAGCAGTCAAGAAGGAAGTCAAGGTGTTTGTGGATGATATGAGGACGCCTAAGCTCACCTTTACGGTGTCGACGAGTACCAAGGGAACAACAGGAGTCCGCGTTTTCCGCACCGGTGCGTTATACGACAATCTTTCGGTAGCACACCCCGGAAATGCGTAAATAGGTCCGGGTTGGTGTTGGTTACAAGTACATAGGCTCACTTAATGTAATCAGGAATTCGAATGCTCAAACTACAGCTGAAGGGCCAAAAGCACAACCCATGATGAAAGAAATTGGTGCCGGAAACATTGCTGATTTGTCCGGATCCAGCGGCCGACGAACGGCCCCACCCAGGCGGGTCGATCTGCTCCGTTCTCCGTCCAGATCCGGCGGGCGTTCGCTGCCAAAGCAAACTGCTCAAAAGCGAATTTGGCTACATCAGCTCCGGGCCTATTTCTTTTTTGAGACGTTTTTGTTCGAAAAGCAGCAGTTCAGTGGTCTACAAGTTTAGAGATATTGGATTACGACGTCGCCCATAAGTTCCGTGGGCGATGCTATGTGAAGGAGATGTTCAAGTTTTCGATTGCAGATGGAAGTCTGTCATCTGAAAGTTTTTACGTCGTCGGAATAGTGATCATAAGAAGGTAATTTCAAAAAGCATTGCATGAATTCTAGCCCCATAGTGCAAGGTGTTGTAAGCTTCCTAGGAAGCAACGGTTTATGGCATTGGCTTGCTTCTTAATCATGAAGACTAGTAGACTAAGAATAGCGTTCTGTATTTTTCAAGACTCGTGCAATGAAACATAAAGGCTTGAGAATCGATTGTCACGTTGACGTTCCCTGACGCTCATTCTCCTCCCTCCGCACCTGTGCTCGAACCTCGCGCTCATGCGCTATCATTGGCAATGTACCAACTGGTTGACCAGAAACGGCGTCGATATGGAACTGGCGATTCTCGGGACTGATGCTATCGATAAAAGACTGTACCTTGAGCGATTTGACGTGGCCATAAAGATACAGAAGATGCATGGCCATGGTGCTTTGCAGGTGACTGTCGTGGGGGGCATCAAGCAGTTTGGAAATCAGACTGTTGGTCAACGCCGATAGTGATGGGAAAAAGTGATTCGACGAGGCGGCCCAGACAAGCTCGTTGGTGGAGAGATTCCAGTCGGCAGCCGGAAGGAGGACGGTGCTCACCATTTGATGTGGTACTGTCGGGTTGGGAGCTGGGGGGTTCAGCCGTCGGCGTCGGACTTCGGGGTGCCATAGGAGGAAATGGGTCAAAGTCTCGGGTGGTTCAGCTGCATCTGTCCAGCCATTCTGAACCAAGACCTGCCCCGCCTGTTCCATGTCGACCACAAGCAAATATAAGGAGAAAACGTCCGTAGGAACTCCGTGAAATGCCAGAGCATCCTCGAACCAGACAGTGCAAGGAATACCGGCTGCCTGGAGGAGTGTGCATGGCTGAAGTCGTGCGGAGGTTCGTTTGGAGGTTGCCATGTTGGTTTTGCAGTAGTAAGTGTGTTGTTGTTGTTGTTGGGTATAACGAGATGCGAAATAGAGGGCAGAAAAGAAGGGTTGCTGCCTTACATTGCCGCGGCAAATTGCTATTGTTGGTTTTGTAGTCCCGGTGGTGAAGCGACGGTGGAGAGATGCCTGTTGAACAGAACAGAGTTGACGACACTGGTTGCGCAACGGTTGCGTATTAGTGCCCATCAGCTGATTATGCACTGTCACGTGGTTCTAGGCAGCTTCGGTATCTCATTCGAAGAGCACCAGCTCACCGCGCCAAAAGTCTTGGGTTTCTGGAGGAGGCACTTACTTTATCATTTAAGTTTCGAGACAATGACGTCTTTCGGTAGCTATTATGAGGGTCATCAACGGTTCAGGTTGGATAAAAGCTTTGAGAGCGATTTGTCGTGCAACACAATGTACATGTAATAGCCCTTCCTTTTTCTATTTCATCTAAATTCTCACTATAACGTCAATAACGTACATATATGGAATATTTAGAAGGAAGAAAATCTTATTTTCATCAGCTTTTAGGCATCTACGGTGGCGTGAATGGCGTCGCCCTCGAGGTCGAGGCCCAGATGAGGAATTATGGTGTAGCCTGGAGCCTTACATGTAGTCTCTCACTTCATGTACACGAAGAGAAAGATCTAAGATTATGATCCATTCCATTCGTAATTTCAAGAAGCTGATCCCCATTCTTTCTCATCTGCCGCACCTTTTTAATCTTCCAGGTTGTACATCACGCGAAAAACAATTGCTTGATTTGTGTTCTCATCTTAGACTTATACGACGAGCAACATCCACAGATAAGCCAAAGACAAAGACAACAGACTCGGAAAACAATGTCCCAGTTGACGAAAAACGCTGCTCGTGCCGTGGCATATGCTATGGGGGATGATTGCTATGCCATTGTGGGAGGAGCTGCCTGCACCATGCTCGGTTCGGCTCGCGTAACCATGGACGTGGACTTTGTCGTGCCACAGGGACAAACCAAACTCGCACGGAACAAACTCCGGGATCACTCGGCCTTCCAAGTCGAAGTCAGGACCAATCACACCAGCTACGTTGAGGCCGGGGCGAATACGGTAGGGATTGAGATTCTTGCCCCTCCAGGAATGTTCAGAGACCAGTTCTCCGCCTCGACCCCTTACGTGCTGGTCGATAATGTCAGAGTGCTGAAACCGACATTGCTTCTGAATGCGAAGTGTGGATCCATTCTCGGCCGTTCCTCTGATTTAAAGAAGAGGTCGGATGCAGAGGACATCAAGTTCCTTCTCTCTTACATCAGCAGTTCGGGCATGTCTGTGGAATCAGATGTTCCAAAGGCAACTGACGAGCTCATCGCTTGGTTCAGTGGCCAGTATGGTGGCAAGGAGCTCTTCGAAAAAGCAGGTTTCGCAGTTCCGAACAGTATGTACCTCTTTGTCGACGTTTTCCCTTCACGAGATTCCGCCACGAAGCTAACCTCGTCCCCTTTTCACATCTCTTGTAACTTCTTCCGTCGTAATCATCTCTGACTACATACTGATCTGTAATGATTGTTAGGCAACTTAATTGCCTCCCGGTCAAGCGATGAACACACTTCCTCACAAGAAAGTCCTAGCTCAGGGCAGCTGATCACTGGCCCACGAGAAACCCGTTGGATACTAGATCCAGACCAAGATCGTTACTACCGTTACGTCAACGGCAAAGCAGAATGGGCTGCAAAATAATCTATCCTCCCCATGCCGGCCTAACATTATCTTTGTGTTCTTGCGCAACCGGCAGAAGTAGGAGCTTAGACGCCCGAAAGCCCTACCTCCGACGAAACCTGACAGATTCATTATTTCTCTTTTCGGCAAGGATGATTTGCTTTATGAGTAGACGCGGCTGTGAAGTATATTCATGCTGGAACAGCTAGTAAGGTCCTTTAGAGCAATGGCGACAGTCCAAACATACATACAGTATATACAGGAGATCGGGTTGAAATAAGGGAAAAAGAGAGGGAAGGGTAGGTTCTAGTGTGTAGGTGTGAATGGTTTTAAAGTTGATTTTTAATTTCTTGAGGTACTCCCTTTGCACATCCACCCACTCAATATGAAGTCCACACTCTTGGGGGCCGGCCGGATAGTGCCTTGGCCAGCGCTTAGCGGGAAAACAGAGACGACATTGATTACCGACGAAGCAATCGGACGGAAGCATGATATGGGTCTGCACCTCCGCCCAAGATATGTTTCTTCAGTCTTTTCCACCATGAGTAAAGTACTAGTCAATCTCAGAGCATCACTGCGGTTCTTCACAATCGCACACCTATGTGGGTAAAAGAAGAGAAAAGGAACAACGCATGTTGGCTTAGTCGTTACTCGAACACTTCGACTTCTATTTGCTTCAACTGCTTCCTTTAAACGGTAACCGTCTTAGCGTCCTCGCCAATAATGAGTACGGGCTGCTTGTTGCTGTAGTTGGGGACATCCGCCATGATCGTGGCGGTGTCTGCCGACGCGAGACCCTTCTTGACACTCTCGATGCTGTCCCAGTGGAGAATGCCGGCGAAAGCGTACTTGGGCTCAGCGCCATCGGGGCCGGGAGCGTACTTGGTGACGGACCAGCTCGTCACGCCGTACGGCTTCCATGTCGAGCCGGCCAGAGGCATGTGCTTGTTGACGTAGTAGTCGACGTCGTACTTGGCGTCGGGCTCGTTGGGGTAGAGGACGGTGACGGTGGCCATTTTGAGCGCTGGTTGGGGCGTTGCGACTTGAGGTTTATTCGAATGAACTTGAGTGGAGGTTGTGACGTTCTCTGTGGTCGATAAGATGAGTTGGTGAGGTAATTTGTATTATCTGCCGAACTACCGGGGCTCTAGACGACATAAATATCCCACTCTGCTTGTCCCCTCACTGACGTAACAGAACGACCCGACGACAACGAGCCACTGATTACCAATCGGTTGAACTATTTGCCCGTGGCTGCGAATCTAGCCTCCGCGGATTCCGGTGTGAATGGAGCCCTAGACAGGGAAGATGGTGGAGTCGATTTCGGCTTTTATCAGACGAGCGCTCTGCGCTTTGTCGGAGGGTCGGAGACAGTCATCGCAAGCCGCGGCACGTCTCCAGGACACCGAGGGAAGAGAAGCCTAATAAGTGGGGGTGGCCAACACACCGAAAGCGAAGTCGAGCGTATTCGGATTGGCCTGTTCGGATAACTTAACCCGTGGATGTAGGTAGGCGATTCGCTACTAGATGCGGAAGTTGGTGATGACTGCATGCTTCTCAAATCACCAATGTAAGCGAATGAGGGCAGTCTTTGTTATGGAGGTTTCATGATGCTTCTGACTGTGCTCTATATCGCAACGTCCCGAGCAGTTGTACCCAACCCGATCAGAGGCTGTCAAAGGCTAGTGCCACCATCGACACTCCAAGCCGCCCCATTCACGAATGTGCTCTTATCACTTAGAAGAAACATTGTGACATCTGCAACTTCTTGTGCTGTACCGACCAGAGTTGGAGCTGGTAAGTCGGGCACTCTTTCGAGGTTGGCGCGATGCATAGGTGTATCAATAGCACCTCTACTCATTGTTAGCATTATTTCTGCTTTGCACAGCCACCAACGCTAAGAGACAGAATGTTCATAGACTTACGGTAATACGCAGTTGACTCTGGCTCTATCTCCGACTTCCTTAGCTGCACTCCGCACCATGCCCAAGGACGCATGCTTAGAAGCGGCGAAGACGGCACCTCTCAAGAACCCCTGAAGAGAAAACATGCTCCCGACCTGAACGAAGCTTCCCCCGTGAGCCAAAACGCCTGGCTTGAGAGTTTCGGCGAAGACGTTGAACGCCCCTCTGACGTTGAGGTTTGTGATGAAGTCGAATTCCTCATCGCTCGTTTCCCAAATCGACTCAGTCCCGATATTGTGGCCTCCTGTACCTGCGAAGTTCGCAACACCATCGAGCTTTCCAAAGTTTGACTTGATCTCCTCCAGGTATCGCTTGACGGCTTGACGGTCGGTAACATCAACGGATTTGGTGAAGATACGACTTTGGAGTTTGGGATCCAGCTCGCTGTATATTTTCTCGAGAGCCGAACCGTTCAAGTCGCACATTCCGACTTTTGCACCTTCAGAGAGAAGTGTCAAAGATGTAGCAAGGCCCATACCGGAGGCCGCGCCAGTGACAATAATGACCTTGCCGTCGAAAGAAGACATTATGAGTAACAAGAAACGATGGTTTTGGGGTGAGATTGGCAAAGCAGACAAGACAAAGATCCAAAACAAAACGGATCTTATATACTTATGTATTCATTTGTATGAGCATTCTGTTTACTGCCTTGAGTCCATCAAGTCATCACCGTCAAAATGTGTGGGCGCCTCAGCTGTGTTCCAGCGCATGATTGGTTCCGCAACTCTGTGGTTTCACAGATGAGAGCGCGCTAATGCAGCCCGCTGACACCTTATCCTGTCACCATGCTGAAGAATAACATCTCGAAATTCAACGAGAACGTAACCGTCTGATTTCCTCATTTCATTCATGTATGTGGCTGACATACTGTATGTTATGAGTTACTAGCCGTCGAAGTATCAGTTCAAACACGTCAGCGGCCCATACTTTGACTGAGCATACCCCGCTCAATATGCAACTTGAGACAATTCACTCCAGTTAGAATCCGGGAGACTGCTAGTTTACGTTATCTTTAGCGTGCTGGTTTTGTGGTGTTGACTGCGACTCCGGTTTTTGTCGACTATACCCATGTCTCGAAGAATCTGACAGCTTGTAAGAAGGCGTCTTCTTTTCCGGCCTTTTCCACGGGAATGTCGAGGTTTGGGTGTGTTGCAAAACCATGCGGAACCCCACCGTATAAGTTCATGGTGAAGGGCTGACCAGTGCTTGCCATTGCCGCCTCTATCTCCATCCTTCTCTTGATCAGCATCCCCGTGTCTTTCTCTATTCATAGTGTTAGCAAGAAACTGAGACTGTGAAGCCCCTTAGCATATCCGCAGATGGAAATCAAACTCACCAGCAACAGCCAAGCTTGCAGGGCCGTTGATTGCTTTGATTTCCTCGTCTCCAAGTAAAGTTGGATGGGCCGCAAACGCTGCATTCACAGCTTTGCCTTGGGGGAGGCCGAGGGCTCGAAAGGCGTATCGTCCCCCGAAGCAATATCCCACCGCTGCAATCTTAGAGACCCCCAACTGCTCCCGCATGTATGATATCGCCGTTGAGACGATGGGATCGGTGACGCTCGGCCCATGTCTACCAAAGAACTCCGTGCCGTTGAAGCCGGACTTGGGATCTTCTGACCTCGGCTTCCCGTTGAAAAGGTCGGGGGCTATCGTGACGTACCCAGCCCGGGAGAAACTATCTGTCAGACTGTTCATTCATTAGCTGTGTCTCGAACATTTTACATCAGTGTAATAGGCCTGACGTACAGTTTGTTCTCTTTTGATTGAATGCCGAAGACATCTGTCAGAAGAAGGACCCCGACCAATGGTTTGTTAGGCGACCCCATGCCGTTGCCGGCTTGTTGGTCCTTGGGCTTGGCTTGGTATATATCAACTGCATGAAGTTAATATGCTTTCTCTAAGAAACGCTGTGCGAAAAGAAAAGACTCATTACTTACGTCCATTGTGATTAACCATCTGGCCCACCGGTGTGCCCGAGAACGCCAGGAGAGACAGGTCTGCCACAAAAGCATGCCCTACTCCTAGCAGCGAGAGACTGACCAGCAACACTGCGAAGATACCGTCGATAAACATCATGAGTCTCGTGATGCACTCAGACCATCGTAGTAGCGGTTGATCTTGACAACACGCCGTACTGGGAGACTCAACTGGGGCACGCCCGCAGTTATATCGCTCGCGGCATGGTCGCAAAGAAACTTTTCACTCTGGAAACAGCGTGTGCCTCGGGAATATACTTCGAAATAAACCTTACGAGACTTTGACTCAGGTATAATCTGGACGAACGATGGCATCAAGAGCTTCAGCTTCTCAAACCGAGCCAACAGGAGATTTCTCGGCAAGGCATTTCAGATGAGTCGAGCCGACATCGTGGTTATCAAGTTTGTTTCGTCGGACGAAGGAATCAGATGAGGGGTAGCGGTATGATCATCAGATGGATCGAGCCAACGAAAGCCATCGTTTCATTGACTCGAGATATTAAGTTGAGCCCAGCCAGGATGAGTTAGCAGGTTTCAGACCTGATTGGTTGCTGCTGCATTGTTTCGATCCCGTCTCAGTCGAAGCTCGAAAGTATGAATGGTCATGAGAGATAGCCGACGGCTTTCAAAAAGATGATTCTCCCCGATCGTACTGTTCCAACAATGGAAGCTGGCAAACAATGTACTATGCAAAACTTCTATCTTGAGTCTCGACCTTGAAGTTTACTTGAACGAGTTCATTTACAACGGAAACGCGCTAAACAGAGCCGAAAGCTTTTACAATGATCGTGAAGGATACCCAATATTACGACTGACACCATATTGCGCAACAGACATGCGTATTCTTACCAAATACCTTAGGTAAAGGTAAAGCTGGTTAGGACTCATAATTGCTAGTTCCCATCCGTCAGACAATTTGAACATCAATCCCTTATTTCCTGTTGATGTGGTTGCGGGTCATGGCTGAAAATGCAGTGTCAGGGGACCGGATATGCTTCCGTAACTCTGTATCAAACAGAACATAGTTGCTACGTAGTCATATTCAGGAGTTCTGAACTTGAAGCAATGTAAAACATCAATAAGTTTACAATAATACTCATGTACCGCCTTCGTTCCGCTCACAGTGGCCAAGTATAATTGCTTTCCAAGGCATGTCATTTACCACACGTCAATTCTTGTCAACATTTCTACTTTCCCCTTGTTACAGCGTCCAAAAGTTGAGACTGCAATTCCTAAGCAGCTAATCTATGCTGAAACCAGCGAGACCATTCGCATAACACCCATCTAAAGCCTGTTGATACGCAGGCAAGCCAGCCATGTAGTTCAAAGCCTCTCTAGCCTTCCCAGGGATATTTCCACCCATGTACCACGTCGTTTTATTCCGTGGAAGAAGCGTCGCGTTGCATATCTCAGTAGTTCGACGGCTCCAATCCTCTTCTGCGTCGGACTGCGCGTTGATCCGCGTGTATCCATTACTTCGAAGGTGCACCAGAGTCCGAATGATCCAGTCGCCCTGGATCTCTGAAACCACCGGCCCGGTAGCCGAAGCCGTCGGGCTCTGAGGTCCGTAGAGGAAGAACATATTGGGAAAACCGCTGCTAGCGCAACCCAAAAAGGTACGAGTTCCGGTACTCCAAACATCGTTCAGCAACTTCCTCTTGAGGCCACGAATGTTGACTCTGGTAAAGCTGCCGGTGATTGCGTCAAAGCCCGTGGCGAGCAGTAGAGCATCCAGCTTATGGAGCGTTCCATCAGACATCTGCACTCCCTCTGGAACAACTTTGTCAATTGGATTCTTCTTGAGAGCCACTAGTTCGACGTTGCTCTGACTAAACACTTCGTAGAAGTTCTGCTCAAGTGATGATCGTTTCGTACCGAAAGGATATGGTGGCTTCTCAGGTGCAAGGTTCTCGATCAACTCGGGATCGTCTATGGGCAGTCGCTGACGGACCTTGTCCCGCCAGAAATTGTAAAAAAGGTGATTCGCTGCCAGGTCTGTGTTGAAGTCCGCATAGTTGCCGTGCGTTGGTGCAAACCCTCCAAGGCTCCAAAGGTGCTCAAAAAGAGCCTGTTGCTGTTCCGGTGTATCGTCCATGGCCCTTCTATTAACGACTGGAAAGGTGAAGCCAGCCTTGGTCTTCTTCATTTGCGAGAAGAGCTCCGAGTATCCTGATTTGCTTGGTGGATCTGATGCCCACGTCTTCTGTCTCATTGGCATTGCGCAGTTTGGAGAGCGCTGAAAGACGACAAGCTTTCCTGCATCTGGCCCTAGCTCTTGTACAAGCTGCACACCAGTTGCTCCAGTTCCAATAATGCCGATCCGTTTCCCTGCAAGCTCGGGTTGTTTCTCTGGCCAACGGGCGGTATGGCATGAGAAACCCTGGAAAGTGTCTAGCCCCTTGATGTCAGGGACGTACATCTTGGCAGCAAAGCCCATGGCTAGCAGCAGAAAAGGAGCTGTGGCCTCATGTCCGCTGCCGGTCTGGATGGTCCACGCGTTCGTCTGGGGGTCGAAGGATGCGTCAGTCACCCTGGCGCCGAAGGTGACGTCTTTGCTGAGATCCCACTTCTGGTCGACGAACTCGAAGTACCTGACCATCTCTTCCTGACTGGGGTATTTCTCGGCCCATTCCCATTCTTTCCATATCTCGGGATCGGAAAACTCGTAAAAAGGGGTATCGGTATCAACACGGGCACCGGGGTAGCGGTTGTGCCACCAAACGCCTCCCAGGCCGTGACCTTCCTCGAATATCTGTGCCCGGAATCCCTGCTTTCGCAGGTTCCGAAGAAGGTAACAGCCGCCGAAGCCTGCCCCAATTATGATTACGTCCAGGGGACGGTTGTCGACGTATGACGGCATGACTGATTGCTAATGTGAGATTGCAAATAGATCAGTCTGAGATGGAAGGTAGGTGTATCAAATGATGGTGTTGGAGGATATCAATTTGATGCAGAAGATATCAGCGTAAACTGTTCGTGAATCTGGTCTTATTTATCTTGATGTAAATGATTGTTTCGACTATCTCTCGGCAACGTCCCGTCAATCGGATATGCTCGACATACCTGGATGCTAGATCCGATTGCATGTCATCAGACTTACGGAAATCGCATCCGGTCATTGTCTAATACACGATGAATACAGCTAATCACAGTCGAGTGCTGTGTGACAGGCCAGAAGCTCTGGCTGGTGTCGGTGATTGCACTTGTGTCGGCGATTGCAACGTGCTCGGATGCGTTTCCCGTAGCGTGAAGCTATCGTGTAAGCCCAGTTTCCCGCGAGGAAAGTGGAAACGCGGGGAAAGCGGGTCTGTCTATCTGCAGACCAAGATGCCAAGATGTTTAGGAAATAAGAAAGGCAAGGGATGCCGGTTGATGTCAGCTTGGCAGATAGCTGCATGCCGGGGAGAACGCAGATGTTCCAAGATAGTAGAGATACCAAGGGGATATTGGTTGGGACGCTCGGCTTGGTATATGTGCATGGGCTGATTGGCTGCCTCTTATCTCGGAGTACAAAACAGACCATATCCCTAAGCCTCTGCTTTTTCTGTACTCGTGCAGCTCAATCGTTGTTCATTCTTATCAAAAGGCACCATTTGCATATTCTTCAAGTTCTTAGACACAATCATTACACGGGTGGCACAATGACAGTCACCGATCACTCCCCGCCAATTGTGAATGAAGAGAAGTTGGACGTCGATAAGAAAGAGCCCTTACATCCGACCAATAGTGTGGTTGAAGGCCAGTCGCAGCAACTGCAGGAGGACCGAAATGGTCAATTTCATCGATCGTTCTCCCCTCGCCAAGTTCATGTGAGTAGCTTTCTATCTTCTCACTGAAGACCCTACTCTAATCTGAATCTTTGCGATAGATCATATCCCTCGGATCAAACATTGGAAGCGGAGTATTCATCGCAACTGGCAAGGCCTTGGCTACCGGCGGCCCAGGTAACATGGTTCTTGCGTACCTGATGGTATGCAGCTGTGTCTGGGCCGTACTCCAATCGCTATCAGAGATGACGATCGCCTTTCCTGTATCTGGAAATTACATTGACTATGCTGATCGCTGGGTTGACCCGGCGCTTGCTTTTGGTGCTGGTTTTGCTGAGTGGCTCGGTAAGTTGCTGTAAGGCCAAAGCGAGATGATGTTCAAGTATTGACCATGACGAAGGATGGACCGCCATTGTAGCAGCTGAGACAGGATTCTTCCATGTGCTGATCCAGCTATGGGCACAGGAATCCTTCCCTTTGGCCGGATCGGGTACGTCAAACCACTTGCCTTCCGTATCGACCATTCAGACGGATTATGGATGCTAACTCAACCTCGCGGACAGTGTCGATTTTCCTTGTCGCCTGCTTCGTCATATTTCTCCTCCCAAATAAAGCATTTGCGTGGTTCGAATACTTCACGTCTCTGATCAAGATCTTCCTCTTCCTGATCATCATTGTCCTGTCTCTGGCTTTGGTACTTGGAGCCGGACCGAACGGCCGCATACATCATGGAGAGACGTGGACGCAACTGCCTCCATTCTTGAATGGGTTCACTGTAAGCCCCAAAAGACCTTATTTTTGAGGGACTTGGCGACTGATTTGTCTCAGGGCTTCGCAAATTGCGGCCTACTTGCTACTTGGGCAGTTGGTGATCAAGTCTTCATCGGCATTATGGGCGGCGAGGCGGCGAGTCCACGCTTTTCGATGGCCCATGCGACGAAACTCGTACCCTTTCGAGTCAACTTCATCTACATGATCAGTGTTGTTTTTATCACAATATTGGTACCTTCCAACGATGAGAGACTGCTTGGCGGAAGCGGCGTTGCAGCTTCACCTTTCATTATCGCCGTTGAGAATTCCGGTATTAGGGGAATCTCGTCACTGCTGAATGCTGGAATGTTGTTTGGTGTGTTGGCGATCGCCGCCGAATCAGTCTATATCTCTTCCAGAGTTCTCAGATCCATGGCTCACCAGAAACTTATCTCCGAGCGCCTCGCGAGGGTAGACTCAAAGGGACGACCAAGACTCGCGCTTCTCATCACTTGCGCTGTAGCGATCATCCTGTCATACATCCAACTCGCATGTAAGCTCAAACCCTGTCTGACAAGCTTTTTAGGCCTGGCTGGACCTTTAGCTAACTCTAGTCTCTGCTTAGCTGCTGGACTTGAAGTTTTGAACTGGTTGATATCTATCACCAGCGCCTCATTCTTCACGAACTGGATCATCATCTCTTTCACCAACTGGCGCTTCCATGGAGCTCTCAAGGCACAGAATGATCCGCTATTCTCCCAGACCTATGCCTGGCGGTCTGCCGCTTGGCCGCTGGCCCCAGCATGGTTGATGCTCGTCTCGTTGATTCTTCTGGCTTCATGCCTTATTTGTGGCATTGACGTGATAGTAAGTTATGAGACTCAGCAATCCTTATGCCCTTTTCCGTTTACGCGTATGAACATTTTTTCTTGCCCGGTACACCTGCTGATGGTATTTCTGCGACTCCAGGGTAGCGATTCATTCAGTGCAAAGAATTTCTTCCAGTACATGATAGGTTTCCTTCTCATTGTCATATTCACGGCCGGATACAAGATCATTTACAGAACACCATGGCGAGATCTCAAGACCGCTGATTGCATCAGAGGCCGACGTAATTTGAGCGTGGAGGAAATCAACCAGTTGGACGACTACTACAAGATGTCTAAATGGAGAAGGTTCCTAACATACGTACAACTGTGGTAGAAAGAGAATGAAGCTAGTACCACACAAAATTCAAACAATTTCGTTGAAAGCAGCAGTTTCGTTCCATCCTCCTGCTGAACCTTTGAAATGCAAATTCCGAGCTAAGCGCGCACCGCCTTATGCCAACCAGGACCCCGCGACCCCATTTCAGCTGTTGCTTGGCAGAGCTTCATACCAGCAAGAAAACATGTTTGATTTCTCTCATGTCGTGCACAAGGGGGTGCTATCTCTCCCGTGTCTGTCCATGTTTTATGCTGTTATCGTAACAGCCGTCGAGGTTATGTGACCGCCAGTGCAAGTCACCGACTGAATGGCAGTACATTGCCGTAATCGCTCGCTCAGCGGACTTGAAATCTCCGAATATCTCACCACTCTAAACGAAAATATGAGGTTCAAAGATCTTTGTCCAATGAGTAATGTTGAGTCCTGTCGAGCAATACGCCAATTACGCCGAGAGAGATTCCTCCCACCGGCACGTCGTCCAGTACCGGTTCAAAGGTTACACTGATGGCCATACTGCAAAGATCTTACCGTCTGCGCCACCCGGTGAATGCTTGAGGGTTCACTGGCACCCGTCATGCATGAGTTACAAGTCACATAGGTAGATGATTGGTTTACGTGAACTACGGTGATAATCTCGATATCGGTGATGATGTCGGCGTTAACAGGCCAGTGTCGGAAACCGCATCCGGCGCACCCTTCCTGGTATGTCCAAGACATCAGACCTCTGTTCGAGCACTGAAAGTCAATTCAATACAGCTACATATCGTTTGGAATTCGATGGGCTTATATTTGTCGTGAAACATAGAAAACGGAACCTTTCGGCTAGGCATTCCTACGATGTTGTCGCATACAAGAACTCACATGGTTCGGTGCGGTTGCGGGACATACATGCTGAGAAAGTCAGCGCGGAACTGATAAATTTCAAATAGCCGTAGGGACTTATGTTTATTGCCCGTATTTGCGTGACCAGTAAGCCTGAATCCCCGTCAACTCGACCTGGAAGCGCACGCCATCGCTTACGTTTGTTTTACGCTAGAGAAGCCCATCTCATTGTTGCCACGAAGATGAGTGCCAAATATTTGGGCTCTATAACCTTTCAACATTACTTGGGTATCAATGGAGATCAAGACTCCAGTGATCTCAGGCTGGGTCCGGGATGACATCCGCTTTATATCAACGGGTATTCGATTTCAAACCTTTGGAAGCGAGCATGAAACCGTAGCAGGCTTCCAATGCTTCAAGTTGGCTGCACGCGCACTCATTGACTCAGGAGAATCCCAGCCGATTAACGTACTATCGAATTCAATACAGTCGAACACGTTTGAATTTTGTTTTCGAATCTATGTGGAATGAGTCCATCGTGGGTGATAGAAGTAGCAGCTCCTTGGATCGTTGCATTCTACTATATACCCTAGTTTTTCTCCTTCGCATACCTGGTACTCAGTGTGAGCCGGAGGCCGACATTGGGCGGCTAAGACTATCAATATCCAATGAGTCTGCGAGCTGCATCAACTGCTCGGTGCTTAGTTCGAAATGAAGACCGAATTCGAAGTCATCCGTGAGTCCAATTCCTAGGTCTTGTGGATCCGGCACCGGGGCGTTAGGGTTGATGTGTGTCATGACATCTGAGTCGTAGTCTTGCAGCGGCAATATTTCTTGGCCGTTCGCTTGCAGATGGCTCAGGTACCCCTCAAGCTGTTTGAGTTCGGATACAATCATGCCAGCAATTTTATTTCCATGTGAGGTCATTTCGTCGAAAAGAGTGTAAGCTCGTTGTATCAGCTGAAGATAGTCCGGGAGTAATGTTGGATCAATGGCGCCCCCCATAAGAATAGCAATAGTCGCTGTGAATGCTGCATCAAGATCAAATGCCAAGAAGTTCTCTGGATAGATATCAATCAATATGGCATCATCATCCTCGTCAGAAACGCTTACCTAGCAAGCCTTGGTTGAGGAGGCGAGACAAGATCTTGATGATTTGACAACAAGACTCCATGCAAACCTGAAGAAGGCCCCTGACGCTTTCAGACTGAGCCCAGCGCATTGGTGTCGCTTGTGATTGCCCTAGCCTAGACTGCAAGAATATGAAGAGTAGTGGCCTGGTCGTCAATACAATGCACTGAAGATTCAGTTAGTAACGATCCATGTTCTTGAAACGTGAAAATAACTCGCCTGATGATATTGAAGATGCAAATGTGCCGAAACTCGTGAGACGCCAGCCGTGTTTTCGCTTGAATTGATATCAAAGAGATCATTCAGCTGACCAGCCACGCCAGCCATACTTTGCAGGAGAGACTTGGTAGCACTAAGATAGCGACTGTCGAGCTGTCCATCAATTCCATACACACCTGTTTCCGGTCAGTACCTGACATTTCTCTACCCCGAGAGCACTTACTTCTATGAATTTGGCCCATGATTTGCGCCAATTTCACCTGGACTTGCATCACGCTTGCCCTTTGACCTTGGTCGGATTGAGAAGGGTATGGTGTACATATGTTTTCATCCTGAATGAACAGTGGCACCCCCAAAAGAGTAGAGAAATGTCGTTCGAGCACGTAAATCGTCCACCACATCATCCGACACCTCTGGACATAAGCATCGTCCAGGTACTGCCCCTGCATCTCGGTGTACATCCCCCCTTCAAAGGCGAGGCTGATGGCTTGTGATATCTGATAATGTCAACGTTTTGTTCATAACACCGGTGCCCTTGGTGTTGACCTACATAACGATACGCTGATGTACGGCAACTGAGGCAGTGCAAGTACAGCGCTGCAGAACACAGAACTTGAGCCTTTTCCACAAAGTCGCAATGAAAGAATGTGAAGTCTGGCATCAACTTCATTGCTTGGACGAAGAGCTCCAATCCAGGAGGCGTTTGAGACCTTGATGTCTGCACCACGAACGCTTTCCCAAAGGCTAGGATGATCAAATAATGAACATACCACAGACGAGATAAATCAGGGTGTTTTGCTCCGCTCTCATGGAATATTGCGAATTGCTTCATGAAGCTCTCTTCTTCGAACAAGTAGAACAGACGGCCGCAGCGGAACTTGAATGAGTTGATCAGGTAAATGGCGAAATCCTGAGTCGGTAGGTTGGATGGACTGAAGTCGTCGCGGCCTGATGGTGTTCTGCTTCCGTCCCACTTGAGATCATACACCTTTGCGTCAAAGAAAAGATCGTCAATTCTCAGAGGGGTGCCTGTGACAGCTTCGTGTGTCATGGTCAGAACTCGGCGACCAAACGCCCAGTTGGATGAAGTTCCCATGAACACTTCTCACCGTCAGCAAGTCCGATCAACAGCTTATGCGAATAAGACGCACTAGGAGAGCCATGAGGGCCTGGAACCCAGTCTATAGTATGGAACGCTAGAGGGTTCGTAAGTGGTGCTTCGGCAACATCGCCAATTGCGTGGTTCACTGTTGCTGCTATAGAAGATGATGGCGTAGCAGCCGCAACGTCTAGAGTGTTATGATTCATATCCAGAGAGCTTTCCGTGAAAGCAGTGGTTCCATCATCTACTAGACTATTAGTAGGATGTTTAACTCCAGCAAGCGATGAGTCTAATCCTTATTTTCACTCACACATATCCGGGCTCATGAGCTGATCGAGATCTGTCGTTCCGCGCGTATTTTCATGAGGCCCATGCCTCTCATATTCCGCAAGTTTCTCTTGAAGTTCCTTGATGTACCTTTCATAAATCTTGTCAGTATCATATTTGACTCTCGTAGGAATGCAATCGTACTCTCTGGTGACGACGACCTTCTGCGACTCATCGGGGAAATGACATATTAAGTCCCTTTTGCTGCATTGCTGACAAGGATCAAGTCCAGAGCACCTGATCTTTTGATCGCGGCATCTCGTGCAACTTCATAGACAAGGCCTGTCAGTGAATGTTACTCAGCATCAACATAGGTAACCGTACGCCTTTGGCACCCGCTTCCGTGGCGCTCGGTTTCTTTTCAAACTACTTCTGGGAGGCATTTGCGCCAGGTCAACAGTTGAATCACAGCCGTGAGGAGATTCTTCGGATACGGGTTGCGATGAGATCTCAAGATGTTGTACACAATGATTTCGCATGTATCTACGAGCGGGGAAGCCAAGTGGAGCGATAGGGGAAGTCAGCCGGCCTCCGGACAGCACCACAACGCCGTGCACTAGCCTATTAAGAAGAAGGGAAGGTTTCCCCGGTGTCAACGACTGCCTCGAATTTGACGACAATTGACTCCATTACTCAACCGTTGCCAATATTTGAATGCGACGATCTGAGGCTACATCATGTGCAATATTTTTGCTGATCATTCAGTTTCAAGTGAGATAATTGAAGATGCACCCTTTTGCTAGGGGCGGCGGGTAAGATAAGGTGATTTTCTACCTCAATCAGCTCTCCTTTGCCACCCACCGTCGTGATTGTGCAAACTCACGAGTGGGGGGACATTGATTAGATTGATTCTTGAACGCTCAGCGCCTCAGAAAGAAGCTAAAGAGTAGTGGAGGATGCTCATATGAGGTAGGTACTAAACAGACAAGACCTCGTGCTGGTGCGATTTATTCCAAGTTCACGCCTTTTTCGCACGAATCTTTCGCCTTGTTTTAGCACTATGTACTAGAGTGGTTTTCACGAACTAGAGCGCGCGGTTCTTTGCCGCCAACCTCGCGATACTCGATCTCCGAGGGGGCCCCGCGTCAATCCCCAGCCTCTCGGGGGTTGGAGCACAAGAAACGGTTTGGCCCACGATGATTGGTTCAACGAGCTAATGCGATGCTTCAAATGCGGGGCGCCAGCTGATCGGTCAAGGTTCATGTCCTCGGACTTCGGATACTCCGACTGCTGAGGCAATCTCTCGGGCCATTCCGTCATCCGGAGCTGGGTGCCAACTTCAAATGTTTCGTCGGGAAAAGTATATTTGTACTTTGCCGAACGACATCGTTTTCCTTGTGCACGTCAGAGTTCTCTGTCGCGTCAATTAAGCTCGCAGCAGTCGAGCCTTTTGTTTATAACTATGGCGTCTAAACCGTCCGGAGACGAATCAGCGTTGCTGTTGGCTCCAGAGTCTCAAGAACAACATGCCGAGAGCGAGACTATGGCACAGGCGGACCGGTCGAATAAAACCCTCGACGACATTGTCGCCGAATTCATCGCCTCCGAACACAGGCTGACGTTCCGCCAAGCCATCAGTATCTACTACAAGGCCGTCCTCTGGTGTTTAGTTATCTCAACATGTGTCATCATGGAGGGCTACGATCAAATTCTTGTGCAAAGTTTCTTTGCCTATCCGCAGTTTCAAATCAAGTTTGGCGAGTATGTAGGCAAAGGTCCAACTGGTTATCAGCTTAGTGCGGCCTGGCAGGCAGGTCTGTCTAATGCCTCGGGAGTTGGAGCTTTCTTTGGTGCGCTGCTCAACGGGTTTGTTTCCTCACCCGCCTTCTAGATCAAACAGGCGATATGTTGGCGAAGAACGAACTAACACAATCAACAGGCCACTCGTGAGTCGATTTGGTCATAAATCCGTTCTGCTGGCAGCTTTGTGCAGTCTCTCGGCCTTCATATTTATAACATTTTTTGCTCCTAATCCAACCGTTCTCTGCATCGGACAAGCTCTCGCTGGCTTTCCATGGGGCATCTTTGCCACAACCGCCCCGGCGTATGCCTCGGAGTGTTTACCAACAATTCTCCGCGTCTACTTCACCAGCTTTACAAACATGTGCTTCATCATCGGACAGCTGATCGCAGCAGGTGTGTTGCGCGGGTTTCAGTCTCGCCAGGACGAATGGGCTTTCCGCATTCCCTTCGCAGTCCAGTGGATTTGGCCCGCGTTTCTCATCCCTCTCGTGGCTTGCGCACCAACGAGTCCCTGGCATGAGGTACGATATGGGAACATTGAAGCTGCAGCAAAATCCCTTCGCAGGCTACAAATAGAATCGCCGCTGGCGGATCCAGAAAAGACGCTGGCTATGATCGTCTATACAAACGAGCTTGAGGAGCGGCTTGAAGTCGGGACGACATATTGGGATTGTTTCAAGAACTTTGAGCTGCGACGAACGGAGATCGCGTGCATGGCGTTCATTGGGCAGCCTCTTGCAGGCCTCAACTTCGCATGTGAGTAGCCAGATGGCCGTATGCCTTTTACCAACTCATCTAACAAGCCTGGCATTTAACAGACAACTCCACATACTTCTTCGAGCAAGTAGGACTACCTACGGCGACTATCTACTCACTGAATCTGGGCGGTACAAGCCTAGCCCTCATCGCGACCTTTCTCAATTGGTTTATCCTCATGCCGCGCTTCGGCCGCCGGACAATATACTTATCGGGAGTAATAGTTATGCTTCTCGCACTACTGCTCATTGGAACTCTTCAGGTATGGGAGAATCGGCAAGGGGTGGGCTATACGCAAGCGGCTTTGTGTCTTTTCTGGACATTTGTCTTTCAACTTTCCGTCGGTCAACTTGGATGGGCATTGCCTGCCGAAGTTGGGTCAACACGGCTACGCCAAAAGACAGTCTGCTTGGCGCGTAACGCATACTACGTTGTCAATGTTTCGGCTTCTGTGCTTCAGTCATACTTCATCAACCCAACAGCCTGGGATTTCTCAGGATACACAGGTACGTCAGCGGCTATCATTCTATACGACAGTTGCGGTCCATCGCTGACATGGCTCCCTATTTGTGTAGCATTTTTCTGGAGCGGCACATGTTTCCTCTTACTGGCCTGGGCATTTTTCAGGCTACCGGAAACAAAAGGGCGAACGTACGAGGAGCTCGATCTGCTATTTGCGCAAAACGTGCCTGCTCGAAAGTTCAAAGAAACGATTCCTGGTCAGCATGATTAGGCCATACTAGATAATTTTGCAAGAATAAAACATGGAAAGCAAAATTGAATCCCACTAGACTTTGAGATTATTCAAGGAAGAGGTGTTGTTATGCGAAACATCCCATCTTTATAATGACAATCACACTGATGGCATTTCGCGAGTGGAACGGGTTGTTGTTAAATAGAGAACTACGACCACCTTCACTGCTACGACTTTTTCTTTAAATTAACGAATGAGCCATATACGTTCGGCCTTCAGTCACAAAAGACTCAGGTCATGCTCGTTGGGGACGAGTGCATAGACAGACCAAATGACAACATCTATTGCCGTGCTCTCACAGTCTGTGAATCTTCTATGGTTTGTTTCTACATTTTTCAATCACAACATCTAATACATTTGAATTAAAAGACATGGGTATAGGAAAACAGAATAGAAACGAAGACGAAGACGCGATGATATGGACGGAAATAATCGCTGAACACCCGGAAATTATGCCAAGGAGACGATAAGAACTGAAGAAGATGTGAGAGACAAGGAGAAACAGGACCAGCCAACACGAAAACCAAAGGAAAAACAAGAAAGCATCATCGGTCAAAACATGATCAAGATGCTTCCAACAAAGTAAGCAGAAAACATGACCCCCTTACTCATGCGGGCTCTGACGTTACTGCCACTACCTACACGTTCGACAAGCTTATTACCTAGAGCGTTGATGCTCTTCGAAAACTCATCGGCATTGGAAGCAGACCAGTTGGCGCCGGTTGCACCAGGGACTGCATCGTTTCCGGTGAATGCGATGTAAAGGACGTCGTTGATATCATGTCCCTGATTGCCATGGACGCCGTTGCCGAAGCATGCAGTTGCGAGGGAAATGGAGGCCTCGCCAACCATAGCTTGGGGGCCATCGTCGCCATTGGTATCGCCCCAAATGCCGTAGTACTGGGTGAGAGTCAGTATTTTGCGTTCAAAGATCAGTTCAGCCAGTTTTAGACATACCATTGAGTTGTTGCAGACGACAGCCATGATACTCAAGGGTTCAACGCCGTGCTCTTGAGGATCGAAGTTCGGCCATCCACTCTTCGTGCCACTGTTGCCGAAAACGACATACGGGTGGATGTAAGAGTTGAGGTCGCCTTTGCCATATGTGCCCAAGGTGTCCATGAACGTCGTCTGAGACTGGGTGTCGGTGGAAAACTGGCAGCGGCCATCGCCAGAAGTCTGGGCGCCATCGCAGTCGATGTCCATGTTGGCCAGCTGGCCATCCTTGCCCTGGATGTACATGATCTTGTAATCGTCCAAATAATCGCCGCAATAGCCAAAGTCTCCACTGTCGCCTTCCATGCTGTGAAAACCGCCCTTCAGCTCGTGGCGGCATTCGCCTCGATTGCGGACATGGTCGTAGAAGTCCTTGACATTACTCGGAATCTCCAATGCCAGAACCGATGGGGCCACGGAGGCGATAATGGCGAGGAGGACGCCGGCTCGTGGAATAACCATCCTGAGAGAGGTGAGCCGATGGACCTGGTAGAGAGGATGAGGTGAGACGGCAGTTTCGGAGCTGGAGATGTAAGGATTTTGAGTCGCGCTTTGGTAGCACGTGATGCTGTGAGCACGGTTTCTTGCAGCGCTACGGGTTCTGAGCGTCAGTTGGTGCACCGCCCCGAAATTAGGCAGTCTAGGATCGCGAACTCGCCAAATGTCTTGGCTCAGGCTCAATCGATTCAATCGGCGCCACTTACAGAAGAAATATGTCCTGAATACAATAAGAAATAGTGCGGAGTGAGTGATTGGGAGAAAAGGGGAGAAAAAAAACCAAGAGCCAGCAAGAAGACCAGTTCAAGATAGAATACATCAGACTGAACAATCCCCAATAACCTTATTATGTCGATTCTCAGTTGACCTGCCAGAGCCGTGGCGTGGGTAGCTTTGACCAAACTCTCGGCCCGCACCGTGATAATCAACCTTGGTTCTTAGTGGAGTTGCGTTGATTGCAACCAAAGGAGCTAATTTGGACTGAGAGTGGTTGCTAAGAGGATAACTTTTGCTGACATCTGCCAAAGCTCCGCCACAACGCTTTGAAATTTACCAGAGCAAGCTGGCTTTTTCGACGGTCAAAACGGGACCTGCGTTGACTGTGGCAAATTTCCTTTTCCAATGGAGATAACTTCTTCAGCCCCACAGTGGTGTAAGATCTATCTCCCTCTCGAAGTTCCTCGTAATCATCACCCTGTTAAAGCAAACTTTGACTGCGCACAGAAGCCTAGCAAGGAATTTCGAATGGAGTTTACTGATCGTTTGAAGCCTAAAAACAATGATAGCTACATTGAATTTTGCGGCGATTCACTGTCCGGGTTTAGCAACGGACAATCTTATTCGCGTTGCTGGAGGTTTGATACAGTGCCTGTCCAAGAAATGAAGCCATTGGCATGTCGCCGGAGATATACCACGGATCACTTGCCCAAGGGATTCTTGGTTGTCTTTGATTTGACGACTCTAGTGCTGGAATGTGCGGTAGACGAGGCCTTGTCAACATCCATGTCCGGAAAAGCTCGAACATGGCCATTTTTAACGTCCAACATTCATTCATGCTGGCTGGCCGCAAACTACGGAAAAGCCCAAACTGCTGATCGCCAAGATTGCGGAGATGGACGAGCAACTTAGCAAGTTGTTAGCCTGGTGCATTGCTTGAAGCGCACGAATAGGCCATCTCGGTCTTCGTCTCCCGATGCCCCGGATCTTGACCCCAGGCCATGCCAAGTCTAGGGCGCGGGTGGATGGTGCGGGGAGCGGAGGTCATGCGGAGTTCAAGGCATTGAACATATCATGCTCTTTCTGACTTGCATGATGACCCTGTTGATAACTGTGGACTTCTAGATATTTATAAAGGTGATGCTCTGCCTTGGGTTTCTTACTTCTGTACGAGGATCAACTTGTCATACCTAACGTCGGTCCAAGCAAGCTATATCCAGACATCATGGCAGACATCAAACCTAGCGAAGACCTGGTCAACGATCGCGATCTCTTGGGCGATAAGCCAACTGATACTTCCCATGTTGCCGAGCTTACCGAGGCTGAGAAAGCCATCGAGAAGAAGCTGGTCAGGCGTATAGACTGGCTCATCATGCCTCTCATCCTGAGTGTTTATCTTCTTAATTGGATTGATCGGTACGCACTCTTCTGCCTGCTGAAGGCAATTTCTTTTCTGGCGACAAATTTAGCAACAACTATGCTTCTGCTCGCCTTGCTGGGCTTGAAGAGGATCTAAATCTCTCTCTCACGGAATACCAAACTGGTCTCTCCATTCTTTTCGTCGGATACATCCTGGGCCAAATCCCTTCCAACCTGTTGTTGAACTGGTTTGGCCGTCCATCTTTGTATCTCGGCATCTTTACTATTGCCTGGGGTTTGGTCTCTGCGTTGACTGCCCTGGTGCAGAACTTTGCTGGAATAGTGGTTTGCAGATTTATCTTGGGCTTTGTTGGTACGTTTTCTGTACCCACGAGCATGAAGCCAACTAAAACCTTTTCTTGTTGTAGAAGCACCATTCTTCCCCGGCGTTCTCTTCTATCTTTCGGTAAGCTATCTTGAATGAACTAGCTTAAAAGAAACGGTTATCTCTAATGGCTCATGCAGAAATGGTACTCCAAGAAGGAAATGAATTTGAGAATGAGCATCTTCTATTCAGGTAGGCCGCCAACACCTCACACTCAGCAGACAAACCCTGACTGAAACCTCTTGATATAGGTGCTCTTGTCGCTGGCGCTTTTGGTAACTTGATTGCTGCCGGTATCTTAGATGGTCTTGCAGGGACCAGAGGTTTATCAGCGTGGCGTTGGCTGTACATTCTTGAAGGATCTAGTGAGCAATCTCCCAGACTCCTTCCTAGTCTTCGATGATAGAATCTCGATGCCTCTTTACCTGCGTGCTAACAACAGGAAGTTACTGTTGTGGCAGGCATCATCGTTTGCGTCTTCTTGCCTGACTTCCCCCAAACATGGAAGGCTCTCACGCCTGAAATGCAGCATGTTGGTAAGTCATCTCACTCTCATCTTTTTATATGTCATGCGTTGAACGTCGACTCTCTTAGCGAACCGAAGACTTGCTCTTGAGGCTGCAGAGGCTGATACCGACGAAGAGGGTATCTCATCGCAGCTGAAAGGCCTCAAGCTATGCATCACCGACGTCAAAGTCTGGATATTTGCATTCATTTACATGGGCCTCACTGGGGCACAAGGCTTTGGGTATTACTTCCCGACTCTGACAAGAACTCTGGGGTACAGCCAGTTCATTTCACTCCTTCTGGTCGCTCCTCCCCATGTCTTCATCACTATATGGAGTTACATACACGGCATTATCAGCGATCGCTTTACGACCCGATACTGGTTTTGCTTGTATCCTGCGGTGGTGTCGATCGTTGGGTTCTCTGTTTTCATGACTACGAACGTCTTTGGGCCGAAGTACATGACTTTCTTCTTCATGATGTTTCTCATGAACATCAACGGCACCCTTTTTAGCTGGATTGCGGGGGTTGTCTCCAGACCACCTGCAAAGCGTGCAGCAGCATACGCTCTCATCAACTCTCTGGGCAACAGCGTCAGCATCTGGACGCCATACACTTATCTCGATAAGGAATCACCGTATTTCTTCACTGGAATTGGCATCTGCGTTGGACTCATCACTTCGGCAGCTGCATTGATGACCCTGCTTCGACTGATTTTGATACGAGAGAACAAACGGTTAGCTCGACTTGAGAATGAGAACGTCCAGTTGACACAGAAGGAGTTGTCAAGGCTTGAGAAGACTGCTCAGGTGGAAGGAGTCAGTATTACGGCAGCACGTGCCTTGCAAAAGGGTTTCAGGTACACCATCTGATGTGTGTGTTATCAATAACTACTTGTACATGTATCTATGGTAATCCTGATATCTTGCCAAATATCGGAGAAGTGCCACGGTAGAACATACGATATGGGCCTCTATCCGTATAAGACAGGCATTTCCTGTCTTATGTCCTGACTGATGGATGTATAAGCATGATTCAAATGCCTTGGCGAGGCTTGCTGTAGATACCAAACGATGCCTGATGATTGGAACAAGTTGAATCAGTCGCGCGAACTGCCGAGGCATGTCATGTAATGAAAGCCGAGGCTAATTTCCTTGTTCAAATGTTGAGAGTCGTTGGTAAGTGAAGAAGAACATGAAAGAGTATTTAAGTTGAGCCGAAGGCATTGAGCCGAAGCCGCCTGAATGCCGCGTGGAAGTGAACATTGTACGTAAGCATAGTAAGAGTTCTCACCAGCTGCTGCTCTTCAAACCCTTTCGTTCTAAGCTTGAACCTAAACATCAACCAGTTACGTCAGAATAACATTCACTCTCATAGTCTCTTTCCCATTCACGCCATGAGCTTACCCACCGTGTGAATGATCTGGCAATGCGAAGCTGAATGTGTAGCTTTGTAAGCAACAAGTACAGAAATGTCAATAATTGAACCCTGGAGGCGGTTCCTCAATTCAAAGCCTCATCTCACGCAACAAATGTAAGCTTACAGTGACGGTGGGTTGAGTTCAGCCACCGACAACAATAGCTCTCGGGTCGTGGCTGAAGTTGACTGCGCCTGCCGAGGGCGACTTTTCATCAGATGGATGAGTATAATTATTAGATAACAACGTGTAATCGACTCTTTCAGATGAACTCAAAACCAGACGCCAACGACAGAAGGCCTGAGAGTAGGTGAGGCTTGCCGCTTGTGTGGTGGCCTGTGCATGTCGATTGTGATGTGTGTCGCTTGAATGGTGAAATGGTGAGTTATGCTTGATAATCCATCAACACTAAGCAGTACGGGACTCTTGCGACGAGGGATCAAATGGAATATTAGCTCTCAGCCTGCATGAATTGCCCAGGAAGTATCGGGAATTCAATATCAAGACTGCGGGTTGACCGCGGTAGCATGAGTACACTTGGTGACGAAAATGCCGAGTGTAACCGCAAAGTAAGTGCGATCTCCAACAAGAATTGCTATTATAGCGGCTACTAGCAGGCAGTTTGATGAAGCACGTAGAGGCGAGGCCCAAAATGATATGAGTTTAATGGTTGAGAGGAACCCATTCCCGAGCTGTTCCACTAACACATGCTCGCTTCTGATCGGAGCCGCGCTCCGATACTGTTCGAATAATATAGCGAGATATTGATGCCTCATCTGTTGGTTCCACGGAACCGCCTCGTTTTCGCTTCTCATGGGCCCATTTCGCGCCCCCGAATCAGCTTGTGCAACGTCGAGGCTCCATGGGCGGGAACCTGCCGAAGCTGCCGCCCGGCAAAGACAACTTTTGGATGACGAAGATCATCTCTTGGCGCCTTTGAACGGAAGTCTAAATTTTGGTGCTTTTAACTACCTGTCGTCAGACTGAAGCGCAGAGTTAGGCAAGTCGTGCAGAATGGTTCCCAGAGGCCCAAGCTAACTCTATCCCAATACTTCCAGAAGTTGCCTGCCACGTCGGTCTCGCCTTCGGACTTGAAACAAACGGTGTGGAATTCTCTTTTTTCCAATTCTCATCGAAAGAAAGAAGTTCCGAGGATGCCGCTTACTTTGGGTGAGTAACACACAAGGGTATGGGTTTTGGCTGATTCCCTCATGCTTGGAAGGTTTTGCCGGACGATCATCCGCGAAAGGGATGTGTAAGCTACTAATAGAGTTGGTCCAGGCAACCTGGGCGAGCCCATTGATCGTGTTCGCGACCTTCATTGCAGGCCAGTCTCATGGATGTAGAGTGCGTGTTGATATGAGGCGATGCACACATAATTGCCTGGACAATTCTTATCCAGCGCTACTTCATTTTTGCCTCCACTTACTGCATACCCAAGTTGATGTACATGAACTGAACAGAATTCCTGCGCGATCTAGTTACTCGAAAGTTTACTTTGGTCAACATCACTAAGAGCATGAATCAGGGAAGCATGGAACAGGGCGAAGATGTGGGTATCCAGATATCAACGACGAATACCGAGAGTTTACCTGGGCCATGAGCGTTAGAATCTTTCGTGATATGCATATTCCAATAGATTTCAATCTTTAAGTCACCATATCATGTATTTCATTTGGTGAAACCGTGAGGTTCAGACTGTGAAGGCCATGTTTAGATCGCGGTTGAAATATAATCTCAAGTAGTCCAGTAGCTTTCACCTCGTTGTTCATCTAAACGAAATGTGAAATTACGGGTGTCTCAAGCTTACAGCTGCCATCGAATGTGTCTGGAACGCGCAGTACCCAAAGTGTCCAAAGCAATTTTGCTTTGGGATAGATCAGACGACAGAAGCTCAGAGCGGCTCATCTTGGCTATGCAAACAGGCATCTAAATTCTTCCACTCCTCGCTTGCATGATTTACGCTTTTCATATCACTTCGATCATGGTCCTGGGCCTATCGGACAGATGCTCGGTAAGCAGTTCACGACACCACCCCGGGTCTTTCTCATCTGTGGCGGTGATCGAGGCCATGGAAGTTTGGGTGCCAACTCTTAGCTAAGCCCTGGTCTGATGCTGCGGACTGGATCTTGAGAACGGAAGCGGAAACGAAAACAAGCTACTGATGCTGGATGAATTCAAGAGCTGGTGGGTGACCGTCTCCCCGAGTATAAGTAGCCTAGGAGAATTCCCGATGTTCCAGGACTTCTTCCTTCTCCATCAAATCCTGCATCGTCTTGGACTGATTACAGACTTCTCTTCATTGGATATTTAAATCGACTTTTCTTCTACTTCTTAACTCCGCCAACATGCATATCGCATCTTTCCGTCAGCTCGCCACCGTTGGCATGGCCGTCTTTGCCATAGCCGCAGTGGCTGCACCTGTTGCTGAGGCCGCAGCTGATACAACCGAGCTCACCGAGGTAAGTCCCAAGCAGCAGACTTCTGGACACCTTTGGCTTCTCATCACTAATGACGTGCTTAGCGTGCCCCTGAGGCGGCTGTAAGTACATTCACGCATCATCTCACGTCTATTCCAGCACCTTCTTTTGCCAGATTTCAAAAGATGACATTGACTGACATTGCTTCCCACGATTAGCCCAATGTCGTTTCGGTAAGGGAATCTGCTCTACTTGAAACTGCGTACAACATTGACTAACATGGTCTCAACAGGCCCTGGACAACGCTGTCGTCGCTCGCGATGAGCCAGGCCATGAGGGTGGCTTGGAAGCACGCGATAGAAAGGATCGCGACAGATACCGAGACAGGTGCAGACGCGGTAGGGGTAGAGACAGAGACTGCTACGGGTACTACGATGACGATGACTACTACTACGGACACGGTGGAAGACGTGGTCGTGGTGGACGAAGGGGAGGATACGATGACGACAGAAAGAACATCCAAGCTGAGCAGCCGCCTAAGGAGGGAGATCAGCCGAAGCCGCCCGGAGACCAGCCGAAGGGCGGGCCCGGCGGTGATCCTCCAAAGGGCGGGCCAGGTGGTGATCCGCCAAAGGCCAGGGACCTTGGCAAACGCGGAGACGATGGCGGTTACGGCCATGGAGGATACGGCGGATATGGAGGAGGAGGATACGACGGGTACGGCGGTCGGGGAGGTGGTTACGGACACGGCGGCGGCTACGGCGGCGGATATGGTGGTCGGGGAGGAGGCGGATACGGGCCTTACAAGAAGGGCCCAAGGAGGGGTCCCTGGCGACGAGACCTCGACACTCGCGACTTCTTCGATGACCAGTGGGACGACTGATCATCTCACACGCAACTTCGCGCTCCGAATGCTAGGATCTTCTCGTTACTTCGCTGATTTAGCTTGCTTTGGAACAATCGTTTGGTTTGGTGTGGAGGGAATTTGACAACAAAAAAAGCTTCTCTGACATTCTATTCTTTGTACATAGTTGAAACGACTTAATCATATTTGCTTGTTTACAAAAGCGGTTTCAACTTCTTCTGAATGTGAGCACTTGTCTTACTTCGAGGCGCTATTGGGGGAATTTGAAGTCCTCCACAATTGAAGCCGGTGAGAACTTCCATGTCGGCTAAGTGGATGGACGTCGTGTGTTAATGTCCGTTCGAATATTTTATTCCCACTTTCATGGAATAGCGAACCAGCTTACTGGCATTTAAAAGGCAAAGTCCCCTCATGTGGCACATGGTCGCGTCCTGTCCAGACTGTTGTCTCCGACCCACAACAACGTAGGCCGAAGTGATGGGGGCGCATCATCAGCATGATATCATTAGCCACTGAGTTGCAACCTGCGACTATAAAACCCCAACCAAGCTACGTTTCGGGATCAAATATAGCACAGAATTTATCACTTTTTTACAAACACTCTTCATTCCAGTCTGCATCCCGACCACATTTCAAAATGGAACCCCAACACCCAAACAGGGACGAACTCCGAGAGCAGGCGGCCACGGGGCGACCCATTACTCAGACTGAAGCTTCAACTATCGCATCTGAGGAGACAGATATGACTGGATTCGGACCCATCAAGGGAGGCGCCGCCGCCACAGCACAAAGTCTACACGATAAGCAGCAAAACTTTGTAGCGACAGCAGGAGATGTTGCACGAAAGCCGGCCAATGAGATCACTAAGGAGGACGCCGCACACGTACAGAGTGCAGAGGTGAGAAAACCTGAGCCCTCAAGTGACATAAAAGTTCATCTGACACCGAGGACAGGCGCGTGTGTTGGGAGGACGGCCACCAAAGGGGTCCACGTCGGCCGACGTCCAGTCTATCGCAGATGAGAACGCGAAAGCCAAGGGATCATAGGTTAAATTTGACTAAGAGCATAGACGATGTCTTGAATAAATCACAGAATATCTCATATTTTGAGTCCTATTTTCTGTCTCACCACGTGTATTGTTGCTCGCCTCTACCCTCAACACTTTGACATTTCTGATATTTTGGGACGCCGTTCATACCAGCTATTCATCCAGAAGAAACTGGGATCTTCACAAGACTACATATTATCAGCTGAAACAGGACTTTGTGTTCTTTTACAATGTAGAGGGGCCATATGGGCACTGGGCGCCGTGGGAAATCCAAACTCTAATGCGGTAAATCAATGGGCAACCGTCCGCCTGATATGAATGTTGGACCATGATGATTCTTCTCCCACAATACCACAAAGCCCTATCTAAAAAAGCATCCGATTTAGTACGATAGTTTCAAGCCGAAGCCTTTGAATACCATCATCATGATCAACAAGGCAAGCCCTTCCGAGTACCCTAATCATAGTAAAGACGTTGACGATATCTCAGACTCAGACACGAGTAGCGATGAATACGATTCACGGCATACGGCTATCTCAGATACCGTGGGAAGGTTCTCTAAACGAGCACGTCTTGGTATACAATATCCTAGACGTGTGCTGGAGAATCATTCTTCGCCTGAGCTCGACAAAGAACAGCTTCTTACATATTGGGGATTATTTTCATGCCTTAGTGAAATTTGGAAAGCTGAACAACAGCATCGTCAAATTCCTGCGGGAAATGGATCCAAAACTCGACAGCCAGCATACCGTACCAGTGCAAGAATACAGGAAGGAGATGCGAAAGCGCTGGCCCATCATCGAGGTCAGCTTCCAGTCACTTTACGGATTCAACGTGGACGGCGATTTCCCCGGCAATACAACACTCACAACGAACAATGTCAATCGCATGACAAACCCTCAACGTACAGCCGGCTCGAAGAACAACAGTCACCGAGACCCAATACTGAGTGCTCCTCCAAGAGCAAAAACGTCTTTGGCTAGCGGTATGGAGAATATACTCAAGGATGCACGTGAATGGGCAGAGGCAGTCACGAACAAGCACAGCTGCAATGATGGGCTCAAGGATGTACGAGAATGGGCAGAAACAGTCATGAGAAACCGCAACGCCGCTATGGAGTCGTTCAAGCCGAGTTTGTCTGACTCAACCCCTATACGCCGCCGCCAGGTACCAAAGAAGATTGGAGCAAGACAGAAAGTCATTGTCAACACGACTCAACTTCCGCCAACCAAGTCAGAACTTCCGACAGGCCCGACATATGTGTATCCAGCCGGGCAAAATCTAGAACATTTGGATCATACGTCCTTTCAATAGTCTAAGTATTGAGAGCTCCGTATAGAAATTAGCATAAATAATGCCGTAATGTTCAAGAATCTAACTCCTACAACTATGGAAGGTAGGTGTAAACACGAAGAGTTTGACATGTTGCGATCCTCAAGTGATTCTTGGAACGTTGCAGTGCACTCAGAACCCCGAGGTACCGAAAGCGAAAGCGAGGGCGGGCCCGATGACTGTCTCGGCGGTGTAGATGTGAGACGTAGCGAATCAAGATGATCTTTTGCATTGTTTTGCAGTCAAGATGGAGAGTTGAGAGACTTGAATACATATTTGAGACTTGTCTGCAGACCGTATGACTCTTCAGCCCGGAAACACCATTTGCATAAATATTGAGGCCCGACTCGGGCCTACTACTACTGAGAGTGAGTGGTCCTGTTTTGACCATCTATGCAACTGCTGACAACAGAAAGCACAACAAAAATCAAGCGGAAATCATCATTGAGTAACATGCTGTCTACGAACGTTCTGGTGGTGATTGGCAGTGGTGGCATGGGTCTGCCCATCGCTCGTCGTCTAGGCGTTGGCCGACAGGTTTTACTCGCAGACTTTTCGGCCGACAACCTCTCGACAGCCGAGAAAGCGCTGCTGGATGAAGGCTACTCGGTCCACACAGCGCATCTGGACGTCGCGAACTTTACGTCGGTCAGTGAGCTGGCGCAGAAAGCCGCGACGCTCGGCAACGTCGAGACAATCATTCACGCCGCTGGCGTCGGGCCCTCTGCTGGCTCTGCTCGCCGCGTGTACGAGATCGATCTCCTCGGCACCGTCAACGTCATTGAAGCTTTCCTGCCCGTCGTACAGGCTGGGTCAAATCTGGTCTGCATCTCCAGCATGGCTGGCCACTTGTGCCCGCCTCTCGATCCAGAATTCGAACGACATCTGGCGACCGCGCCGCGGGAACAGGTTCTGGTTCATGAGAGTCTCAACATCGATGAGCCTGGTCCTCAAGCTGCAGCAGCTGCGTATGGCTTGTCCAAGCGTGGGAACATTGTCCGCGTGCAGGCTTCCGCGGGAGCATGGGGTCTCAAGGGGGCTCGGATCAACTCCGTGAGCCCAGGCGTGATTTCAACTGAGCTTGGCCGTCAGGAAATGGCTGGGCCTGCCGGGAAGTTCGTCAAGTCATCCCCGGCGGGCAGGGCTGGCTCACCAGAAGACATTGTCAACGCCGTTTCGTTCTTGGTCAATCCAGCATCTTGTTTCATCACTGGAGCTGACATCCTGGTTGACGGAGGTGCTGCCTCCTCCGTACGGTGGATGAAGCGTTGAACCACAAGATCTCAAGAATCTGTGAGATTTACTCATCAGAAAGAAAGCGTCGATATCGGTTCATTGGAAATTCGGGATCTGTGAGGAGATAGAAAGTCCCGGCTCAACTGCCAACGAAGGGGCATCTTGGCTGCAGGGGCAATGGCCTAGCCAAATACTGGAGCATGGAAATACCTAGACATAAATACGTGTAGAGAGAGGGTTCAAGAGGCTAAACACAGTTTACGAGATAGATGATCTCAATGTTAGTTTGACCTTTTCTTCTTCGTCAATCCTTCTGCCAAAGCCGAGGCGAGATCGTCGACCGTCTTGCCTCTGATCCTCTTATCAACCTTTTCAGCGCCTAATACGGGATCATCAGCCATGCTTTGGTACAACTCTGCCATTGCCAGAAAGATGTCGTTGTTGTTCTTAAAGCCTCCTTCAGCGCGATGCGTGTCTGATATCTCCTCCATCTCTCGCACCCACCGGTACGACTTGGGAGGCACCAACGGGATAGACTTCTCGGCGAAGTCCAGAAGGCCAGGCGCGGCTTCCTTCATCTCCTTCCTCAGCTCATCCACAACGCCAAGCGCAGCTGCAGTAGTGAAAGCCTGGATACCGAGACCCATGAAGCCTTTGGTAGTGGTCGCGAAGCACATCTTCAGCCCGCTGGCTGCGCCGACTTCTTGGGAAATGTGCCGCATATTGAGCGCCTTAGCGAGCTCCGGGCATGCCTCATCAAGAGAGTACCGCCCTGAGGTCGGCATGCTTGGGACGTACCACGCGCCGCTTGAGTCTTTCATCTTTGGTGGGCCGCCGATGATGCATCCGTCGACGAAGCGCACTGGACTTTTGGCCTTCTCGAACATGGAAGCGATCTCCTTGCACGTGGCAGGTGAAACGGCGTTGAGATCTGTGAAGTACAACGGTTTTTCTAGTTGCGCCTTTGCGGTCGCGTTGAGGACGCGTTCCGCGATGCTCATCGCGTCCCTTGGCGGCGCGACTGAGAAGATGAAAGGTCGCGATTGCACGAGTTGTAGGTCTGATGCGAGAATCTCAACGTTGGCACTGCGAGCCCGGTCAATGGTTGCTTGGCTGATGTGAAGTTAGTCTCTGCTGTTGGGTTGTTTTGATAAGTCCGTACCTTCGTCCCTCGCCATTTGTTGCGACAGAGAACCCCTTGGAGACAAGGCGTTTGGCGATGCCCATGCCCATGTCTCCGATTGAGAGGATCCCGATCTTCGGCAGGGAGAGGGCCATGCTGGGCGATGCGTCGGTGAACCCAACTTTGCAAAGGTGGAAAGCTGTCGCACAATTGCTATGAATCCGACATGTAGCTCGTCAATCTCTCTCCGGTCGACTTTACTGTCGTGGTGTTGATATTGGGATGTTGAAGCTGGTGAAACCATCTGCGGCCCAATCGCTGGTTTCGCCGACACACACTGCCGGCCTTCGGATGACATTACCGAAGTCCCCTGGTCAGATCCCATTCCCTGTTCAATTTGTGTCGTCAGGGCATGACAAGATGTTTCCAACCCAGGAACATCTTAACTCCTTCACTACTGCGTGTTTAATGATAAATCTTTTACACTCTTGCATCGAATAAGTTGGATTTTGTGAGTTGGTTTTGCCTTTGAGGTTTACTCATGACTCTCATGAAGCTGTGCTCGGGAAATGCCTCCGAGATACACTGGATATCAACACGAAGTATTGAAGCATTGGTCGGGATTGAAGAACACGGTGATTAGACTTTTTCCACTACCTCTCAATATCTGAATTTGCTCTTCTCTTGTTGGATTTCGGAGGTTCAAACTTCAGGCGCAGAAGGTTCTTCACATTCTTCCATGCAATACCCTCCCATTCCTCGTCGTTGACGAGCCCACTGCCCTTCAACTTCTCCATGAACTCCCGGCCCATGTCATTCGTCGAAAACGGATAATCGATACTGAAGATGACCCTTTCAGATTTCGTCTCCTGCAGAAGACATGCCATTGGCGCAAGGGAAAACATCCCGCTGGTCGTAACCCACACATTGTTATCCCAGACCTCCCTCAACCCCCTCTTGCGGAAATCCGAAGGAGGCCATTTGCTGGACGACCTGACGATCCGATCGAGCATGAAGGGTAGCATCTCACCCATGTGTCCCAGGATGATCTTGAGTTTGGGAAAACGGTCGAAGGTACCCGCCGCGAAGAGGCGGAGGAAGTGCAAACTTGTTCGCGAGTGCCAGCCCCAGCCCCAGGCACTCAGAGCCTTGGCGATTTCGATGTCGTACGGCCCCTCGAAGTTCACTTTCATCTCGGACTCGTCGGCGAACGTGGGATGTATGTAAATGGGAACCTCTAGTTCCTGCGCCGCTTCCCAGAGGGGGTAGTATTGCGGCGTGTCGAAGAAGCTGCCGTCATCCAGGTGATTCCCGGTGAGGGCGCCAACGAAGCCCAGATCCTTCACGCAGCGCCTGAGCTCTTCCGCGGCCGCCTCAGGATCCTCAAGTGGCAGCAGAGCGAACGCGGCGTACTGGTCTGGGTGCTTCTCAATTTTCGAGTAGAGGTCGTTGTTGACGGCTGTGCACACTGATGGTTCGGGCGTCGCGGGCAGGTGTGAGAGGACGGTCATCGCGACGGAGTCGTTGGCCATCGCCTCGAGTCTGGCTGGGCCGAGGTCGCCGAGCTTGTCAATCACGGCGGTGCCAAAGTCCTTCACGCTGGGGCGGTTGTACCGAACCTTCTCCTCTGGGAGCAGAGGAGAGAGGTAGTGCTCTTCGATGGTGATGAAGCGTGCCATTGCGATGTCTGAGTCCTATCGTAAGATGGAGAAAGCTTGTGGATTGCGATTGGCAAAGTAACTCGAGCGAATGTTGTGCTACCGATCTGGGCGCCGGGGATGTATTTAAGTGACAGTCCAGCACATGCGCCCAATGACGGCATCAGTATACACAGGGCATTCCTGATCATTAGCGTCCAAGCGTGTGGCTTTTTGACTCTGAGTGCTCATCCACTGTCTCAGAAACTCGGCGGCCGACATGCACCGACTCACCGATCACCTGAATGGAACTGGAGGAAGCTTTTGACTTTGGCTCGGTTCGTTCTGTCCAGCTCCCGGAGGCCGAACCCGGCACCGATGGGATCCAATTCATCGGAGCGGAGCCAGGCTCAGGGCCGGAGTGCCTCCGTCCAGTCCCGTCCAGTGGAGTCAGGCGGGCTTGTCTGCGCTCCTTGGGGGCCGGAGTCCTTGCGCGAAGAGTTCCCTAAGTCTTTATAAGGAGACTTGAGGGCCATTGACCTCAATCGACCGATAGCGAACTGTCTTCCGGGCGAACATATTTCGATGGCCTGGCTCTACGCTGTTTGAAGACCACACCGGGCCCTCTTGAAGGCCGGTATGCTGGTTGTCATGGCCGCCGCAAGTTGCCGAACTCTCGTCTTTGCATCGACAACAGCAGGACCATCCAAGCTTTTCTGTCAATATTACCAGCAACGTAGCGCCCCTGCCGTTCATGTTGCACGTGTTGAACTCCGCAAGGATAGCCTTTCCAAGCCATCAGTTACAGTACGCATGGGAGTCTTTGAGGATGTCATTGACTGGCATTAGTTGAAGCTGGGGTAGAACATCAGCTTCAAGTGCACCGCCTCGAGAAAGTGGTTCCTTGAGCATCCAGAATCAAAAGCTCGCTAGCACGGAAGAGCGTCGTGAGGGAAGCTCATATCTGAACGTTTCTGACCATTTACACAGACTCTCTCAATTGCTCGAGCTAATCAGCTAGTTGTGCGGGAGCGCGCAAGACCGTACTCAGAATCTGGCTACGAGAACCAAACATTGACTCATCGACAAAGAGGGCTCAGACAGTATCCAATTTTGCTCAGCAGCCGGCAAGAACTGCCGGCAACGAAAGCGCCGACCGGAGTCATCGAACCGGAAGGCTATTGCACGCGAGGGGTGTGGGAGGCTGCCGGGCGAAGCACTCGTAATGCCGATGCGGAACCGGGACTGACGATGGCCTCATCTCCGAAGCAGGACGGAAGCCGGCACCCCCATCACCCGCGTGGGATGCGGAATTGCGGCGAGTCGTCGGCCAGGGGCAATGGGATGATGGGGTTCCAATTGACAAAAACAGGCATCACCCCCGAGACATCGATCTCTCCAAATCCGCTCAACAGCAAAGCAAATCATCACCAAGAAGGGGCTGGAACTCGAAAACCGCATTGGCGTCGCGATAGGGACGAGATATCAACTCAAATCGACAAAAGAAAGCAACCAGCTTACAAAAAACATCTCGTAGTTGATGTGTCTTGCTCATCTCAACGGCCCGCTCCGATCGCAGGAAAAGTCTGCGCCAGTCCCACCGTAAGACGTAAGAGAAACCAGGGGGAGAAAATTTCATACCAGGAGGCAAAAAGCCGCGCCCATCACCAGTCCAGGAACAAGCAAGGAAATTTTTCTAGCGGCTGGCGACTCGACGTTTCGCCGCTTGTCCGCTTGGCGCGGTCCGGGTGTGTGTGTGTCGTTCCAGGGCGCATCAAATGCGCCGTAGGGCTGACAATGACAGACTGACGGGCGGGAATAACACAGCATGTCACAAGTTTGGTGCGACGAAGAATTGGTCTTCGGGGTGCGCCGTGGTCCTAGGGGGAACTTGGAAGCACGAATGGCTAGGTTCAACAAGAACTTGGCGAAGGATCGACAAGCTTCATCTAGGCGTGTCTGATATGCTAGACGAAGGAGCTTGAAGAGGATATGGAGGGTGAGACGAAGACATTCCAGAAAATTTCTACCCGTCAGTGGCTGGGCAGAGCCTGTCAATGCCGTGACTTCGCAGGAATTGGACGAGCATGATTGGCTTGGCGGAGAGAAGAATCGGAAGCGCTCTCATGGGAAAAGAGGCCCGGGCAAAGCTCGGTGGGAAGTAAAAGACCATCAAGTGGCGCGAGTTTGACGCCGCTTCTCGAGATTGTATTCGTACAACTACATGCAGCTATGGAAGCTCAAGGGGTAACGTAGCTTTGCTAGCCCAGCTGCGGCGCATGTGTGTTCGTACATGTAACTAACATGCCGGCCGATCGGACGAACTGCAAGTGAATGGTTCTTGCAGCGAAATGGCATGTCATTGCTGTTGCCCCTTCAGATCGATCCTGGCCCCCTTTGCTCCTGTTCTTCCAACTGATTGGAGTCATTGCGATGGTCTCCAGTTCGAGCTCGAGTCCCCACGGTCCATTTCCTGGTCGATAGGCATCCCCCCTGGACAAACGCCGCTCTTACCCGCGGCCGGCCGACTACCGAGTTTTGCGATTTCCAGGGCGGCGATGGACCGTGAGGAACTCGCGTGCTGGGTGTGCTCCATCGGCCAACCCGCAACGAGAAAAGCGAACGAGGCCATTGTGTGCGCGTGTGCCCACCTCTCGAGATTTTTTTGCCCATGGCCACCGTTACCGGTCGCGATGAGTCGACGCGAAGTGGAACCGGTTGAGTAAGAGAAGCCCGTATTATATTTAATCATGCCATGAGCTTTCTGGTCGCGGCGGAACCTGTCCTACCTCCCCAGGTTTTCTGCTTGCTCATGCGTCTGGTGGCTTTCCGGAGAAGCGAATCAACGAGCTTCCCTCCTACCCCGAACCTCTTGAACCTTCTTTTGCTCTCCTAGCCGCGGTCGACGAGACTTTGATCCAAGTCTGTGAACATCCCGTGTGTGTCGCCGTTGTCATCCCACCCCAAAGTCTGCACATCATGTTCGGCTCCAAGGAGAAAGCCCCTCAGACCAGCGAGGGCGAGGTCACTCCCAACAATGCCTCCAAGACCGACTTGGAGACGGGGGAGTCGGGCCTCCACCGTACTCTGAATGCTCGCCATTTGCAATTCATTGCCATCGGTATGTGACTGATCGAAGTCCCGGTCCGGGGTCAGACCGTCAGAAGCTCTTTCTAACCCGGCCTTCGCAGGTGGCACCATCGGCACCGGTCTCTTCCTCGGTAGCGGCAAGGCCATCGCGACCGCCGGCCCCGTCGGTTGCCTGATCGCCTTCATCTTCATCGGCAGCATCGTCTACTCCGTCATGACCGCCCTGTGCGAGATGGCCACCTACATCCCCGTCCCCGGCGCCTTCACCTCGTACGCTTCTCGATTCATCGACCCCACCCTGGGATTCGCCATGGGCTGGATGTACTGGTTCAGCTGGTCCATCACCTTCGCCCTCGAGTTGACCGCCGCCGGCGTCATCATCCAATATTGGAACGACAGCCTGAGCATTGCCATCTTCATTAGCATCTTCTGGGTCGTCTTCACCGCGCTCAACTTCATGCCCATCCGCATCTTTGGCGAGATCGAGATGTGGTTTGCGAGCATCAAGGTCGTGACCATCATCGGATTCATCATCTTCGCGATCTGCATCAACGCCGGTGTTGGCCAGCAGGGCTACTTGGGCTTCAAGTACTGGGTCGAACCGGGCCCGTTCAATGCGTCCATGGTCGAGGGTTCTGTCGGCAAGTTTGTCGGTTTCTGGTCCGTCCTCATCACGGCTGCCTTCAGTTTCCAGGGATCTGAGCTGGTTGGCGTCGGTGCTGGTGAGACCAAGGACCCCCAGAAGAGCGTGCCCAGCGCCGTCCGTTGGACTTTCTGGGGAATCTTCTGCCTCTTTGTCGCCACCATTTTCTTCATCGGTATTCTGGTTCCCTCTGACAACCCGTCGTTGTTGCTCGACAACCAGGATGCGTCGGCGTCTCCCTTGGTTATTGCCGCGAACTTGGCCGGTGTCAAGGTCCTTCCTGACATCATCAATGCCGTGCTCTTGACCGCCGTCCTCTCTGCTGCCAACTCCAACGTGTACTCTGGTTCTCGTATTCTGGTTTCCCTGGCTAACGAGAGGTGTGCTCCCCAATTCATGGCCTGGACCAACAAGCTCGGTACCCCCTACATGGCGGTCGCTACCACGTCCGCGGTTGGTTTGCTTGCGTACATGAACCTGTCCGAGAATGGCGGTGTCGTGTTCGACTGGCTGCTCAACATCACCGCCGTTGCTGGACTCATCAGCTGGACGTGTATCAACATCTGCCACATCCGGTTTATGGCTGCCCTCAAGGCTCAGAACATTTCGCGGGACAGCCTGCCGTACAAGGCCCCCTTCCAGCCGTTCTTCTCCTGGTACGGTCTTTTCTTCAACGTGCTCATCATCCTGACGAACGGTTTCACCGCCTTCATGGGTTGGAGCACCAGTGGCTTCTTCACTGCATACATCAGCGTCATCTTGTTCGTCGTGCTTCTGGTTGGCCACAAGATCTTCAACCGCTCCAGGCCTCTCAAGGCCCATGAAGCCGATGTGACGACTGGAACCCTGGCCGCAAGCTCTTGATGACCGGCTGGCCGACCCGGAAGGTGCACAAGGAGAAATGTAATCTGTAACATTAGTAGATATAGTTGTAATGATGATACCCATGAGTTCAAGCTGAGGATTTCGCGCGATGTTGTACACAAAATTGTCTCCAGCGGCAGCGGTCAACGACAGCAGAGACAAGAGGACGGTCGAACTAGACAGGCAATCAGGAGACGATGGTGTACAGTCCGATGGCACCTCCAAGACCAAGTGCGATGCTCCTTCCGAGGTTGTACAGCCCCCATTGATCAACCAGGTATTTGGCTCCCTCCTCTTCTTCTTGGGTCAAGCCAACGGCCATGATACCCATGTCTCTTGTTTCTTCGGCCTTTGCTTTCAACTTCTTGTTGACGGGGACCAGGAAGATCCTCGTCCACGGACCAATGGATAAGCAGAGGGCGCCTGCCGTCGCGAAGAGCTTCGCCTTGCCAGGCAAGTGTCGTAGTGCGTAGGCCAAGTACCAGTAGCTCAAGACACAGAAGAGAACCGGGGGTGGAAAGGCGCGACTGGTTCTCTTGAACATGTTGGTCCATTGACGCAGCATCAGCGGGGTCGGTGACTCGAGCAGGCGGGGCACGACGAAGACGGAGAGGCCTAGATTGAGGCCAGCGAGTGCCGTATTGACGAAGACGGTCGACGTCTGGAGGTTGCGGAGGGTAGGCGGTCGAGAGGACATTGTCGGTTGATTTGCTCGTGAAGGCTCGCGGGTCGCCCTTGATGTAGAACAATAGCAATATCGAAGGAGGGTTCGGTTTAGAAGTGCAGTGTTCTTTTTCAGAGGAACGTGGCTAGTTGCGAGGCAAGGAGGAGAAGGAGAGAAGTCGATGGACAGATTGATGAAATGGCATGGATGGAAGGACCGGAGATCAAGCTTGGGGGCGGCTTCAAGCGGGTAGGGAGGTCCCGTCCGCGGGGCCGCCTGCTGCCTGCAGCTCGGGACGCTGCGGGGCACTTGCTTAGCGGATCACGCCAGCGGGAGCGTTACTTCCCCACTGCAATGCCCGGACTTCTCGGGGAAACGCCGTCACCTGCATCTCACCTTGCATATCGTTTTCTCAGCGGTGGCTTTATTAGAATCGATGCTTCATGTTTGGTGGTTTTCAAGAGTTCCGTTAAAAGCAGCGGTGTTGTCTTTGAATCTTAAGAGATTTGTCTTTTTGTCGATACTTCGACGCCTTTTCCAGCTCAAGCGGCTTGCGCTGATGCCTATGTTCAGTTACTCAATAACTAACATCGTTGTTACACATATAACACATCAAGAGTTTAGCTTGTTGTATAATCTGATTCATCGTCGTGTTTTCGAGTTACTTTGTCCTTGTTTGATCGATCTCGCGTTACCGAACCCATCTCCGTCAACATGAGTCTCTCGCTACCACCTCAGTCCAGCTGTCTCACCTGTTCGCATAAGAAATCCTCGTCTCCCTCGTCACGTTAATGCCTTCTCTTGGTGTTTGAAAGTCCTCTGATCCGCGCCCCCATGTCGAGACGACGGTAGCAGGGCCGACTCTCCCGGGGTACTGGACTTCGATGCTACCAATGCTGTCGCTCTGCTTGTCTGTCTTATCGCTCGCCGTATCCGATTCGTTCTTGTCAAAGTTCCTTCTCCTGCTTTGCGACCCCTTCGATGACCAGAGCTTGGCCTCGTCGTCATTCGGGTCTTGTCCTGACCCTCCAGGCAAGTCGTCTCGACTTGGCAGCTCAAACGTTTGAGCGCCATCTCCATGCTTCTTGCTGCCTTTGTCGACATGTTTCGAGTACGGCCCGTATCCGGATCGTCCCTGTGAAGATCGAAGTGTCGATGATATGATGAAGGGGAGGTATCGCATGAAGAACGGCTTCAGCGCCGGTACCGCTGCGCAAATCAACCCGGCATTGACTTCGATGAAGCCCCAAATCATCTGCGGAGGGACGTCCCATGTGTAGTCGGAGCTTTCGAGGAGCGGCGGCAAGATCACTGTTCGTTGGATAGCAGCAGCGCAGACGCTAAAGCCCAGGTCAGTTTCGAGTCTTCAAGAAGAGTTGGGAGCATCGGATCAAGACTTACAAGCCACCCGTGGCGAAGAGAAGAACCAGCGAAACCTTCTGTCGTCGAGCCATCTGTAACGACCAAACAACTCTCACAGGTATCAAGAGAATGATGATGTCAATGATGATGTTGGCGGCGCCGAGCGTCATCATCGGGATCATTTTGCCGATACAAGTTCCCTTCACCGTGATATCCCAGCTCATCTGAACCGGCCGACACTGGAAGATGATGATGAGTTGATATACAACGGTATATGCCGATACGATGCCGAGAAGAATGAACACTGTCAACCTGAACTTCTTCTCGGGTGACAGACGGAGATAAAAGGCGAGGATAGAAAGCTTCGAGAATGACACCGATGTCGAATATGTGATGGTGATTCCTAGAGTTGTCTTTCATGCTGTCAATTTTGGCTTCTTTGATGCGAAGGGGGGGCCTTACAAGAAGGAATGGGGGGCTGTAGTCGACCGTGAGAATATCCCATAGATGCTTGCCGGCGCCGAGCGGAACGACTTTCCATCTGTCAGAATCACCATCCATAGAAGCTGTGTAGGGTCGACTTACGATGAAGAGCCAGACCGCAATAAGAAAGAGACAGCGCCATAGCAATCATCGCAAGGTCTATTGAGTCGTCAGCTTGGGTTTTGCGAAAGGACTGTCCATCTTACAGTCATCCAAACCTAAACTCCCGCGTACCACAAACGTCCTCGTGAAGATGCGCAGAGCCACCGCGACCAAGGCAATCACTGTGGTTGCGATTCCGACTGGGAAAACTCCCCCAGACGTATCCGGAGGGTTGATTCTCGTCCTTACCTCGCCCTCTGGCGGAGGCATCACGTATAATGAGTCGTCCATGGCCGACCGGAAACATCTACGTTTTCGATCGATGTCAATATGCAAGAAGGGTTGCACGTGTCGGGCATCGAAAGCAGATTAAAGACCACCGAAGTCATTGGAGTAGCGAAGACGACGCCTCCTTTAACGAAGGCGTTCGCCATCGGGCCAACAGGGAAGCTCCTCTTTGCATATCAAACCAAGACTTCGGCAACAGGTTCCCGGGTTAGAAGGACACCCTAAGCGAAAGTCCCGGCAGTCTGTTGGTGAGATGCAAATTATGGTTACAGTCAGGACCCAGAAATCTTCGAGGCAGACAGCTAGATCATCGATTTCCTTTCACGGGTTTCGATGGCAAATCTTCAGTCATTTGGTACGCGACGGAGTAAGCCTGCCGAGGCGGAGATGGGGGGTCGGTACCCTAGTTGCTGCAACCGAGCAGCAATGAATTGCGTTTTGTCTCCGCAAGAATGGACCTCGTCCACAGATTCCCTTGGTGATCATGGATCCGTCTTTTGCTGTGCCTCCCCCTGCTGCCCTTTCCGAGGTTTCGAGGTTCATGCCATGTAGTTCCAGCTCAGGTCGGCTATGACAGCGAACGGCATGAGTATAATGTCAACGGGCGTTGATCCACGATGCGCATAGGCTCTGCAGGTAATCTGGTTGAAGAGCTGGGGAGAAGTATCGTCTTCTGCTGTCATTACGATCACAGAGTCAGATATCCATCAGTCATTACGTCTGCAGCGAACAAAAGAACCAACTAGTCTCCGGGTGTTAGTGACATTTCGTCACCTCCTTTAATTTTATGTGTTACCTTTCCTATATTAGCGCTATTATTTAACGATAAGGATTGATTTAAGCCTAATTATACTTAGTATATCTAAAGTAGAAACTGCTAACCTTATATCTAATACGTCTAGATCCTAACTAGTACCTCTATATATTATCTCACTATTATTAGGGTATTAAATAGATTAAGCTTAGAGTTATTATATAGCTTATTATATTATAATATATAGAGCATTATTAATAGTTTATTCTCTATTCTAAATACTACTTAAGCTATAAGTTAGTCTAAATACTCTTATAGCGTTATATAAGTAATATAATATTCCTAAATTATTTATTTATTTAATAGGATAGTATCTATTATAATATTCTTAATATAATATATCTTAAGAGTCTTTTTAATATACTTTAAGTAAGAGGGGTAATTATTTTTAATATTATTAAGGGGTTAAAAATAATAGTTAGGGTTTATAATTATATTAAGAAGGATATTAATATTAGCTAATATAAGGCTAGAGATATAAGAGGAAGATATTTTAAGTAGATAGAAGAGGGGATAAAAGGATAAGGGGATAAAAGGATAAGGGTTATAGTATAATCTTAGTAGTAGAAGGGATAGTCTCTTATAGACTAATATCCCTTATTAAGGTTTTACCCCCTCTAACCTTAAGAGTAAGGCTATTTATATACTACTATATATACTATAAAGCTTATTAGGATAGAGTTTTATTCTTTTAGAGTATTAAATATTAAATATATACTTATTAGGTATAGTGAGATATCTATAACTAGATTATAATGGTAGCTATATTGTATTGCGCGGCGTATTGCATTTATTTCGTTACCTCATTTCGACCCGCTGGATTATGGGCCTCGGTGGGACACGCAACGGTTCTCATCCCAGGTTAATTGCTTCATGCGCCCAACCAACAAATGTTGGTACCTCGAAACCAGGGTGAAGCAGGCCTCGCGTATGAAGAAATGTAACTCCGTGTTCTTGTTGGTTTGGTGAAGATACTGCAATGACACTTGATTGGGTCACTTGCAATGTCAAGTGGCCTGAGAACTGTGGGCACTCCGAGGCTGGGCAGAGAAGAACCATGAATATCTAGCCGGCATCCCGGTATCTAACGAATCCGATGCGATCCCGCCGTGCGCCGGGCCCGGCCCCCGGTGGCTGGGGCCCCCGGCACTTCGATACCCCGCGGGCTGTGGGTAGAAAGTCCACTTGATTGATCCGCGCCAACATCCCTACCTGGCCGGACGGGTTGTCTATTTTGATCAAAAGTACCATTTGAAATTGTGTTGCTCGTTGGACAAATAGTGTTCCATCTTGTTCGTTGTGGACCGCGCGAAACGAGGTATGCCTCTAACAACGCGGTGAGTCTACCTGCGTCGGGACATAATGGGTACCTGTAGGCAGCGTAAATACGCCGGCATCGCCTTTCGCGAGACATCCATGAGTTAGGCTCTGCTCAGCTAGCTGATTTGCGGATTCATCTCATCTGCCTTCGTATTCTTCCATCCTTGAGTAGTCGCTGCATTTTGTTTTTGTGACTCTCCAGCCAGACTTTGAAGGCGCTGTAACAATGGGGATCCTGGAGCCGACTCTAACGCCGTTCGAGGGCAAGGTAATCACTGTTGCTGGCGCCAGCCGAGGAACCGGCCTAGCTACAGTGAAGTATCTCGTCCTAAGAGGCGCAACAGTTTCCATGTCCAGCTCATCTCCCAAAGGCATCGCCAAGGCACATGCGGAGGTTCTTCAAGGCTGCCCAGGGAGCGACGACCGAGTCATGGCTATGGCCTGCGATATCACCAAATACGAGGATGTCCAAGCTTGGACTTTGGAGACGATGAATCGGTTTGGACGTATCGATGGATGTGCCAACGTCTCTGGTAAGCATAAATACCCCTTCTCTTTCGCTCTGACATGAGAGGAATGATTCGTACTGATGATCGCTTTAGGAAAGGAGCAACGAAAGCTTTTTCCCATAACAGAGCTCCCGATGGAAGACTTCAAGGAGATCATGGACGTCAACGTCAATGGTCTCTTTCATCTTCTTCGAGAGCAGATGAAGGTCATCTCTGAGGGCGGAAGCATCGTCAACGTCGGCAGCGTGTGCAGTAACTTCTCGTCTCCATACTACGGCGCTTACATTGCGTCCAAGCACGCCGCAGCTGGCCTGACCAAAGCGGCTGCTTTCGAGGGCGCTTCTAGGAATGTCCGCGTCAACTCGCTCAACCCGTAAGTACACATGCCACAATGATCGTGCATATGTTACATCCACGTGAGTGCTCTTCGCTGACACTTTCGCAGAGGCACAATCAACTCTGAAATGACTGCGAAACCCTTCGAATTGCCTGGTGGTGCCACGTTCACGCCTTCCGAACAGACGGTCCCGCAGTTGTTCAAGAGAATGGCCGAGCCCGAGGAGATCGCCGCCTCTGTATGCTTCCTTCTAGGTGATGAAAGCAAGTTTGTTACGAGATCAGAGTGGCGTGTTGATGGCGGGTGGCTGGAGGGGTCATTGACCGGGTAAGATCCAAGAATCTCATGATTCTTCTGAAGGAGTACGGGCACAAAGCTAGGTTTTGGTAGCAAAACTCGTGCAGTTTCAGATGCATATTCAAGTTCATGTTGTTCACAAATGTTAAAATACCCTGTGGGCTTCCATAGTCGGGATACCCAAGCTATCGACCATCAGAATTATGTTTTTGCTGCTACGATTCATATCACATTCATGCTATACTATCATTTTCCACCGCTGTACTGCATCAATCACTTCAACTTGCGTCTCTTGAATACTTCATCACTTGACAGTTCGGTAGTTCGGTAGGTTGGTGGGTTGATAGCTGGCTGACGTATCATAAATTCATAGCTTTGCAGGCCACAGACATCTCAATACCTATTCTTTCATTACTTCCAATACGACTCACAATAGGCCTTCATCGACGACCTAGTTCATCTGGATTCATTGATGGACTAGGTTGCAAGAAGGCGACAGGTCTCCTACACATAAGTGATACTTTCGAAGCAAGCTTTTTCAGATACACAATCAACATATATGAAGCTATTTTGTAACTGAATCCGAAATCAATGGCAGTCGCTGAACATGAGTAAACTTCGGTCCAGCATCAAAGACATGTCTGAAAGCCTCTCTTCGGTCTAAGATCTCCCACTGTGATAAGACGTATCCCTCAAAAGAAACGGTACGCTCTAGTAAATGTCCCTCGGTCTTTCTACATATCCTTCTTACTACTGACAAAATCAAACTCTTTATCGTCAAGAATGCCGATTGTGAAGTGCCTCGTCCCGTCCGAGGCTCTCTGAAACCAACCCAGCCGGAAACGCAGCCCTGCCAGCAGCCCATGGAGCTCCGACGGCAACAAACCCTGAGTATCTCGAGGAAGGTGGTTTGTGACATTCGAGTCGTGAAGCAAACTCGCCGTCATCGAAATACTGGCATAATCAGGCGGCGCAAGTCCCTTCACATCCATGCTGAGCCATCCGTCGCCTACACCCAATAGCCGCAGAGCTTTGGACACCAAGAACCACAACTGGACGAGAACGACGAGACACAGGATGGCGACGATGGCATACGTTATCGCCGGATCCTGGACAAGGCGCCGCCGGCCAATATCAGAAACCACCGCATTTACAGACGGCAAGCCTTCTGGGGGGAAAGGGGCCGTGGTGGAGTCTTCGTCGACTCCCAGCCGGTTCTCCATGCTGGCTAGCTGAGCCATTGCGAATCCAAACTTTTCAGTCAGGGCGGCCAAAACTTTGGTTTGGTCATCTGGGCTCCCTAATGACTCCGGAAGCAGCGGCCCTTGACGCTTGAACAGCCCCAGGAAATCGCCTGCTATGTTCCAGCTGGGGGGATTCTTGGAGCCGGTCGAGGTATTGAATGCGTCGCGGTCATAGCCCATCAGCAAATCGCCGAGTGTGCTTTCCCCTGTCTCTTCAAGGTACGGTACCACGAACGGCGGGTCGAAAGGCTTCATGGTCGAGTCATCCGTCCGAGGCGGGTTAGTTGGGTCAATCATCATGTCGCCATCTTCTCCAGCCACCATTTTCACGTCCACCATGACGCCGCCCCAAGAATAGTTACATCTCCAATATGTGTTGAAATCGAACGCGTTCTTTTCGTGGTTGAATGCACCCCACCAGTAGGTTCGCATGAGCGTGTTCGAAAGATAGCGAATTCCGGCTTTTCTCATGTCGGCAACGCTCATCTCGTCCGCTGGGTCGTCTGGGAGATCGCATTGATATTTGTTAATGTTGTAGCTGTTTTCCGGAGATCTTATCACCTGGCCGAAGTATGTTATTTTAGTCGGCGTAGAGTTCCTGAGCAGCAAAGTTTCCTTGAGGTAGAACCCATTTCCATTTGGACAGATGGATGACCTGTTACAACTTATGTCTGTGGTCGTCTGATTGACGCCTTGGACTGGAATCGTGTAGATTCGCTGAACCGTTGCGTTGTAAATTTCGTCAGGTAGCCTCTCGCAGCTGGGAACCAGTTTTGCTGCCGGCATTCTGATTTCGACTGTCATATTACTACTGTTGAGCTCCGTCGGCAATCGCGTTTGGTCGATGATGGGAAACGCAAGATCGGCAAAAGTATTCTTCGGGTATGTGAAGTTGACATACTCTCTTTGACGGAGAAGATTAGAGAGCTTGTTCCGATTGGAAATGTATGGCGTAAGATCAACGGTTAGAAAGTTTCGGCCCGCCAGTGTGTTCCCAAACTAACTCTTCTGTTGCAGCTGCATTTGTGTGGGCTGCGTGACAGTCTCTACGGAGAACAGCACAGTGGCCAGCGTCGCCAACAGGCCACAGAAAAGTGATGTCACCTGATACAGGGAGATTGTCCGGGCTCTGTACTTGAAGGAGTGCCAGATCACCAGGATACCCAGCATGTCTAGCATCGATGAGTCGAGTTGCTTTGAGCCGCATGGCCGGACAGAGAGACTGCGTAATACCGAGACGCCTCTAAGTGCCATATTGCATGCCCCAATATACAATGACACTCCGATCATGATAAGTGCAGGAAGTGAGACCCAAAGTAGGTACTGGTATCCCTCTCCCTCTCCGTGGATGTTTGCTAGTCCGTCGGAAGTTTGAGACAACCTCATCGTCGAAAGCAGAGCTGCGATGAGACCGATGACGAGGATCGTGAAAGTTATGTGCATAGTCGTCTTTAGCACAAGTGGTGTAAAGTTGCAGGAACTCCATTGTATCTGCCTTTTGTCAAGGCCCGGACTAGAAGTCTGGCTCGCGAGCTTCGAATGGCTGTGGAGAAATAACATGCTTCCTAAGGCGGTTGCCGGATCTCGATGCCATATTCTAGTCGACCGTCTATATCTCCATAGTGTGAAAGCCGCTATCAAGCTCATAACCAATGATAGTATGGCCATGGACAAGCAAATCCTGTGGCTGACTGTCAAAACTTGGATGACGTGCAACGTCTGCCCGTCGGCTCCGACGTCTGCGCCTTGACGCAAGATGTAGTGGCCGGTCAAAGGTGCAAGCCTTCTGAACATCCCAGTCACAGAGTCGTACAACAAGTCGTTTGTAACCCTTTCAGTGCTGATGAACGTGTTATTGAATGATTGTTCCGCATTGACTGGTCCCTGATATGTGCCTCCGTACATGGAGTTCCCCCATGACATGATGCCTGGAGGAATGGTATTGGAGAGCAACGCCCACACATCAGTGTCGAACGGCGTCGATGATCGGTTCGACAAGGCGGTGATCTTCGGGCTGACCCCATCGTCAGTGATATCCACTTCCGAGAACCAGGCCCTAGACGAGCAGAGAACTGCAGAAGCGTTTGCGATGACTGGAAGTGAGGAGTTCAATGGCGATGGAATCGTTCTGACGGCATAGTGAACGAAGGGCAGGTGTTCTTGAGGCAAGCTTGGACAAGTTTCAGCCGGTCTGAGTTCGCTGTCGACTTTCCAGTGCTCGAAATAGAAAGGCGCGTACTTGGTGGCTGTTACATAGGGTAGCTCGACGCTGTATTGACATCCATCGAATTGAAGGGCAACTTCCATTTTGTACCCTGATTTGCCGCCTTCTGCGGGCCCCATTGACACTAATGAATGGTTCTGCAGCTTCAAACATTCAATGTCCGTGAAGAAGCCATCCACGACAGCATTCAACGGGGCATTGATTGTCCCGCGAAGATTGCCAGTCGATGACATGAAGGTCTGGTAGGCAACGTCTTTGGTAAGACCAAATGGATAGCTCACGTCAAAGTCGTTAAGGGCTCTAGCCGCGTGATAGGTAAATGAATCGCCGTCATCATTGGCGACGCGGTATGTTCGGTTGAAGGTGTCGAGCTTTTGAATGGCGGTAGGTGTCTCGACTGAAACTGGAATGAGCCTAAATAGACCGGGGGCGAGCACAATCTGAGCCTGAATTAAGAGAGACGCAAGCGCAGTAAGGAACACCAGGTAGTGCTTCTTGCGCAGAGATTGTACGATAGTTTGTGGCGTCAGAAGCGACAAGTAGTCGAGATCGCTCCAGTCGTTGGATTTCTCGTGGCGTGACTCGATCCATGGCATATATCTCATGGCTTGCACCTCGGTTCTGTTCCACAAAACGGAGATTATTGTGAGAACTAGAATATTAGTTAGCTGAGGTCGCCTGCAAGATACAGAAGCCGATGGGTGGCTATGTATGAAGGCCATACCTGCGGTAGGCGCGAATCGCCACAAATATACAAGAGACTCCCGGGTCTCGAATAGACCATCGTGCTGTTGAGAGTACGAGAACATGACGAAGAAAGCTATCGCCAGGCAAGCAAATAGCCCGGTGAAGACACCAAGTACGGCCGGTCTCAGCCATTGAGGGCGCCAAATTGCATCTGAGTCAATGGCCGAGTCGTCATCGTATGTGCGCACCTCAGAGACGCCTGCGCCTCCCTTTTTCTCTCCTAGCGAGGAGAAAGATGATGGACTGTGTCGCACATGAAGGTTCTTGGTTTCGGTCTGATTGCTGTCGTCGTCTTCTTGTTGAATGTCGTGGACCAGTTGTGGCCGTCCGGAATGCTCTAGACGAGCCATCTTTGTTGGCGGAAGTCACTAGCTCCGAGCTGCTCTCTCGCGGGCTTCGACTTGAGTGTTGAGAGGCAGATTAACAATGGGATCCGGCCTGGCGGTCGAAGAAAAAAGCACTTATCAGTTCCCAAAGCTCAACTTCTGCTGCTCAACGCCCAAATTTGCGGCAACGCAGAGGCCCCATTCTTAATTATTTTGGCAAGGTGAAGTGCGACTGGATTGATGCTGCAAGCAGTTAGCCGCCGAGCCAAGTCAACCCTCAAGTCAACCTTGTGTTGGTTGGGCGGGAGAAAGCGCGCGAAACGAAGGCGCCAACATGATTGCATCTGCTACATGAGCAAGGATAGTTCCAGGGTGCTGCAGCGATAACCGTCTGCAATTCCCTCATCAGAAGCCCCTGTAAGAGGCGCGGCCTGTTGCAGACCAAAGTCCCTTTTCTCGACAAACGCGTGTATCGATTCTGCAAGCACGATGGAGATCGAAATGAGCTTCCGCAGGCTTTTTGGACCCCACGGTGGTGCTCTGGAGATCGATTCATCAGAGCATGGACGCTTTCCAACGACAGACTGGGTCCCCGATAGAATCGCGAATAGCTCCAGTAGGGGCCCTGGTAAAACTTTTTTTCTCGGCCCGGCTGGGGCGGTAAAGCTTTAAATGCAGGAGATGAAAACTTGATGAATGGTAAGAAATCTCAGTAAGAGAACCGGCGAAGAAACGCATTTTGGGTTCAGAACTACCTTAAACTGCACTCATTTTCACGCAATACGTCGATGAGATCAGTTCTCTAGAAGAACAGTCTGGCCGGTGGCCTTGATGTCTCTCGAATCAAACCCCACTCTGAATACCAGGGCTCCCTCCGGAATGGTCCATGTGCGCCGACTCGTGTTATAATAACTCAAGTCCCGTCGGGTAAGGTTGAAAATGACACCCTTGCTCTCGCCACTTTCTAAGAAGACCTTATCAAACCCCCGGAGAACCTTCACAGGCGTCCCGGCTGGTGACGTTTCTGGTGGAAGAGAGACGTAAAGCTGCGGCACTATTGCTCCGGCCACAGATCCCGTGTTGGTCACGCTGACTCCCACCGTCACCACGGTCTCCCAGAGATCAGGATGCCCGCCTGGGATCACGGGCACTGTCGGATCCGGCTCGGAAGTCAGGTTGGTGATCACCTGCGTGATCGCCAGCTCATCGGACATGTTGAAAGTGGTGTAGCTGAGGCCGAAGCCGAAGCCAAAGAGTGGCTCGATGCCATTTTCTTCCAGATGCCGGTAATCGACTAAGAGCCCCTCGTCAAAATCAGCCTGCCAGGCCCCTGGAGAAGTGGCGTTGGTGAGATTGACGATTGGAATATCGATGTCGCTGCTGTTGACGGGGATGGAGTATGGCAGTCTTCCAGACGGATTGACGTCTCCCCAAAGAACGTCCACAATGGAATTGCCCGTCTCCTGGCCTGGAAGGTGAGCGACGAGTATCGCCTTGACGTTGGAGTGATTGGCCCATGGCATTGTATTCGGGCCAACAGAATGCGTGACCACAATGGTATCATTACACCTGTCGGCGACCTGTCCCACCACGGCAGTCGAGTTCCAGTCCAGCTCCCAGCTGGTGCGGTCTTTGTTCTCTCCGGAGAAAGCATTAAGGAAGACTAGACAGACATCCGGAATCGGGTACGAAGCGGAGAAGTCACCTTGAGCGATGACGCTGTTGCGAAGCATGTACTGAACCCGTGCGCCTGTTTCTTTGGCTCGCGCCTTGATTGCTTCCAACGGAGATACGAGGTAGGTGTGTCTCCCCGACGCGGCACCGCTCCCAACGTCGAGGGTCCCGATCTCGAATTTGTTGTTGAAGGTGAGGCCGTCGGTGGGGTCTGCGGCGTCGTTCCCAAACACGCCGATGTTCTTGAGGCTTTTGAGGGGAAGAATGCCGTCGTTCTTGAGCAGGACGGTCGACTCGGCGGCAATCCTGCGAATGAGATCGCCATGGTCCTGGCGAACATCGCGAGACTCAGGGTAAGGGGGAGGGAATAGATCGAGGACGTTCGACCAGGCGACGAACGTGTACATGAGAGACCAGTCGGTCTCCGGGTACTCCTCTGTGTCTTGGTCGAGGTAGTAGTAGGCCGTCAGGATTCTACGCACCATCTCATCAATACGCTCTTCCTTGACTGATCCCTCCTCGATCATAGCCGTAATGTTGACCGAGCCCCAGTAGCTCTCGCCTGTCTGTATCGTGGCCTCGTCGTAGCCTCCCGGCATGTTGAGATCCAGGCCGGCGTTGATAGACTTCGCCCCTGAGTGCGTTGCGAACCAGTCGGACATGATGTACCCATCGAACCCCATCTCTTTTCTGAGGACCTGCTCCATGAGGTACTCGTTCTCGCAGGCGTAGGTGCCGTTGAAGCGATTATAGCTGCACATTATGCTCGTCGTGCCAGCCCTGATAGCGTTGTAGAAAGGCCAGCCGTACAGCTCGTGGACGGCTCGGTCTCCAACGTTGGATGATATCCCCTCTATGCGCTGTCCATTGACGATGGTGTACGACCTTTGGAGCTCCTGCTCATTGGCAAGGAAATGCTTTGAACAGGTCTGGACGCCCATCGACTGGATTCCACGCACAGTTTGCTCCATGGCGACACCAGAGAGATACGGGTCTATGGAGGAACCCTCCCAGTTGCGACCACCAAGAGGGTGTCTCCCCATCGGCCCAGCAGAAGGTCTGTGTGGAAGCTGTCAGCCATTTCCAGTACCCGACGGCTGTAATGACGATGGACGTACCCCAAGGCAATGTTGATGCCCTTGCCCCGAAACTCCTTGCCGATAGCCTTTGCACGTTCGAGCATGAGGGCCTTGTCCCAGCTGGCAGCGGTAGTGAGCCCGGCTGGGAAGACGCTGACGAGGTCTGCAATGTTGATCCCATTTGGGCCGTCTTGCATACAAATCCCCTTGAAGCCAGCGTGATCGATAGGTAGAATATTGCCAATACATGGAGCTGTCCCGAGGGCTAGCTTTCCGGTCACGAAGGTAGCCTTTTCAGTCAGATTGAGCTTGGTTGTCAAGACATCTGCCTTTTCAACTGCTTCGTTCCATTTTTCTATGTCTCGGTCTGGTGAGGAATACAAGTCAGCACATCAGCGTGGCAAAATACGAGTTATGTGGTCCGGAAGGTACATAGTTTCGACATGATACTAGCTGGGCAACAACATCGTCCAGTACAAGGGCAAGACTATACCTACCAAAGGAAGTCGAGCCTACAGAGGCAACGGCAAAAGAGGTGACTACAGACAGAAGCTTGAGCGAGACCATATTGAAAGCGAGTGATGAATTCTCTCGTCATCTCGCAATTGCGGACGGTCACAAAAGTCCGACTGGCTGGGATCTGTCTTTATGTAGGCTGCCGATATTCACTAACAGCTTTCTCTGGTATCATCTACCGGGAGTTTGGACCAGATTTCACAAAATCACAATCACGCTAAGAGACCAATGCCATTCGGAAATTATGATAAACTACACCGCTGTTGTTTGTGCTCCGAGATTCCTCCCGAATACGCGGCAGCGGCTGGCAACTTCAATCACAGGATCCAATGCCGCTGTTAAGTGTTCATGGTGGATCTGTGGGGTAACATCGCGGGGTGAGTTATTCTAGAATACTCGGATTCGCATGGACTGGCCAGAGGCTGTCTTTATGAGATGGATGTCAATCGCCAATGGCTCAAGATGAACCCGCGTATTCGTACAGTCGTCTTAGTTCCAAGAAGTTCGTATTTACACAATCAAAATGGCGTCGACTTGCGTAAGTCCTCCTATTAATTGGCAAGTGTGAACAGTAAATGCCCTTGACGGCTGATCTTGGCTAAATAGCACACTTTGCCAGCATATCAAATTGAAGATTGGCCAATGACTGCCCCAACTGCTCACCTCTTTCCATGCAGCCAAGCTGTTCAACATAGTAACCGTCCAAATATCTGAGCATTCTCCAGTGCCTCCCCAGAATGAAGCTTTCCACGATGTACCTCGGCCCCCTCTTGGGCGGCGCCGTTGTCCTCAGCACCAACGCCAAACCCAATATCGTCTTTATCTTCACCGACGACCAGGACCTCCGCCACGGCTCCCTCGACACGCAGCGGGCTGTACAGGAACACATCGTGTCCCAGGGCACCGTCTTCACGAATCACTTCGCCAGCGTCGCCGTCTGCTGTCCCAGCCGGGTGTCTCTCATGCGAGGACAGCACGCGCATAACACGAATAACACCGCGATCAAGGCTCCTGGGTAAGACGCCGCGCTTGTTTGTTTTCATGACTATTTGTCTCGGGATTATTGCCACTGACCATATGATGTTAGAGGGGGATTCCCAAAGTTCAGAGCCGCCGGTCTTGAGGAGGATTACTTGCCTCACTGGCTAGGGAAGGCGGGCTACAACGCTGAATGTAAGTTCTCCCATTGAACAAGCACAAACGGAGCGATGTATATGATGTTTGCTGACCGATTACTTAGACGTCGGGAAGCTCTTCAACGGCGACTCACTGCTCTCGTACGACCCGCCTCCCAAAGGATGGAGACACATTGATGTCTTGGTAAGAAACCATACCGACACCAATTAAAATCAGCTGCTGACGCCGTCGAAGCTCGATCCGTACACCAACGCCCACAACACCGTCGTCATGTCGGAGAACGGCGCGCGGCCAGTCTGGTACAAGGGCTTCCACCAAACCGACGTCGTCCGCATCAAAGCGTGAGCGTCTCCCAGCCAGTCCCTCCATAATCCATATCGCAACTGACATCTCATCCTAGCCTCAACCGACTCGAGTCCCTGCTGAAGGAAGACAACCCCTTCTTCCTCATGATCGCCCCGACGGCACCGCACGTCGAGAACCTACGAGACCCCCCGACACCCCCGGCGCGCCATCTCGGATCCTTCGCCAACGCCACCGTCCCGCGCGCTCCGAATTTCAACCCCGCGAGCGACGAACACCAGTCCGGCAAGCCGAGCTGGCTGAGGCATCTCAAGGCTCTCAACGAGACCCAGGTCGCGGAGATTGACCGCTTCTACCAGCGCCGTTTGGAATCTCTCAAGGGCGTGGACGACATCATCGACGACGTGGTCGGGATGTTGGGAGACCACGACGCTCTCGATAACACGTACAGTAAGTAGCCCGGAGTCTGTCGAGTTCGCCAGGCTCACGGTCTTCAAGTCATCTACTCCACGGACCAGGGCTACCACCTCGGAACCCATCGAGCCGGGGTGGGCAAGTCGCTTCCCTACCTCGAAGACACGAACATCCCCCTCGCAGTGCGCGGCCCGGGCATCCCGAAAGGCGCGGTCTCCAGCAACCCGAGTCTCGTCGTCGACTTTGCGCCGACCTTCCTCGAAATAGCCGGGCTACGTCCCGACTCAGACGGCTACCCGCCCTTCTTCGACGGCTCCAGTCTGCTGGATTCCTGGAAGAGCCCGAACTCGTCCGAGATCTCGAAGAGGAAGGAGGCCGTTAATATCGAGTACTGGGGCAACGGGTTCGTCGAGATGCAGGAGTGGTCGGAGGGCGACTACGGCTCGTACTTCCCCGGGCTGTATCTCGAGAACGATTACAAGACGATGCGCGTCGTGGGGGTGAATAGTTCGTGGATGTACTCTCGGCGGTGTTCCAACGACGCGGAGCTGTACAATACCAAGGTAAGTCGTCTACTCCGTGGCAAAAAACGGGCACAGCTGACAATGATCTCAGGACGACCCGTACGAGCTACTCAACCTCGCCAACTCAACAGACCCCCACCACCAACGCGTCCTCTCACGACTAAACGCCCTCCTGCTAGTCTCCAAATCCTGCACCCAGTCAACCTGCCGAGACCCCTGGAGCGTCCTCCAACCCCCCGGCACGTCCCCGAGAACAGCAGTACGCACGCTTGAAGACGCCCTGGACCCCGCCTACAACTCCTTCTACAACGCCTTCCCGCCCGTCACGATCGGGGAGTGCGTGGGCTACCAGCTCGCGTCGAACGAGGGCCCGTTCTACCCCTCCGGAGCCGAGTTCGGCCGAGGCCTCGCGTACAGAGAGCCCACCGACAACTTTGTCTTTCCGGAGCCGGAGCCGGTTGTCGGGTTGCCTCGCAACGGGTCCCGAGGCGGCGGTTGGGAACAGCGTGAGGCGTCGTATGAGATGCTTTTGGAGGCTTCTCGGGTTCTGACGGATGATGAGATTCGGAACGGTGGGAATGGTACTATCAGTGGATTTAGAACGTAGTATTAGAAAGGGGAAGGTCGTATCATGGTCTTGGGGGTCAGTTGTTCGATACCCTTCCTTGAGCCAACCTTGGAAGCAACGGCCTGTTGATACGTCCAGTCATCCATGATTCTCGTTCATTCCATCGTAATCGTACTTTCCATCATCCTCATTGTTATCCCTTCCCCCTGTCATGGATGTCACATTCCACGGGACTACCTCCGGCGAGGGCGGGGCCGTTCCGAAAAACCCACGACCGGGACGGACCCACGGGGCCAAGGACGGAGGCGTCGACAACTCCCCCAACAGAATTCCGCGATCCCTCTCTCACATGCGTCAGTGCAAGTACTCCGAAATGGTATGTGTTCGTAACTAGCACGCATCATCGACACAATCACCACCAAAAACACCCACCACCTCACCTGAGGGCACTCCTCTAAACCAGGGATAGCCACAACTGAGGCCGAGCATCATACATCACAATGGGATTCTCAGAGATGGGGCTAAAGACTTTGTTTTGATTGACAGCTATCTTCCCCATAGGGCCGCCTCCCCAGGTCCCAAATCCCTGCCGGTATCGACCGCTCCCCGTCGGACGCGAGCTTCTTCTTCCTCCCCTCGTGTGGGTGTCTTCTGCTCAGCTAGCCAGAAGTGGGCAAACAACCTCCTTGACGCCCTTGCCCACGAAACTCCGGTCCGGTAATCTCATTTCAACTCCGTAATGAGACACCGGACCCCCCTGCGCAGGAACTTCAAATGGACCGCCCCGAATTCCGTATCCCTTTCCCGAGACCCTAGTACAATTCCCATCAAAAAATTGCAACCCAATGATTGCGAGTCCCGAGTTGATCGAGTCCGTCCGAGTCCGTTTTCGGCAAATAGACAAGTGTGTTAAATGGTTGACCTTGGGCGACTTCGTTGACGAAGCGTCATGGTGAACCTGGCGCATAAAGCCACGCCAGCCAGTTCATCCAGGTTCTACGCCGGACGTAAACCTGGAAGCCCGGGCTGATACAGCTCGCGCAAGAATCGAATAATAAACATGCGCCATTCCCAATCCTTCCAAAATGAAGTAACTCCACGCCACTCCAGACCGCAATCCGCATTAGTCCAAATGCACCCACGTACATTGAGTAGCGGGAAAGTCCGCCGATGTGCCATCCAATCCAAGAACATCCGCCTCAGTCGCTCTGTCTGGATTCCTGAATGAGTGTGGTGATATCGAATGGGTCGGCGGGACTGGGACGGTTCTTTTTCTGATATACATAATAAGCATTGCCGCTTGCGTGTTGTCGACAGGTTCGCTTCTTGAAGAGCGTAAACGTAAAAATGTGCGTGGCATCGCTGTGTGCCACATTCGGAAGAATGTTCCCTTGTGAGGAAATCATGTCGTAACGTCATACAATTGTGTACTTTTTTCTTTTCCGTAAAAGCGTTGTGGGGTATTTTGTGTCGCTTGTATCGTACTTTTTCTTTTGTGAGAATACCTCTCATCGTTTTGAATCGCCATCCAAAGACTTTTAATTCCCCGGGGATTCCTCCAGCAATTGAGAGCAATCGCCGGCGATCCTCCACAACTGGTTCCCGACCGAATAATGGTACTGCAGAGGGATGGCCTCCCCGATCGGTCCTTTTACCTTCATGGACGGTCGTTTTACTCGCAAGCAATGATGGACTTTTCGGCTCGGGCTCGCATGTGAGTGGCGTGAGTCTCGAGGCATCGGGCCATGAGATGAGTAACTATTCTCATGTTAGCAGTGAGTGGCAATAAAGATGGGTTGAAATCTTACCTGGCCACACAGCAGCTTTATCAAGCATGTAAGCCGTGACCCGTAGAATCTTCGCCGCATAGCCCGTGTGGTCTTCCATCTGCAATCTGGCATCCACCCCAGCAATGCTGCCAGGAACGAACTCAAAGTTCATTTTCAGCTCAGCTGACGCCAAAACTTCCTGCACCTTCCCCAACAGCTTGACATCCTCATCTTCCAAGAGCATAATGGCAGGAACCTGTGACAAATCGACATCGTCCTGACCGAGAATTCCCAAGTATCGTCCAACCCGGTCTTGTAACGTCGCAACCCATTCGGCCAAAACCTGAGCACAATCGAACGCACACATCGCGGACTGAAGGGGAAGTTCTCGGCTAGAGAAGTCGGCGAAAGTTACTCCGAGCTTGTCGGACATGGCAAGAGAATCGGCGGCGTAAAAAGCGGCCTTCCGAAGGTGTTTCTCCCTGCGTGAAGTGGAGCGATTTGCGAGTTGCGAGGCTGTCTGGGTCGGAGGCGGGAACTTCGCCGAGGAGAACTCCGGAGATGAGGATTGGGTTGCCGGAGACTCTGCAAATACCGAGCTCGACACCGAGTTGTCGGAAGGGTCTGTGCCATTTGATTCCGCGTTGGATGCAGGGGAGTGCTCGGCGTGCTGGATGATTTCGCTGCCGCGAGAGAGCTCTTCCGCCATGGCGTCCCAGTCGCGTTGCCAGAACTTCTCCTTGGAGCGGGCAAGATTCACGAAGAGTCGCACGTAAGCGAGGTCAAGCAGTGGAATCGCATCAGCTGAAAGCGGGCCCAGGCCAAACGGATTCGGTCTCTCCAGGCTGTGGTTCGGGTTGCTCGCCCACGCAGCTTGCCAGGCCTTCAATGCTGGTTCGATGTGACGATGCATCTTTTCTGTTTCCTCGTTGGTCCACACCTTGTTGTGGTGACGCTGTCGAGTTTCCCAGATGTAGTTGTGCAGTGCGTTGATCAGAATCAGACAACCAAAAGTCGACGGCTTCAGGTCGCTCTTGGGGAGGTCGTTCACAGTGCCTGTAGGCCCAAATCCTTGTTGTGCGTTGTTGAACGCGAGCTGCTTTTGCTGTTTCTCATTTGTCCTGAGCAGCTCCCCTAGAGCCTCATGGAAAGTCATGCGGTTGTGGTTGGCTGCGCGGACGCCGCCCTTGGCTGCGAAGGCAGTGCTGCTCTCGGCGGAAAAGAAGTCCTCGTCGCAAGGCAAGTCGAGTAGTACTTCAGAATTGGTGAGCGCAGGGGTGTGGTTGTAAGCCGCAACCAACAGGCTGGAGAGGATGAAGACGACGTAGAGTGTGCGCTTGCGCTCTTCCATGGTCTTCCACTGAATCCATTCGGCGTGCTCCTCGGTGTCCGACCTGAGACCGGTCCAAGTGCCATCATCATGCATGTGAGTATCTTGAGTCTCGCTAGACTCGACGCGAATGGGACGCAGGAGGTCGGCAGCCTGGGCCAGGCTGACCAGGGCGGCACAGTGAGTCGAGGCAATGTCGCTGGCTGTTTTATCGCCGCAGTTATGGCCGTAGACGACGTTGAGAAGCATGGCCTGTACGAGCCACACCGGGGTGTGAACGGAAGATTCCTGACTGTGAGAGCTGGGCTCGGATGCTGGAGTTCTTCGTAAGTCTGCCTTCCTCACGTCGGCTTTCCGCCTCTCCTCTAGGTACAGCTGGATCATTTTCTTGGCCATCTCAAAAAGTTCCCGAGACTGGACGTGGTCCATTTCGTACAAGGCTCCGATGGCAGACATGGAAAGGATGAGACACCCACTCCCACCGATGGTGTTGGATCGGTTGGCAGCAGAGGGCGGCATCTCAAAGGTCAAAGTGGGAATGTGCAAGAACGGCAGATGTGGGTGGAAGTAACGAAGATAAGCGCCAACATATCGTTGTAAGTCTTGAGTGCTAGGTAAATTCTTTACATGGTCTGAAACACTGTTGGCAGTGTTCTGAAAGCCTGGCGACAGCGGCGAGCTCGGGGTCGCGAAAGAGTATCTCCGTCCCCCAAAAGGAGAGCACTGCGAGAGAGCCCCGACAATGGTACTCCGGGTAGTTTCCGTGATGGTGGAGACGGGCGACACGCCGTGGTTTCCGCCACTGAGAGACGAGGGCGTCTCGGGTCCTGCATTGTTGTTGAAGTTGAGGGCTGCGTGGTTGAGGTTTTGGGTGTTGTTCAAACCGGCAACCATTGAAGGACTCATAGAGCTTAGGGAAGGAGGCGGGGTCGAGAAGTAGGCATCACTGAGTTTTTGAGCGGCGGGTTGGGGAGAGACGGGAGCGCCGCTCATGAGGTCCGGGAAGACGGAGCCATTGAGATCCATGGCGAAAGGGTTCGGGACCTGGGGCGGACCCATAAGACCCGGCTGCCACATGGAGCTGGTGCCGGCAGGGGGGTGGTGGTTAGAGCCGTCGACCATAACGTCGCTGATGCCGCTCTGGCTGGTGGTGCTGATGGCGGACGGGCTGGATCCGTCTACAGCATTTTCAGCGCCGTGGAACGACATTTGGTTCTCGAAGCCGGTCAGCCAGTCAAAGCTGTCGTCCAGCTGGGTGGACGACATGTCATTGGTGAGACTGTGGAAGGGCGAAGCCTGATCCAAGGCCATGGACTGGGGCGAGTCGTTGTAGTGGAGAGCATTAGGGTTGATGGTGGAGCCCGGTCCGAACAACAGCCCCTCGAAGTCGAAGTCCGGGTTGTAAGCGGCAACGGGAGGAGCAGTTCGCAGACCGCTGAAGTCCATGTGGTTGATGCTGTGCGTATCAAGCTTTGCCAAACCGTGAGACATGCCGCGCTGGCCCATGACAGCTGACATGCCGCCAAAGTCCATGTTGTGCACGGGCAGGCCGGCAAGACTAGGGTGACGGCTGTGTGTACCGGGCGGCATGCCCCGGGCTACCTGGGCATTGGCGGCCGCGATCATTTGCATGGCGTTTTGGTCGACATGACTGATGGTGTTGGCCCTCGGGCGCATGGAAGCAGCGGCATTCGCAGCGGCAGCGGCATTGGTGCCTGCGACGCTGTTCTTGCGAGCGCGACTGGCACCAGGCGCAGCGCCACTTGCGCTCTCGCGGCGATTACGAGGGCGGGAAGAAGGAGTGGTCGTCTGGTGCAGCTTCTGCTGGTGTCTCAGCAGCAGATCGCGACGAGCAAAACATCTTGTGCATTCGGGGCACTCGAAGGGCTTCTCCTTGGTGTGGGAGCGCTCATGGCGTTTCAGATGCTCCAATCGGGCGAATGAGCGCTGACAAGTCGCGCACACATGCGGGCGAGGCTTATCGGTTTTGGGGGGAGGAAAATTGGCAGGCGTCTTCGTATTGACGGTAATAGTAGAAGCCGCTGCTGTGTGCGAAATTAATGGTCAGCTCAGTTCTCATCCTTTTTTTTCTTTCGCATCATGTGTGCTGCGGCAGCATACGGAGCGGGATTGAATGGCGGGACATGCGGGTGGGAACAGGAGGGGCAACATGGAGGGGTCTTTTGGTGGGCGGTGTCGGTGCAGGCGCAGGCGCAGGCGCAGGACAGGTGCAGGTTCAGGCGTGAGAACGAGAGGTGCGACTCATACCACTATCTTCGGTAGCCGGAGCAGGAGCAGTGTTGCTGCTGGAGCTGTTGGCGGCAGCCGCAGGAGCAGCGGCAGCGGCAGCAGTCGCAGCACCACCCGCAGTGGATGCGGCGGCGGCGGGAGACGAGGAATTGGTCATGTCCGAGTTCTTTTCGACCTTTACCTCGGTGTTGCTCATAACCATCGTAATTCTTTTTCTTTTCTCTTTTTTATTTTTCGCTGGTCGTTCGTTTCCGTCGTTTTCGGTCGTGAAGGAGGAAGGAAGGAGGGGTGGTTGGTTTGGTTGGTAGGCTAGAGGATGGAGGAGGGTCCCTTCTTTTTTGGTTGTGGGCGCAGCTCGGTGTGCGGTCGGTCGATAGTGCGCAACAGCGGCAAGCGAGAGATGGAGAGAAAGTGTGCGAGCGAGACCTGAGCACGACACACTTGCAGAACGTATGAAAGAAGATGAGGTCGGTTTTTTCCCCTTCAGCGGATGTGGTGGGAGGAGGAGGAAGAAGAAGAGTCGGAGGAGGCGTAGTAGTGGTGGTAGTGGTGGTAGGAGGAGTCGGAGGAGGAAGGTGAAGACAAGAGGGAGATGTTGTTGTCCGAAGCCGAAAGTCGCATGCTATTTCCAAGCAATGAAGGGAAAGCAGTCAAGTCGAGGAGACAGCAAGCACGGAAAATGGTCGGAGCCTTGAGGCATTCGTCGAACAAACAATTCCCACCGGTCGAAGCAGTTGCTTGGAGAAACAAGAGAAGAAGGGAAGGAGGGGAGCAAGAAGCCGTGGTGGGAAGGGGTAGTTTAGGTACTTGTTAGGTAAAGTGCCGTCCCGTCGCAGTCGCAGCGCAGTGTCGCCAGCCAGCCCAGTTGAACTGATTGAGTGAGAGAGTCGACAGTCGACAGACAGTTCAAAAGTCTCAAGTCTCCAGTCCCAGTCCAGTCCAGTCCAGTCCAGTCACAGTCACATACGAAATAGTCCCGGTCCCAGGCCCAGTGTCAGTTCAGTCCTGGTCCTGGTCGTTTAATCCCAGTCCCTTTCCTTCCCTTCCCACCTCACCCCAGCCAGTCCCCAGTCGCAGCAAGAGCACCAGCATCCAGCATCCAGCAGCTACCATGTACACCACAAGCCCAGCCCGGCGCATCTGGAGACCAGGAAAGTCTGCAAAGTGAGAAAAAGAGACTGAGAGCAAGAGCAAGAGCAAGAGCAAAGTGTGTGTGTGAGCCCGAGGTGTGGGTGGGATGGACGCGGGTACCTGGCCTAAGGTACCTTCCCTCTGGATCATTAGACGAGAATGGCGACGACACCCTGCATCGGTACGTCGGCTGATGTATCTCTTTCGATGCATACTGTGCAGGAAAGGGCAGGGAAGGTACATCTCGCAGTAGTATTCGTACATGGAAAGCAGGGTCTGTCGGTCCAGAGGCACAGAAGGTCGATGGGAAAGAGGCAAGAGCGAGGTGACGGGAGGTGAGGTGAGGCAAGGTGGGCCCTCCATCTTGCTTAGCTCGCCCCGGTTCGGCCAGGTCAGAGATAGGTACGTACATCAGTACCTCACTCCCGCTTGTAGCCCGTGCACAGTGCGGAGGACCCACGTGATGGAGACGGAATGTACCAAAGTACAACCACCTACCTCACCTCACCTGCCTTGCCTCAGTGCCTTCCCTCCTTGACTGTGCCGTCCGCCTGCCTTCATGGTACATAAAATATCCGGCAAAGTCTCGCCATGTTATCCGGTATTTCTACGGCAAGTGAGAGGCATGGCGTTCATCACTTTCTTTCTCTTCAGCCTCCCATTATCTTTTGTTGACTTTGGTGGCGGTGTGTCGTAATTCGGGTGGCTCTGCGATCACGAGGACGAGGATGCCAAAACGAAACTTGGACCGGCCCCGGGACATGTCCTGCCTTGGATGGAAATCCCGTCTGACAGGAAAAAAGACAGGCATAAGGACCAGCTCGAGCATCTGGCAGGGCTACGCAGGCTGCGACAGCCATTGCCTTATGACGATGCACGGCAGTACCACCAACGGAATCAAATTGACCTTCCAATTCAACAGAGTCACCAGACCAGACCAGTCTTTGTTTCTTCGGTATCCGTACCTTACCTGGGCACGGTACGTCCGGTTGTTGCGTTCCATCTTGTCTGATACTCCCATTCCTACCCAGCGGCCTCCATCTCAGCCTGCCTCGTTCTTCCCTGCGTTTTAGTTGCCTCATTCATTACGGATACTCTCCCAATCTTTCAACCGTCTTGTATTGCTGATGCGTAGCTGCTGCTGCTGCTGCTGCTGCTGCGGCGCTGTAAATTCCCGCTTTCATGTTACGAGGCCAGAGCCCCGGACGAGCTAGCTCCAGAAGAGACTGGTCAGGGGATACAGAGAACAAGGGGAGGCTGGTTGGGGAACCGTTGCACACTGCAAACAACCCAACAACCCAAGCCTTCCAACTGGGGCGCCGCGGGATAAGGCGGTTAAAGCCTGAAGCCCGATGCCTACTGGAGCCTGAAGCATCAACCCGAACCAAGCCTGCCCTTGCCCCGGGCTGCTGAGGAAACGACAAGGACCTTGCAGGCACTCAGAAAACAGCTCTTCTCGTCTCTTCAGGCCGTGCCGTGTTAGAGTCTGGGAGAGATGGAGATGCAGGCTCTACGTAATCGGGTCGATAGAGGCCCTGTGCGCAAAAAGGTCTGTTCTCTGCAAACGCTGGGGTTGGCAAGGGACCGGGACTGGGACTCTGAGACTGAGACTGAGAGCGATACCGATAAGTCTGCACTGTCATCAGAGAAAGCTGGAGATTTGTGCAGGGCTCCTATGTCCGTGCCGTAGCTTATCATGTTGGCCGATTGCGAGATAGACGTGCGACACCTGTATCGGAGGGGTCGGACTGCTCGGCACCAAGACGGACGAGGTCCCGACGCGAGGGCCTCGACGAGCTTATTTGATTGATGCCAATGAGAGGAAATGAGGCAGAACAAAACGGAAATCCTATGGCCAGACACCCTTTACTCGTTGCTGCGCAGAACTGCCAGCAACCGCAGTCGAGTCGGCACCAAGCCGTTCCTATTAAACCCCAACCAGCCACCCAGGTCTTTGAGCTCTGGGATCATCGCTCTTCCAAAGTTGCGTGTCCGTACGAATAGTGTGGTGCTTGTACGCTCGTTACTCGGGCCATACGCCAACACAAGCCCTACTTTTCATCTTTTGTCGCCGTTATCGTCACCGTCCAGCTTGCTTGCCCGCTTCTCTTGACGTACTGCGAAGTGTGACGCCTGCCGTGCATGCGATGACTTCGGTTCATAAGCTGTTCATAATTGGACTGGACAATGCTGCTCTACCTGGAGCTCTGAGACGCACCGCTTGATATCCGCACGGAGCTCTGGTACCTGTACCCGCCGTGCTGACGTGAAATAGGTACTGAGGCAGTCCGCGTCCAGTCGCATCGCTCGACATGCCTGGCCTGTCGTTGGCTGGCTCATCGGGAGGGTGGATTGGATGGAGCATCCCGTCTGCTGCTTCAAGGCCTGGGTTTGTTCCAGCGGCAGGCCAAGCCTGCTTCGACCCAGCGTCCGCTGTGAAATTGAGTTTCCCGCTGGCGCTCAGCTGGGACATGATCCGACGCAAAGACGGTGTGTGAAGTGCCAGGCCAGTGTCATCGTGGGAGCCAAAGCCAGTGTGGGATGTCGTCGTGTCGCACGCATACCGCACGCTACCACGCCGTCGCAGCGCCCTGAGATAGGACGGCAAGGGAGAGAACAAGTACGGCGTGGGTAGGTATCTCAGATGGTCGGTTGGGGTGGCATAACACGGCGGGCACTGTATGTTTGACCGACTGGTTGCTCGGTATGCTCGGCATTATACCACCCTCTTGTGAAGGTCGTGTATAAAACTCTGGCCCGGGGAGAACAGAGTATCGCAACGTGGACCTCCGGCGCAATTGATAGCGATTGTGAAGCAAGGACAAATAGCTTTGGCCGTAGTCGCTCTCTCGGGTCAACATGCTGACAATTGCGGCGCTCAGCTTCAGCCAATGGCTGACGCCGAACAAGTCCGAAGCATCTTGAAGACCGATAGCCGGAGACAGGGGCAGGCGTAGTGTAAGATGGCACCAGCGTGGGTGGTACGGGGGCCTGATCGAAGAAGAGAGGAAAAAGAAACGGCGAATTCCAGCGGCTCCAATTTGATTGACACTCAAGACACTGAACCGGGACGTCAAGGCGGGATACTTTGGTACTTTGAGCATTCCAGAGCGCCGATCAGGGTTCTCCGTGTCCAGTGGCGCCTCGTGGGCGGCCGGGTTGGGCAGGTACATCGCCCTCTGCTGAGCCGGGCGGAAGCAATTGTACCTCGGGCCATGCGACTGACGACTTCTCGCCAACGCAGGTCAAGTCTGTGAAATGGCGATTCCGAGGGTGATGGCAGTCACCGGAATTGATTGTCTGCAGCTGTTGGCGTTGACGATGGGGTCATCGATGTCCCTCCTTGATCATCTTGACGGCGCCCAGGCCGGTGAAGGAGCTGTGGGCTGAATGTGATGACGAAGTTGGGCGAGGTGGTTCTTCGGGTAGGTAGGTAGATAGGTTGGCCTGTGAAGACACCCTCACGGCGTTTTGTGAGGCAGATGTCGGAGGGTATCATCGAGGCGGCAAGGTGAGGTCAGTTCACTCTGGCCGTGTGCCGGTGGATGTGAAGGATATGCAGACTGCGAACAGGCTGCCCGTCGACGGGGTCGAGCCGTGTCCCGTCTGTCGACTCGGACCAGGGGCCAAGGACGGGCTGGAGTGGAATTTGTTGGTCGAGTGGTGGCATGGCATCATGTAGGTGTGGTGTCTGCAGGCTGGCTGTTGTTGTGTTGTGTTGGATGTTCTTGTCTGGGGCCATGATGGTCGGATTGGACTGGACTGGACTGGTATCCGTAAGGTAGCTAGCTAGGTAGCTAGCTTAGCTATTGCTTGCGTCTGCTTATTATTGCTGGACTGCAGTCTGCAGCAGCATGCGAACAGAAACGGGCGAGGTGCAGACGACTGCAGCAGTGCGTCGGGTATCTGAAGGCCTAGCCGACGTCGAGGTCCACCGGTGTAGTATTGTCGTCGTGTTTGATTTGTCGATGGCGATGTTTTGTCTCTTGGTAATAACGCACAACAGGCCGTAGGCGCGTTTAGTCCGTCCCAGGAGCGTCTTATGTCGACGAGGCCTGACAATAAGATGCGGATAAGGTAAGAAAGGTAAGAGCGAGAGACGGAGCAGGCCGCATTACCTACCTTAGATGATACAGTAGGTGCCGTACGATGCAGTAGCGGCAGGGCCACGATATCTTGGAGACGTGTGGACCGGAGTTTCGATACGGCGAGGGCTGAACATGGCAGCATCCAACTTATGCCGTACGAATATTTCAGGCAAAGTACCTCGATGCATATCCGTAGGAAGGACACTCGAGGGCACCCAGAGTGAGTCGATCGATTTGTGAGCCTGCCGCTGGCGAGGCAGGGGTGATGTCGCGAGCAGCTTCCTGAGTGGTCGACAGCTTCGAGTAGCGCCCTGCCTCTTGCACTTTGTGCGGTTCTTGCACCTTAGCGCCGCTGCAGGAAGCTGCGAGCCTACATCTAGAATGAGGTAGTCCAGTAGGTAAATTCTTTACTTCTATCCGTATATTGACGCATTTAGAAGTCATGTTATCATAGAAAGCCTTCTAAACATTCAAAGTAATTGGGGTAATATATTTTAGATAAAATAATATGGCCATTTAATGCTGGAGAAGGTGCGCTCGTCTCGGCCTATTCCGTACCTGCCTTCGATGTGCAATTTGCAAATGCCGTTGGCAGGAAGGTGCGACCTAGGTACCTAATCCCAGTGCGGAAAGGGGCCTCCCAGCAGCGGCAAGAGCTGGACCCACCCAACCCGGGGCTCTTTCTCGCCCGTCTGTGTTCAACTCCAGCTCAGACTGGGGGCTCTTCTCTCCCCACCAAAAGCCCACAATCGCAAATGCAACCACGACCACAACCACGACCACAAAACTGACGATGCAATGTCACCTTTCACGCTGGAAAGCGAAAAGACACAGCGTCTCCAGTCTCTAGTCTCCAAGCTGACGCCCGTGCCTACGATCCACATCTCGCCGCAGGTCCCTGTCGCCGTCCCCGTCATCATCGCCGTCGCCACAATCATTGCAACTGCAACAACCACCACCAGTTCTTCAACCGGCCATGTCCTGATCAAATCGTGGAGGCCAGCCGCCGCCAGCCAGCCCGCCAGCCCACCGAGAGGCCTAGCGAGGCCCAGGGCCAGAATGCAGTCCAAGTTTCACTGAGCACTCAGCACTCGGCTTGGCTCCAAGACAATCCATCTGGCATGTCATCCCTAATCAGATGTCCGCACCATTCGGCGGGATGACTACCTTTCGGTTGGTTTATCGACGGGAAACACAACCATTGTTTTTTAGCGACGTCACAGTCGTACCGATCAAACATCAACCAGATGCCGAATGCTCTTGACAGAAAACAAATTTGTTTGATAAGGTGTCGGCAGCAATGACATAAGCTGGTCGCTTTCATCCTCTACACTACCTTATGTCAACTTCTCGACAGCCATCGCTCCGGGATACCTAAAACTGTTTTCCCGCGGCCTCAGTACCCGGACACGCTCCGTCGTGGCTTGGTCACTTCTCACCAACCGCCAACGGCGGCCTCGCGTCACAATCGTATTATTCAATCCCTTCGCTCACGATGACGGCCTAGTCTCGCTATCAATGGGCAGACTAGGGGACGCGAAGCACTGATGCCACACTTATCTCCGCTAACCTGCAGATGCCCACATGTCGTCGTCGCCCGTTCTTGTGCGCCAATAGCACAGACAGACTGATCCCTAGTCACAGCGACCGACATACAGAAACCCATGTCGCCTCAATCGACAAGACAATAAGAGTCACACGGGCCTGGCAGGGCCTCACAGCGCCTCGCAGGGCCTCCACGGAGGCTGGTCGTACCCGCGATCCAGATCCATCCGGTCCGCCAGACGCTGCGTCACAGCAGGAGATCTGCTCACCCGAGCGTCTGCTTACACAAGCCTTTTGCACCATCTCCATGTTGAGCTGCCACACCGAGAGCCAGACTATCCGTACGCCGTCGTAGACCGGTGCCGGTGCTTGGTTCCCGTACCCATCAGTTTTGTTCCGCCTGCTGCCTGTCAGCCTCCCGGTCAAGTTTCTAGAGCCATGGCAAACTGCCGCTGCGAACTAGGTCATGCTCGGGCTACAGCATCTCATCATCACAACTGCATTACAGAGTACCAGTAGCCCTGAACAGTCCAACCAGGGCCTTGAGGACGCTTCATCAACCCTTCAGGGAAGCTGGTGCGCATTTTTCGGGCAGCCGGCGACTTGACATTGACCAAAAACTCTCCGCGGGTTGCGAGCTTTGCTCATACCCGTAATGGATATCGGCAGCAAGACTGCAAAGATACAATGGCGAGCCTCCAAGGCAAGTACAAGAAAACCTCCGATGAGTACTCTATTAATAACGCTGCCAACATCAGAGGGACAAGTCGAGACCCATAGAGTCCCGACGATCTTGTCCGGCCGCCTTGATCCCGGAGACGCAGAGCAGCCATCTCAGGTACTGGCTGTCTCCCAGCCTGCATTGTACATCGAGACAGTGTCCTTCCATCCTCATCAGTCACTGTGCTCTGTCGACATGGACCGGGGGTCTCGCCTGCACACCTTCACACGCTGCTGTTACGTCGGTGGAGCTCGCTGAGGTTGCAGACCAGAATTGGATAACGGGAAAGTGCAATGATCCCTATCTGCAAGTCAATGGGTAGATGGCCTTGGCTATCCTCGACAGCGAATCGCCCGGGTGGGCTTTTGTGGTCCCTTGGGAATCCTCGCAATAACCTCCTGTTAACGACAGGTCATGCCGGGAGGAAGCCCGTCAGTCCCCAGACCCGTGCTGGCAGGGCTTGTTCTACGCGCGATTTCCGGTTGACCGTGGGCTCCGAATTCGACCGTCGACGATTGCTCTCACAGTGCCAGAGTAGCTCAAACTCTCGCCCGCCTCGTCTGGTTTACGAGATTGAAGGCCCTTCGTTCTGCCTGTCCAACTAACCCTCGACGTTGAAACGAATCTTGCTGCCATCCCAGGAGTAGAAAGGCTGGGCATTCAGACGCAGACGCCGGTGATGCCGTCAATATCTTGACAGCGGCGTGCCCAAGCTACACAACTCGACAACGCCCGGACCGGTCAGGGCACCTCAGCGAGCGAGGGAGGGCCTAGCGATATGGGGTATCAACGGCTTAACACGGCACCCCTGTTCCACACATCCTCGTCCGCTGTCCTTGTGACCTCGTTCAACACTTGCCCTATCAGGGATTTGGGGTCATCGAAACAACGGCTTAGCTAATGCTGCGGACGTTTAATCCCTTCAAGCCAAAACCAACGGCTGCTTGGGCATTCACTGAGCCCAGTCTGAACCTGTTTCTGTCTCTGTCTCCGTCAGTTTGTCTAGGAGGTGATAAACGTGCAGCTGTAGCACGCTACACACAACATGTTTTAGCCCTCCTGGTGGCGCCCTCTAGTTCATCAGCGTTTCCACGGCACCGATTACGGGATATCGCTGCCGCCGTTCTATCTCAGACACCAACCTTCACCGAACGACTGGGTCCAGGGCTCTTGACGAGAAGACGGTGAGCGACATCTTGATGTGGCCCACGACAGCGACGAGGATAAAAGTGCCTAATTAGTCTCTTTACCAACCACGTCAACACGGTGACTCGTCCGTCCTCCGCCAGGAACGGATGCCATTAGTCCGGATGTTTGAGTCCAGATGCCACACTTGACGAATGTCGAACGGCGATCTAATTGCCAGCGGATCCTACTCAATATAAAATTTCAGTCTGCATGCTGGGCGGTCAATCACCCGTTCTGAAATCCTTGCCATAACGCATGGCCACGACATGTTTGGCAGTCAACGTCTGCGATCTATCTGTGCAGAAGCATCGCTTGATTCTCTGCGTCGACTGGAGCGGGCTCTCGCACGCTTACGCTTCCGCAACCAAGTGGGCAGCCTTCGTCCCTTGTGCCTGGTCTCTACACTACGGAAGACAAGCATCAAACAAATCTCAGCACGTTCCACGCACTATCCGCGGCCGGCTGTGGGGATGGTGCTTTGTTAAGCTCAGTGGAACGACGGCAGGGATCCTGTAGTGTGGTGCCCAAGATGTGTGTCGTCCTCAACGAATCCTGACAGCTTGTTGCGGAGCTTCCGCTTGGGAAACGGCAAAGCTTCCCCCAAGAGCACATTCTCTTACAATGCTTGAAGCGACAAGCTTTGAAGCTTGACGTTCCACGTTGTTTTGTCAACCCTACGACTGAGATTGGTTTTGTCTTCTCTAGCCAGAAGAATCGAACAGCCTATCAGGCGTGCTTGAGACGACCGACATATCTCTGGCCTGCTCCGTGACAACGACAAACTGGCCGGACCAACTTGTTCCAGGTAATGAATGGATGGTGAGCACTGCAGGGGAGATAATTTCCCCCGGCGCGCATGAGACAGCTGATCAAATCAGCCATCTGTACGACATAGCTTCGCTGCTCGGCACTGTCGAGCTTCTCCAGGCGGCATAGTTCTCCAACTTTTCCCCAAATTACTCTAATCGAGCAACGGCGGACTTTATCCTAGCCGCAGGCCGGAGATGTAACTGCTTACTGCAACCGTACCCCAGCAGTAAAGTACATCTCCCTCAACGCAACTTCTCATATTACTAACAGGATTCTTTTGGTCAACTTGCAGAGAGGAGGTCCACCGTGAACTTTTGCAGAGGATCTCAAGTCTTTGAGGGACGTATCCTCTACTCACTTTTGGACTCCGACCATCGCAGCACGACCAAAATGCCCTGCATCAAGCACGCCTAGATTCAAGGCCCACCACGTCGACAGCAGCCGATTGCAACTGCTGGAGAAGAGAGCCATTTCATTCGTCTCGCCTGGTGGTCATTGCCGATCCACACTGAAGTCGGGTTGGGCCTGTCACTAAGAATCAGGGTCGTTATTGAGGCTGTGCTGGGAGACATCTGTCCATCCACCCATCCTCCAGCAGATGGTATCTCGGCTTTTCCCTGGATGGGCGACTTTCTGCAGCTTCACCCGCCTGGGTTGCCTTTTGGTCCAATATTTCCGCCGACCTATCAGGTTAATATTAACTGGCTGCCTCGCAAGTCGACAGTGTCGAGTGCCAGTGACAAATCGGCTTGGACAACCAGCGTTCCTGGACCACTTCTACTTCCCACCACCCGACACGTTTCTCGAACCCTGCATGGCAGCTTGGGCCACACACACACTCACACACCTCTGACCCCAAATCCGCTCACACTTCGAGAACGAATGGGTGTGATAGCATCGGTTCTCCAGAATGTTCAAGCTTGCTAACTGGTCCTTGTCTCGGGAGCAAGACTCACACGGTACGGCAAGTATCAGAGGCTTGATATGCTTCTCCAACCGAGCCGGCACCCAGCCATCCTAGCCGGGGATGTCAGTCTCCAATTCCTACCCCAAATCGACCAGACCAGTATCTCGCCAACGCCAGTCTTTAGAATTAAAGGGAATCCGAAGAGCGTCTTGGTTCCTTCAGAAAGTAGCCGGCCGTCACCCCCGAGCTTGTGCACCTGACACCCCTGGCATGAACCCCGGCTGGGCGCCATCCCTGTCTACCCCGGACTTTTTGACCAGCCACGCCTTGCAGGCATCTTCGGGAATTGGGGAAAGCAATTTCGGCCTCGTTCTTGTGTGCCGATCAATTCCTTCCTGCCAGACTTTGCTCCAGTCACCTTGGCCAATTGGCCCAGGAGAATGAAAGCTGTTGATGGGTGCCCATCTCGGAATGGGACTGAAATAGGGCATAGGTCCTGATGGCATCTCCGGCAGTCTTTCGCCGCTTGGCTGAAGTTCACATACTCAGAGAAGGCCATAGTTGTTGCTGTCGACGCCGCCGCCTGCATGCATGCCTCATGCTGCTTATTCTCAAGGAGCTCTGCGCAACCCGCGTTGGGGGTTTCGTGAAGGTGACGTAGGCTTCCCAAGGTCCGCCCCGGGTCTGTCAATCAGACATGTTTCTCAACCATCGCCGCCGGGGTGGCAGTTTTGTTTCGCCTCTGGTTTGTCAGGGCTTATCCATCTAATCATGAAGTCGTCTAATAGGGAACGACGGAACCCGAACCCAACGTTTCGTCACAGCTTACAGCTGCCTTCCCGGTTCGACACGCCAAGTTCGACTCAGAAAACATGCCGCATTACAGTCGGCCTCACTTGCTCCGTAACAGCTACGGTGCCAATCGTCACACCAACGCCAAGTCCGACTCCCGTATTCACAGCTCCAGTGTGAGAACCCATTTATTTTAGGATGGTTGGGGTTGGAAATCCGAAGCATGGAGCCGATCACACCGTTGCCGGCGGGAGTTCTAGCGGAGCTGGACTGGCAAAAGTGCCGATACTTCCGCCTGGCTCCAAATAGATCCCAACCGCCGAGCGCTCTGGCCTCCGTATCCGTTGATGCGGGACCCGGTATGCTCGGCGTAATCGTCAGGACCACAACTTCAACGACTCTTTGGCACTTTGGTTGTTGTTCGGGAGCAAAACGGCACTGGGGGCATAGCGGGAGGTGGGATCTGGAGACGCCATGCTCATGTGCCATCAGGCGGCAGCATCGACTAGACGTCGGTGCTTATCCGATGGGGAGGAATCAGCTTAGCCCATCGTCACAACCTGCGGCACACCACACCTCGCTCACCCAATGCTCCCACACGTACCAACAGCTTGGTCTCGTCGACGGCGTCATACAGGCAAAGTTGACCATCTCCAGTACCCCCATGCTGCGTCACTGCGCACAGTGAGGCAATTCAATTCGACTCAGTGCTACCTTCGTCACCTTTAACCTCAACCCGACATGGATCGTCTGCAAATTCTTCAATCTGCATCTCGTTGAGATGCCCTCGCCACATTGGTCGGCTAAATCATCAATGCCGTGGGACAGTTCTTATTCGCCACAGCCGACATCATTGGTTCTCTCGCCCAGCCAGCGCACACTTCTCGAACAGAACCAGTCGTGGCTTCGTTGTGCCTTTGATATTCTGGCCCACTCACCCACACACAGAGTATGCAGCCTCCGGTCATCGTTCCATACCACGGGAAATTGTTCTTTGCCGCCGCCAGCAAGGGCACTAAACGGAGCGGCGCTTCTGTCAAGCAGAGAAGTACGACCGCTTGTTGATGTAAATCGCTGGATCAAGCCTGGCGCATCGTTGGATAGGCGCCACAGGGCAAGTTCGCCAGTGGCTAGCATCGTCATGGGTGGTCTATTGTTGCTGCTAATCACCGTTCCTGGAAGGAATTGACTGCCTCGCAACGTCCGCTCAACCACGCCACATCGAGTCATGGTGGGCGGCCTTTGTCCGACGTCCGAGTCTTGGGAAGAACGCTCCAGGGACGGAGAATATCCCGCGGGCTATTACATGCCGCTGTATATCTCCGTTGCTGTGCCGCTGGTTGGTAGATGACCAGGCAAGCCTTTTAGACAACGTTTACCCGAATCTCGAAAAGTTGCTGTGAGTTGCCCTGGGACAATGAAATTGTCCTCTGATGCAGTTTCTCCAACCTCTCCGCTTGATCGGAATATATCAAACTCGTTCAAATAAGTGAACGAGCGCAACGCTAATAACGAAGCATTGACGAGCCCGTGAGCTCTCTCACCGGCCGTGCCTCGGGGCGTCGATCGGCGCCGATCTCGCCTTGGAACGGGTTCGGCACCACGGCGTTAGTTCGGCTACAGACCGTGGGCACCTCGTATGCAGTCATGACAGTTTGTGGCATGGACAAGACTGTGGCGCGGCCGAAGCGAGTGCCAGGGTCCTTTCGTCTCGATCTTGAATCTTGGTTCGAGTTGATCTTTTCGGAGGTTATCGGCAGTTGATGTGCGACGAACTCGTCGATTGGTCTGGCCACCCGCTGATCACTGTCGTGCGAACTTTTTTCTAGCCCGACAACGTTTCGTGATCGTCCTCGTGGAAGCCCAACGACATTGGTGCGCCAATTTGGAAGGTGTCGAATTTACACACCATGCAGATCTGAGGAACGAGGCGGAAATTGTACGAGATGAGATGATGGCGTCCAACTCACTCTTACGGTTGTGTTTGATTATCAAACTTCTGGTCTGGTGCTGGAGATGCTAGATGAGAGTGAAGCGTTGGCTCAGTAGCCGGCTTGTGAGCAGTCGGAAGAGAACAGGAGCTATTGCTAGAAGTAGGGCTCTGGATGTTCTGGCTGCTTCACCATCGTTATCCGATTCCGCGAGGCTTCATTTCAGAAAGTATCGATACCATGTCACAAGATGAGCGTCCATCGGGAAACAGAACGCATTCAAGTATATCCAGCTCAAAAATAAACAACTCAACTCACCTTCGCACAAATATCTAGCACAGTCCCGCTGAAGAAGCCAACATTATGTAGTGAATGTAACTTTGAATTGATTAAACGATGTCCTAGGATGATGTGGTTTGCCTCTCTCCAGCCCAAAAGATATAAACTATAACCGAAATGCTCGAACAAGACACGGAACAATGAGCAATTACAGAATGACCTCCAAAGAGGTCTGCCAGAATACCTTTCCAAACGTTCCGCCGTGGAATGTAAACTCCAAAAACACCTGCCCAAATCAGTCAATAAAACACGAACCTATTGCCCGTTCCTGGTATGAATCCTCTCGTGCCGCCGACAATCGTTCACCCTCGCAAACGCCTTCCCGCAACGCGAACACGCATAAGGCCGCTCCCCGAAGTGGCTCCTCTCGTGGCCCTTGAGATTCACGTTGCGCGTGAAGCTCTTGTGGCAGATGGTGCACTGGAACTTGGCCGCCTCGACGCGCCTCCGCATGTGCAGGAACGCCGAGGGGGCGTCGCTCAGCTGCGGGTGGTAGTTCCGCACGTGCCGCTGGCGGTCCTTGTTGGAGGAGAAGCCGACGGGCGCGAAGCCGCAGCGCTCCTCGAGCGGGCACGGGTAGGGCCGGTCGTGGCGGTTCTGGTGGCTGTCGCGGTCCTTCTTGTTGTCGAAGCCGTGGTGGAAGAACTTGCACAGCGTGCGCGAGCACTTGAAGAGGTTCGGGCCGTAGTAGTGCTCGATGGTGTCGGCGTTCAGCGTCGGCCGGGAGGGCTTGAAGTCCTTCTCAATCGCGTCGCGGTGGGCTTTCAGGGCGTTCTCGAGGCGGGCGATGCCGACCTTGTTGCGCTTGTCCGAGGTGTCTTTTTGGTGCTGGCAGATGTGGTTCCAGAGGCGGAGGAGGGGGTGGTATAAGTCGGGGAGGTCATTGAAAGAGTCGATTTTGGACTGCGGGAGGTCGGCGGTGGAGGCCGGGGCGGGTTTGAGGTCGTCGTGGGCGGTCACGAACTTTTGGATTGCGAAGGTGAGGGCGGCGGTGAGGGCTGGAGAGTTCTCCGTCGCCTGCTGTCCACCCGTGAGGACAGGGCGGCTTTCTTCGATGACGGTGTTGATGTGTTTGTACCACTGCGCCATGGCGTAGTCCTGGAAGGAGAAGTAGCCTTGGATGATGTGGTCTTGTCGCTCGGCCTCGTTGTAGTCGCTGGCGACAAAGCAGCGGAGGGAGAGGTAGCGGAGGCAACGGATCGCGAGGTCGCACTGGACGGACTTGGCGTCGATGTCCTCTGTCTCGGCGAGATACCTGCGAGCTGTCAGCCTTTGGTAGACATCACGGCGCGGAAGTAGGACTTACTCTTTCGCTGAGTTATGGATGAGTCTGATGTTGTCTCCGGGCAGGACTTGAACCAGCGAGCCCAAAAATTCGTTTACCTCTACGCGAATCATCTTCAGGTTGAAGTCTATGATCTCTGTTTTTAGGTCAAAGGAGAGAATGGCTTGTATTTCGTGCCATTTGAGGGTTCGGTGGGCACAAATGAGCCAGCTGAGGAGCTGTTTTGCGCTGTTCCAATATGAGCCGTCTTCCTCCAAATCCAGGAGTCGTTGTTTGACTGCCTCCAGAAGTTTGCAGTACCTAATTCAAGTATTAGTATGGTGGTTTGGTGCAGTGAGAGAGGCTGGGGTCTGGCATACATCTCCTTGAGGCCATTCGGAAGCTTGCCCAGCTTCGCCTTTGCTAGCAGGTCATCCTTGCTAATTTGCTTGAGAAGATAGTCCATCGCGAGATGTGCGTAGAGAAAAAGACCTGAGCGGTATCAGTTTCTGCCATGAAATTCCGAAAACCGAACCAACCTTCACTCCGCCCCGAGATATTGTCTTCGATGTACTGCTTATCCCACTCGGAAAGACTGAATTTCGTGCCGTCACGAATCAGCAGCGTCCTCACGTACCGCCTGATGTCCTCCATATTGTCGTTCGGATCAAGCTCAATTTCACCAGCGTTGGTCTGGATATTATGCTTCGACATCAACTTGCCAATCTCCTTCGACGTTTGGCTCATGAAGAGAACGCGCAGCTGGCCCTGGCAAAGGTCCTCGCACTTCGTGACTTGCTTCGTAAAGAAGGTCACGGTCTGCTGAATCTCGGTGGACGCTTTGCACTCGTCCAGTCCGTCGATGACAACGTACTGCCGTGTGCTGGCCTCGAAGAAGACTTCTATCAGCCCTTCCGCGACATCCTGGTTGTTGAGAGTCGAGCCGCCAGTCGATGTGATCTTGTCTTCGCACAGGGGGAGGATGGCAAGGTTGTGGTTGCCGGACTCGTTCCCTAGAGATTCGTTCTCTGGGTCGGGTAGCTCTGCAGCCGAGACGAGCTGGTGTAGGATACCTCTCAGGATCCCCAGGTATGTTTCTAGCTCGTTGTCGTCTTTTTGGCAGTAGAAATAGCATATCTGTGTCTGCCGCGGTACGTCTGTGCCCTTGGTAGCCAGTTTGCCCAGCTCATCGACGACAAGCGATGACAAGACTGTCTTGCCCAGGCCGCGGCGTCCGTGGATCCAGAGGTTCGATTCCGCCGGCGGATCTTCGCGCATCCAGTTGGACACCTCGTCGTGCTTCCTCCACAGCCAGGTCCCGTTCTCGGGGCATATTTCTCTGATACCTCGGAACTTGGAGTGTAGCTCCGTCTCAGAAGATGCTGCGATCCATTTTATAATCTTTGACTTCTGTGCGGCCTTGCGATTTGCCTCGGACTGCCTGAAGTCCTTCCACTTCTGCCTATAGTTGATTCTGTACTCGTCGAACTTGCGCTTGTCTTCATAGGTGAGTTCGGCAGAGCCCGAGTCGAAGCCCGAGTCGGTGCGGAAGGCGTGGCGGTCGCGGAAGGGACGGCCGTGGTCTTGGATGCTGTCGAAATGGAGCTTGAGGGTGGCGGCGAGGTGGTCAAAGGTTGAGTTAAGGTCTTTCCACGTTGCTCTGTGGAGCTTCTGCCAGACTTTGCACGCCGGAATTGTCAGTTTTGGATTCCGTTGAGAAGGTGGGTTTATCTGTCTTACATGATTGACGACGGGAAAACAGTTTGTAGGCGATAGCGTGGAACTCGAGAATGTCTTTGTAGATGTGCACCAGACACGTTATGCTATCCGGGAAGGCTTTGAAGAGATCTTTGTACTCGGTCAGAGGGGGAATCTGGATGCCTAGGCGTTGGTAGACGTCCAGTATGTTGTCGAAGGCTTTGTCGTCGAGTCGTGTTGTCTGACAGCGGCGGTGTTAGTGCTCCAACGATAAATGATAGAGATAGTAAGCATAAATCCGGGGTTTTGCTTTCTCACGTACTTTGAAAAGGAACCTCATCGGACCCCAAATGCAGGCCATGATGCTGTTTACTTCTCGGAGCCCCCATTCCCCCAGTATCTCCTGCAGGGCTGTCATGCCGTCGAGGAACATCTGCAACCGTTTCAGATTCACTAGCGACTTCGTCTCCTGCTGCTGAGTCTGCATGATGTTGAGCTCGCCGCGGATGAGTTCTCGCCTGCTGCTCTCGAATTCCTCCCTGTCTTTGACGCTGAGGATTGCCTTGAACTCCCGGGCTGCTTTGCTGAAAGCGTCGACCACCTCCGGTCCGAGGTGGAGGCCGGGACGGCGCCCGGGGCCGTTGTTGAGTTCGGACATGTCTTTTTGCCGGTGGGATTCCCGGATTCGGGGTCCTGACTCGGGGCCCGTGGAATTACACCCAGTGGACTAGGAGTTGTGGGTAGTCGAGTTCAGCCAGTCAGCGCGACAAAGAGTCGACCAGGACACATGGCAGAGGCAAAGAAGAAGTGAATGAAAGAAAGAACGAAACGAAAACGAAAGAGAGACAGTCTGGAAACCCGCAACGGGACCATCCGAAGGCTATCGACATCATTGAGGCTGATGCATCGCGAAGAGGCAGCCAGTCAGGCGGTATCCCACGGACCAGAAATGTTACCCCGTCTGAGCGACCCCTGTTTCTCAACGCTCACAGAGAGACACGAGGTACGAAGTGGCCCGTTGGTGTTGATGATGTCGCTGGCGGGCCTGGAAGGCAGGGGTAAAGGAGGCAGAGAGGAGCCACACAGCAATTGGCAGGGGGGGCATTGAGGCGCTAGGCAACCGGCACTGCGGCACTGCCACTGCCTCACTCTCACGCTCATTCTCAGTCTCCACGTCGGCCTCATCGATGATGTGTGGTTTCCACAAGCCACCTCACTCAATCAGAGCGACGACGGGGCTGGAGACGAGGACGACATGGAGACTGGAGAACGCATCTGTGAACCCCCCCTGTTCAACCCGTGAATGCCATGTGTGACCACGACCGCCTCGACGCGCAGCCTGATCGGGGTCTTCGTGACCCCTCCCCCGCCGGACGCCTTACGAGGCCTTGTGAGGGGCATCTGTGAGGATCTCTGAGGGGATTGGAGATATGTGAGGCGGATCATCGGGCTATTTCTGCAGTGTACTTTTCTACTACTACTAGGCTGTTTTTGATTCGAGTGTTGTGTTGTTGTGTTCTCAGAGTGACAAGAACAGGGATCACTTCTACTCACTCTCAGTGTCCACAAATCACGAGTGTGCCAATTGAGCGAACATTTCATCAATTCTCAACAAACAATGACAGGAACTCACGATAATCTCAAGCGACGTCATTCCAAACGTGATCGGAGCCCTCTCCGAATATTCCACGAGAAACAAGCATCGGCAAGTGGGAACTTTCCGTCATGAGGCTCTTGATTCCCCGGTCGGAGGACACCGAACAGACACCGCAGCACAGCAAACGCTCCGTGGCGGAGCCCCTAGGAGGTCCCGACGGTGAGCAGTGCACACTTGCAAGGATAGGAGGAGGGCTTTCGGTCCCGCTGCGGCCCCTCGGGGAGGCAGTGCAAACACGCAGCAGCTGGGAAGCGAAGTGGAAAAACATCCCCTCCCTTACCACTACGACGACTGCTCTCAGTACGACGAGTCCCCTACTGCGGTCCAGCTGCAGCTCTGGCGTAAGGTACGGAGCCCGGCGGACCGCCATACGTGCCGTTGGTTCGTGGTTCGCACAACCCCGAGCCGCTAATGCCCGCCGTCCTCCCATGTGTCCTCTCCCCTTGGAGCCGCTCTGCATTACGTTCCTGGGGCCCATATGGGGGGCCTTGGGGAAACAAGCACAGCGTGCTCGGAGTGAACGATGCGCTAGACACTCAACTTGCATTTCGACTTCGTTCGCGGACTGCGCCTCACCAACGTTGAGCGAAAATGCACAGCAAACGGCCGCCTTCGATGCCTCACGTCACCAACCATCATGTGCTCAAAATGGTTCGCCCGGCCTCATTTATGCCGCCCGCGCCTGATTGACCCTTTGCTTTGCCTTATGGTCTCTCAGGCGCTGGCTGCTTGAAGTAAGGAAATCATGACTACTTTCACCAACACCCTCGATGGTCGACAACACACGGGTCAGGCATTCCCGTCAACAACATCGACAACGACGACAACCATGTCTCTCAAGCGGCTCCTGAATGATGTCGAAGACGATGTTCAATACCCTGACCCGTCGTTCATCTCCCCTCACGGCTCCGTTTCGGGGTCCTCGTACCAGAGCGCCGACGACTACTCTGGAAACTGCCCCCGCCGGACCTCGTTCCAGGGGTTTGAAAACCTACAGGAGGACCCCGTAATCGAAGACTATTCTTCCTGGGGGGACGTCTGTGGCAATATCATCCAGTTCAACCCCGATAACTTGAGTTACGACCATTACGACCTCTCGGCGAATCTGGATCTCGTAGACGGAGGCGGTCTTGAACACTTTGATGCCATTCAGCAATGGGGGGATGCGACAATGGCCTCTACTGGCGGGTCATATACCTCTCAACCGTCACCATCCGGCTCGGGATCGTCGCGAGACTCTTTGCCCGCGACGCACTCTCCTTCGCTCGCCCCCGAGTCCATAGTCACCGGCTCGGATTCATGCTCGTCGGCGGATGAGGAGGTTGAGAAGATATGCTACGGGATGGTATGCTGACCATTTCATTCAACTCTTTCACCTTATACTTGCGTCTCTCTTCGTGTGGACTCCCAATACGTAGATACACAAACTCACATGAACAGCTGTACAACGTCGACGTCAAGTTGATAGGCGACATGACCATCATTGACACCAAGCTCACCGAAGCGGTGAAATCGGGAAAGACACACCAGCGATTCACCCTCTCCGAGCAGCAAGATCACGTACTTCTCGCCTTCAAAGATGGTACCGATTTCGGGTACCTGCGTTCTGGGCCCGGCAAGTCTCTGTCGCCGCTGTTGACCCAATCCTCCGTCGAGTTCGAGCCCATCGCCCCCACCGCCACACTCCGAGAAACCATCGGTCGGGCCAAGAAGCCCGTCGAAGCTATGGTCAAGGTTGACATCAACGTCTACGGTCCGCGAAGGCTGGCGCAGAACATCGGCGACAAGTTGTCCGAGGGGAAGCTGTGGCTGCAGAAGCCGAGCCACAAACGCAGAGAGGTGGATTACGAAAACCCTCACATGCTGCAGCTCGACGACCTCGAGGACTTGACGTTGGAGCCTGTGAGGGAGGTCAATGGCGGTGCTCAGGCGAAGCGGCGGTCGCGCGAGAATAATCTGAGTGACATGATGAAGGAGATCTACGAGTCCCTCAACAGAACTCGGCATCATGACAAGGCCGAACGCGCAGAGGGACTGAGGAACGAACTTCTGATGTGAGTGTCTGCAAGTGGCATACGTGCTCTTCAATTTCTGGATGGTATGCTGAACGGTTCCCGCTAGGCATCAACAGGAAGCTCTGGGTTTCATGTTGCAGAGAGAATCCGGTGAAATCGATGAACGGTATCAACTTTGGGAGCCCATCGAGGTGGACGACGAAGTCCGGTTTGTGCGCCCCTTACTGCTCAATGTTTGCTTGGCTGCTGACTAGGATCAGTTACCGTCATAGAATCACCAACGTGAAGCAAAGGACTAAACCCGATGAGAGAGGCGGTGGTATTCTTGCTGATGAGATGGGAATGGGAAAATCTCTCTCCATCCTCTCGCTCATAATGAAGACCATGAAAAGTGGCCTGGAGTGGGCGGAGCATGAGAACAGCAACGAGGAGAAGCTGAAGGATGTGAATTACTCCGGCGCGACCTTGGTGGTTGTGTCATCTGCCCGTAAGTGAAGTCGCCATCGCCTGTTGTCACGGCAAGATATTAAAACTCAGAAGTCCTCATTTACAACTGGATGGACGAAGTCGAAAAGTAAGTTGCGCCATGGGCATGCCATGACCTCACGGGCTAACGTTCAGCAGACACGTGGTCGGTAAGTTGAAGACTATCAAATACCACGGACCGAACCGAGAGAGGGATATCGAGAAGATCATGAACTCTCAGATTGTCGTCACAACCTACAACACCTTGTCGGCGGAGTTTGAGAACAAGTCGTCACTCCTTCACAAGATCGGATGGTATCGAGTAGTACTGGACGAAGCCCACATCATCCGGCGCCCAGCCACGACGTTCTTCCACGCCTGCAAAGAGCTACACGCCAACTCGCGCTGGTGTCTCACCGGCACCCCCATCCAGAACAAGCTCGCCGACATCGGCGCCCTCTTTGCCTTCATTCGCGCGCGCCCTTTCGATGAGTTAGCCAAGTTTCGCAAGTACATCGAGGTGCCATTCGAACAGAATGTCGAGAACCCGCAAAAGGTCAAGGAGCGTCTGACCATGCTTCTGGAATCTCTCTGCCTGCGTCGGACCAAGGAGCTCCTCCGCCTCCCCGGTCTCCAAGAGGTCGAGAGGAAACTCGACTTCAGCCCGGAGGAACGGGAGCAGTACGACAAGACGAAGAACATCCTCATGCGTACGATCAAGCAGAAGGTCGGCGAGGTGGAGAAGAGCTCCAAGTTCGGCCTGTTCCAAGCGAACTTGCAAATGCGCATCCTCTGCAACCACGGGACGTATCAGAAGCCCTTCTCCTGGCACCGCCGCGCGTATCGGCTCGACGAGCGCGAAGCCGTGGCGAGCGCCTTGGGCCAGAACGCCGAGATCACCTGCGACGGCTGCCACCAGCCCATGCCCATTATCGGGTCGAGCCAGATGGGCAATGAGTTTGAGCAGTGCAATCACGTCTTTTGCTCCGAGTGCCTCGAGGAGTCGAACTACTCTGCGGGTGCGGCCACCTCGAACGGGCGACACTGTCCTGTTTGCGAGAATTGGATCAAGTCCGCGAAGGCCCAGCGCACTGGTCCATCTGGAGTACCTGTTCTGAGGGTGGATGACGTTGAGATGGCTGATGCATCGGCCGAACCATCATCTATGAAGGATGATGAGAATTACTTCAACCCCACTGGGCACTCCACCAAGATGCAGGCGTTGATCAGGGATGTCATGGAGAATCTTAACGAAACCAAGAGGTACGAGTCGGCGAGGTCTGATCTTCTAGGTGTACATCGTGCTAACACGTCCCAGTATCATCTTTTCCTGCTGGACCAGGACTCTGCAGCTGGTGGCGCAACACCTGCAGGCAGCGAACATTGAATTTTTGAGGATCGACGGCGACTGCTCCCTCAACCAACGCCAGGAGATGCTCAGAGAGTTTTCAAACAGCGATAGGAAAAGGGTTCTCATCATGACTACTGGTACAGGAGCCTTTGGGTTAGTATCTCTTCCCTCTTGCAATATGTTGTTCCGGACGTTCCTAATGATTGACTCTGCAGCCTGAATCTCACTTGCGCGAACCGCGTCTTCATCGTCGAGCTCCAGTGGAACCCCAGCGTCGAGAATCAGGCAATTGCTCGCGCTATCCGTCTCGGCCAGGGACAGAAGGTGCTGGTCACTAGATATGTCATCAACAACACCGTCGAGGTGGTAAGTTACCATGCGAGGACGCCCTAACGAACCAGCTCGCTTACGCTTCGTCTTAGGAAATGAGTTCTCAGCAAACTGTCAAGAAGAACCTCGCGGCTATCGGGTTCGATGAGAATTACGACGTGGAAGAAATGGATGAGTCTTAGGCATGTGGTCACGATATGAACGGCGTTGGGAACGGTTACATCACTACTCTGTGCGAAAAATGGGCGATATAGTCATCAGGGGGGGTGGTCAGGCGGTATTTTTGCGACGACCGCGCCCTTGGGAGGTTGCGATGCCTTTCTCTTGGACGCGTATGATGATTTGATGAGTTGATCTTAGACTCGTTTGATAATACCCAAGAACAATTGAATTGTTTTCTTTCTATAAACTTACTATTCGGCCTAAACTTTCTGTCATCTTTGGAGCAAATTGACATCCGACTGAAAGCGATCTAAGCGGGAAAACATGCCAGTCGTTTTCCAATTGATGCGCAAAAGTCCCGCGAAAGATGCCGCAACTGCCCGACCGTCCGCCCCGCGTCGACCATCGTGCATACTAGCTCGGTTGCCTTCCTGCAGGCAGACTCAGCCACATGGGCCTCTCATGCAGGCCGATTGCTGAGCGAATGCTACATAAGTGCAGGGCATACCAGAAGGCATCCTTGGGGCTTTCCCCGAGAGGCACGACCTCGAAAGATCGCTTAATGTGTTTTGGGACTTAATTTTCGAGTGCGGCAGAACAGCTAGCCACCTGCATATTCCTCGACTGATTTCGATCATCACCACCCGAGCAACATGTCCAATAGTGCACCCTTGGTTTGTCGACCCGCTCACCGTCGGGTCTTTTCCGAGACGGGACTCGATGATGATGTCGTTATCAGCTCGACGAGAGTTCGTGGAGAAGATTATGATGCCGACGCGGCTTGTTCGCGTTGCAGTGTTTTATTCTCGCAAGAAGGGCTCAACGAGTTGAACTCACCTGAAGGGCTTCGACACTCCTCTTACAACGATTGCATTGCTTCCGTTCAAAGGGGTTGCCCTTTATGCTACTTCATCGGCGTCACTATAGAGAGAAATCAAGAAGAGGATGGCCAGGATGAGTTCTGGCACGGAGACACTTGTCTCATCTTCCGGAATCGGTCTTCTTCGGGAAAAAGAGGCGACCCTACGGCGCTGTCTACCATTGACGTTCTGGACGGCTACATTTCTGACCAAGACCCGATCATCACGATCCATCCATATGTCAAGAAAGGTTACATCTGCCCATTGCCTTGAATCTAGCCCGCCATACTGACATGATCTACTCAGATGATCCACTGTCCAGGCTGATACGGAGGCGCCCCCTCGAGAGAGATGTCAAGAGTAAGAAGGCCCTTGACGCCGCCAAGCGTCTGTACACAGAGTGCAAGGATTCGCATGACGCCTGCCAGTTCTCCCGCGACAGCGTCCTTCCCTCTCGCGTCCTCGACGTCGGGACGGCCGCCGAGCCCTCGCTCAAGGTCTTCGTCAACGATACAGAGCAGCGCGGGGACTATCTGGCGCTTAGCTACTGCTGGGGCGGTCCGCAGAAGGGCCTATTGCGTCGCAACACGCTGGGTAAGATGTCCAGTGACGCGGGGATCAGGGAGAAGGACCTGCAGAAGTCGGTGAGGGACGCGGTCCAGGTGACGAGGATGCTGGGGTTCAGGTATCTCTGGGTCGACGCGTTCTGTATCATTCAGGACTGCAACAAGGATAAAGGAAAGGAAATCGGGAGGATGGCCACGATCTACAAGAACGCTGCTTTGACGATTGCCGCTGGCACGGCGGCGAGGGCGGCTGATGGGTTCTTGGGCGGCAAGGGCTCGTACCTACCCGAGGAAAGGGCTGTGGTGCGCACGGCGGGTGGAAGAGGGACGGTGTATCTGAGGTCTGGCGGATATGAGCCGTCGCACACTCTTGACAGCCGCGGGTGGGTGCTACAGGAGTTTCTGCTCTCCTCGAGACTGCTTATTTTCTCAGAGTATGAGTTGCTGTGGCAGTGCAAGAAGACGGATTTACGAGGCGTCAACGAGGGCGGCTTGGAGTACTTGCAGCTGCTGGAGGGGTTTCCGTGGACCAGTTTCAACGAAGACAATGCGGGGTTGTTTGGGAGTAGTGACGAGGAGAAGAAGTACTTGTGGAAGACCGTGGTCGAGCAGTATACGAGGCGTTTGTTGAGTGACCCAGAAGATAGGTTGAACGCATTGAGGGGTATCACGAGGGAGTTGGAGGTGTTGTGGGAGGACAGCAACTATTTCGGGCTGTGGAATAGGTGGTTTGTGGAGCTGCTAGCTTGGTATAGGCCACCAGACATTCATTGGCAGGAGAAGACGAAGGCTGGTGAGAAGTTGACGGAGAAGGTTCAGGAGCAGCGATCGATGAGTCTAGCTCCGAGCTGGTCTTGGGCCTCTTTGAATCAGACGGTGATGTACAAAGGTTACTTTATCGATGAGGATGCCAGGCTGAAGGCGGTTGACGTGATGGGCACCAGAGCGTCGAGGCATGTCGCGCTCTCGTGTCGCATCTTGAGGGACGAGGATATCTTTTCTGATGAGCTTTTGGAAGAAGACGGCGATAATGATGGCGAGGACAAGGGGATCGAGGAATGTATTGACTTGAAGACCATAGATGAGGTCGGGGAAAAGGAGACTGAGTATTTGCTATTGGGTACAGTTATGCTGGAAGGTGCAACGGTTGGAGTTGGTCTTATGGTGGTTGAGGCGGGTGATGGGTTCTACAAGCGAGTTGGGCTGGTGAGGTTCATGGATATGGAGGTTTGGAAAGGTACGAAGCATAGAGATATAAAGTTGAAGTAAATCATAGACCTCACTTATTCTGCATGGGAGAAATCGAATTTCGAGAACTCGAAGCTTGGAAACGTGACGACGACCTCACGTCATGAAATCGCGGCTTCACGGTACTTGCGTCACTTGTATGTGGACATCACAGTACACAGAGTGACCAGCGTCTCGGCGCTCCTGTCCGCGGCCGCCGAACAGACGGACGGCTTCGGGAACGGAGGGATGGAGCATGCGGCGGCGTCCGAGAAAGAAGGAACCGGCCGTCGCCGGTGGGAGATGTAACTGCTATGTCATTGACATAACAACGCGATCGGCTGAGCCACTTTGCCCTGCCTCATTGAGCAGTCTCTCTTGGAGGCCTACTGATACTATGCTCCAAGTAGCTATATGCATCTATAGGATTAGATGCAGAATAAGGTAATGAGCTAACAGAGTGGATATATGCATATTCGCGCTGAAGAAAACAATGAACACAGCCACAACTCAAGTCATGGGATCGCGACTCGAAGCTGGAACAGAGCTAGTCGACTTGAAGCTGGATGCCGCGACGTTTCAACAGTCGTGAGAATTTCCGCAAAAGTCAGGACCGTGGTGAGTCTGACTGGAATGACGCCGTGAATTAGCCAAGCGCCTCATCCGCCACTCCCGTCAAAGGAACACGAACAGTGTCTGAGTCTGTGAGATTTCACGAACAGGAGGAAGATTGGACGAGTTTGGGCTTGCAGCTCGAGCACGTTGACTAGCACGGGTCAGCAAGTGCCGTGCGATGATGGTGGGAGGAGCAGCAAGCAAGATGGGATGACATATGTACGTTATACGGGAGTGATGAATGAGTCGTCAATGCAGAAATGCAGCAAGCATGTCAGCGTCCGTTCCCCTGCGTCAGCGGCCATCCAAAAAAGTTGCCCAACGAGTGCCAATGCAGGCAATATTCACCGCCTTGGTTCGGTATTCCAGCACAAGTGGAGGTCAGCAACTCCAGGTGGGCATTCAGCCCCGGAAAACAAACTTGGAGGGGCCCGTATTCCTCTGAAAGTCCCGGTCACAGTCAGTCCAGGACTCCAGTATCCCCTGTTCACTTCACGTGACTCCGCACGACCCCCTGGCGACTGAAATTAAGGAGGCCGTCATTGTTTTCCCCTTCCCTCTTCTCCTTCACAATCCACTCTTCAACAACTCGGACTCCCGAATTCCTTCCTGTGTTTTAATACCGGTCCTTGTCCCACTTCGTCGTCGACCTTTTGGCACTTCTTCTTTTTGCCAGTCATTCTTTTTGGTCCTCGACACAAACCACAACCAACTACACCACACTCTTTTTTCACATCTTAAGTCACTACCAATCAGTCTACGACCACTCACGGGACGCCTTTTAATTCACCAACCCCCCCCCCTGCGAGTAATACGATTTCGCGACCGACCACGAGCGAAGTCCCTTTTTCCCAGTTACACATCAATTCCGTAATCACATACACAAAATGAAGGCCTCTTTCTCCGTCGCTGCCATCAGCGCCCTCGCGGCCACCGCCGCCGCCGAGAACTACCTTGGCTTCAACTCCGGTGCTACCAAGGCCGACCGCTCCGCCAAGTTCAAGGCCGACTTCGAGGCCGAGTTCAAGACTGCCCAGGGCCTCGTCGGCGCCCCCGGTGACTTCAACGCCGTCCGCCTCTACACCAACATCCAGGCCTACTCCACCGACGACCCCATCGAGGCCTTCGAGGCTGCCATCGAGACCAAGACCAAGATCCTCCTCGGTGTCTGGGCCTCCGGCACTGACAACATCGACAAGGAGATCAGCGCCCTGAAGAAGGCCGTCGAGAAGTACGGCACCAAGCTGACCGACCTCATCATCGGTGCCTCCATCGGTTCCGAGGACCTGTACCGCAACTCCGTCACCGGCGTCAAGAACAAGTCCGGTGTCGGTGCCGACCCCAAGGTCATCGTCGCCTTCATCGACGACTTCAAGAAGGCCTTCAAGGACACCCCTCTGTCCAAGGTCTCCATCGGCCACGTCGACACCTGGGACGTCTGGGGAAACTCCACCAACAAGCCCGTCCTCGACGCCATCGACTGGGTCGGTGTTGACGAGTACCCCTACTACGAGAACGACAAGGGCAACGACATCAAGAACGCCGGAACCCTCTTCGACAAGGCCTACAAGGCCACCATCGAGACCGCCGGCGGCAAGCCCGTCTGGGTTACCGAGACCGGTTGGCCCGTCACTGGTGAGACCTGGGACCAGGCCGTTCCCAGCGCCCAGAACGCCCAGAAGTACTGGCAGGAGATTGGCTGCCGCCAGCTCTTCGGCAAGACCCCTACCTTCTGGTACAACCTCCGCGACTCCAACCCCGACAACTCCATGAAGTTCGCCATCACCAAGGACCTGTCCACCACCCCTCTCTTCAACCTCACCTGCCCTACCACCTTCGACACCCCCACCGGCACCTCCTCCGCCTCTGCTTCCTCCACCGCTACCGTCAAGCCCGGCAACGGCACTGGCTCTGGCTCTGGATCCGGTGGTAACAGCACCGTCTCCACCGCCTCTCCCACTGGCACCTCCGGCTCCGACTCTGGCTCTGGTTCCGGCTCTGGCTCCGGCTCTGGATCTTCCACCACCGGTGCCGCCGGCAGCTCGTCTTCAAACGTCGCCTCCGGCGCCACTGCCGTCCAGATCTTCTCTACCGGTGCTCTGGCCATCGTTGCCGGCGCCCTTGCTCTCTTCTACTAAGAGTTGAGCTACAATTCGGGAGGGAAAAGTTTTAGCGCATGGGCAGCGTGTATTTGATTCTCACTGGACAAATGTGTTTCTGGTATCATAATCGTGGATAGACTACGGATAGACTGAACGAAATGTGAATAATCCATACAACCAACCACACTTGCTCACCTCGAACCAATGATTACGGTGTAAGCTGATATTTCTCACTCGAAGACTCACCTTGTGTGACTATGTCTCACCGAACCCCGGTAAGCTCGTGCCATGTCTTGAAGCACAAGTTCCCTGTTTTCCCGGCTCCTGACTCGGTGAAGTCCGCACGCCAGATCCGCATTCCAATTGGGCTCGCAGCACACCCAGAATCCCCCAGAGTCGGAGATGAGGTGTGCTGATCATCCCCACTTGGAAAGGCCGCGCTAGGCAAGTCGGGTTCGAGTTCTGGACCACCAGCGCCTGTCCTTTCGTATTGGTGCCCTTCCCACAAAACCAGGCGCAGGAGCTAAGAATAGACCGGGCCGCCGCCGGAGCTGCAATCACGAGTGATTTTCGATGGTGTCTTGTAGCGTATTACGCCGAGCTAGTGCAGAACAATTGATGTCATCACATCAGGCTCTGAGAGTCCGTCATCGAACGAATTCATTCGATGATTATTATGATCGGGAAGACGTGGACGCTGCTTACTGGTAAAGGGGATTTAGACCGCCGCAGCAGAAGAAAACGGCTCACGACCAGATGGCGCCATGCGGCGTGAATGTTTACCTTTCACGTACATCCCGCGTCAGCAAGGCACGAGCGAATCACCGTCGCGCCGTACCTGGAGCTAAACCGCAAATGATCATCCCAAGAAAACCTGGCTTGGACCTCGTTCTAGAGCGGCGGCGGGAAGTAGTGGAGAACGCGCGTTCGGTTCAGGGTAGACTTTGGTTGATGCATTGACTCTCAGCAATTGCGTTTGTCGACATTGGACGACAATTCTTGACAGACACGGAGAAAAAACTTGGCTTTCCTCGCTCGGTTGGAGAGATTGAGAATGGCAGCGAGGCGGTGCTGCTTCCTTGTCGGTGATCATTGGGCGCGTGTTCCAATGTTGCTTCTTTTGAGTTGTTCCAATATTTAATCTTAATTCTTCTTTTTTCTGCCGTCTCTGGGGATTGGATCTTGGTTTACCCCGGTGCCCGGTTTTCCCATTTTGTGCGCAGAACTTGGACAACTTGAGAGATGCCGATGTTGCCATGCATGGCATCCTCAGCCGCCGTGGCTGGATTTGTCCCCCGAATTCGGCAACTCGCGGGACTCGGGAGGGAGATGACGATGCATTGGGTTTTTTTTTGCCAAGCCCGGCGCCCGTTGTGTGGTCCCGGTCCCGTCCCGGATTCCCGTGCCGTTCGAGTGTGTGTGTGTGTGTGTGCGCGCGCTGGTTGATTCTGGTTTAGGGGGCGGGTTGGCGGTTGCCTCAACTGTCTTAGCCGCGGACGTTTCAAGCGTTTGTCAAAGAATGTTGTGAGACGTCATCGTAAGGTTTTTGGGCTTTTGACCGAGATGGGCGTGTTTCTTTGGCTGGGCTGGCTATCTCTGATAAAGTGATGGTGTCTATCTGTTCGTTTGAAGTTTCAATTCAGCCGCGCGGACCGCTGATGGTTCTTCAGGAATAAATTCAAGGTTTTGATCTGAGCGTTTGAGACGTATCATGGTGATGAGTGTTTCCGTTCTCTCGTGACTGAGGGTGCTGCTGGTATGCATGTATCGGGGTTTGGATTTCACATGTGAACAATTCTGGAATTTTCTTATGCACAGAGTCAACACGCTCAATCCACATCAGGCTGAACTGCTCGTATCCCATCTCGTGTTACAGATGATCACGAATCCTCGAAGCCCGTCTTTTGAAAGGCCTGGAGCTGCTGATCGCAGCAGTCTCATCAGTGGACGACAGGCATGAGAAGGGCCAGGTCAACACTGAGCGGATCTCATCCCGAGCACACGGGCCTGCGGGACTCATTTCGCGCTTCGCAGCCCTAATCTCGCCACACTTCTCACCTCCTGCCTCCCGGCATATGAACATCTTCCCCGGCTCAATCCGGCATCCACATCTGATCCGAGGAACACTCCGAAGATCATCATCCGGAAGGGTGGCCGAGTTGGTTATGGCGCCAGGTTAAGGTCAGCTTAACATCTGTTTCCTGGTGGGGCAACCCGCGCGAGTTCGAGTCTCGTCCCTTTCATTTTTCGCTTTTTTTGCTCCTCAGCTCGCTGGAAGTATGTTACTCACTTTGACGACACTTCCAAGACATTTTGCTGCGGGACATCAGGTAGAATAATCTGTTTCCAACGGCCTTGGGTGGGTTCTGCCTCGAAATAGTTTATAGAGTATATATAGCTTAGTAGAACGTGAGAGTCTCTTCACCATTTGGCTGAACTTATCATCATTAGTTAATTCAATTCGTGCAGTTATTATCATGTGATGACTCTTGTTGAATGTCGATGGACATAAGAGAGCTTGAGTCGGCATTTTGAGAGGAAAGTCGATGCTAACACCAGACTCGCTTCTATAACCGTTGAACATATCTCTTGCCTAAGTGCAGCTGGCCTTTTACCTTATTTGCCCCATGATCAGTCTGGAATCTGCCATACCATCCACATCTAAGCAGAGTGTCACGAAAATTGTGTACATCTGCGGTTAAGAGAAGCCATAACGCGAGATCTTTCCCTGCGCTGAAATCGCATTGGAACTTCCCACAAACGCCAAGTTGACGACGTTATTTCTTTAGTTGTGCCTCATTAATCAACCTGGCAGGTATGGACAGCAGGCTAAGAAGCATGAATTGAGCAACTTGAGTTCACCTTCAAACCATAGGCATTGGACAATGCCCGGTCATGAAGAGACTTGAATTCGACCCGGAATACTGCCGTCTTATGAAGCAGTCTCACTGTCGATTCAGGACTGAAGTGGTCTTTCGTGAATTGCAAATGCTATCCTATCTTAAATCATGCAGTTCAAAGGTCCAGCATGAGACAGACACAAGCACATAAATCAATCGGAGAATCACGCCATTTGATCAGAAGACTGCTCACTTGAAGACTCGATTGTCAATGATCCTCCGGTGCGAGTCTCTGTTGGCGGCTGATCCCTGTTCCAGGCACTAACTTGACCTGAAGAAACCCTCACTGGAGGCCGAGATCGATGTTGGCACTTGAGCCTTCCATCCACCGACCTCAATACAAAGACACGGGCTGAAGTAAAACGAGGAATGATTGCAACTTATCAAATACGCGATATGCATATGATTGCGTGCTTTTACTGACGATTTTCAGTATGATCAGACATCTTTACTATTGGCCGTATCATCCATGAATCAGTGTCCTCGCTGTAGGATTGTGTAGGTGGGTAGCGCTAACGACAACGGGTAGGTGATGCTGCAGGACTTGACGGATAAGGGAAAAAATTACTTCAATTTAGAGGGGACTCAGGCTGTGTATTTAGTCGGCCTCTTCCCCCGCATGCTATCTTCCAGCGTCCTCCTCCAAACACCACACCACCAGTTCTCATCACGTCCATCATCACCGTTCACGCCACGGTGACTCGCGTAACTTCGCTGTAAGTACACTTGCCTCACCGACCTTTTATTGACAGGCCAGTTCACGTCGTGAACTATGGCGGATAACACTCTATCAGTTGAATCTCGGCTCGAGAAGAAGCCATCCGCAACCCCCGCCTCCGGGCTCGAAGGGGGCTCTGCGACGCAAGATGAGGTTCCTCCCTGCCCTGATGATGAGGACATCTATCCCGAGGGAGGCAAGAAAGCGTGGCTTTCCGTCCTGGGCTCGTTCTTGGTCTACTTCGCGTCTTTCGGCGTCGTGAACAGCTTCGGTTTCTTCCAGACGTTCTATCAGCATGAGTACCTTAGCAACTACTCGCCATCGACTATCTCCTTCATCGGGACGCTGCAGATCACGTTACTCTACCTGTCGGGATCGGTCGCTGGCGCGCTCTTCGACCTATATGGCCCAAAAGTAAGCAAGCCTGAGACGACCGCATGATGTAATCGTTGCCAGTGCTGACCTTTTCTTCCCAGTGGCTCTACCTCTTCGCCGCCGTAGGCGTCTCTGGCTCCATTTTGGCAACGTCCTTTACACAGCGGAATGAAATCTGGCAGCAATTCTTAGCCCAGTCACTGCTGTTCGGTCTTACTGTTGCTTTCGGGGTCCAGGTAGGCTGACTCGCTTCCTTTCCCGTCAGAAAACGTGCTAACTGTGGTACCATAGCCCGCCCTCACTGTGACCGGCCAGTATTTCCATCGACGACGTGGCCTCGTCATGGGCATTGTTGCCTCCGGCAGCAGTCTTGGGGGGGTATGTCTTCCAATCATGTTCTCCAAGCTCATTCCCTCCATAGGCTTCCCATGGGCTATGCGGGTCGGAGCCCTGATCTTGCTGGTGTGCTACCTGACGGCGATGGCCGTTTCGTCTTCCAGGCACCCTCGGAGGAAGCTGAAGTCTCTCGGAGAACTGTTTGACTATAAAGGATTTCTAGATATCCGGTACTCTTGCCTTTCAGCCGGGGCAGTCATTGCGAACCTGGGAATCTACGTCCCGTTCTACTATATCGGTGAGTTGGACGAATTCTGGCTGTTACGATGCCACGTTTCTGACGACATCTAGAACCTTACTGCGTCACTATCGATCCAGACTCAAAGATTCAGGCTTACCTGCTTCCTCTAATCAACGCGTCTAGCCTCTTTGGTCGCATCATGTAAGGGGCCCCTCAAGTTTCTATTATTTACGCTGACTCTTGAAAGTGGTGGCCATGCAGCAGACCGCGTAGGAAGACTCAATTTCCTTTACCCCATGGTCCTTCTCTGTGGCCTTCTATGCATGGCCTCGTGGCTCCCCGCATCGACCCCTGGTGTTCTTGCCGGGTTCGCATGCTTGTACGGCTTCGCCTCCGGTGTATTCATCTCTGTTTTGCCTGCAGCAACTGGGCAGATTGTACCCACGGAGAAACTGGGCGCCAGGCTTGGGGCTTTCGGAACTGTCACCGCCGCAGCCATACTGACGGGCACACCGATCGCGGGAGCTTTGATCAAGAGCGAGACTAGAGAGGGATACTTTCCTCTTATCATCTTTGCTGTAAGTCCTGTTGTCGTATCGCACAGTGATAAGTTGTTCACTAACGACATTCTTGTAGGGTTGCACCCTCCTGGGAGGAGGAGCGGTGATTTTCATTGCTCGCCTCCTGCATGACAGAGATATCAGAAGCAAGTGGTAAATGAACGGAGACTGTCACCAAGGGCTGCGCGTATGAAGGTCAATCGTATGTGTCACCAGTATGGGCGCAGTCACCGTCGGCGGAAGAGGGAGGGTCATGCTGTTGTGCTCAGTTGGAGCATTTCTTGGGGGAAGAAGACCGATGGCATGAGTAGGAAATGGAAAGGAGCAAGCGGGGTAGGCTTTGGGTGGTGAGAGTGTCAGAGTGTGAGAGATTGAGGGGCATGTGTTGGCTAGAATAGGGCTGATGGATCGAGATCGAAGGTTGTGTAGTTTTCACGTTCGTTCCTGTTACTTGAAGAACGAGCGTCAGGCTTAGGCCAAGACAAGTTGCACAACAGACTAAATCGACTGGATGTTGTGTTTTTTAGGCCAGCACTTTGTGATGTTCTCGACTCCCTTGTAGCTGGTCGGTAGCGGATCGGCAGAACAGGCGGGGGTATCGCAGCTCATATCACGAAGGCTGCAGTCAAAGCTTCACCTTGCGGCAACGCGCATGACGTGGGCGATCCGTAGCGAGAAGTCTCTCACATCAAGCCTTCACGCCGGACAGTTATCCTACAAACAAACATGAACGTATGGGTCGCGTACCTGGATTGGACGTGAGAAGCATGAGCATTAATGTTGAAGGCAGGGAGTAGCGGAACAAAGTCATATGTACTTGGTATTGGCTGATCTATGTATGTATGTAACCCAGCTGCTTCTGAGTCCAGGGCCTGGCCTCCATGGTCATGTATGTATAAACTTCATAATATTTACGTGGAAAAGAGACACGCAGAAACCGTCTATGCTGGGCATCCGCTGGCAGGGAAGTTGCAGCTGCCACCCTTGCCACCTCCGGTGATCTTGGTGTTCTCGAAGGTGATGTCCGAGCAGCTGCCATCACCGCAGAGAATGTAGTAGTTGTAAGCGTCGCTGCCAGTGGCAGTACCCTGAACGTCGACGAAGTGAATGCCAGCAATCTTGACACCGTTGGTAGGCGAGCCGGTCGGGCCGCCGTTGAGGTAGTCCTGCTGGACGTCGATGCCGTAGGTGTCAATGTCGGAGAGGGTAATGTTCTTGTAGGTGATGTTGGTGACGGAGCCGGTGGTGTTCGAGTTGGACTTGATACGGCAGCCGTTGGAGCTCTTCAGGATCTGCGAGTTGGAGAAGACGACGTTGTCGACGGTGTTGTTGCTCTTGCCGCCGATGGAGCCGATGCTGAGACCGTGACCGCCGTAGCAGTACATGTTGTTCACGGTGACGTGGGTTCCGCTGGTGACGGCGACGCAGTCGTCCTGGTTGTGGACCTTGATGTTGTCGAGGGTCACGTAGTCGCTTGAGGAGATATCGAAACCGTCGCTGTTGTGAGCCGCGGCCTTGCTGCCGCTCTTGGAGTTGGGCGCATCGCCGGCGGAGTTGTCGAGGTTCAGGCCGGAGATTGTGAGGTTCGTGTTGCCGGTCATGGAGAAGCAGTGGACAGGCCAGTTCTTGATGTTGAGGTCGGTGATCTTGGCGTTCGTGGTCTTCTTGACAACAACGAAGTGGTTAGGCCTGGTCGCTGGTTAGCTTTGGCGGCCACTATCATCCGAATAGGTGTATGCTTACTTGTCGCCACCGCCGTTGGAGCCCAGACCGTCCCAGTAGGCCGCGCCATTACCCTCAATAACATGACCGGGAGAACCAGTGATCGTGATGTCAGATCCGGAGATGATGATGGGGTCGAATTTGCTGTCGACAGTTGTCGCGAAGGTGGTCGTGCCGTCGAAGGTAACCTTGGCGCCCTGCTTGAGCTTCTGGAGGTCGATCGGGCTGGCCGCCGGGGCAGCAATATTAGATAGCGTGATTTCGGTGCATGATGAGACGGCCGTCGCGATGTCTTCGAACTTGCTAACAGTGCAGCCAGCGCCGGACTAGGAGGGGCCGAAACGGGTCAGTCTTGATGCCGTTGACGGGGCAGATATCGGACGAAACAACGGGGCGTTACTCACGGAGTTGGAAGCGGGAGCCGCCGCTACCAGAACGGCGGGGAGCAGCAGAGCCGCAGCAGGGGCGAAAATCTTGGCCATCTTGGCGTGGGGAAAGATCGTGATATTGGGAGTAGAATGGAGTAGCGAACGGTGGTGAGACTGGCTGGAGAAACGATCGCCAAGTAGGTGCCAAGTTAATGTTTTATATATCTTTCAGATCTAATATGCGACAGCGTTACAGAGAAAGAGTTTGGCCTGAATGATTGGAGGATCATTGCAGACCCTCCTCCGTCCGAACGGGTGATGAAGACACTTTGGGAATGACGGGCATGGCCTCGCAACAAGGGCATGTGGATCTCGCCCTCCTCTTTCGGTAGAGTGGCCCCGAGGGCCATACGGAATCGTTGGAAAGAATCATGTTGGTCAGATCATTGAATTCGATCTAAGAGAGTTCGGTTAGTGCGCTCGTCGTTGAGTGAGGTGACTTTATTCCCGTCGGTGCTCACACTGGAAACGCAGGCCTTTGCGGGGCGGCGGCCCTGAATCCTTCAAATGACAGCGTTTCATGTCAATCATGAACGCGTCCCTCGCCAACAGCGTGCCATTGAGATTCAAAAGTTGATTTGCGGATGAATTATTCGCTCTAGCCCCTATATCACACCCTTTATTTCCTCAGGGTCCCCGCCGACTAATCTCTTTGAGTCAAGGGGGCGCGTAAGTCCAACGGCCTAGAGCCGCAGGGTTCCCCCATACGATTCCACGAATGCTCAATCAACATGACACTCGCTACTCGCCGCGGTGCCGAACTCAAGTCTTGGAAGTCCTGTTCGAGAAATCGCTTCTCGGGCGCCTCAGAAGCTGACATCGACTTGATGTCTAATGATGAGATAATTGATCGTCTAAAGAAGTTTCAGCCGAACTTTCAGAGTTTAACACACATGGCGCTTGAGAGGTATCGGGATGTTTAACGGCCGAAGTTTCTCGACTGAGATTGGTGGAAATAGCATTGACTTTGAGCTGGACACATGCACCACCTCAGTTTCGTCCGGTGATGGCCTCATCTTTTGAAACTCTACTTGATTTGTTTCGTTTTGTCGGAAACGGTCATGAGCCGTTCATCCTCTCTGCCGCATGTAGTTTCAAGTGCACAATCCATCTCTCGCAAGAACAGCCAAACCCACTAAGATGGTAAAAGACGCCGAATCGTGACAAGGCATCACTCCAGCTAGTTCACCACATCAATGTCCATACATTAGCTTTCGGCAGATGAAGAAATCATACACATGAGGCGGTCGGAGATTGATAGGTAATAAGGATTAAAAGAGTTGATTGCAAGGTTGAGTTTGAAGAAAGTGCCCATAGCCCGCATTGAGTCTACTTTTATTGAAAACAATGAGCATAAGACAGGCACTGAGCCTATAATGAATGACATTTATTAGACTTTGAAGGCTGCGGAGTGCCTTATTCAGGAGCTTTGGTCACAAAAGGGGAGCTCCTGCTTGCGAAACAAATTGCCTTGAGAGTTTAGTCATGAGCGACTTTCTCATGACTCGGATAAGTCGGACTTCAACTCGAGTTTTAGCAGTCGTCAGCCCAGGGTGCATCTCGTTCGACGACATAGGTATTGAGCTGCGTCACATGGGGCAGTTATCACGACATTCACTGAACGCAATTGACGAGATTGGTTTGCTTGACTTTTACGAGAAACCCATTGATGCGTAGTCTTTGTTTGGTTGGTGAGAGGACTTGATAGCCCTTGCACCTTCATATGGGTTGCCATTTTACTGATGAAAGATACTGTCATTGTAAGTTTGCTTGGAAATGTCTACCCCTTAAGCTTCCGATCGTTGAGAGGGTTCCTGAGTCAATCGATTTCGATGCCAACCTTGCCTTGATGCTTCCCAGACTCCAAATACTCATATGCCTCCCTAAGATCTTCTAGTTTGAAGACCTTGGGATCAATGACAGGACGCAGCTTTTCCGGACTAGACTCGATAACTTTGCACATCTCCTCCATTTGATGTCGGTTGCCAACCCAAACACCTCGGGCAGTGTAAAGATTGAGCCATGTGTCCAGGAGATTCGGAACCTCTGCGCCTTGGCCGTCACCACCGGCCAAACCAGTAGTGGTGATGGTACCGTCGAGTCTGACGCTGGCTGCGCTTTGCTTCAACGTACTGGCACCGGCAACCTCCACAACAAGGTCAACTCCCACTCCACCAGTCAACTCTTTCGCGGCTGATCCCCAGTCCTTGGTGGTGCGGTAGTTGATGATATGGTCGGCACCAAGTTTTTTGAGTAACTCGGCCTTCTTATCGGAACTGGTGGTGGCTATGACTCTCGCTCCAATCGCCTTTGCGAACTGAATGGCGAAGATACTCACACCTCCAGTGCCTTGGGTGAGGAGCCACTGCCCAACTGATAGTTGCTTGCCAGGAAGACCGAAGAGTGCATTCCAGGCCGTCAAACCGGCACAGGTCAGCGAGGCGGCTTCGATAAAGCTCAAACCCTGAGGCATAGGCACAAGTCCTTGCTCGTTGAAAGCCGCTACCGTACGAAAAGTGCCATCAATTCCGGCACCGAGGCCAAACTTTGGCGTTTCGCTAGTAGGTGATCCGCTCAGATGTGTTCGATGGATGACTGTGACAACCTTGTCACCTGGCTGGAATCGAGTGACGTGTTTGCCAACAGCGAGAACGGTACCTGCTCCGTCCGACCCTGGAATAACATCTGGTTTGACGTGCCAAGGATACTTATCCTGTGGGATCATCAGATCTCTAAACTAGTCTCGTCGCATTAGCTCAGTCTACGCGTGTTCCGCATGTCCGGCTCACATTGAGAGTAGCGCCCTGCACTTGAGTAGAACAACGTGGTCAGCGATGTTGAGACTGGAACCTCAACGGGGTGGGAAACTTACATTTAACGAGGACCTCGCTATCTCCTAATTCAGATAATGGTTCCTCTGTGAGTTGAAGAGACTTGAATCCATCACGGCCTACGACATTCCATTGCTTGGTGGTCTTTGGCAGCGATTGGGGCATGGTGTAATATCAAAATTGGGAATTATTGTCGAATGCTGAAAAGAGGTATCGAATGACGTCGGGTTATCCAAGAAATCCAACAGGAGGTACGAGGGAGCATCTTATACGAAGTTCCCAGCAGCGATATGGCGTCATCAAGCCTCAAAGATGACCTCCCGCCAATAACGTTATCCGACTATTCGTAAGCACTCACAACGTTGATCGCGGCACAGACTCCACGCAGCACTAATCGCATGCTGAGCGATCGGCTATGCCAAGGGACCGCTAGCTTTCATTGGAAATCTTACTTTAAAGAGTAACACAAATGGAAGGGGGAAGACAGAAAAGATCTAGCGCGTGGTGATCCTTTCCATACAATCGATGTATACTCTAGGCGCATTCAAGAGGCATTGACTCCCTATCACCATGCTCCTGTGATAATATTTCTCAGTTCACGTCTTCCCAGCATTGTACTCGAGCATGGATGCTTGAGTAGCTCGATGATGGGTAGCGATTATGGACTTTGCTTTCGACTGTGTTGAAAAGTCGCCAACATGAATACATAAGTTGACCTACTTCTACTCTTACTCGGCAGATCATCCGATACGTCGGCGCTCATATTTTTATTCAAGAAGATCTAAAGACTGAGATGACTATTAGCCAATATTGAAAGCAAAATCGTTCGCATCTTCATCCTCCACGTCTCTAACTTGGTGCTATAAAAAGCAATCTTCACAGCAGAATCTATGCCGTCTTTATTAAAGTATAGTGACCAGAATCAAGCATTAGTTTGCCAGGGTCCTAAATTATCATGTATCCAAAGCTACGAATGCGAGTTTTATACCTTGTAGCTTCTTTTAAGATACGTGTATGAATAAGAAACTTCATTGGGCTGCTTTATGTCGTACTTCTCGTTATCCAGGCAGCCTCTGCGAATAAAAGAAACATGCCGTTTGCATTTATCTCTGAGTGATCAAGTTTGTTTCTTCAGAAATGGTGATTGATGTGAAGAGGTGTTTAGGATGTTGTCGGCCTTCCCCATGGGCCATATGGCATCAATCTTCTCATTGCCAACCAAGACAACAGACGACAGGTAGAGCGTGCAAGGTAGCAATTCGAGACGTCCTGTTTAAAAATTTCTGCTTTGAGAGAACTCATACAAGTAATCTTGTCAACTAATTCGCTCGACTCAGATGAGATTTACAAGCGACTAGCCCGAGAGGTACCGAGCGTGTTGACAGCTTGGGGCGACACAGTGGAAGAGAAATCTACCGTATGTTTTCAAATCCCAAGCACAGTATCTTTCAAGAGTTATAGTTGAGTTTGACGTGGTTGTTTCAACTGCAGATAATGCCATAGAATATATTGTTCCGGGAACGCCATCTCGATCACGAGTGCGATACCAACCCCCTACCCTCTCTCTTGCTTTATTTCCAAGGGCCATCTTTCAATCAGAACTAAAACTGCATCAAGACTTCGGCCATGGTAGATTGCTATTAAGTTCACGCTCTGTGCTCGCAATTGCATGAGCTGTTCTCCGAGTCCCCAGATTGATGTACATAGTAAGGTTGGGTCGTCGCCCCCTATGAGCGTTTCTTTTTGGCCGGCGTCACTTTCCGAGAAAGACAGGTACGCCACTTGACAGTTTACATCGCTAAAACCGATGTGCTGGCTCTTTCAAACAATCTTTAGGTCTCTAACTATTCTAATGATAAGCCCTAGATATCTCTCTAGAAGCAGTGAAGAAGCTTTAAGCGGCCGATGGCTCAAATCGCATCCGCTATACGATTGAAAGGGAGAATGATTCGTGCAAATCGATCGCGGTCAGAGATTGATGTGTTAAAGTAAGTTTCTTTTGGCAAAGTCATGGTGGCTGGCGTTATCCATCATTCTTGCTCCCCGCCGAAATCTTGCTTGGGCCAAGATCTACACTGCCCTTGCCAAGCTTTTTCATTGTTTTGACTTCCAGCCGTATGATGTTTTGCGAGGAAGAGATGTCGAGCACCACAGTAATTGCTTTCTTGGCAAGCTCGGAGACGATGTCAAGGGGAATAGGGTAAAAGTCTTGGGTTGCTGCGATGATACGCTGTGAACAGCCAAGTTGTTTTCGGTCAACGGATCGTGCTGTCACACATCCTACCGGACAAGCTTGTTGGACAAGTCGTGTCTGTCGGCAGTACCCTGAGCCAGTATATTCGGATTATTTGCATTTCGATAAGCCCGTGCTTTATGCTTCCAGTTTAGGTTTTGAGTCTTGAAGATTGGCCAATGCCGCACGTTCCAGCTGTCGTGAGTCTCACCTGTCGCTTGTCACGTTGAAACTCTCAGCGGCCGACGTGAGCCTCCGGTTCCCCGGACTCAAGGCAAGACAATGCGGTGCTTCTTGGCATCCACCTCAAATTGTGATGTAAACCCTTTCATCTAAGTCATCGGGGACCTTGGCACGTGAGAAATGCGGCTTGGAAGTTGACAATCTATGATGAGGCAAGTTGAACCGGATTGCGTCGACAGAAGTTGCGCGCGGGATGCGAACTGATATAAATTTAGCTTGAGAATGTGACCGTCGGCAGAGTATTTGGCTTGTTGAAGCGATCAGTGGATAGGTGCACGCTGATCACTATCCATGAAACCTGCGCCCGTAAATCTTCAACTTGTCTTGGCCGACTTCCGGGAACATTCGAACTGGAGTTTGTTGAAGCTGTCCGACATTGACAAGACCCAGGATGTGCACGAGCTCGGGAGGCCCGCAGACAAGGCACGCACTGGCAGTCAGTCCCATTTCCATCCCCACTGGCTTCTGCACGGAAAGACTCTAACCTTAACGAATGCCCTCTCTTCTCTTTTCGCGATGGATCTGGCATAATTCCAGCAACTCACTCCTACATTCACCGTCTTTCTTATCCCACTTGACTTAAAGGTTTTAAGGCGCTCCTAATGGGCTGAGAGGACACTATGTATGGTCTGATTCTTCGTTGCGCCTGGGCACTTTCAATGCTATCCTTGCTTCAGGCCGCTCTCCACCGTCGGAGATCAGTTCAAGAGGATTGGCCAGCGGCAATACCAAGCCTCTCAAACAAGCACTGTGATGATTCACAAAGATCCTCGATATCGTCGTTCTCGGGTCATTAACCGTCGCTTAATTGGTCCAGGGCGCCCAGCATCACTCGGCTTCGATCTGTCCCGCCCCCTTCAGGTCACAGGTCGCAGAGATTCGAGTCTTGGACCCCAAGGACCCCTCTTAACGGCTCGGTGAAGACCTCGAAAGAGAGCCAAGCAAGGGCCAAGGTCACCTAATCAGGCCTAGCAGCGCCTGGTCTCACACCACCTCGCGTCCGCTTTCGTCTCAGGGGTTTGTCTGATCTACGATTTCCGCACCCTTGCCCGCCCTGCAACCCCTAGCCAAACCTGTGACGCCAGGCCGCTAGTCGTTGTTTGAGATGCTCGTGGTGGCCACTAAGAGCCGTTGCCAGCGCCATTCAAGGTCGCCAAGGCCGGTCTGCCAAGGTCTCCAACGCTGGTCTCTTCTCTCAAGCTTGAGACGCCGCCACAGGAGACCAAGAGCGCCGTGGAGGGAGCATCCTGTCGAGAAATGCAGAATTGCTGCTTGTTTCCGGACCAAGAACGAAATTTGCGGCGGCGGTATGGAAGCCGCTAAAGATTAGCTTCGCAGTGTGCCATTTTTGGATTTTGGCTCAGCGGCCTTCTCTGCGGACTTTGGAATCGCCAGGGAAAGCCTTCGAAAGGGACTGGTTAGAAAAAACGTGCGAACCATGTAAGTTTTGAGACAAGAGCGGTTCTCTATTCTCGACCCCCCGTTCCCTTGGCGTTGACAGCCGGGACAGGGCACCGACCAGTTCGTCTCTCTGTCTGTGTGGTTGTCGTTCATCCTGGTCGATCTATTCCTGTTCCTATTCCTGTCGCGACCTGTCTTCGGTTTCTCTTTCTCTCTTACCAATTTTCTCTTCGTCCTCAATCGTTGTCTGCGTCGACGGTGGAGTCCCTGATTCTATTTCCTATTGTCATCTTCTACCAGCCAAGGCGTGTTTTGCATTGCGTTGCGTTTGCTGTTTGAACGGCATCTTCTATTCATCTTCTTCCGACAGGATCGTCGTCCCATTCATCGTGAACAGCTTGTCTGCTCTCGATCTTTATTTTTGAACGTTATTCAATTCTTCTTCTTTCGTAAAGTTTATTGTTCCGTTCTCGCCAATTCGCTCGTTCATCTTCTCTTATTCCGACCCCGCGCTCTGAGAGCCCAGCCCAGGATCGCACTCGACGTTCTTTGCCCATTGGGTCGTTCGCTCATCACCACAAACCCGCCCGGAGCGCATCTCAAAGACAGTTCCCATGTGGCGACGACCGCGATAGCCCGCATTCCATCCCCCTCACTCAGCGCCAGAGATGGCGCTGCTCTCCTCCGCCTTGCTGGCCCTCTCGCTAGTCGCACGCACACGAGCATGGCCTCAACTACCGACTGCCGATGGCGACTTCGGCGCCTTCATGACCCTTCCAGTCATTCCTTACACCACACAACACGACGCCAGCGCCGAGGTTGCCCCCCGAGGACTGACACTTCCCGCCGATGAGGATGCCGAGTCGGTGATCATGACCCTGCCGGTGGTCTCGAAACTGAGGAGGAGACGAGTGAACGGGAACCGCCCACGGAAACTCTTGGTCGACGACATTCTGAGCAACGATTTAGAAGTTTTGCCCGCCGCCCCAAAACTCAAGCCCCCGGTCGCAGTTCGAGATCTGCCAGTGGACGAGGAAGTCGACATGAAGGCCACTTTCGTCACCTTGCCCGTTATCCACTCCACGAAGCGCGGGGTTTTCAGCCGACAGGTCGAGGCGAAGCTTGCTAACCGTTCTGATGTGGCCTACTATGCCCAACGTGAGCCATCAAACCCCTCTGCTAATATCAAACATTGCCAAGAAGCGGCAATTTACCTAACATGTACCAGTGAACATCGGCACTCCCCCACAACCCGTCTATGCCCAGCTCGACACCGGCTCTTTCGAGCTCTGGGTGAACCCGGACTGCACCGTCCTGAGTGCCTCCGATCAGCGCTTCTGTGAAGCCGTCGGCTTCTACGACACGACCCGCTCCTCCACCGCCAAAGCTCTCCAGACCTCGAAGACTCTCCGTTACGGCATCGGCGCCGCCAATATCACCTACGTCCGCGACAACCTCGCTCTCGCCGGTTCCCAATCCACCATGCAGCAGGTTCAATTTGGTGTCGCCACTAGCTCCGAAGATCAATTCGCTGGTATCCTCGGTATTGGCGCCGGAGAAGGGGTTAACACGCGTTATAAGAATCTGATCGACGAGCTTGCCTCGCAAAACGTGACAAGAACGAAGGCATTCAGTCTGGCTCTGGGATCGAAGGACGAGCAGGAAGGAGCCATTATCTTTGGAGGAATCGACACTTCGAAGTTCTCCGGACCCCTTGCCCGGCTGCCGATCGTACCTGCGGACCAGTCACCAGATGGCGTTGCGCGGTACTGGGTCAACATGAACCAGCTTAGCATCACCCCGCCCAGCGGCCGCACGCGATACTACCCGAACAGCAACATGCCCGTCTTCCTCGACAGCGGCGCCACCCTCACCTTGCTGCCAGCAGACCTCGCGAACAACATTGCTACAGACTTCGGATCACCAGGCCTCGACGCCAACGGATTTTATCCCATTTCATGTACTCTGGTCAACCTGAACGGAACCGTGGATTTCGACTTTGATGGAATGAAGATCAAGGTGCCGTATAAAGAGATGATTCGGGAGGTCCGCACGAGCCCGCCGGCGTGCTACTTGGGTATTGTGCCGAACTCGGATTTCACGCTGCTGGGTGATACGTTCTTGCGCTCAGCCTATGGTACGTAAAACTTTCTGTTGTGTGCAGGACATACCGCTGACACCACCTTTTAGCCGTCTTCGATCTCGATACCAACTCTGCTTACCTGGCACAATACGTCAACTGCGGCACACGTACGATGCCCATCAGTCGCCCGGAAGACATTCCCGCCATTCGCGGCTTGTGTAAGGGTGCGGTCACCACGCCTCCGGTGGCCAACAATGGTACCGCCACCATTCCCGGTGGAAGTGGGGCCGGTGCCGGTGCCGGGACCGGCTCAAACTCGGGCTCTGGCTCCGGCTCCGGCTCAGGTACTGGTTCTGGGGTTGGTTCGAACCTCCCGACCGGCGCCTCTCCTGAAATGTCAGGACTGCCGTCATCACAAACGCCATCCTCGGCCTCGATATCAGCACCAAGTGTAATGGCGATGTTGTCAATTATCTTGACAGCGATGTTGATGTGAGAATGAGTGGTGCGAGCAATGTACATGTTGGAACGCCTCATAGGGCATCTTAAAAAGTATCATGAAGCGGGCTTGGGTACCGAGCATCTGGCGTATCGGAATTGCGGGACCTTACATTTTCAATTCTTGCATGGCGGAGGGATGATTCTTTACTCAGCGCATGGAACGCAGCGAGCATTGTCAAAACCGTCTTGAATTTAGATGTTAATGCAAATAGTCATATGTGACTGTTTAAAAAGACCGAGGTCTTACGACTAATGAACCCTTTTCCAGGACTTGATTGGAGTAATTGTTTCCCGAGCCAGGCCGGCATCGACGTACGCCAACAAAATAAACCCCCACGCTTGCAACCTTGGACCAAGCGTGTCTTCTTGTCTTTGTGAGAGCACACCATTATGACGCGCTCCCAACTTGCGCTCCCAACTTCTTTTCTATTCCATCGTACGACGAGCATTCCCTTCATAATCTGTGTCGGAAAGGCCGGCCGCGGGAGTGGTGTTGGCCCCTCTCACTATCCCAGCAGAGCGACCACACGATCACAGAGTTTCTTTTCCGCCCTTTCCAACCTCTTTCTCGCTTTCTTCATAAGGCCCGAAACCTGCCTAGCCTCTTGCTCCATGTCGAATACCAGGACGGCATCCCAGTCCTCACCAGTAGAGGGCGGATATTGGCGCAGCGCGCCAATGCCTTGATCGGCCACTGCAACCTTGAGCAGCGGATAGTTCAGTCCAGTTCCTGAGGTTCCCGCCGTTCAGGTAATTGTAAGCGGCACACGTCGCCGGAGACCATGCCGTCGTATTTAGAACCCCAAGCTGCGACGAGATGCAAGCCGTCACGACGATAGAGTCGAGATGATCTCTTTCATTACAGCTGAAATGCTGTTCTTTCCTAGGCGTCGCTCGTGGCGCTGTGATCGCCAAGGTTTTACTCTCCCCAATCCCTATTCTCTTGGCCCACGACATGAGAAGGTGCACATCAAAGTGACATGCAATCAGAGAAAAGGGGATGTCACGGCTGCCCTCTTGAACAGGTTGCAGAGGATAGGAAGGAAGTTCTTCTGCCCCTCCACGACCTGGCATATAGAGAGGATATTCGCGGCGCGTGAACGCTATTTGGCGTACTGCTTCAACCTCTGATCCTTCTGGTGAAGAACTATGGCGTCAAACACGAGCCCCTTCTTCTTCTTGCCCTTTCTTCGTCGTGGTGCCAACCTCGACGAGGCACTCGTAAAAGGAATAGAAGTCGGTACAGACGACGGTGGGAACCAGAGCTGTGTGCAGATGTCTGTGTTGGCCAGCATCTCGCATGATACGGTTCCAAGCCACCGATTATATGTTGCAGCAGATGAAAGAGGTGGGGTAGCGTTGTCGATCGTCAAAGAGAGAGCGCCGCTTTAGAGGAGCAGCATCGCCGATGAGAGTCGCTCCCGGGGGTATGGTCCCCACCCCTCAACATCCGCTTCAGGGAATTAAGGCTCTTTATTTGGAGATAGCCCGGACGAGAGAGAGCTCTACCGTACTATCAATGCTGGCGCGACGGTCTTCATCTTCTTCGTGTGGGATTACCCCCAATCGGAATCGTCGCATGCGGACTAGGCGGTATTTGCATCAACGAACTTGGCATCTTCATCGATAGAGGCCGCAGTCGGCAATGTCTCAGTCGAGACGCAAGGGCCCGCGAGAGGAGATGATACCGGTGAAGCAACGCCGCTTTGGGGTGCGTTGATGCCGTTGGCAGTGTCTAGTGGTATGAGGTTGAGTTGCCGATATTTCAGAGACGCTTGCGCGTCATTCAATTCGTTATGGCGATCCAATCCAGCACCTGCTGAGATACGACGGGCTGTTTGTTGGTCTCACTAAACTGGTACGCGTATAAAAGCAATAACAATAGCAATGGCAATGACAGTAGATAATATCCGTGATGCGTTAGGTTGAAGTAATCGTGGTGCTTAGCAGGTGTGTCGCAGCTCTCTTCGTAGATCCAATCAGACGAGCGAAGCGCATCTTGCTTGATTTGATACCGGTTCCAACTCTTGGGTAACGATTTCTGCAAAGTTTGTGGGCGCGAAGTTTCGACGGGCGAAAGTAGGCTGCCCCTGAATGGTACCGTAGCTCATTTGGGACGATGACTGAAGGCCTTAGTCGAGAGGCCAACTATTGCTGGAATATGTGGCGAGAATCGTAGGGCTGTATTTGATACTTGACGAAACCAAGTCAAGGAACAACCTTCCTCAGCGTTGGTGTCTAATCCACTCGCTCGCCCATGAAGGCACGCTGTCTGCATAAAGCAATCCTCAAGAGCTTTCATGGTAGGCAAAGCTTTGCCAAAAGACATGAATACGCCCGCTGCTTCGATACCCGGCATCAGACGACACATTGACTGTTGAAGACCAGGTAGACAGACTGGACCATCGATACATGAGCCATTGTGTCGTAAGCGAGGGAGTGTGTTAGGCTATCGAGGTGCATGCGCCCGAGTCGAATTGTCGTCCATTATCTGAATCATGTGAAGGTCGTAGGCTTTTTCGTGCTTCTGTGAGACGTCGTGCACCGCCCGATGACCCCGTCAGGTTTGAAACCATGAGTGCCGCCTTCTGCTTGGAGTTCTGAACCTGAGCGAGGGATAATGTCGGCCACGCGGTTATTTAGTAGCTGCTGTTACAGAAAGCAACACTCGTAGAGCGTTCGAAGAAGCAATCATAGAAAGTGATGCTTGAGAGTTCTTCCGACAGCTCGACTGATTCGTTGTGGAAGACGAGAGGCGAGGTTGGTCGTGGGTCGCCTTTGGCCATGTCGGTCACCATTGTCGTCTGGAACAAGAACGATGGCTCGACGCACTTGATGCTCACCGTAGAGTTCCATTTGGCCATGTCGGTCACCGACATCTGCCTGGAACAAGAATGACGGCTCGACGTACTTGATTTCCGCTGAATAGGGTTCCAACGGTCAGGTGTTGGACTCGCCCTTTGCACGCACTTCTTCTCGCAGCGGTGTGCTCGTGGATGTCCATGTTGTTTTGCGGGGGAGAGATCTCAAGTGGCGTCAACTCGCAGTGTTGATGCCCATGGCAGTAGAGCTCTTCGGCCGCCGCTAATCGTGTGGTCAGTCCAACAGCACAGCGACGGTCCGCCCTCTCAAGAAACCCAAGAAGGACTGCAAGACGTCTAAAGACGCTTCTTTCGTGGAAGAGTGAGCAGCAGTCCGCTCCTGCAAACCGAACCGCTCAGTGTTGATTCTGTGTCTTTCACGCTGGAAATTATCAGCCTCCATACGCAATCGTCATCGCCCGTCATCTCAGTCGATGGCTTATACAGGTTGGGATCAGCACCGTCTGACAGGCGCTGGGTCATGAACGCCATGCGCCCACTGCAAGTGCATAATGTCCCAGTCGAGAAGATCCTTGAGATTCGTCGCCCAAATCCCGACAATCTCATGTCTCAAGGTGTCAAAGCCTCACTAAAGGTCGCCCGAGGTCGACTAAGGGGCTTGGTTCTGGGCTGAGATGAGGCCTGGCACCAGAGCTTGGCTTGAGTTGATCGTAGAGGTATGCCATCCCAGACTGGCCAAGCACCTGTTGGAGCTTGTCGGGCTGGCTCTTGTTGGCTCTGTGCTGTTGAACGTGTTCAAGACCAATTTCTGCTGCGCAATACACCTTGTTTCTTTGAAGAAGGCGTGGCCTGCCCAGACGTTATCATCCGATCAAAGGATGTCACCTTGGAATCTATCTGGGCCAGGCTACCTAAGACTTTCCCCAGGCGTCATACATGGGGGGGCGCAAAGTGAGATCATATTGCACGCGACGTCTAAATCGTTGCGTAGCATCTTCGCCTTCTGATTCTTGATCTGGTCTTGATCATGAACCTTTGACAAAGCTATATGGCGCCATCGCGCGCGTGCCCACCGGGCCAGAACTTCTCTTCCGCATGCTTCAATATACCACCATTTGCAAGCCCACGTACGTAAGACCCCTTGTGATACCAACAGATTCCGCAGGGGCCCGTGGTGGTAGCTGAACTCTGCAATGTGCAGATGTCGCAAAGCTGTCGGGTCGCCGAGCCAGTTGGGTTGAGAATTTCGTGTTGACTGCGCCAGACAGGCGCTCGCCGATCAAGACTCGCAAGCCTCTGCCGAAGTTGCCGGACCGTAGGGCGGCTTGCCGAAGGTCCGAAGCGTTCCTCCAGCTGTTGTCCGCACTCGTCCATCGTGATATTGAATGTCTTTGTTTCTTGCTGCCGAGATACCAAATAATGCGATTACCGCCATGCAGAGGCCCTTTCCAGAGAAACTGCCTCGACATAGAGGTGGGTTGGTCGAGATGAAGTTTAGTTTACCAGCGGGTTTGTGTGCCCGTGGGCGCTACCGGCCTGTGAACTTCCCACCCATGCGAGAACAAGTCACGATGGTGGGGCCCGGGGGTATCTGGCCAAGGAGCTTGAGGTTCAGGAAGTTGATGGGATGTCGCTTTCTGCTGATGTCGGCGCTGGATTTCATGCGGTCGACGACCTCGCTAACCCCCATCTTGACTGCACTGCTTCCCCTTGCTCTCATATCCTGTACATCTAGAGTGCCGCGCCGAAAGTGCGACGACGTAGAACGCAATCTGTTGGAGCAGCTGCGCAGATCCGGCACGAAGAGATCCCATGCCCTAGTGAGAGGGTCTGTTGCCTATCTCCTCCGCGAGTTCGGGCTGCAACAGTATATCGCATTGCAGCATGAAGAATTGAAGGTTTTGGGCCCGGTGAGCGCGCCGGCGGCGGTATGGTGGATGCCGAGGCCAGGATTGTTCCTCACAAGCCAACGCCACTTGAACGGGACTAGAGATGCGTTGATGAAGAGCTTCAGACTGATAAGTTCGGAAGAGATTCTTAGTAGTAGGAGGCTGGAATGAAATCGGTCGAAAAGCTTGAGCCGGCACATCAACAGTCGCAACTTGACCTCCATGGGATCTCTTCAATGTCACTGTTGCTGTCGTCTCCCACGGCAGGTGCGTTGGGAAATTTG